TGTTAAAGTCTTTGAGATAGAAATTTTGTACTTATTTTCTTTAAAAAGAACTATATTAGAAAAGAAGTATACTTTATTTTTACTGGTAATAATTTTTAACGTTTTTTTTATAATATCTTTTTTAAATTATCTAATAGAAACAACCACTATAATAGTTTAAGGCTAATACAGTTAAGCTTACAAAAAATAATTCAAAAATACTTGGATCTCTTCACATTTATTTATGGGAATATTCCAATATTAGTTCCTCATTACAGAACTAAAATTAACAGAAGAACCTATAATTTAAAAGGAGTTAAAAATTAAATCTATTTCTTTATATTTATTGTATTTTAATTAGGTGTAAACTTAAATTCTATATTTAATTTCAATTATTTATAATCAGATTCTGATGAAATATTAATATCTTTTAAATTCTTTCAATTTTGATTTAATTCATCATTTCATATTATTCAAATAAATAATGGATTCTTAGCAACTGGTTGTTTTTCTTTGAACATTAATTTAAATTTTGATTTTAAACCTATAAGGATTGAAATTAATTCTATAATTATGCCTGCAGATAGTATGACTGCTTGAATCCATCCCAATACAATCTTTTTCTCTTAATAAAAATATTCATTAAACTCCTAGATGTACAAAAATGAACTAAGCATAAAAGTAATTACTGATATCTCAACCACCATAGATACAATATAATTCTTTTTATTAAAAGTACGACGATAATTATAAAGAAATATAGTTTATAATAAGCTTGTTAAGAATAGTAATCCTAACTAAAGGATTGGTGAGTGTTAAATATAGATCAAAAATATTAGAAAGAAAAATTATCTGCCAAAGCTTAGAATTTCGAACCTTTGATTTTTTGTCACTTTTGATATTATAGAATTACATTTGAAAAAATTTAGTAAGATATTAAAGTAGAGAAGTAGTATTATACTTACCATAAAGAGCTGTAAAATATCTAGGTAATTTTTCGTTTAGAAGCTTCGTGTATACAATAATGTTTTAAATATCATATCCCAACCATTGAGGAGTAATACTTTTTACAGTCCTTAAAAAGACAGAAATTTCTCCAAATTTAGTAAATCCAGGCAAAAATTATAACAGATTTAACTAATTTTAAAAATAATTTTTCGATTTAAATATAATGATAGTGAGGACGTGTAATAAAAGTACCTAGGACAAAATATCCATTTATACAGCAATCTTTTAATCCAATGATGCAACAAAATAAGAAATAAAAATATTATACTTTAAAATATTTAGCACGAAAGATTGATGATCAAGCTTGAGTTTTGTTTGTAAAAAATAAATTTTCCATCAGAATATTCTTAATTCGACTCAATATCAATCAACTATAAAAATTTTGGAAAATACATAAATTCCAAAAGAGGTTAAACAGTTATCAGATTATTCATAGAAAAATAAATATCTAAATTTTCAGGGAATTATAAATTGATGTATCTTAAGTATTGCTAAAATTAAAGGATTGCCAAAATCTCAACAAATAGTTCCGCACTTCCTAATAACAAACTCATAATAGTAATTCCTGATAAAATATAAATTAAATATTGATTAAGACTTTTCAAACTATAAGAATAATCCTTCTGCATATCATTGAGATAATTTGGATATTACAATGTAATTTATTTTTCAAAATCATCCAAAACAGCATTATCTGCGTTAGCTACTTTCTGATTTACTAAAATTTTCAAGACGGGTCGAAATTTGAGTAATTGGTAAACTTCTATTTCAACTATATATTCTCCAAAACTCGAATACGATCCAACATCCTATATTATAAATAAGCTGCTATTCCATTATTTCTTGTCTATATCTAATAATTCAAAATTTAACGTTTCTGATAATGGATTAGCAGTGTATATTTTTACTTATTAATTAAATTGGATGCTTACATATTATTTATTTGATGTCATATTTAAATAATTAATAAAAAAGCTTGGAGCTTTGAGAAATGTGCATTAACTAGGGGAATTTTTTTCCATTGTGATACAAACCCAATTCTATTCAATTAAACAATCATTGCATCCATCAATTGCAAAAGAATTACCATCATCACATTCCTCTTATTCCTAAATAAATCCATCTCCACAATGCAATTATTTTTAACATTAATTTGAATTTAGTAATTAGTATTGATCATTGCACTCTAAACAAGTACCTTGATAACAAACATAACAATTTTCTGGGCAAGAATACTCGCATTGAAAACAACCATCAAATTTAATCGTATTGCCATCATCACACTCTTCTTCTTTTGTGACAATTGAATCTCCGCAAACTGAGAGACACTTGTTATTTACAAACTTGTATCCATCCTCGCACTTTAAAATGCATTATCCTTGATCACATATATTGCAATCTTCAATGCATTGAAACTTACATTAATAACAACCATCATAAGGTTGAAAATTTCCGTCATCACACTCCTCATATTATTATAGAATTAATTTGTCTCCACAATAAGGAGAACAAGCGTTTTCTAACATTTAAAATCCTAATTCGCATTCTAAGCAAAATGATAAGTGATTGGTTTTACAATTAGCAATTGGAAGAGATCTGCATTCCTAACAACCATCCCATACACCATTAACAGCCAGCTCACATTGTTCAACTGTATAAGGAGTCAAATTTCCATCCCCGCACAAAGGATCACAATTAAAATTTGCATTGATTACAAATCCCTCTACGCATGATAGACAAGTTCCAAATTAACAAATTTAACAATTTTCAATGCAGGAATATTTACATTGGTAACAAGAATGATTAGATATTAGATTATCACATTCTTCTTAACCTTGAATTATTCCATCTCCACAAATTGGGTGACATTTTTCTAGAAATTCTTCTTAAGTCCAACCTTCTTGGCAAATCAAACAATTATCATCTATTTATTCTAAACAACCTTCATTCAAATTCTTAAATTTTATTTCTTGCTCAGTATAAAATACTTCAAAATCTCTTATTTGATTATATTCTAATTCTATTGGGGATTGAAGAATCAGCTTCAATATAGGATTATGATGGTTTCTTATTAATATTTGTATGTAGTAACAATTACTAAAAGTTTCTTTATCATATTAGTAATCTACTTCTACTGTAGTCAGATATTCACTTTTTAAAAACCTTATTAATACATCTTGATGAGGAGGTAGTTCAGTTTAATATTTAACTTTCAAAAATTTCAAAAATTTGCAATTTCCACAATAAAAGTTATTCCAATAATTTAATTAAAAAGTCCATCCTTCTTATTGTGTTACATCTTTCTCATTTAATGAATATTAATGAGCTTTCCATTTTAAACCAATTATATGATAATTGTCTATGCATGCAGCTGATTCATACTAACATTTAATCATGGTTAATTTTAATGACATTAATCCTCCACTATACGATCGAAAATAAATCCAAAAGCTTCCTCTGTTGTGTTTATAAGTTATAGAATAACTTCTGATATTTTCAATGCTGGGGCCGCTACATATTGAACCTTAAGGTGATATCAAAGGTTCTGAATATTATGTCCAAGAGTCTAATTAAATAAAGGTTTGATAGTTTGAATCAATACTTTTGTAATTAAGGAATAATAAATACCTTAGAAATTGAGCATCCATAATAAAATGAGAGTGAGATTCTAGATCTAAAAAGATCCTGCTAATGTAACTATAACTAGATGCCCCATAATAATGAATCCCTCCACAAATCTGGATTTGAGCATAATTATAATTATTTTGCCATACTAAAATATAAATATAAATTATATGATTACCACTATCTATAATGTTCGAATTTGCATTAAACTCATAAATCACAGTTTGATGAGTTGTAGAGATTATAATGAAAAGTATTATCATAATTTTTATAAATATATCTCTTTTTTATTTTAATAAAATCATAATAATGAGTGTACTTTTGTTTCCTTTAAAATAATTGTCTCCCATTAATTACTAAGGCAACTGTTTCAAAAATATTATATAGAAAAGTTAAAAATATTAATAATAAGGTGAATAGTTATGATGATATTAAAATCTTTAATAATAAAGATTAATTTTAGTCCAAATCATCTATAATAAAAATCTTAAAGAATTAAAAAAATTTGAATATATAGAAGAAAATACTATTTTTGAGACTGTTGGAAAATGAATAATTGGATTTTATAAAGAAAATAAAAAATGGTTTGAAGGTGGTTAATGTGATTTTTATTTTTTTGATATTAATGAAATAAGATGAATAAAAGGTAAAAAGACTACAAATAATTAAGATATACTACTGAAATACAAAAATAGGTAGGAATATTTCAATAAATTCTAGAGGGTTCTGATCTTCCGAATTAAAGATTAATATAATTGTATCAGTAAATAGGTAAAATTAATATATTGGAAGTCAATTTTTTTTGAAAAATGGCTCATCATTTACATTTTAATATTAAAAGCTAAGAGTATTTTGAGCATTATAAATATTACAATATTTAGAAGTCCTTTACCACAGATAGACTGTTATTTGGGTAGTGTATATTTTCTAAATTGAATTTTGAAAAATATAAAATTTTGGCTAAAATTTCCCAATATTATCAAGTTTGCAGTTTTGAAATTAATCAGAATTCAATATGAAAGTGAAACAATTTTTATATTGAAGAACAAACTTTATATTTTAAATGATTGTGAAAAATTTCTGATAGTATGATTTAGAATTCTCATCAATTTTCAAAAAAGTAATTATGATTACTCGTAAATTATTCAAATTTTTAGTTTTAATATTATTGAAGACAATTTCAAAAATTTGCGAGTGGTAAATTAAATCAAAAAAATTTTTTAACAACACAATTTTCAGTTAAATTGATTACATCTCCTCAATATTTACAAATTCTTTATCATTTTCCTCTTTGGTCATGATAGATGAAGATATAGAGAGAGTGAGAAATAATTGGCTTTATTAACGTAAATTATTTAAAAATAGCACAATTATTGAAATAAAACAGGTTATCAACTGATATACGTATTAAATTGAAATTTAGATACTTCATCTTTTAATAAAAAAAATGATTATTAAATGATCTAACAATTATATAATTTCCAAAAGTCAATTATGGAATCTTTTTTGCACCGAATCAAGGATGTTTTTCGTAAATTAATTAAGGGCATTTTAATCAAGATTATGCTCAGCTGCATTTAAAGCAAATGATAATGCCATTAAAAGTTACGATCTTGATTTATGCTAATACCAGGTGTTAGATTGGCGTGCCTTATTGCATTAAAAAAAGGCATCTTGAATAAAATATCCTGAACAGTCCTTTAAGTGATTTTTACATAGAATGTCACCATTTTCGGTTATGAAAGAAGGGTCTCCACATTTTTTATGATACCAAGCTTGAGTTGGTTTAGAAGATTTACATACACATTCTTAAGGACATTAGAATATTAATGGTATTATTACTCCCTTATTGAGTCCTCCTTTTGGTACACTATAAACTAACATATGTAGTTAAAATAAATAAAAACAATATAGGGAAGCCTATTTTTATACAAAAAAATATTCTATTATATATTGGTTATGATAAATTATTTCAAATTTTATTATTTTTGGTATTTGAATGGTTGAGCATAAGGAATAAAAATAAGGTTTATGAGTCAAAAGTATAATCGAATGGATATATTCAATGAATATTTCTTAAATTTGTTTAAGACAGAAAGATTAGAATTGCTGTAATTTGTTATAATTTATGTTATGGTTAACAAGAATTATACAATTTTTTGATTAATCAATTATAAATGATTTAGAATAATTAATTTATAATTGATATTTTATTCTAAAATGAATCTGAATTTTATGTAATTACAATATTTTGATTATTATATCAGTGTGTTTAAATTTGAAAAAATTACTTTCTCCGATTAATAAACTCTTAAGAAATGAATGTTCTTAAACAAAATCATAATTTGTTGAAAATTTTGAAAATAAATGTGTTATTTAGAAATGTGTCAGATTTTGTTTACAATCTTCCTTCTAATAAATATCATTATTTTGAGGAATATCTCTTGAGACTTTTTTACAATTAGAAGCTAAATTGGATAATTTTATACTTGAAGATTCTTTCAACAATTATTATTTTTGATTTTTAATCTTACAAATTTAATTCTTGTTCTTTCTTGTTTACCAAAGCAATCTTTGAAAATTCTTCATCTCCTAAAGTGAAATTGCTTTATCTTTTGTTGACCTCTTAATATTTTAAAATTTAAGAATTTATGATATTACGATATCTTGAAAGTAGCGACTTGAATTTATCTGTAAAAGTTACTGTTACTGTTACTATTACCAAATTTCTGAATCAACTAATTAATTCGCCAAATTTCATTTCTCCCAAAGTTACACTTATAAACACACTCTTTTCATCTTCACCTCCAAATATTTTAATTTTAAGATTTCAAAAGAACAGGTGTTTCTAGATAATTTATTTATTATCCTCCCTGAGTTTAACTTATTCTTTTTGATGACTTTCGAAGATGTATTAGAATTATCCATTAATTTTCGTCTATGATTTATATTTACAATTCATGGTTTAGTAAGATGTACAAATATTTGAAGTCTAATTCATTCAGAAAGATTTTGAAATTCTTTATCATATATTGAATGTTTCTATAAATAATCCTCTCTAAGTATTTCTATGTTATCATGATTATCAATATCTAAATATCTTTAAATCTCTGTGTAATCCTGTCGTTTATTTTTTATCTAAAGGTCTACTTATGTAGGCGTGTCCTACATAAACTCAATAAAATATGTAGAATCACGGGTAAAATCATGTTAAAATCCTTTTTAATAACCGGACCTTGTTCATTATCCTTGAGCTGTTTCATTAGTGGATTTAAGATCATGAAGCCTAAATAGATATTTCAAGCTGCTATTTTAATAGCCAATTTCAAAACTCTAGCCATAAACCATTCATGCAGAGATATTAGCAAGCTATTAACCAGAAAATGGATATCTGAAGGTAAAACTTTTCCTTCAACTTCAACTTAAGTATTCTTAGACATTTACTTTTATTTGAATTTATAGGTAATCAATTTTTATAAAGGGGGATTTCTTTAAATATTTGATAAAATGTATTTTCAGTAAGTAATTGAAAGAGTTCTTAAATGAAATTCAAGACAATTGTCTACAATAAACAAAGATGAAGAATGGAAAAGCTGAAACATATGTTTTTTATAAAATTAACATTAGCCCTTATTAAGTAGGTTAAAAATATCTTTACAATAAGAATAAAACGAAAAAAGAAAGTAATTTAAAGAAAATGAAATTAATTTAAGTAGAAAATCGGACGAGAACCATAATAAAAATAGCAATATAATAGATATTGCATTATGTTCGTACTGTAGATTTTGGAATTAAATTTAAATTATTGAATAAAATTGTTATAAATAACTTATTTTTTATTAAAATACTCTCAGAATTTAGTTGTTTCGTCTTCTAATTCTGGATCGTCGTCTAATGGCTTAATTTTCTATAGTCCCAATCTATTTAATTATTTCTCCGATTTAACAACATAACTCTTCGTAAAATCTGCTTTTTCTATGGTATTTCTGTAAGGAATAGGCATATATTTTCTGTATCTCTACATCAATCGCTTTCTTCTTCTATTTAGTTTATCATATTCATGTTAAGTCATATTAAGTTTAATCTTCTATGGTCTTTCAACAAAAGGTGTGAATATTAGGTCATTATCCAATTCGCTTGGGTCCATGATTTGCTACTTAATATCCCCGAGATCCTATTTGACTATGAATAACTTAATAATGTACTCTACTCCTATGAGACAGGTTTGCTGGTGAATAGAAGAGTTCTATCATCACCTTCTTTCATATCTTATAAAATGCTTCCTCGATATTCAAAATCAGTATGGTGAGGTAAGATTTGGGGCAAAATATCATCAAAGGTATGAAATCTGCCTCTAAAAAGATGGATATGATCTAGTTTATCCATTCTGTAAACATTATTTGGTAACATTTTGGAAACAGTCCAAGCAACCTACATTCAAAGACTAAATTACTAATTATTCTGGTTTTTGAAGGATTAGGTCTCTGAATTTTATTTATCTTAAATGTCCGACATAGCCTGTATGATAAGTAAGGACTTTATAATTGATTTTTTTGCCTGTCAAATACATGTTACAACCATTGACAATAATAAATTTATCTGTGACTTTGCCAGGTTCATTATTACGAAAGGTGGGTTTATGTTTTCCACTCAAATGGTAGGCAATTTTTGAACACATCTTGCCATAGGGAAATCTTGATGCATCAAACAAGTGATAAGTGATTCCACCTTTATGGACTGCAACATAAGTAGTGCCTGGATAGAAATTTTTAGTATGTCTTTCATCTATTTGATTTGACATTGGGTCATACCTAAAGCCTGTCTGAATTCATATTCACGAGGTTTCACCAGTTCATATTTCTCATAGGGGTCTTTAGGGTCAAGTTTAGGTCTTTTAGGCATGGGAATATCTTTAACATAAGGCTATTCTTTATGCTTGAATTTAGGGATGGCTAATGAAAATCTAGCCACTAGGCACCTCTAAAATAATTACATTAATAATAATTATATATGAGAATAATTACATGAAATTCAGATATCCATCATTTTGTTAAAGCAGAATAAGGTCAAGCAGTTTTTAGAGAATATGATGAGATAAAATTCTTTAAATTCAAAACCTTAAAATTATAGTTTGAAGGGTGATAATCAAATAGTAGTATTAAAACATCTCGTGTATTGAATTAATATGGAATAAGAGATATTCTAATTTAATTTGAATATTATGGATATAGGTTGTTAGCAACCTCTTATGTTTTTCGCTGGTGATAATATTAGTAATCTCATGAATCTATTAAAACACTCCTTAAGTTAGGTAATAAAATACACTTTACAATATGTTAGAAAACAACACTTAAATGCAATCTATATATTTAGAAATAGCCAATCATGAAGAATTTTTCTAAATACCCAAAACTAAGTTAAAAAATAAATACAAAAATTTATAAAAATGGGTTAACAAATCAAACAAGAAGATATAAAGAATCTTAAATTAAGAATTTATTTCAGGTTCTGCTAAGCTAATCTGTTTTACTAATTCAATTTTTAATTTAATTATTACGTTTAATTATAGTTTAATGGTTATATCCATAGAAAAATTAGCCTATTTTGAATTGCCTAGAATTCATATGATTAGAATTGCATCCCACTATAAAATCCGAATTTCAATTTATCTATACGATAATAAGAGAATCAATAATTTATACATTAGTTTAATATTATTAAATATATTTTAATATTTCAAGTAAGAACCAAAAATATATCGAAATCAATGGAGTAGTAGAATTAATTACGAATTTAGATATGAATATTTTTGAAATATATTTTTTTATGATTTTTTAAAAAGAAGGAATATCTTTTTTTGTTATTTTTTTTGTATTTTTTTTATTTATTTGTAATAATATACAATGGTGGCTATGAAAATATCTCATTTGCCACCACGATAAGCTCCTCTTCCTCTAATTGGTTCTGCATACAAATATCTTCCTCTTGTAATATATTAAAATGCTATTATATAGGAATTTGTAAGTACGTTATCCTCTTGCTCCCCTGTTTCCTCTACCTCTATTTCTTAAGTTTGTTCTCTTTTGGAACACCTTAAAATATAACATTATTTGAATACAAGTATTTTCTTTCCTCTTATGATGCCTTCGCTTAAGACTAAAGCATCTTCAACAGAGCCTTATTCTTGAAATTGAACATATGAATAAAGTGTGCCAGTATTTTTATCACTTCTTAAAGTCACCTAATATTACATCATTTTAGGTACTTTAACTATGGTTCCACAATCTTTGAAATATTCTTTAAGATCATCCTCTGTGGTGTTTTCATCCAAATTTCTCACAAAAATTGATGATAAATCAATATCTTTGAGTTAATGTTTATTGTCAGTGCCTACTTAGATTTATTGTAGGATTTACCTCCTTTCTTTTATGACTCGTCTTCTTTTTATTGATCGACTGGCTCTTGTACTTCTAAATCATCTTCGTGATTACTCATTATTTAAATCTTTAATTAATTTAATGTCTTTTATCAAATTAATAGGGATTGACAATTCAGAGATCGAATTCGAAGAAAATAAAAATAGTGTGTATTTTAACTCACTAATCTAAGCAAGGAAATTAAATTATAGTGCATTGCAAAACAAGAAAGAAGAATTAAAGTTAAAGTCAAAACAACTGATCCAGACGTATTTCAAGTTGTAGGCAAGCCCATAGTATTTACCGAACTCAATCAAAAGGGAGTGCTCTTGATCAAAGCTAACAGTGCTAAGAAAAGAGACAACGATAAGGATAAAATCAAAATTGAGGCCTATGATTATGAAGATAGTGTACCTTAATCGGCTTCAGGATCTGGAGAGCCTCCAAATATCTAAGAAATTACATTGACAGTTAGAGTGCTGAGTAATAAAACAACTCAATAAGCCAATGATCAAAAGTTGGTGGAATCTCAAAGTTTACTAGATAGATAATTAGATTAGATTGCTGAATCGAAATTCATAAATCAAACTTCAAAGTTTGGGGATGCTTAAAAATTTCTCTCTTCTAATGTCAAATTCGATAACATAGTAGAGAGACAGAAAAGCGAATTTTTGAGCATGTACCAATAAAAAAGTTAAATTAATACTTCAAACATTCTAATCGAGACGTAGCCATAATACAAATAGGAATATGAGTAGTACTTGATATTGACTGATGAATAGGAAAAAGAGCTATTCAAATTAAGTGAATTGAAAAACAAGCTTCAAAGATAAAAATTAAAATAACAACAAATCGTTGAAACTCCAAAACCAAAGTCACTCAATACTTTGCATATTGGATATGCAATCATAACTGTTATTTTGAGCTTCATGATTGGAATGCTTGCTAAAACATGAGTTATATTTGATTCAATTTTGAATATTTTTATTGTGAAGTTATAATTGTTGTTTTATTTTGAAAAATGCTTTCAGATATCAAACAATTTGAATAAGAACACAAAGAAGAAATGAAACTTCTTTAATTGAAGTACGAGTAAAAGGTATTCAATTGATGCTAATTTAATAAGATAGACCTCCTATCGTAAAGAATTGATATCTTATAAAAAGAGATAGAAGTTAAGGACAATATTTATTCAGATCTTAAAAATAGATCTATTCAGAATGAGGAATCCAAGGTACAAAAAACTGAGGAAGATGTTCAGGATTTCGGTGCCACTATCTAAAAATTTCATAAGCAAAAAGAAAAGGAATTAATGAAAATTAAAAAGAATTACCAAAAAGAATTAATTCACAATTAGAAGCTCTTGAGAAAAAAAGATGCTACTATAGAGTAACTACAATAAGAGATTTCATAATACAAATCAGTGGCAGCACAAAATATGGATAACCAAAAAATTTTGTTACTCTCAAAATTAATTGATTTAGCAAATGAAATTCAAAAATAACTCTGATAAATAAATTTATAAGTTTTAATTATCATGGCTTCAAAAAACCCTTTAAACGGGTTAGTGCAAAAGAATTTTAATTAAATTCTTATCATTAAATTGAACAAATTCAATTGCTTAAGTATTTCTTAACATTATTTATATTTAATAAGTAATTATAATTTATAATTGTTATTTTGATTTATAAAGAGAAAAAATGTATCTGAAATAAAAAGATTTTATTTTTTCTATAAATCTAGTTTGAATTCAACTAAAAAAATGAGAAATAAATAATCAAATGAATAGAAGAAAGAATGAACATATTCATAATGCATATGAAAGGATTTTAGAAATTAAAAAGAGGATTTATAAGTCCTAGACTTAATTCCCTTCATTCCTTTGGCATCATATGTAAAAATTCAAATTAATACTTTTTCAGGTTAATGTACAATATTTCCTTAAATTTCAATTTTATTTACATGCCTCCAGGTTTCTAATAATAATTGAAGTTTATCAAACCTAGAAAATTGAGAACTTGGTTTGATGATATTCCAATTTTAGTCGGAGTTGAAGAGTTTGAATAGATAGAGTAATGAATTGTTCACTAGTTTGTAGAACTTGCGCAATTTGTCTATTAGAACTAAATGAAAAAAATGTTATCAAAATACTAAAATGTAATCACTTTTTCCATTAAGAATGTATCAAACAATGGCTATAACTCAAAGCAGAATGTCCAACCTGCAGAGATCAACTTAACAAATGATGAATGATATTTATAATATATTGTCATAACTAAACAAATTATCCATTTATATTCATCATTTTAATATGGCAAATCCTAAAGCAATTTATCCTATAATGATGACATATTTTTAATCGAAATATATTAGAGCTTTTAAAGAGATGATTAATATTATAACTACACTTTATAAAAATTTCTAATTACTCCTAATCATTTATTTAAAACAATTAAAAGCATATAAAATAATACAATTGATAAATTATCAAGATTATTTTCTTAAGAGTGAACTAGTTGGTCTTAATTTAGTAAGAAGTCTGTTTTAAGATTCAATCGTTACTCTTTATTGATTGTATTTTTTGCTTTCAACATTATATTTAATTTGCATTTCCTCCTTATCTTAAATATATTAAATATAATACCTTTTTTAAATTCGGCTAATTCTTATTTAAATTTCTCTGATTTAATTTTATTTTCATTCTATTCTTTTTTCAGCATTTCCTTCAGTTTTATTATAAATGATTTCAATTTCGGAATGTCCATCTCATTTATATTAAATAGTTCAACGTCATTAGGATCAACAATGACTGCTTTTTCTTAAAACGTAGTTTGTGATCTTTCAACTCTGTTAATAGGCGTTAAAAGAAAGGATTTTTCAGCACTTGATGATTTTTTATTTTGAATCTCAATTGATTTCTTTCTTTCAAGAAAATGATGCAGACTAAAATATATGTTTTCAGATATCATTACTGTTTAAACTAGGATTGATTAGGTGGAACCGGCTTATCTTTTCTAGGGATGGCCAAAACCTTATTTCCATTACTGTAGGTTCCATTTTCAATTTTATCAATTAATAATTACTATTTATTCAGGATCTCATACATTTAGAGCATTTCTTCCTTCATTTCCTTTATTACATTCTTCTTCTTCTCTCTATATATTTTGTACTAAGAAATGAACTAATCAATTTCATTATTTTTTTCTTTTAGCATATTGTCATACATTAATTTCAATTATTGAAGATTATTTTCATTATCTGACTTCATTTGAGTCAACTGCTTCGTCAAATCTTATTCCATTTCTGTTTTAATTTATTTCTTAATATCTTGTATTTTATTATTATCTAATTGCTTTTGATTGGCTGTGACAGGCAATTAAAATAGTTTGTTTGTTTTTTCTTCTATTACATGGTTTGAGTTTTCAATCACAGTTTTTATGCAAGATTCTTTCTCCAATTGCATCTGTCTCATCATTTCGCTCATTTATGTTTTTTGAGTAACAAATTATTCATTTATTTTAAAATTTTTATATTTTTATTCGACCAATTGAAATTACCATTTATCTTGCTTTTCCTTTATTTCTTATTTTAATTAAGAGATTTCTTATTTTAATTAATTAATGTAAGTCTGTTATTCATTTAATTATATTTGCAAGTTTTAATTAGCAATCAAAGCCTCTTTCTATTTCTTATATTGTTGAATTTCCTTGAAGCTTATACTTGTCAGGTTATCCAAATCAAAGTCAATACATAATATGTCTTTCAGCGCTTTTAACTTATTTTTCTGTTCTTATTAGAGTTTTGAGATTTAATCCTTTAAATCTTTATTTTCATACTCCAACAATTTAATCTACTTTTCCTAAGTTTAGGTTTTGGTGATTTCAAGTGTTCTTAAAGATTCTTTTCTAGGTAATGTAACGGCATTTCTAGTTCTATCTATGAATTGCAATGTGGAAAGAGTTTGATCGTAATTTGTATTGGTAGGATAAACAGTTCCTATCAAAGTAACTTGTGTGCTTAGATCAAATCGCAATTGTTGAGTGAGTTTTGAATCTTCTAATGATTATATTTTTCCTTTTGAAAAGGCATTTAGACATTTCGCCAACACTTGAAATTATTAGGAAGCCCAAATAGCCTCTTAATATTTGTATGGTTCTGATATTTCTTTGGCTTGTCTTTCGGGTCCTGCTAAATCCACAAATTTAATTTGATCCTTTTCATCAATGATCAAAGTGACAATTAAATGCTCCTTACGCTTTTATTTAGAAAATGCTGCTTAGTATTCCCAGACAGTTTCCATGTCAAAGATGCTAATTTATGTCATATCCTCTGTCACATAATTGCTCTAATAATCTAATCCAACCACCTAATAGTTAATTGTAAGTTTATGTTTTGCAGCTAGTAATTTTTTGATTATCACAGGCATGATTCCAGGGTTATCAAAATCCCCAAACAATGTATATGACTTCCCACTTCCACTTTATCCGTAAACCAAAATTACCTTATTTAATTATTTAAAGCCAATCTCTTTCATAATATCATCTGTTGTTGCATCTTGAAATATATAATCAAAGATAAATTTTTCTGTTTCTTTGGATCCAGGAGTCTAATTGGAATAAAGGATTTCATACTTTTAAGGTGATTTGGCATTCTTCTGCTTTGAAAATAGGGTTGACATAATCATAATTTCGAATTCTCAAGAATATTTAATAGTTCATTTTTTATAATTAATAACACTACTAATCATTGAATTACTTCTTCCTAATCTAAAAGAATATGTGCGTTGAGGTGATATTCTCGATTTACTAATCGATTAGTCATTAGCTTAAGTGTGTTGGGAGGAATTTCTTTGCTTATTCATTTATGATCCTATTGCTAATCGTATTGAATGTTGAAGGAGCATTTATTTATGCCGATCAAGTTTAATTAGATATTAAATCATTCCAATACAGTTTGGATCATTGTTAGGATTAGATTTTCTATTGTGTTCAATGAGTTTTTTTAGTGCCAATTTTCTTTAATTACAACGAGTTGTAAGATCTCTTTCTGGAGAGATTTGAGATTTCTAGATTTTGGTGCTTTTGTGTTTGGTGGCTTCTTCATCAAGGAATTTGAGTCTTAGGAATAAGGAATCATCTACTCTTTGAGTTTTTTCAGGTTGGATAGTTTTTTTCATAATTTCATTCTATATGTTTTTGTTCAAATGATTTTCAAATCTTTCCTAGAGCCATTTTCGCTTCATTTCGCATCTCTTATGAAAAAGCTTGGCAAACCAATCATTAACAATACAAATACGATAGATGTCGACCTTCTTAATGGCTAGAACACTTCCCTTGGCACTAACACATGAACAATTAAATGAATGATAGACGTTATTGAAACAATCGTGATTGAAATCTTCTTCGCCTAACAATTATCCAGGTCCCAATTTCAATAGAATGTACTCTCTAGTAGAAAATTTGTTTGCCTACTTAAGGAGTTCGAATGTGCTTTCATTGATTTGAATTGGATAGCGAACTAACTGTTTGACTTGTTTTTGATCGTGTCTCAGAGTTTTCCTGAATCTATCATATTGAGTATCACTACCACAACATTGAACTTCAAAGTTATTGTTATGACTGCTGTAGGAAACGTAGAATTCTCCTTTTAAGATCAAATACACATAATGAGATTGCATCTCGAAGGAATAGAGATTTTGGTGATTGCATAACTTGACTCTTTCTGAAGAATTGATCAGTTCCTGGAGAACTCGTTTGAAATCAGGATACTTGATCCCATCTTGAAATGCTCGGCACATCAGAAATTCGATTTTCTCATTCTTCCTTCTTTTGGAGGTCTCAATGATTTCCAAATATTGTTAGACCTACAATTGTAGGAACTCACAGTTATCCAAGGTAATGATGGTGCATTGAGCATTTTTAGTAATGGATTCTATAAGAGCATCATCCTCACTGATGATATGGGCACTTTGAAATCGAACCACATGTCCTTCAATGAGATGTGCCATTAGACTCAACATCTGGAAGGATTGGATGTTTAATTGATTTAACTAATCTTATAAGATAACTAGATTTTCTTTTGGATAATTTTCTTTGCCTCTGAAAGAGAGTGTTTTGGTAGTAGGATTTAGATGGAAATTTTAAGGCAATCTCTGAATACCTGGAAATCTCAATTCTAATTCTTTGATCTCCTATGTAAGTTAATCATGAGATTTTGGTATTAATTTGAGACATCTGCCTTTAAGTAGAATGAGGAAGTAATCAATTTTGAGTTTGTATTTGAACACAAATCTATCTTTAGGCAAATAGTGAATTTTGGCTTATTGGAGAAAACTCTGCAGTATGGGTTCGTAATCTTTTTCAGAGGTGATATTTTTTAATCGTTGGAAGTATAGTAAGTTGGATAAATAATCTTTATTGAACATTTATATTAATAATATTCATATCAATCCAATATTGGTTTGGTATCTGGCTGAATGGGTAAGAACCATACCAAGGGGTTTTTGCCAAAGACTTCGAAGATATTGTTCCAAACACCCTTTTAAAGGGGTTCTCTTGGCTTGTTCTCGCAATACTCAAGGGTTGTGATGTTGGATTTGATTGCCCTAACAATCTCAGTATTATTGATGAGGATACCACAGATGGAAGAGGGTGAATGCTGTTAGTAGAATCCACAGGAAACAGCAATATAGAAATGTAAAGGATACTAGGAATAGTTTGGCATCACTCGAATAGGAGTTCATGGTGTCATAATAGCAACGACTGTAGGTGATCAGGATGAAACTAATTAAAGACCCTAATGTTGGAGATCAATTGTGATTACATGCATAGCAAAGTAAATTAATGAACAATTTGTAATTGCCATAACCAATACAATTATTCAACCATTAACAATGGTGATCCATCTTCAACCAGCAGGTCTTGCATTGTCTGCAATGATGACAACGTTTTGGTTTAAAAGTGCTGCAATTTTTACAATGTCTTCTACCTTATTTATCAATTAACTCGTTTTTGACTTTCACATTCAAGTGTAATCGCTACTCATCGTCTATCTCAGATGAAAAGGAAGTTGATGTCTGCGATCCTTTCTTATTGTGATTTATCATGTTTTCTTCGTTCTCAATCATCTGACGAATTTCATTCTCTATTTTATTCAGCCATTCAACTGGCACATGTCCAGGAATTGTCATTACAACTCGGATTAAGGTGATTGTGAATAATATTAGAATGATATGTAATGTTATCGTAATTCCGATGGTTTTGTTGCTGAAAACATAGTCATTGATGTGTACTAATTGAATCAAGTATGTATTGATTTCCACTATTGGTCTGGAAACATACTCTGATTTTATGAGTGGCATCAAATAAGTCTTGAACATGAATATGCACCACATACCTCCATATACACTACATAAAAGTATAGCACTATTAGTACGAGAATTCCCAATGGAATCCACGTACCAATATATCGAAGCAATTGCCCTTCTCTATAATATTTCATTTATAAAATAAAAACGTATTCGATGTATTCAAGCTGTAATTATATAATCCAAACCATTAGATTAAAACAAATACGGATTCGAGGATAACTTTCACGGCTCCTCCCATAATTCAGATGAGAGTCAAGATATCATCGTAGTGGAACCACTTGATGAATATCAGCAAGCGTAATTCTCTTTCTCCCTACTTTTAGGCTTAACAAATCAAATGCTCTCTATCTGACAAGTCAAAATTCACCCAACCCAACATCATCTTACATTAACAGACCCCAAATCAATTCCTCAACTGTCAACTCAAGAATATACTCCTAAATAAACCATTCCAACCAACCAGAACACAAACCTTATGCGTAACAATCATAAAGACCTACCTATGATCCCACCGTTTCAGTCCCTAGAAAATACGATCCCAGTCTTATTTAACGCACATAACAATAATAACCATAACCTAAATCTAGCACTACCCTGTTATAGCAATCCATCATCGAACATCAACCAAGAGTTACACAATCAATAATAAAACCAACCGAAAGGCCTCCTCTAAACAATTATGATACACAACAAAGAGACAAGAACTTTAAAGACTAATATTCAGATTACGATGTTGAGGAGGTACTTTAAAATCAAGACCAATTAAAATCTTCATACAAATAACAATCGGTTGAAGATTTACCGAAAGAAAGAAAATTAACTAACTCTATCACTCCAGTAGAAAAAAAGCCGAGTCTCAATTCATAGTCTGCTATAATGAGGGAATCCAAGGTTCCTGCTTTAACAGAAAAGGACAAATAATAGTTGATTGCCAATGCTAAACAATAACTCTTAAATCTAGATCTATTTGCATCCAAATTATCCACTCAAAATTACTCTGGTTAAGACATTTGCGAGATTGTGAGCATTTAAAAGGGAGCAATTAAACTGCATTAGGATCTAAATAACATCCTAAGTCATGATCGCAATTCCATAGTCTTGGTTGGAGTTATTGGATAGAACAAATCAGGTAAAAGCACTTTGCTTAATGAAATTGCTCATACATCAAATAAATAGAAATTTGGAAACAATGGTATTTGGATGTTATCCAAACCACTTGTCATAGAACAGAAAAGCTATTACTTTGTAGATTGCTAAGGCACTGATAATCAATTGCTTTATGCATTTGTTATGCTAAGTTGCTCGACATTATTATACAACACTCTCAAATTGGATGACAACAGTATCCAGTGTTTCCCTGTGCTTGACACCATTTTCAGATTATTGATCAATGAATATGCAATAATGCAATTGTTACCCAATTTTATATGGGTTTAACGCGATGCACTATAAGCTCGTCCAATAAGTGACTTGCAAGAATTCCTTGTCAAAGCCAATAAGGGTTAATAATTTGAGAATCTAATTAAGTAACGTGATGTGGCCTATATTGCCCCATAAAGCACTTCGGAGTATTAGAACACGATTACACAATTGAAAGACAGGATTATTTTGGGCAGTGTTTGCAAACAAGTCAACAGTTACAATCTGAATGGACCTCTAATGTATTTGTACATGGAATATATTGTTGATCTGCTCAATAAACCAATTTCTTTGTAATTGGATTAATTATGGTTATCAATTTGTGAGGATTACACGAAAGCCATCTACAATTAGAGTCTGAATTCATTCGTCTAATAAGTCGATAGTTGGATGAAAGACAATCAGAAAGTTGATGAAATTGAGATATACAAATAGTTCAGAGATTTCAAAGATGTCTCATTGCAACAGATATTCCCATATTGTTTTTTGAATAGCAAGAATCGATCATATTAGCAATACAAAAAGAAATTGCAGGAAATCCTTGTTGCCAAAGAGAAATAAGCATTATAATTTTGTCTCTACACAAGTTAATGTGAAAATGACTCGTTTTTGAACAAGAACATCAGTAAAATAAATTTCAAGGACATCGATTCGTTCTCTTCATCTTTCAACAATATTCTAGACCAATTATAAAAGCAAAAGTACCAATTTTAGCAATGTTCTACATATGCAGAGTTCTTACAACGCAATTATAAGAAATTCATAGAAGATCTATTTTCTAAATATCAAAAGATATTAGCGAATACAAGTGAGGAACAATAATACAATTTGCAATAATCAAAGATGCAGGTATCCACTAAGGAAGATGAATTGAAAAAGAAGCAAGAGTAGGTATCTTTTATGGAGAAGAAAAGGAATCTGTTGATTAAGGAAATTCAGGATTTGTAAGAGTAGATCAAACTTGAAAGAGAGTCGGTTGCACCTGATGATCGATAATCTTAATAAGGTCCAAGTGAAGCTCAGATGTTCGAGCTGAAGAAGAAGTGCGCTGAAAATAAATAAGAGATCCAAGTTTTGAGAAAACAGGTTTAAGATGCTGAGCGTAGAAAGAATGAAGATGGATGCAGTATTCAATGAATAAATATTATTATTTTATATAACAAAAATAAATGCAACATCCTCGGGAAGTAGTCGATATGTTCAACGAATTTAAGTCTGCGTAGACGAATTTATTGAATGTGAAAGAGTTTTTGGAATTACTCTAAGAATCTGGAATGGACAGAAGCTGTTAATTGTTATATAAGAAATTACATAAGAAAAGAAATGAGAATTTGAATTTGAATTAATTTGCGGAGAGTTTCCATTATGATTCCAGTGATTTTGATAACTTTGAGATGCTATTCCAGATCATGGACACAAGCAATTCAAAAAAGATAAGCAAGTAGGAATTAAAAAAATAATGTGATATTCTGGGTATTAATGTGATGGATATAGATAGGGATGGGATTTAGTGATAAGGACATAGATATCATGATCAATCAAATTGGAAGTGAGGAATAAGATGTTGTATCCAGAGATAAATTATGGAGTGTATTACAATAATATAAAAGTCATGAAATTCATCATTAGTGATAATAATCTTTATTGTTAAAATTAATTATTTAAAATCACATTCAAATAATATCACCTTCTATAAGGAGCTAATTACGATCTACGCATATCATTGACTTCCTTTTCTTTATCAGTCAATTATGCACGCAAACTCTCGATTTCTACTTTATACAACGATAAATAGAGAAGCAATTCTTCATACTTGGATCCGACTCCAAATTGGTCAGCATATTTGAGTCTAATTATAGATTTAATGCCAAATACCTATAGATTTCCAATTCCTTATTGAGATCTTCAACTAAATTTTATAAGCGTTCAATCTCCTGATTCAGATACAAGTTCTTCTCTCTCAATAATAGAAGATCTGAGGAATCCTGCTTTATCAACTTAGTCTTGAGCATTTCAATTTGTTCAGAGTAGGATAGATTTAATAGGTTAAGTCTCTCAATTTCACTAGTAAGCATAGCCAATTTTTCCTCTTAACTATATCTTTTCTTACTCAACTCTTCTTCTAAAATAGTGACCTTCCTTCTATTGGTTTCCATCTCAGTACTTCTCTCATTGATCAAAATAGACAGCCTTTCGATTTCCTATGATAACATAATGATTTTAGTCTCGTAATCCTATTATAATTGTTCTTCCAATTTATTATAATTTTATCTCCATTATTCATTCTCATTCTACAAATGTCTTAATAATTGATTCAATCTATCATTATCTGACTTCAATTGATCTGACTGACTTCTAATCAACTCAATTTAATTAAGTTTTAGTTTGTATTCTGATAATTCCCTAGATTGTTATTCAATAATGATTGAGTATTTCTACCTCTCTGTATTGATTGTTTCATTTTCATTTCTTCTAGTCCTAACATTCTGATCAAGTTCGTTCATCAATTATCTTTAAATATCATTTAATCTCTCAATTTCACTTCCCAATAAAATGATTCTCTCTTCCAATTGCATTTTGACTCGTTGCATCTATTCTATATTGTTTTGATAGGTTGTTTATTAGATGATTAACTATTAATACTCGTTTTGAATTTTGATCAAAGTATTTTCATTTTTGTAATGCTTCTATTAAGTTTACTCATTATGCAATTGCATTTATTGTATCTATTATTCCTTCTATCTGACCTAACCATTCAATCTCTCAATCTCCTGCTAAAAGAGTTAGCACTAGTCTTCCAATTAAATCAATTATGACTAATATTAGGAATTGGCTTGGATCTAGACTTCCAATTGTTTGATTCGCCTGTCTCTCTCCTCAATTTGTAATTGGATTCTTTTCATTTCCTCTGACAATGTTCGTTCTCTGTCCAATTTGGAACTCTCCTGTTTCCTTTGGTTCAAGACTTCCTGCTCGTACTTCTGTCTATAGAAATCTAACTATTAAGCAAACTGATCATATTGTTCTCTCAATATCTAATTTTCTTATTCCAATTCCTAATTCCTCTTTTTTGTTATTTCAAATTGCTAGGCCTTCTTCTAGAATACATCATTGCTATTTTCAATCTCTTGAGTCAATAGCAACAATTTGGTTTCATAATTCTATTGACTAGATCCCACCTCAATGAGAGTCTGTTCTAATTGGTGATTTTATTACTTAAATTATTCAAGTTCTTTCATTCTCATGTCCAATTGATTCCTCAACTTATAAACCTCACTCTCGTTTTGTTGACGTTGTTGATCTGCACTCTGAATGAGTATTTCAGCATCTTGCTATCGTTGATTCTCATAGTACTATCTCAAATTCTCTTGTTCCTTCTACAAATAATCGCAACGCTCTCTCCATTGCAAGGCTTCTTATTGGTTCAATTGCAGAGTGGATTTCAATTCATTAATATTCTTTTCGTAACTTGCAATCACATTGGAGTATTAATTAATTTGAATTTGAAATTCGGATTCTCTATTCGTTTGAGTGTACTGCAATTGTTATTGCAACTCATAGTAACTTCTCTCCCACTATTGCACTTCTTGGATGCGTGCCTCCAAAATCAGAGACATCTGATGATTCTCCTGAACCAACATATCGATGCGTTCCTGGTATTACGTGATCTTGCCATAATCATTTTATATACAATAACTAGGTGGTTCTTGTGTCCTTAGTAGAGTTGTTCCAATTCTCGATATCGCTGGATCCACATTTCCAATTCCTGTTACAATCTGATCACATCTGGATTTTGAGGTTATTGCTATTGTTGCTACTGTTACTCTCTCAAGTAAATGGGAACCATGATGCGATTAATCACCTTATGCGTTATGGGAATAGACTTGATGGAATTGGGGGAAACCGTCACTCGAGACTTGGTTGTTCGAATAGCAGGACTTTTGTCGGTGTGAACTTGCATTATTAAAATTAATTATAAAAATGTCCAATCTCTTAAATGCACTCTCCAAACTCAACAAATTGTATGAGCAAAAGAAGAATGAGATCAATCAGGATCAAATTCGAAAAACAGAAGAACAAATGAAAGGTAATTGTGTCTCCTCTCCATAATCCTAGTTGAGTAGCCATAGTAGAAGCAAACTGAATAGTAACCCCAATAACAGCAATAGTAACAACAATAGCAACAGAAGCGAAAGCGAAGGATGATCATACTAAGGAAATGTGCAGGCGATATTTGGGAAGACCCTACTCTGGCTGATTGGCCTGATGGAGATTATAGATTGTTCTGTGGAAATCTGGGCAACGAAGTCAGTGACGAAGTGTTGGCCAACTCATTCAGAAAGTACCCTTCCTTCGCAAGATCGCGTGTCATTAGGGACAAGCGCACCATGAAAACTAGAGGGTATGGGTTTGTGTCATTCTTAAATGCAAATGATTATTTGAAGGCGTTCAAGGAGATGAATGGCAAGTATGTCGGAAATAGACCTGTGAAATTAAGCAAAAGTTCTTGGCAGTAGCGTTCATTGCACAAAAAGAAATCTGATGGATTGGTGGGTAAATTTATTAAACCCAAAATACGTAAGATTAAACGTGTAAATATTTCATGATTTATTATATATCCTTATTTCTAGATATTCCCATAATACAATTATACTCCTCATCTCTAATCACTCTTTTTGATTTTAATTTACTCTCAAGAAAGCATCTATTTATAAATAAATATGTAACAACTATTTGATTGCCCTATATGCTTATAAACTTTATTACATCCCTTGACTCTTACATGTGGTCATTCCTTCTGTAAACCCTGTTTAAGCAACAAAAACTTTTATCAAAATTTCAATACTTGTCCTGTTTGCAGAGCATAGATTTAAATTTACGTAAATTAGTTCAAGGTGAACGTTCTGTTAGAAACAATCATCTAACAAGAATTCCAGAATCAATGTGATTATTAGTTGAGATTAAAGAACTATCAACATAGATTGGAAAAAAAAAATTAGATGAGACGATCTTACATACTCCTTGTGTAACAATATTTAAAATGGATTTCTCAAAATTTATAGAAGATGTTTCCATTAATTGTGATTGGTATGCATTAAATTATATAATTACAGTAATCGCCATTCTTATGTATTTAAGGTTTAAGAAGCTTCGATAAAGATTCACAATGAGAGTGAGACTACAGCATTTGAGTCAAGAAATCACTAGGCTGTTGTCGCAATTTTCATCTAGAAATGCTGATAATTATAAAGACACAGATATATAAAACTTAGTGTTTACAAAAATAGTAAAGCATTTATTTACAAACTATGTGAGATTTTGAAATTTTTATATAATTTGTATCCGTATCAAAATCATTAAATAAATCCTCAATCCATTAAAGATTTAAGCATCTCTAAAATCGAACTTAGCTGTAATTGAACTTCCTCCTTTAAGACCACTCAAATTAATATATCAGATTCTTGAAGAATAACTAAACTCTCTCATCAAATAAATTATCATATATCTGATATTGTATCCTAATTATTATAATAATTGGAAATAATCCTTAAGTAAAGTAAACAAATAGATTGACTTGACTTGGATAATCAATATTTGAATAAATGCATATGTTTTAAACATCTTTTCCATATTATGGTATATATTAATTAGTATTATGAGTCAAAAATTATATTTATCAAATATCCTCTTCCTTTATGGCTATCTTACATTTGAATGCTAAGGTCTCAAGGCATTCTCAAATTCAATTTTACATATGTCTAATTCAAATTATCTGCTCTTTTCATGGAAGGATGTGGTTCTGGTGGTTGTCTGCTCATCCAACTATTTATTCTTTTCATTGTGGAAGGAGGCTTTTCTGACATGTTCAATTGGTTTATTTGTCTCCCCCTCATTTGACACATCCTCTTCTATAATAAATTGATTTAAAGTAATTTTTAGCAATGGTTTGAGTTGATGGTTGCATTTTTGATATCTATTGTGAAAGTAATGAATTTCTTGGGATTTGCTAATGAATTACTTAGATGTGAGATGCATAAGTGCTCTTTGTTTTTTAATCAATTCGATGGGAAAGTCGTCTCCTTTCATCATTATCTTATAATCGAATGATCCCTGTTCAAATACGAGTTAAACCTATTCGAATGAGTTGTTTTCAACGTAATATCTAAATCCCTTCTGCAGCAATCCGTTCTTGTAATAACCATCCTCCAATACTCTTTTGTCGAAGTCTAACATTCTACCCAAACCATCCAGTTTGTTGTTCTTAAACTCCCCAATGTACATTTGATTTTCATGTATCGTAAACCCAACCAACGATAACAAGAGTTTGCTTTTATAGAGTGAGGGGTATTGCTTAATGAATTCCGAGAATAGTTTTTATTCTTTGCTAGGTTGACAATCCGCATCTTCGAATTGGCCATTTTTCAAAAATGATCTCAATTTCCATTATTTTCCATTAAAGAGCAATGCTTTATTCATTAAAACCGAATTCTGATATTCTCCAATCAGGACTTCATTGTTGGTTATCAGGATTCCTATTCCTTCTATGGAATGGTTCTTAAAGGTGGCCTTCAAAATTGCACCATAAGGAAACACAATCAATCCTTCGCCATTATAAAGATCGTTTTTCCATTATCCGTAATAAAGGGTAGAGTCATCATAAACATAAACCCCCAAGCCAATCTTTTTGTAAAAGTAATCAAGTTATCCATAATACAATCCATTGTTAAATTATACTACTTTCATTATATAATAATAATATATGACATTCTGTATAATAAATAATGTTGATAGATGATCATTCTTGTATGTATAAATAATTGCGAGGAGTGCATCTTAACACTCTTTAGTAATCAATCAAACGAGCTTACCGATTTGTTTAAGTGTTTTCATTATATTTATTTTAATGAATTTTAAAAAGTCAAATGTAGAGAAGGTGATTGAATTAGAATCATTGGAAACAATATGGATTCATCATTTAGGGTTTTTGGAGAGGATCGCCCAAGAGAATAGAATCAGGTTCTTCTACTCTTAAAACTTGATTATTTTGGAAGGTATTTGTTTCTATGTTACTAAGGTGATGCAATTTAGTGTGAGAATGCCGCTTAAAGAATTTATCAACTGGTTGATGAAGATTTCATAATGCAGGTTGAGGAATTTCGGAATGACAATGAGATCCAGGCTTTCCATTAATTATTTTAATAGGACCAATATCGAGAGTTATGCAAAAGTAACCCAGGGTTCTGGATTTATTCAAAATCCTCCCTCAATAAATAGATTTCTTACATGAATAAATTAGGATATCAACCTAGTGGTCCTGATCTACCAAGGCATTTTTTTATAACTTGGTTCCCAAGAACAAATATGCTCTAAATTTAAGAATGGATCTTCTAAAAGACTGGTTATTTATATAACTAGCAGAGTTTGAAAGACAAATTCAAATTCCATTAACAATATAACATTACAGCCTTGGAAGCAATATCCATCTATCTCAATTTGGATGTCTAAGAAATCATGAATAAGTTGTAACTAATTATAGAGCTTGCTCAAACATCAAATCAATTTTTCTTGGTTATCAATGCAAATAATTTGCCTTCTATTGACGATGGATTCAGGATCCTGGAGAATCATCTGGCAAACAAGAGGTTCTGGCCTATAGCTAATTTGGAGATGAAGTTGAGTTCTAATGATCTCCTGTATTTGGAAAAAACCATAGATGATTAAGTTTCAACTTCATCAAGAGTTTAGATATATTCATCTGAGGAGGTGTTTATTGAATCGAAGAGATTGGATAAATAATTTAGTATAAATTTGAATAGAGTGTTGATTCAGAGATACAGTATATATTTATTGGATTGATTTAGGCTCCGATTAAATATTTGTTTGCGCCGATCAGTATCTGGAAGGTGAAATAACAGATATAATTAATTAAACGCTCAGAAAACCAAAGAACAATCTTAGAGCAGATAAGGACATTAGGTTTCATTCATAATTCTATTACAATGAGAGTTCAAATAAGCCAATTCCAAATAAAAATAATCAAAAAAAAGGATTTCCATCGATGAAACAATAAAAGTGCTAGAAGAATCCGTTTCAGTTTTATGATTAAACCTAGTTTGAGTAGTAATAACTCTCATAAAAAAAAAACTCATAATAACAAAGCTCATATTAACAAAGCTCATACTAACAAAGTAGCAATTATAATTATAGGGAGGAAACTGTAAAGAATGAAGATTCAAATAATTAATAGGATTAACAATTAAAATTTTATAGGAAACATCAGAATATACAGGATATTCCTCAAATGCCCAAAAATATAAAGTACAACAAGAAGTAATAGAAGGAAAAACAACAAAAATATATAAATCAAAATGAGGATATCTCTATGAATTTTGATCATTTATCAGTATCTTAGAATCTTCAAAATAGTTTTATATACTAATATACCTTATCTTAAGAATAAGAGAATACTTCTTAACTGTTACAAGTAGAAGATTTAAATAAGACAATAAGATGCTAAGTGATTAAAATAGAACTAATGTAATATTAGATAATTTATACTCAGAGTATTCTATAAAATGGTAAGAAATTTAACTTCTAAGAATTACAGAATTCCTTTGAGGAGTTCCAAAATATATATTATGATTTGCAACATGAAATTACGTTAGAGTTTTCTGCTGACTGTATAAAAATGAATATTAAATGTAAATAATAAGATGAGATCAATCAAATCAAATAAATTTTCCATAACTATTTTTTGTAGTAGATGCATTATGTAACCTAATACTCAACTCAGGCACAGGATTTAATTGATATTTTGAAACAGAACTGCAAAGTAGAATATTTCCTAACGAAAACGGAGTTATCGGAATTTTTGAATGAAAAATAGTTTAGAGAGTTGCAGTAGATTGATGATGGCTAGCAAGTGGCAATAAAGGTCAGCAATTACTCCTATCGCCATCATCAATTCTTGAAGGGGAGGTTTGATGAATACATGAATAAATAGTCTCTAAATGAGAACTCTTCAATCTCAATAGGCGCAAACAATACGAAGGTAATTATCATATCTGAGGATTAATTAAAATATTTAGAAACAGAATTTCCAAGTTTGGAGGCATGTTAATTGAGAAAATTTAAGGATTACTTCAAGATGGCCTTCTATTTTGTGTAGATCGAAGATATAGAAGAACTGCTTGAGAAGGCGAAAGTAGAATTTAGGAGGATGAATTCAGTATATATTAAGGCTAAGGTGCAAAAGAAGAGGCAGGACAATAAGAATCAATGGATGAAGGAGATTAGGAATGATCAGCATTGTGAAGCTTCAAAGCTGTATTGTTACAGTATGATGGAGGCGTTTAATACTGAATTACTTAATGATATAATTGATATTTAAATGAATATAGAAGAATATTAAGCTAATTAGAATTTATCAATGTATTATGAAGCAACCATTGAGTTGGGCGATAGAGAATTAAATCCCAGCGATCCTGATAATATTGAGAACTTGTTATTTGAATCGGATTTTAAATGTAAAATAAAATAGCTTATGACTATAGTTGTACCGAAACTAATTGATTAGCACGTTGGGAGATTTATCACCCTCTGGATTCGTAATGAGAAGGATAAATTGAGCTTAAAGGAATTGATTTAAAAAAACAAAATCCTTCCTAGGTATTTGATTGCTATTTATATTATTGTAGAGGTTATTTCCAGAAAAAGTGATAATATAAATATTATCAGGAAAATATAAAAATAAAATGATAATTTATATATTAAATGAAGGGCTTCGAAATTGAATTAGATCTAGATGCTGAGCATATTATGTGGATGTACCATCTCAGATTCTTCATTGATTTAAAGAGAAAATATGATACATTTGTGAAATTCAGAGGGAGCAAGGCATTTTTAGAAGGGACCGATTAGCATAGGGTTTAGTGTGCAGTCTAGAATGCAATGAGTAAGGCTAAGCGTGAGTTTATGTATGATTTATTGATGCAATCAAATAATCCTGACGAGAATTATGGGCCATACATGGATTTGTTATCCAATCAGAAGTATGAGTCGATTCGAAAGGAGCATAATGGGTTGATCATATTCACTAAGAAGCAATTCATGCTAATTAAGCAAGAGTTGAATGAAAAATTCGGGTATATGGGTCAATTTTCAAGACAATATCCCTTAAATTATGTGATCATTTTCTTGCCTTCTAGCAAAAAAACTTAGTTGATTGAGAGCATAAATTACTTGGTTGACAATATTCGTAACAATATCGATTAAGGGATTACGCCTCAAAATACAGCATACTATAGTTACAGGGCTCGGGATTTGGCAGTGAGAAATGTTTATAAAAAGTTTTATTCAATGAAGATGAACGATGTGCAAGCAATTCAAATATTTTTGATATTTGACATAAGGAGAATGGAGGAGTACTTCAAAGTGTCATTTACATTGAAAGATTACCAGAGTTATGTTATGTTGGTGATTTAAGGATCATCTGATTTAGGATGTTAGGAAGCAATGTCAACATTGGAGAATCATCTGAAGAACAAGATTCTATTTTAGATATCAAAGGAGCAAAGCAATATATTAAATGGGATCGATTGTAAAATAGTGAAGATGGAGGAAATAGAAGAAATCGGCAATCGATTGGATTAATGTTTTGGAACAGAGATCTTGAAGAGGATTACGCATAACCTATAGAAAAATGATTTCGTATTTACAGAGATAGCATTATGGCATTATTGTAGATAAAAGTAGATGAATGAGGAGAATAACCAATTATCTAGATTTACTAATAGTTATTATCATAGTGAAGTTGATAAACAGATCGACAGTCAATTGATACAGCAAGACATCAGTATAATAGAGTAGGTGGATTCCTAAGAGATCTTGCCTTTCAAGAATAATCAAAATAGTGATTCTAAAGTGATCTTGCCAATCAAATAGCAGATTGAGAAACAAGAACTCCTCCAATAGCTAGACCCTCAGTCCTCTGAAGAAGAGGAACAGTAGGATATGAAATAGTTGAAGATTATCAAAAATCACAAGATTGAGACTTTGTAGGATAAGATAGTTGTGGAGTTCTTCAATTATAAGGAGAAATCCAAGTTGTACCTCTTTCTAAACAATTTTGATGAAGGACAATTCTAGTCAGATTTTGATGCATATTGTTCAACTAATTACTGTTTTCCTTATGTCATTCAACCAGATTATAGTGAATAAAATCAATTGAAGTTCATTATCGAACTCTTAAATAGTAACGATAAGAATGATATAGCGTAGATTATTGATTTCTTGGATCATTATATGAATTGTTAGATTATATTGGGAATCAAAAATGTTAAGCGATTGGAATAGGGAGATCAAGAGATGTTGGATGAGTTGTGTGATGACTATAATTGCAACTTGAAGATCTACAATTGTGATTTAAGTGCAAAATAGGTTGGATGGTAAAAGATTGATGCTTAGCCCCAAGAGAATTAGAATGGGAAGGATATCGTCTTTATATTTTCTAATGTGATCCATTGTTTTATCGAATAATTGAAAGAGAAAGTGAATGGTCTCAATTAGTTTAGCAAGAAAACCATAGTCACTTTACTCTTCTAGTCCCAATTTGAACACGCTTGTAAACAAGGGGAAATTAAGAAGCTTAACCAGTTTGCTCAATTTCGCTTTGATGATTGCTATTGGACGGCAATTACAGCAAAGGATCCCAAGGCAATTATTGAAAATATCAAAGAGAACGATTCTAAGATATTTAAGACACTCTTGGGGAAACAGCCTGTGATTTAGAATGATCCTATCATATTGGCCAAGGAAGGAGAGGAAAGGGACTTCTATGATGTGTATATTCCTGAACTGTATTGCAATTACTACGAGAAATTAAGGAGAGATTATTTGGATCATCAATATACAGAGGAGGAATGGAAGTAAGTGCAAGTAGATTCGAGTGAAAAATCATTTTGTGTAGATGTGACTGTGTTAGGGATACCGCCTACTCATTTGGAACCAATAATTGAAATTATAGATAATGTAGAAAGTATTTTCACTTTGTTTATTGTGTTTTTAGGGAAAGGAAAGGTGATTGAGAGCATAAACAATTTGTAGAAAGGAGTCTATCTACTTGGGAAGACTAGAAATGTGAATTCTGAGACATTCGATTTGACCATGAACAATCATATCATCAGGTATGTGTAATAATTTAATTTCTATTAGTTCCATAGTAAACATCAAATGATTAATATATATAACTATTATCATCAATAATGCATTTTAACAATTAAATATGGGCCATATTGTGGAAAAACCTGAAGATGACCAACATGAAAGAATTTGGCAAAGAGCTCTTCATCCCCTCAATAACAGTGTTCGTGTTGTTGATGGTGCAGGAAGGTGATTAAGGAACAGGGAAATCGTTTCTGACTATCATGGTGCCTGTTTACATTCCCTCTTCCTTTGTTGGCTTATGCAGACAGTTGTTAGTAGAATATGTTCATGAGAAGACGAATAAATACAGAGATCTATATAAAGTATGTGTAATTCTTGAAATTAGATTATGGGCATGAAGTTGCAAAATTATAGGATAGCTTGGTTTATTACATATATAATTAAAAGTGTAATCATAGGCTTGATGATACCCTTAACTTTGCTGTATAAAATGAATTTCCAACAATCACTTGAAATAGTGTTTTGCTTTATGTTATTTATTTTGGCATAAGTTGGACAGACCTTGTTGTTGTCTACTTTCTTCAGCAACTCCCAATTGGCTGGGGAATTCGGATCCTTCTTTTAGACAATCCTATCTACATTCTACTTTGCACCTTTATATTAAATGGAATACTTAGTGTACATTTGTCCATAATCAATCATTTCATTTTACCTGATGAATAAGCTTAATGGCAGCAATGTAGAGAGTGTCACTAGTTATTGTATTCTGAGTTTATCAGTACATCTAGTAGCCTATTATTTTTTGTTTAATTTTTTGGAAGAATAATGCATGAAGGCAGGGAGATGCTTTTGGACAAGAAGGAGTAAAACAGATTATGTCTAATTGGAGGATCAAATGGAGGTACTATGTAGAATATATAAAGATGAGAAGATAATATGATGAGGAGGGATTAGCCTTTACATCGGTTGAAATTGTGAAATTGTTTAAGTAATATGGAGATGTGGTGGCAGTTGACAATTTGAATCTCAAGATCTACTCTCAATAAATCCTTTGTATTTTGGGATAGAATGGAGCTGGCAAAACTACTACTCTTAACATACTGACAGGATTGCTTGAGAAAACTAGCGGCAAGATATTATATTTTGGTAAGACCTTTGAAAAGAAAAGAGATGAAATTCAAAAACTAATTGGTTTCTGTCCTTAAGAGAACTTACTGTATGATCAACTGACTGTCTATGAATCATTGCAATATTAATGTATGATGAGAGGCACAGATTCCTCTTCTGAAATTGAGAGGTGGTTGAATCTGATGCAATTATAACAGTACTCCAATTACAAGACACATGAATTGAGTGGTGGGAATAAACGCAAGTTACAAATTGCCTTGGCTTTGGTGGGGGGCTCTTAAATTATATTTCTTGATGAACCCACTGCTAGCATTGATCCTGAGTCCAGAAGACAAATCTGGTAGATATTGAAGGATATCAAACAAATCAATAAGACTCTTATTTTGACTACTCATTTCTTAGATGAAGCTGAGGAATTGGCTGATCGTATTGCCATCATGAAACAAGGTTAAATCAAAATTTATGGATCTCCTGAAAACATCAAAAAGGAATTGGAAGTAGGATTCACTTTGACTTTTGGGAACATTCAATCCTCAGAATAGCAATCACAAATTAAACAATTGTTTTACGAATTGGAATGTTCAAGTGGATCCTAACTTGAATATGACAACATTAAATACATACTCAATTAAAATCAACTGTTTTCAATTGTAGAGAAAGTGTATGAATTGAGCAAAACCTAAAATATTAAAATCTAGCTAGTTTAGAACACCTTAGAAGCAGCCTATCTAAAATTAAACAAAGACCACTTGGAGGATGATAAAATAATCAAGGAGTACTCATTCCCAATAAAATCTACCCATGATATCAAAACCAAGTAATTACTTCAAATTTCTGCCTTGCTCTAAAAGAAGTATTATGTTCTCAAAAGGAACTTCACGTTGTAATTGATGTTGATCTTGCCCATGCTTATCTTGTTACTTGCTTATCTTTTTGGATATCATTTATTGTAAGGCGAAACCTAGATTTAAGTATTTGTCTCTATTTTTATATCACAATCATTCAGCCTTAATTCATCGATATTCATAAATACACCCATCCTTGAAAGAGAACTCAAAATTAGACAACAATTAAAACAAATGAGGATGTCCCAATTTACATACATTTTTGGCACATTCCTTGGAGATTACCTTATTATATTGATTGTAATTACATTCATCTACGCTCTATCACTCCAAGTTGAGATGCTCCTTAGTTCAGAATAGTTGTTGATTATCCTAGGCCTATTCGGATTATCAGTGATTTCATTCTCATACGCAGCATCCTTCATGTTCAGTTCTAATCAAAGTGCTATCAAGATATTCCCTGTTATTAACTTTTTATTTGGCTATCTCCTACCTTCAATGATAGATCTTCAACTTCAAAATCAACTTAGGGAAGTATTTACTTACATGTTCCCTCTCTATGCCTTGAACTTGGCATTGAGGGATATTAGCCAAGATTATTCCGTATATTTTATAGCCTAATTCATCTTTTACATGTTCATCTATTAAACCTTAGAAAAACACTTTGTTTTATTTGAAAATAGATAGGATTTATAGGACAGGAACAATAAGTTGTTGATTCAAAACATTCAATTTGGATATAATCAAAATAAACAAGTATTGAAGTAAATCGATCTGTAATTGTTTCCCTAAAAGATATTGACACTGCTCGGTCCTAATGGAGCTGGCAAAACCACACTCATTCAATTAATCACTGACTGTCTCAAGTCTAATTGGGGTAGCATTATGTACAACGAAAATACAATTATTTCATCTTGTCAACAATCAGAAGGTCTATGGGAAGATCTGACAGCAGAGGAAATCCTGCATTTATATGCCAAGATTAAAGGGAGTATTAGGAATGTGAAAAATGAAGTTTCATAGATCTTAAGGATCCTATCCATCAAGGGTAAAATAGTGAATATGTCTGGGGGTCAGAAGAGGAAGGTTGCTTTGGCGATTAGTCTCATTGGAGATAGTGGTATAATCATTCTTGACGAGCCATCCAATGGTCTTGATCCTATTTCAAGAAGAAATCTCTAAAACATGATCTAAGCCCATGTGCAAAAACGAAATAGTTCTATCATTCTGACTACTCATGATATGGATGAGGCTCAGTATTTAAGTGATAGCATAGGCTTCATCATCAATGGATCATAGCCCTTTCCTTAATAGAGCACTGCCTAATTAATTGAATAATATGGTAGTGGGATCTTACTAACCATTCGAGCTAAAAATAAAGATGCTCTAGATTAAATAATCTTGGCTTTCCCAAAACATCAAAAAGAAGGATTATTGATAGTCATAAAATTGGGGAATGATTATGATGTCCCTACCACAATTAGGATTCTGAAAAATTTATGTTAAGAAGATTTGATTGCATCATTTTCTATTAAATAGGCGAATCTGGAATAGGTTTTCTTGAGACAATGCCGAAAATAATATAATGAAGATTGAGTATAAAGTTATTTTATTTTTTAATTTATGTTGATCTGCTATTTTTGGTTACAGACTCATCAAAAAAATAAGCTAAAACACATCTAAGCAAATGAAGGAAGAACAACTAAAAATTGAATAAACAGTTAACGTAAGCTATCCCATAATCTTAAGTCCCTTGCTTAATATTATCAGTTTGTATAATCCTAAATCAATCACTTTACTTAAGAAATTAATTTAGCAATAAGAATTAGAATAAAAGAATAGACATCTCAGATTGCAATAAAAGGATGTCATTTATTTATCTATGCTGTAACTCAATTTGAATCAAATTCATAAATGAAAGATGATTATTAAATAATAAATGAAAGGAGAATGTTTAAATTTTAGGTCTCATAACTAATAAATATAAACTCTTAATTTATTTCTAAATGCAATACAAAAGTCATAGATCTCTTAAACTTCCAATTTGTTGTTAAATATGATGATAAGAAATACAAAATGTAATATAATTTAGATGAATTTACCTTAATAACTTTCATCGTTTTGAATTCCATATTCTCTCCCTCCAATTCTCTAATTGAACTTAAAGCACTGCTTCAATTTGGGTAATCTAAATATTTGAAGTGGTTATTCCAAAATCCTCAATTATATCAACCTGGAAGTTTGAAATTTATATCTTACAGACAAATATCTTAAAAGCAATACAAAATTAAATAAATATTTGATAAAGGACATCAGCATGTTACAAAAATCAGCAGACATCAATGGTTTTGATGGATTGGAATCACAGAAAATATTAAAGAAGATTCGACTTGGTCTTTTTTAAATTCTGGGACGTGTTTATTGCTTAAATAACATATGGAGGATAAATATGTCTCTGTCACTTCTCAATTTTTCTATGATGATTAGGTAAATGATTCAAAATCATTAAGTAAAATCATATCCTCTTAAAATTTTATAAAACAATATTGAATACTTCTAATAATTTAATATTTTGGATTATTCAAAGAGATATCAAATTCAACAACATAAATTGATTCTTCAATGAATACTTGATTTACAGTTGCTCCTATTTTGATTGTTATTTTTTAGATTATTATTATAAGGACTAAAATGAAAAACAAATTTCCATTTTTACTCTCTATCGAGCTTAGACCAAATTAATAAAAGACAATCTTTATAAATTTAACCTTCAAACCTCAGATTCTACTGAAATTGAGAGCATTGACACATTTTAAGGATAGGAAAATGATTTTATGATTATATCATGAAAGGTCAATGAAATACAAAATAGCAAATGTCGCAATATCGAAAGCACATGATAGTTAATACATATTTTGAAATCCTAAGACTTAGGTAAAATATCTAAAATTGGAGATTCCATAATAACAATATTTATTCTAAATTAAATAAACTTGAATATTTGGAGACAAGGAAGCTAAGAACCCAAATAATTATTTCAAAATAATTTGAGATGTAACTTTTGCATAAACATTTTGTTAGTTGTATCTTAAATAGATTTAGCTATTTAAGATGGTTTAACAGAGTTTATCCAAATGGAATACTAGTATATTTAATAAATAACTAATGAAGAAATTTAATGAATTTTAAATAATATTATATTATAATATCCTTTTGGATAACCTCCTTTACAAAGTATAATGGTGAGCGTGTACCCGTACTTAACCTTGTAATTTTTTTCAAGAGCATTTAAATTGACTAGGTCGAATCATCTACCGGCAATTTATGAAAATCTAACTTATATATAAAATTATTAATTTATATGAGAACTTTGTTCTTTTTAAATATTTATAAAATTTTAAGTGAGAATATACTATATATAGTAATCAGATATTCAATTTTTTATCTAATTTTTGTATAAATGCAGCTAAGGAATCAAGCGGCTTGTTTTAGTGACCATGTATTTTTAGTTTTTATTGCTCTTTAAGGAATAAATTGGTGTACTGGGGATTTCTTTTGATTAAACTCTCCTTCTTTTTTTCATCGTCCACTAGGTAGTTTTAGAGATTTTGAATCAGCCTAGATTTGATATATATTTGCTGCTCTATGCTTTGATTTTCTTAAGGCTTTTGCATTTGATTAATTTATTTATATATACAAAAATTCAAGATAAAGTATGAATTTATATACACCATAAGGCTTTGTAAACTAACAATAAACTGGTTATCATATTTCTTAAATTTTTGTTTATTGAAGTAATTTCAGGTTTTCCACTCCCAGTCTATGAAATAAATTAATCATAAAATAAAAATTATTGAGAATAGAAGAAAGCTTGAGAATTACAGGGACTTTATAAGTATATTAAATTATTTCTAATTTTAATTCAATGATCCTGAATTTTCGGAATCCACCATGGATAGTTTGACATTTTTGAAGCATTTTTAATTAAAATTATGATCTATTTATTGCTTTATAAGCCAATTGTATTATAAATACATGGAATAAATTTTTAAAATATTGTAATTAAAACTGTTCAATATAATAAAATGATCTTTTCTTTTGAATATATGAATGATATCAACATGTATACATACTAAAAGTGTATTGAATGGGGATAAAATGATATGTCTATCCTCATTATCAATTATACACTTTTACTGCCTTATGTATTTTCAGAATAAAAGAATTTATATATTATTATTATAACTGGAACATTTTAAGAATTTCCTAGATAAAAAATATATTCCAGTTCTAATAATAATTTATCATTAAAAGGCGAACAGCAGTTCTGTTTAATTTTAGTTATTTAAATAATATGATAATAAGAAAACTTACTTATATATCAACCAATTTAAACAATTTGAAGTAAATAATTAAATTTCGTTGATCTAAATATTTATATTCGATTTCGAATTTCTTCTAAAATATTCAACTGAAAAATGTTAGCAAGACACTGAAGCATTGATTGTTTAAAAAAAATTAAAGTTAGTATTTATATGGTTTTTGTAAATTAATAACGTTCATGTAGTAGATTTTAAACAGTTGTTCAATAAAACAATTTGTTTGTATAAAATGATATTTAATCTTCATTGAAATACATATTTACTAACATTACAGTTAATAAGAAATTTTAAATTACAATTGAGATGCAAATTGTAATCAAAGTCGATAAAGTTATTTCGATTAAATATTCTTACTGATAAGTGAGTTGTTCAATAATTAGAGTGATATATTTATAACATCAAAATGCTAATTAAATTTTAATAATAATTTTCATCCGTTAATAATTTAATGTATTCATCCATTAGAGAATCCCCACAAAGACATGACACAAGGTCTTTTGTCTAAGAAATTGAGTTCTTAAAGGCCAAGTGTGTAGAATTAGAAACAGAGAACAGACTGTTGTTTGAAGAATAATAGTAATTGTAGAGAAGAGCCCATGACATCGTAACGAATGATGCCAACGTGGAATCCTATATTAAAGAAAACAATATGTTGTAGACTGAAAATGAGAAACTCATCAAGTTATCAAGGTAGAGAAAAACCGATGCTGACTTATGGAAATCCAAATACGAAAATCAATTGCAATAGATATTGTAGATGAAGTCCAATTATGAGTTCGAAATCAAGCAACTCAATGCTGAATTACAAAAATTAGGGGCTGTCCTATCTCAGGCAGAAGCAGAAAGACAACGACAATTAGTTGGAATATCTGGATAGATCGAGAGTTAATCCAATCAAGATTTCGAGAATCTCAAGAAGGCTGCTAATTTGCAAACAGAAATAAGTGAGAGTCAGATTAGAAAACTAAGAGATCACATTGAAGAATAAAACAATGAAATCAGTGATCTTCAATAAAAGATATTGAGATAAAAAACTGAAGACGATATTTAAATTGAAAGATTGTTGAAAGAAAATGAACTACTTAGAGTAAAGATTCACTAACAAGAATCAGAAAAGCAGAGAGAGTTAGAACATTTGAATGATAATCTAAACAACTTCTCATAACAATAGATTTAATTATTGAAACATGAATTCGCTAGATAATCAGACGTTTAGCAATGCGAAATTGATAAACTTAAGGGATTGCTTGAGATTAAGAATGCTGAAATTGAAACATTACTTGGATAAAATGCTAAAAATAAGTAAATGTTTGAAGATTAAATTAATGATTTGAGAACTGAGATCTAAATCTTAAAGTAGAAACTATTGGATTAAGAAAGATAAGCCAGGTTGATTCTTGAGACTTCTCTCAAAGATCAATAGAACCAGCATTAAAGAGATTAGGATACATTGAAAACTTACTATTAAACATAAATCAATAATTTGGAAAAAGAGATTAATGATTTGAAGGGAATCATTGAACACAAAAATCAATAGATATAAATCTAAATTGATGAGAAGAATATTCAAAGACAACAACTTGAATAACTAATTATTGATCTAAGAAGAGAGATTGAAAATCAAAAATTGATTACTTTTGAATAGGAAAAGTAAAAGAACAATGAAATCAATGAATTAGATGATCAATTCTAAAAATCAACAGCTCTTCTGAATGAGAATATTGATTAATAGAAATTGTAAATACTATTTTTGGAAGGTGAAATTGAAAGACTTAAAGAAATGTTATCACAAAAAACAAAAGATTAAGAATCTTTAATTGCTTAATTTAATTTGCATAAGAGATAATTAGAGGATGACATCAGAAGATTGAAAGATGAGATTCATTCTTTGAAATAAGAAATACTGTCAATAACAAGTTCTAAGAATTAGGAAATCCAAGACCTTTAATCAAAGAATGATAGAGTGACTATTCAATATAGAGAAAAGCTCAGATAAAGTGATATCTCCTCAGAACAATAGCTACTAGAAATTAAAAGATTAAGAGAGGCTCTCTCAGTCAAAGAATAGGATAATGAAAATCTAGCAAATCAAAGAAATCTTTTAGACAAAGATTTAAGGAGAGCAAGAGATGATATCGAACAATTTAAATAGAGATAGTTGGCTTTAGAAAAAGAGAAGGTAATCATAGTATAATATTGTAGTTTACACAATTGGAAGATCTGAAAAATAAATTGGAAGCCTCCAATTCCTATTAGATTAGTAATTTGAAAGCAGCTTACAATACATAAATCAGTGTATTGACTGAAGAGAATGCTCATCTGAAGTAGCAAATCGACTAAAGAAGAATGTATGATTCCACTGTTAGACTGTGACTTTATTATATTTATTATGAGATTTCTGAAATTTTCATTTATTTTATCAAAAATCTTCTCAACACAAGCGACCAAATTATAAAGATGAAAGTGGATTATAGTATACATCTTTAATTGATTAGAGAGGTAAAACAACCAATCCAAAGGCAATTACAATTAGTAACACTTGAATAATAATTGATTCTCTTTTATATTTCTTAACTAATTTCTTTAAGATCCCTGCAATCAAATAACTTCCGCAACCAGATACACTCTAATAACTATAATGAATTTATTACTGCCAAGATCAAAAATTGAGATAAATGATACCCCCCAGACAATGCAATAATGAACACAGATATAAATGAAGTAAACATCACAGTAAAAGTAGCAGATGCAGCAGCCCTTGGAGGATGGATTCCAGTTTCAAGCCAAATGGGTGTTAATACCACTCCTCCTCCTAAACCAACCAGCCCTCCTAAAAAGCCTGCTTTCATACTTGATTTCACAGTTATTCCAAACACTTCACTTATCTTCCCTCCAGAGAAATCGTATCCTAAAGACTATTTAAACTCCTCATCTTTTTTAATCCACTTCCTATATCTCTACACATTATAGTATCCTATTCCAAAAATGATGAAATTGATAAAATGAAATTCCATTCCGCAGTAACTTATACCTAGTATTGAAGGAATGGTTGCAGCTCCCTTCAATAAAGTTAATGCAACTACGATAATCACTGAGAAGGCTATCTCTTTTAGATTTTCTGTAGGATAAAGCTTTGATTCATTCTCCAATATCTATTATAAATCTTATGGCACTGCACTGTAGTCGGTTAACATTAATTCCTTCATTTCTACTTATTATAGGAGTTCGCTCTATTCTTTTTCCCTAATCTTTTTATAAACTTTCTTGGTCTTTAGAAACACATTTAATAAAATGGCAAATAAAAATATCACCACAACCACTTTTGGTAACCATTTCCCAGTTGCAACCCCTAAAATGGCTCCTGCTAAAAGTAATGGAAGTGTTATCTATACTAATTGGTAATTGATTAATGGACTACTCCCATTCGAAATCTAATTACCAAATTAAATCTATACTTACTCTCTCTCTCCCCAACCTTGCATAATTACCTATGCTTCCTCCGAATAACATAATGTAGGTGTTCCAGATGGCCTACTTGCTCGAACAGCCTAGCAAAACCATCATTACAGGTGATACAATGGGACCTCCCCCTATTCCTCCTGCTTGAGCCAATCCAACTAATGTTCCCAAAATGGCATATGTGATCCAAGTAAAAGGCTCGGATAAGGATGGTAATTCGTAATCCATAATTAATAAAAATACTTTTAATGTAATATTTGCTTGAATCTAATTTTATCAATAAGGGGCATAAAATAAGTATATAACTAATTACAACTTTAAGTTAGTAATTTTCGAAAAATTAAACGAATTAGAATCATATTGATAAATTACTTAATCAAATTGGTTTCAATTCAATTGTATCCATAAAGGATTTAACTTATTTTAGAGCTGCTTGGTAGTTGTTTTGATCCTCTTCCATTTGCGAAACCTATCCTCTCAATCGGTAGACTTCTTGGATAAGTACCTTCTTGTGACTTAACAATTTGTCTTTTTCATCTTGGATCACCATCCTATCCTGTTCCATTTGGCTAATCTAAGTTAGAAATAAGAATTACTATTTTATTGTATTTAGAATTTAGTTCGGATAAGTTTTCCTTAACATCTTGTCTTTGCAATTCAGAGATGGAGAGTTGGTTTTGCAGAATATTGATTTTGGATTGCAATTTCAGATTTACTGATTTCTCGTATTTCAATGTGTCTGAGGAATCAGTGATCAAATCCTCTAGGTTTTGCATTTGTGCTTATGATGATTGCAATTTAGTGGTTAAGAATTCCTTCACGGATTTCAAGGCTTACAATTGAGCCAATGCATCTTCTTCTGAATCAAATACACTGTTATTCCCTGAAATACTTCCGCTAGAGACAATCTCTTATTTTTCTTTCTTGAGTTGTTATTATTGCTATTTGTTTCCTCCAACAATATGTTGTGCATTTCGACTCAAGGTCAATAATTTAAATCCCAAAGGACAAAACATTATCTTTCTCATTGTTGAACAAGTAGCTGTAAATCTATATAGATCCTAATCATCCAAAAATCCACAAATTCTTTGAATTAGAATCACCTATAATACTCAATCGATTATACTTTTGGTAACTTTAGTATTTACGAACTTTGATTGCGCTTAATCAAATCTTCTCTGTGCTTTTGACTAATTTCTAATTCATCTAATTAGGCAATTATTTTATCAAGTTTATCCATTAAATAAATAATATTATAAAACAGATTATTAGTATCACTACCCTTCTGAAATTGATTTGCTACTCGTTTAAGTTGGAATTCAGAATTAGATTTGATTTATATATGCTTTTAAGTTGAGTAATTGTAATGTGAGCTCAATTAAGTTAATCTTAGGAAATAAATTGTCAAAGGAGAACATCTATTGATCTTTTTGTTAATATCATCAAATGCAAAGCATTTTCTTATTTGATAAATGTGATACTTGGATCATGAATATTTTTGAGCAAAAAAATACATTGCTATAAGAATTTACCTCCTATTGGATTTGGTCATACTCTAATTTATTGATATCTCATCTTAAACACTTCTAAACTTAATTAATGGATTGTAATTTATCAAAAGGATATTCTCATTAATGAATTTTTAGATTTTATAATAAAACTAATTTATGAGTATTGGTTAATAATAAGGAGTTGCAACAGTTATTAGTAAATATAAATAAAAGCAAACATCTTAGACTTTATTAATGGAAAGAAAGATTCATCGACTGAGTTGCTTTTGATATATATACATTTTTTTTATTGAATTTTTGACATTAATTTTACATTAATTAGTCCTCAATACTATTTTGAGAAATAATCTTAAATAGTAACATATAATTATTTGATTTATCAAATCATAATTTTCAAAAACCTTACATATAATTCAACAATAAAACACTCAATATATCATCAAATATAATAATAAAAGTGTTAATCTTCCTAAAAAACTAATAAAGTTATCCTAATTGAAAATAAATCCTTAAGTGTAAATAATTAATAATGTCATTTAATAATTATTATTAATATTTCTATTACTAAATTAATTAAATCAATAATCAAATTCTTAATAAATATAGGTAACATATTGTTTTCATTACTCTAGATACTTTAAATACTAATAACAAGTAAGATCACATAGATTAAAATTAGACAAAAGTTCATAGGATGAAAATGAATATAAGGATAAAATTATATTTTTAGTATAACTTATCTAACATCAACATTTATTATTACCCTACTACCTCAAAAGTGGTTGATCAATTATATTATCTATAAACAAGATAATTTTATATTTAGTATATTGAAGAAAACAAAAAGAATTAAGGGATCTTATTACCGAATAAAGATTATTAATATCTATATTGTCTCAATCTAACCATTTGAGTCGCTTGCCATAGTTCCATTAACCTTTTTTTTTGATTTACCCATTAAAATATTCTCCAATTCCATGTTGTTTTCCCAATTCCCATTATCCTGAATATTTCCTACCATCAGCTACCTTACATTAAATACACAAATTACGCCATTCTATGACTCCTTATCCATGCTTTTTGTCATTACAATATTATCCTTCATACTTTCTTCCATCTGGCCATTTCATGATGCCATTCCCATTCATACTTCCATTTAACCATTAACCCTCATATTATCTGCCATCAGTCCACACATATTTTCTTATTCATAATACTGAATTCAATACCCAAAACCACAGAAGTAATTGGATTCAAACTGTCCTTCATAACTTTATCCATCAACCCAAACATAATGGCCAAATCCGTTCTTCTTGCCATTTTTAAACTACCCCTTATAGGTGGATCCGTCGATGAATTATTCTTATCCTTACCCATTCTAGCAATCATTTTCCCATTCTCCTTCATAGATGGTTCCATCGCAATGTACATATTTTCCATTGCCATGCTCTAAAAAATAACAGTAATATAACTTAAATCATCAGTCCAATCCCCTTCGTACCAGTCTCCGTCAGTGTAGATCATTCTTCCTTTGCCATTCGCCTTATCCTTTCTCCATTGCCCTTAAAAGACGGAGCCATCTTGATAGATTAAGCTTCCTAAAGTGATAGGTATTGTGTTGAAGTACCATATCCAAATTTTTGGCCTTGATGCCAACAACCTCTATAGAGCGAACCATCTTTTTACTCATAGACTCCATAGAAATAGCCTTCCTGGTCATTTAATTCGAATGGGCCCAATTCATCCATAATTTTCTTAGATTTTACTTTTAGACAAGATTACCTGAACTATGAGATTATAAGTGGTGAACTACGTCTGTGTTTGCCACACTAATTACGGATTAGGTCTATGAGTGTCATCAGATGTTTCATTATTGGACTTAATGGTCTCTTATTATAATATTTGTTGAGCCTGGCAAAACTGTAATTGTTGATCCTCGAAACTATTATAGTTCTCCTATTTGAATTCGAGAGGCTGCATTTCTTCGGTCTTTTGGATTTCAGCAGATTGACATTGGCAATTCCCCATAAGATAATAAAAATAATGTATAATTCTGAGAATTTCAAAATATCACATGAATTAAAATATACAACCTCATCTGTGTTGTCTGAACATAAGCATTTTTTTGAATTATTCCATTTTCTTCAATTATAAATAATTATTTGTAATATAAACAGGTTTCTAGTCCACCTTCCTCGGATCAGGACTTTGAGACAGGAAGTGTCTATTTTTTCTCATAGTTATCTTGGGCAGAGGCGATCTGGTGACTTCGTAGGTGCAACTTTGGTTTAAAATTTTGGATGCCAATTTCTGATCTTGAGAACTTTGAGTATGTTCTTTGGTGGCAGCGGGTAAATGTTCTGGGAAGTCAGTGGTGTTCTTGCAAATAGACAAAAAGCATTACTAATTTTTTGATCTCCAAAATCTACTCATTTGTGAACTCAGCCATTTGAGTGATTTTTGTTGATGGAGGGATGAATATCGCAGCTTCCCTGTTCTCAGTTCCCATACACCTCACATCTTTGAGGAAGACTGTTTTTCGAATTTTGTCTATTGCATAAACAGATCCTTCATATCTTATGTTTTATTTGGTCAATATAGAAACTCTATTTTATTTCATTAAATTAAATATTTGATAATTTTTATTCTATCTTAAATCAAACCTTCGTCATTAAAATAAATAATATAATTAATTCACATGAACTTTGGGTTTCGTTTCAAGTAAACCAAGCCAACTAAATTCCCCCAATCGAATGTATGAAAGAATTTGTAAAATTAGAATCAAACTCTGCTCAGTATCGATGATTGTCGCAAAAGATTGCTAAATTTTCAACAATAAGATTGTTTAAAGGGAAATCTTGAGGCCTGCACCCAGTTGGAGAAGCAATTGCTCGAATATATGACGCTTTTGGATGAAATTCTGAAACAGCCTCTCCAAGATGAAATTACCTTCTGTTGGAATGATTCGTACGAACCTGTAAGTCAGATAGACATATTTTTAGAACAAATTCACTTAATCAAATTAATGGCATTATGAATATGCATGTCAATTATACAACTTAGGCATCCTGTATTACCATCAGGCCCAGAATGAACAACAAATCAAAATTTCATTAACCAAAACTAGAAACATGCTTTGGAGTTATCAAAGACTGTAAGAAGTCTTGCCCTTTATTAATTCTAAAATTGTCTAGCAACACTCAGATCTCTCAGTCGTTCACATCTACATGTTGAATAGTTATGTAATGATTACGTGTTCCACCTTTAGGCCCAAGCTTTTGGATATAAAAAGCTCTATGAACATTTCAAAACTCAAAAGGGAAATCAGGAATAACTGGAAAGTCTCAGCCTTCTGCAGGAGGCCAACAAATAGTATGACTCAGCAATACGATATTTGATACAATCCAAGTAATGCAACAAAAAATAGATTCCACCAATGATTTACAATTAACTATTGGAGAAACTAAATAACGATAGCACAATATCAGAGGTCATTCTCTACATAGGCTTGGGAAAACTGATGTCAGAGACAGCCAAAGAATTCCCCAAAGAGTAGAGAATGGGAAAGGCAATAGCCTATATTAATAAGGCTGAATCAGCCATAGCAACCATCTTCAAAAAATATAAATAAAAAAATGAGTTCCTAGTTACACAATAGTAATTCAATTTATTTAAAGTGCTAGGCAATAAATTGCAAACTTAAAGAAAGAGTATAACTACTTGAATGACAAGGTGAACAAGAACCCTATTGCCAAAGAGTATGAATTGTTGCCACTCCCTGTGAAACAAGATCTAATAAAGTCCAAGGCACCTGATGTTTACGAATAAAATAATGAATAAAAGCTGAAGCAAGAGGATGAGAAGAGACTTGGAGTGATAAAGCTAATTGAGGAGATCAATTCAAAAAAGTTTCAGGCAAATCAGAAATTGGTTGAGTTCTAAAATACTTATACAACCATATTCAACAAATACAATCTGCAATTTATGTTAGATGCATTTTAAAATGCTGAATCTTTGAAGCTAACACCTTCCATTTAGGAGAAGGTGAACTTCATCAAGGAAAGAGGAGGGTGGAAAGGCTATTAACAATAGATTAACAAAATTCATCAAATGCAATAAGAGTAAGGAAGATAGTTGATTAAAATAAAGAACATGATTGAATTTTAATCTTAAAATGAAGAGGGAAAGAAACCATTGAGTCAACAATAAATTGAGGTCTTTAAGAGAGTGCTAGACGGTATTTTTATGGTTATAATGTTCATCTAGATGTGCAGAAGAGACTCCTAGAAGCTAGTTACATTAACAAAAACAATGAGGATTAGGTGCAAAATGTGAGGGATCAATTATTATTTGTTGAATAAAATAACAATTAGATGATTAGTAGCAAAATACAAACTTCCTTGTAAGAGTCGTAAAAGTTTTACAGGTAGAATATTCAAAATTTGAGAACTTTATCCTTGTCTATTGAGATTATCAGCAATAAGTTGGACCTGATAAAACAATAATTAGCGAGTTTAGAGAAGTACATAGATGATTTGAGATTGGATAAAAGTATGAATACAGGATTAGATCAATTTTTGTAACAACAGGTCATGAAAATTATCAACTAGAAGATTAATGATTATTATGCCATAGTAAGAAAAGCAAGTAATTATGATAGTTCACATCGATAAATCTTACTTAATTGGAAGAGGCTTCAAATCAATTGACATAGAACGAGAAGTTTATGAAGACAGCAAATTTAGATGAAGAGGAATTTGAGAATTCGCTACAGACAATTACTGAGGCCTTCCAAAATTTGGATTATGGTCAATAGTTTTATGAGTATCCAATAATTCTATTATTATTTAGATCGATATCCTTGCAGATAACATAAATAGCTTCTGCTTTGTAAGAAATAATCAATAGTGTTAATAAGTGATGGGATAATTTGTATAATTATTTAAATTCGATAAAATATTTAATTTATGGATTCCAATTTGCAAAATCTCATAAAGAGTTATGCTCCTTTATCTGATTTCTGTCCAGACCCAAATTATTAATTTGAAGAGTTTAAGGACAGATTATTCTAGCCCTTTAGCAGATAGGAAAAAGTAAGTAGATGTTGCGATTTCTCAAAATAAACTCAAGTGCAAAAAGATTTGGAAGATGAGTATGAGACTGTTGGATAGAAAATAGTCAAGAAGCCTGTACAAAAGAAGATCGCCTTTGTCCCTTAATAACAGTAGCAAGTCGTGTATCAATCGTACTATTAAACGGGAAAGAAGAGCAAAATGTCATAGGCTGCAAAGAGAGTGATTGTGTATAAGAAATGCAGATTCAAGGACTCAATCTCAATTAAAACTGATTGGATTAGTATTCACGAGACATAAAAGTAGAACATTGAGAAGGTTCAATACTCTTTGATTGATATAAAAGAAATCCAAAGTATAGGAACAATAAAAAAATACAACAAAGAATTTGATAAAGTGAGACCAAATTATGAGAAAAAGATATCTATTATAGGAGGAGAAGTCATCTCAGGATCTGTGTAAGATGATAAATATTTTAAATAACTCATAGCAGAAAGGTAAGGAACAGAAGAACTTCCAACCATCTACACAACTGATAAATTGTTATTTGCTATCTAAACAATCAAGTATTCAATATATCCTTGGGATATCTTGGTAACTAAGAAGGGCAATTCTTATGTCTTTGACAAATGCCCTTAAAACAGAAGTGAATTGACATACTTGGAATTGCAGACAATAAATGAGAATATCACAGTTGATATGCCTGAAGATGAAAGGACAGTGCGAAATTATTGTGAGGAAAGTACAATAGCCTAATTGAGTTGGTAATTGTTGAGTACTTACAATCAACCAGTGCTCTTTTAAAATTCATTACAAAATGATGAGGAGGCAGAACAAAACGATTTGGCTGAAAAATATCTTTTTTCTGAAGATCTTTGTTTCAAATATTTAGAAGTCACAGTAAAGGATAGGATTGAGAAAGCCGCCAAGGGAGAGGAAGTGAGAGCAGGATAGGAGAGATTTAAAGTGGTTGTGAGAACTACAGTTGAAGCTGAAAATAACGATGGACAACCTGTCTTAGTGAAATCATTGAATGAGTGCGAAACACCTCCTGATTGGAAGAAATCATTATTATCTTAGGCTGGTATTACAACTAAGTAAGTGTTTATTTATATTAATTAGTACTGCATAAGTGTATAACACTAATAATATCGCTAAATGGTTGTGTTAGGCATAGTTATTGGAGAGCGAAGAGATCAAGGTTGGTTATTTGGCTAGACAAAACTAAAAGGATTAGGATAAGCATTCTCTGTTGTTAGTGGAAACCTTTACATAAAGAGATTTGGCTGCTATTATTAATTTTAAATCTGTTGAAATTTGGTAAAGTGTGAGATATATGGTTGATTATCTGAAAACTCAGGAGGATGGAGTGTATGTCCTGTTGAAACAGGCTTATAAATAATCAGTTCGAATATTCAATGTTAAAGACGATGGGGAATAGTAGGATGACGATGAAGATTCCTTATGATATTATATATTATTATTTTAGTAATATTAATCACCATAATTTGTTGCTGTGAATACAGGAATTGCTGGAATTGGGATTGGCTAAATTCAGAACATTTTTCGATATTAGGGATCTCATGAATACATACATTTTGAATTAAATTAAAAAAGATTTTAATTTTTTCTTTAAACAATCATGGTAAGATAATGAGTTCTATTTGTCTAGGCTAGAGGACCTAAGAAACATATGAAAAGAATCACAGCACCAAAAAGTTGGATGCTTTCAAAGTTGGGAGGAAATTGGACCACAAGACCCTCATAAGGACCTCATAAGTTGAGAGAATCAATTCCATTGTCTGTTATATTGCAACAAAAATTGAAATATGCTCTCTATGCTAGAGAAGTCTAAATGATTCTTGCTGATAAGGATGGCAATGTTAAAGTTGATGGAAAAGTGAGATCTGACTTCGGATACCCAGTTGGATTGTTGGGTATTAATTAGTTTATAATCTGTAATCAGACGTTATTACCATCGACAAGACAAGAGAGAGTTATAGAGTGTTGTATGATGTCTAAGGAAAATTCATTTTAAAATCCATCAAACCAGATGAAGCTAAGTTCAAGCTAGTCAAGGTTACTTAAAAGAAGGTTGGACCAAACAATGTTCCCTACATTGTTACCAACGATGCCAGAACAATCAGATATCCAAATCCAGAAATTCATATTAATGACACTCTCAAAATCGATTTGGAAACCGGCAAGGTCGTTGATTTCATCAAGGAAGAACCAGGTAATCAAATGCATTTACAATATTAGGAAATATTTGCTACATTGTCGGAGGAAACAACATTGGAAGAGTTGGACTCATTCAACATAGAGAGAGACATCTTGGATCTTTCGATATTGTTCATGTCAAGGTATAGATTCCAATCTAAATCTTTATTAGGATTCAAATGGAAAACACTTTTCCACCAGAATTAACAACATCTTCACTATTGGTAAAGGAAAGAAACCCTTAATTTCACTCCCAGATGATAATGGTTTGTATTTGACTGCTCTTGAAAAGAAATAAGCCAGAGAACATCATGAAGAGAAATAAAAATAATGATATTTTAAAAGTATAGTACATATTTACGAACAAAATAGATAATTATGAATTTCATTAAATTTAGCAACACAAATTTTAGGTTTCTCCTTATTTTTAATTCTGTTTCTGCTCTAATTCAAGTTTAAATTGATCAAACATTATTAAATCGTATAACTTTTGTGTCTTTTCTATTCTGTCTCTAAAAGACACTTGCTATTCTCTCTTTTTCTTATCAATCATATTCCCAAATCTATCATACCGCACCTTAAGAGTTGCCACATTGACAAAGTCCAGGGAAAGCTTGCTGTCTTTAGAAATGCTCTTATCTGGCAATGATGGAGCTTGCTATTCCAAGGAGGAGAAGCCAGGCTTTGGGGCATGGGTTTATGATCTCATATTTATTTAAATGAAATCTTAATCTGAAGATTTTAATGTTTTATGATGTTTTCGAGAATCATTTTATATTAACACTAATCGATTCAGGAAAGAAGAATATAATAATGATTTATTTCTTGATATATTGTACATCATTTTGATAATTATGCAAATCATTTCTTTTAAGCTTTAGCGGCAGCCAATTCATTTCTTCTTCTGACTGCGTTTGCTCTGTTTAACTTGACCAACTTTCTGAGGGCTGCCTTTTGTGATCCAAGTCTTGAAGTACCGAATCTCTTTCTGATAACCTAAGATTATTGATATATTAGTTACTCTGGAAGCAGTGTGAACTCCATGCTTAACAGCCAAGGTTGAGGCATACACTGATTGAGTGTTTTTAGCCTTTCTATCAGCTTATTAGAATTTTGTGCTCTTCTTTGCGACCAAATTAATATTATTAATCTAATTCACTTTTCCTTAGGTTGAAACAACACCAACTGCGTTCTTACTGATGAATCCTTTAAATTAATACATCGACCCAATTACCTGTGCTGCTATATGTCTACACACCTGTGTTATTGAATGGGTCTGTTGACAATGTCAATCCATTTCTCTTAACCAAAAAGGCATTGTTTCCTTTAACCACTTCCCAGAGAACTTATTGTGACATTAATTTTAAAATAGATATTAATTTTTTTCAAAATTTTCTATATTAAGTAATTCATTAATGCTAACCCTCACTATTAAAAATATTCTTTGCATGAGCCATCGCATTCTCTGGGTGCAACGCATCCTTACACTCCTTCTCTGCCAATATGCACACCACTATCGTACCTAGCTGAAAAATTTAACCCAATATCCTACCTTAATGATGAAGTTGATAACTGACAATACCAACACAAATGTTTGAATTCCATCCGCCCAATTATGCGAAAATGCTGACGAATTCCAAAATGGACCCCAATAAACCAACCACACAAAATCAATAATCCAAGAGTATACGAATAAGTATATCAATCTAATCTTTTGCGAAACCTATTTGATTTTCCTACATATTTTACTGGTCTATCGATGTCCCATAGGAGATATGCGAATGCAAAAAGAGGTAAATTATAATCTGGTCGAGCATAGCAAGTAAAACATGAAATGAATGCTATTGCTAAAAACAATTTCTTAGGCCACTCTTACATTTCAAATATTTATTATTAATTATATTAAATTTTACCAAACAATTTCTTATTTACTTGATAAAAGTGAGTAAATTATAGGAAGAGTTATTCTCAATTTATTGAGAAAATAACTTTGTAAAATATAGTTTACTAACTAGAATTTTATTAATAAATACAATAAAATATTATTGAAATTTAATCAGAGGATCATTTAATTGCGAATTATTATTTAGGGATATAATTCTTTTACATGTAAGATTTATTGGGATAATAGAATATTTGAGAAGACACTACAGTTAGATCAAAATCACACGAGAATCTTTAAGTAGTCCCTTAAGAATTCTTAGAAGACATTAAATTCTTTTATTTTTGTTCAGAAAAAGACATGTATTATCCAATAGGGTTTCCAGATTTTCAAAATATGAGCAAACCTGGTAAAGTATTAAATTAATTTTAATTAATGAATATTACTAACAATTAAAATGTTCATACATTAAGACCATAACATTAGGTCAAAGAATCACTAAATACAATAATTTTTACGAATACATAGCTTGTAATTGCAGCTGGGCTCGAAAAATTTTTAATTTTTACATTAAAAAATGACTAATTAAAGTATATAGGCTAAGTTATATAAAATGATACTATTTTTTCGTTATGCCAGGTCAAAAGCTCTAATTCAATTCTGTAAGGAAATTTTGATGGAGAAATTAAAATATGGCATCATACTAGCTTAAACCATTCAAAGTATTTAATGAAGCTTTAGAAACATAATAGCAGGATTTCGAATATCATTATGAATAAGGATGAAGACCAAATTTATTCAAGTAGTACTCGTTTAATTATCACTGATAAAAATTAATAGTATAAATATTCTTAGACTATTTTATAAAATATAACAATCATTAGATGTGTGAGTTTGCAAGAATCTCAAAATAAGTTTTTAGTATGTGGGCTTGATAAATAAATAATTGTTTTGCAATACTATCCTATTGATTAAAAATGGAATAAAATTCAAAAAATAAATTTCAAAGCAAATGGAGAGAGTTTGTGTTTTGTTAATGAGAATCAATTTGTAGTTTAATAACATCATAAAAACACAATTTAATTATTCGAATTTAATTGTTCTAATTAATAGTTTGAGAAGTCAAAAGAAATTACAATATAAAAGGGAATGAACAGTTACAATTTGGGATTCTAAGCCTAATTTTCATAAGAAAAAAAGATACTAATCACTAAAAATTCTTAATTTGTGAATATAATTAAAAGAACAGAAAAAAATGAGTTTATTTTTATATCATCTATAAACTTCGACACTTGTTACATATTCGGTTCGATGAGTGAAGATGGAAAGTACCTGATAACTTGGGATTAAAAATCCTTGTGCGTATAATTATGGGAATTGAAAGATACTCATTTTTGACATATATCATATATAAAGCTTCTAAATATTTATTAATATCATAATAATAATGAAAAAAGATTAAAAATCCTTATAACAAAACAGTACCCTAAGAGAAAGTGGAACTGTACATCATGTTGTGAATAGCAGTGAAAATGAAAATAGGTGTTAATTATATTCAAGAAAGGAATATTGTAAATAATATATAACTTTAAATGCCAATTATGATTTTGATAATAATAAAAATATCATTGTTGTTATTATTACTAAATCTATTAAGTATTTAATATAGAATTGGTTTAGGATTTGTTTAATTTGAATGCTTTATCATGAAATTCTAAACTCCTTGAAATATTTTTATTTAATGAAGAGGGGGATACAGATCTTTGTTTATCCTCAGTAGTCTATAAATACGTTTTTGGAGGTTAAATAATTTATGATTATTTGATTGGGGATTCAAAAAGTGGAGACTAGGATGGCTATTGAATTTAAACAACATTAGTCTTTTGTATTTTCTGATTTTGATAGTTGATTATGGCTTATTGATTTCTAAAATAAGTGCTTTAAAATATCTTTTGTCTATTTGGAGATACCTCAGAGTTTGATTTAGGAATAGATTTAGTATTTTCAAAAATGATTTTGAATGAATCTAACTGCATTTAGAGATTATAATCTAATGTCGACAATATTTCATCTAATTTAATAGTCTTGAAATTTAATTATTAAACAAGAATCTACAGATCCTAATAAAATTCATCAGGCCATAATTGATTGACTATCTTTTATTCAACTATTTTTGAACAATGTTGCACAGTTGTAATCACAGCTGACTCTAAGACCTTTTAAACTTTATTGATGGCCAGCATAATATTCTTTTTTTTCTTTATATTTTATTCTATTGTTAATAAATTGTTCAAGTAAATTGAATCGTGTTATTGGTATAATATTCTTACAGATCTTGATGACTTATTATTGTGACCTGGTTCAAATAGTAAAGCAACTGTAAACCTAATATTTGCCAATTGATGTATTCTCTTTCTTATCATCTATTGTCCATCGCTATAATTGATATAACAATGAATAGGCAATCCCAATATTGTAGATATGGCTATATAATGATGGTCTTTCAAAATGAATTGATTGTCTTCATCCAAGTTGCCCAACAATTCAAAAATGGCCTCCTACTTTGACAACTTTCTACCATTTCTAACTAAACAAGAACTAGCTTTTTGTGTGTATAAACTCAATAGAATACACCTGTACACATTAAACAGCAGTTCTATTCCTTCTTAATTGTTTAAATGTGAGTAGATGTATTCTCTTTATTATTTCAAATGAATGCTTCCTTGATCCTTTTCAAAACATGGAGTAATTTAACTAATAAATTTATTGTAATCTGCGACAATCTTTTTAGTTTATTCATTATCTAACTGCATTTACTCTCTGATTTCATACAGTACATCAATTTCTTACCAACTAATCAAACTATCCATTATGGCTGCTATCAAGACTGCAGCTGTCTTAGCGTATCTCTTATTATTGTCCATGGGTAATTGAATTTCGGGTCCACATCTAGGATAATCACATATAAAATTATTCCAAACGTCTTTTGGAATATCGTTTGGTTTTACTGTTAAACCTGTTGCTGAGTAGTTTGTAATACGTAGAGATTACATTCTAATTTTTGATATATTATATTAATTTAAATTATATTTCGGATAAACAAAAAGAATATTTTTAATTATTCTATTCATCTTTAATATTAGGTCTTGAAGTAATATTCATTAATAACTAATCAATTAATATCTTTATATTATTAATTTATGTGTTTATAATATTTTTTAATTGATGAAGGTTATTTAATATTCTAGTCACTCCAATAAGCTAGTAGTTTCAACCACTTAACTCTTCATTGATTTCTAGATGTTATTATTAAATGTTTACTTTAGTAAAATTCTTCAGTCTTTTCTTTAAATTGATAAATAGTTAATATTTTTCATCATCACTAATTTGGTATTATTTTTCAATATACTCGCTTAATAGTGTTCGAAAATTCCAATCTTGATTTAACAAAGATGATAAACCTACCCATAATAATAAAGTTCCATTGATGATCAATAGAGTAGTAATAATCCAAGTCTTAAAGGTAATTAAACCAAAAAAAAAAAAATAATATATTGCCACCATATTGAACAAGTAGTAAATTCCTTGTAGTAATTCTTCATGTCTATCCTTTATAACTGGTATTGAAAAGTTTATAAATATGCATTTATCTACCCAATATATAAGCAATAATGAAAGGATTGAAAATGGAATAATTAATGGATATTAGAATCCAAACAACATGCTTACAGCAAAAATCTTGTGAACAGTGATTTTTCTTTCATAGTAATTAAATTTCCTTAATTAAAAAAATAAGTTTGCTTCTTTTTAGGTTTTATTATTAGTTTTTTTCCCTTTCAATCTAAACAGTTTAACTTTTCTCCAAATATGATTAAAATCAAAAATTTAAGTTATTACTGGAACAAAGAGATTTAAGAAACTAAATGTTATCACATAATCCAACATTCCTTCACTTTATAACATAGTTTAACTTGATTGCTCATAAACAGATTAAAATAAATTCCAATATCTTAAATCAAGATTTTACAGCAATGCAATTTAAAGTGAGATACCCTAAATATCTAAACAAATTTACAATTTGATAAATAGTTAAAGCCAATTTCGTCAAAATTTTGGAACCAATTTTATTAAAAATAGAAAAAGCAATCATCGAGACTAGAGTAGAGCCGACATTTAGCAATTTCTTAATCATTTAATCTTCTTCTCCACTATAATTATTATTAATGAAATCATATCTTAACTTTAATATTAAAAATTAAGCCATAGTTGAGGGAATAGAGAATCCAAATACAATAAGAAACTATATAAAAAATTGAAAAATTGGACTGCGGATTTAAAACTTATGATAATATTTTTAACTATTCTTCTCACAAAGAATCATAAACCTTTCCTTAAATTCCTATGATACTTGTAGTTCATCAGCTAAAAATAATAGATATGATTATTTAAAGGTCTACTTAAAAACTTCATTGTCCCCATATACTTCTCTTAGTATTCTTTTCTTTCTTTACTAAAAATGTATAATTACTGTGAGACTTTATCACTCAAATAAGGGAATTTTAATTATTCAAATAACAGATCTTCGTACAATTTTAAATTTACTCTATAAACTCTGACACATATATCAGAATTAATATCCAAAATCTCAAGAATTTCTTCATCTTCAATTTTATCAGGTATATAAATTCCTGAATATACCAGCACTGACATCTTCATTTATTTAAATGCTTCGGCCCCCATTATGTCACAAGATCCACATTTCATTAGAATTATGTAAATAATTGATGTAGAAAGAACTACACCTGCATACTTTAAATCATCAAGACTATAATTAATGGCGATTAAATTCCAGATGGAATATATTTTAAGCGAATTTTAATCACAATTTGGATGTTTTTCACATTCATCCCCTTACTGGTTAAAATATAATGCGAAAGGAACAAATGTTACACTAGTTATTATAGGATCATCGTATTACCAAAAGATTGTAAGTTATAAAATCATCCACTTCACATTTTGAAAATATTCATTTGCTACAGAGTGATCATCTGATTTACTTAGATCACTACAAAAATTGAATTTAATATGATCTTTATAATAGTTACAACATTTGCATTATACAGATTATTCTTGAGGCTTCTCATAAACTCTATAAGCTAACTAATGATTCATTATTTTTTGAATACTCCATGTAATTCAGCCTTCTGTAAATCAGCAGGAATCTTAAACTAGTGATAAATGATATCATCTAAGTCATCAGACTACTTCCAAGAGATGGTATCGGTCTCCATATATACTAAATCTTTAAATTAATTAAAATTATTATTCGTAGACAATTTTCAACATTTGCATAATATGCTTATATCAAACTTTAATGCTATAGATTGATGTAAGGTACTGATCGAATATAATATGGAGGGTAATTTATTATATATGTATAAAACAAAGAATTAATCTAACAGATTAATAATATTGAAATATTTTCAAAAATAATGAATGATGTTCTTATAATAGATGAGAGATTAAAACAATTGTAGGAAGAGGTCAAGATGATGGAGTAGCAATATGGATTTAGCGAGGAGTTTTAGTTGAAGGAGGTTGGAAATAGATTGAAGAAGGAGGATAATTCAAAACAATAAACAAAGAAACAACCCAATAGATACTAGAATCTACCTCATTTTGTTTAGCAGAAGGAGATCAAGCAACAAAAAATGAAAGCATAATTGTCGAATAAATGGGTTGAAATATTTTAAGAGAAGCCATCAATCATGCAATTTTACGATGTCGATAGATTTCTTCCTACTCTTCAAAGTCCATATGATATACAAATTAAGCCCACTGTGCCAAATGACGAGGATATTTACGAAACCTATATTGATAATTTAAAATATGATTGATAACATATAATTCATGCTAAAATACTAATATTTTATTGATACTTGCAAAAACAAAGAGCAATAAATCCCGCAATTATGCGATATAGTGAAGGAGAAGATCTTGATAGGGTATTCGGATTTAGAAATTTGGTTTTCGATAAAGAAATACAGTGATCACATCGATTAAGTGGTATTTTGTAAATAATAAAAGTGAATAGAAAAAGATATGGGATTAGACAGATTAAGTGAATTGCAAATCTTCACTGGATAGTTTTCTTCATAGTTACGCGGTTGAAGTACTAATAAAAGTTTTAAATTTAGATTCATAATGTATTTACGAAATACAAGCAGCACTTGGAGAAGGTGAAATAGTTATAATTGATAGATAAGAGGATATCGAAGATTGTATAGGATACCATTAGCTTCGAAGAAATGGACGCAAATAAATCATTGCAGATTACATTTTAAATAATGAAAATAGATGAATTTAATATATTAGATTTTTAGAAGGATGATAAAAATTATATTTATACATTAGAATTATCCTATTAGACCTTGTTGAGAAAGATTAAGGGAAATGTGGAGACTGTTGCATAGAGATTGAATTTTGAATAGGAAATAATGATGGATTTGACTATAGACATAGGAACCTTGCAAATAAATCTATTTCAAGAATACGAGAACGACCAAATATGCATAGCCCAACGCAATTTGGATCCGTTCACACATTTGAATGAGGACTTGAAGTAGTTCCCATTGAAAGTGAATGGGAAGGACAAATACATAAATCTCTAGATGAAAATCACATGTTTGGATAATGTGAATGGTTATTTAAGAACTCGGTAGAAGTATCTAAAAGATTAACATGAAAAATTATACAAGTATTGATTCAATGTAGTATTTTAAATAGGAAATGTCATAAATATAAGACTAAACTAACACTATTATTGAAACCGTTTTAATTGATAAAGTTTGATGATGAGAACATCTACTTGCAAAAGATGTAACAAAAGTAGAAGAATAAGGAATGCTGGAACTGCCTTATTTAATGAGACCCTTATATATATAGATATAATTTATGATACTCCAATATATATGTTGCTTATTCTCTTTTTCTAGTAATTAAAACAAATAAGAGATGAATTTGCCAAAGATCTCATTTTTTGATGATCCTAAATCCTAATTGTGGATCAAGGATGTCGTTTAGATGTCAGATCCAATAATTAGTGGAACTTTGATCAAGAATTCAAAGAAAGGTGTTTAGAAGGAGATCACCTACTTTATCTAGGATGGAAGGTTATCGAATAATAAGAAATATATTGATCTTTAAAACGTGACGTTGGATAAACTAAAGAATTACGGTTTCAAGTTGACGAGGAATCGAAAATCAGTAGAGTTGTTCGCCCATAACGAATAAGCACAAGTAGTGTGGTATGATTATATGAAATCCTTTTGCATTTAAAGAGGCTTTAACAATGTATATTCCATAAACAAATTGATAGGGAAGGGTAATTTTGCGAAGGTATTAAGTAATATGATAAGTAAAAAGGTGTATAGTGCATAAAAGAAGAGTGATCAATCATTGTACGCTGTAAAGGCATTTGACAAACTGAAATTTCAAGACATCCGAATCGATAAGGTAGAAATGCAGATTTACATATTATAAGCCTGCATTAATAAAGGAGTTATCCATAATGAGAAAGATGGATTTTCGAGGCGTGATCAAATTGTATGAGGTTTATGAAAATGACAATTACATTTTTTTGGTTTGTGAATTGTTGGAAGGAGGAGAACTCTTCAATTAGATGAAGGGCAAGGCCTACGATGAGAAAACAGTGGCCAACATCATGTACAGAATCCTGCAATCAATTGATTACATCCATTCGATGGGAGTATTGCATAGAGACATCAAAGTACACAATTGAACTCATCTTAGCCTGAAAACCTCATACTTCGTACAAAAGGAGACATGGCCGATGTTGTAATAGCAGATTTTGGTTTAGCAGATTATTATAATCCATCTGTGGAGATTATATGTTTAAACGTTGTGGTACTCCAGGCTATGTTGCACCTGAATTATTACAAGATAAAATCTATGACTTCAAAGTGGACATCTTTAGTGCAGGAGTACTAATGTTCATAATGTTGACCGGTGCATCTCCATTCAAAGCCAAATCTTATGATGAGATTGTGATGAAGAACTACCATTGTCAGATCGAGTATGGTTTAATTAACAATCATCCCCTCAGTGAAGAGGCTATTCATTTGTTGAGAGCATTGCTTGAGAAAAATGCTGATCTCAGAATAAGCACTGAATTGGCTCTTTAACATCAATGGTTCCAGAAATAGGCAGACTATCAGTTGCATCTGTAATTATGTCTGATCTCATAGCAATCTAAAGTGAAGAGAACCTACCAAGACACAAAAGGAATTCAGATCTCTATGCCAGAACACCATTGATGGGTCAAGAACTCAATCAGTCATTAACCTCAACTCCTCTTAGTGTTACTCCCTAAATGAGGAGTAAATCAAATACAGCTGACATCAATCGAGAAGAACCTAATGGAAATACATTCAGATAACAGAGTCAGTCAGTCAAGGTTCAGAAACAAGAATGCATTTTAGAAGAAAATGATTATAATGTTAATGAAGATGATGACATTCCTCATAGTAACCAAATTAAAATGTATTAGATCCAACCAAAATTAAAAAAAAGTAATCATATCCTGAGTAAAATTATTAGATTAGGAGGATCAATAGAAGTACAATGTGGATAATGCAAACAGCATTCGTGGATCACTCAAATAAGCTTTTTGAATAATATATTTAATTTACATAATTTTGTAATTATAAGAATGTTTTCATATTTACCACCTAAAGTCAAGCATTTTTTAAATTGGGAATTGCCTCAGTATGTTGGAACCTAATATGATGGAACAGAAACCTTCAATCCTTTCTCCAGTCCATTCAATAGGATCATCAATGCAGCATGGCATACCAATCCAGATTCCACTCATCATCACACCACAGATTATCGATTAATCAAAGCAATTTGCGACAACGATATCAATGAGGCTAAATTGGCTATTGATCAAAATCCAAATGCTTTGGAATCCACAAAATATGAATTCACACCTCTCTCTTTAGCTGCTTCCCTAAATCGCACAGCCATTATAGATTACCTATTATTGAGAGGAGCACCAATTGATGAAATCGATAATCAAGGCCGCACTCCTCTCATTTAAGCAGTCATCAATTGGCAAATTGAAGCCATTAAAACTCTTACTGAAAGAGGGGCTCAGATTGATAAAAAAGGGAAATACGGTTACAATGCCATAGATTTAGGTATGAATGATGAGCATTTAAATGATTAGCATAATTGAGAGGATACGAATAGATAACCAAATTCTTGATCTCGCAGAATAATAGACGACTCTAATTTACGTATCCCAAATTCGATGTGACTCTCAACATTGAGAAGGAGATTGAACAATATAAGGAGATTACTAAAGACTTTGAAAGTGTAGTGTTTCAACCGAAGAAATTGCCATTCAATAATTATCAGGGATTATATTAAATTAATTTATTATGATTACAAACAACTGTCATTAATTCAAACAAAAATTATCTAGAATATTCTTCTATCAATACTTATAACAATACACGCAACATAATTCGAATATTTTAATCAATGAAATATTTCTTGTTACTAGCCCTTCTCTTCGTTGCATTATCTAGAGAATAAATCGAAGAAGTTGAGGGTGTTTTGCAACTTACCAGAAAAAATTTCTAATAAGCTGTTGACGAAAATCCAAGATTGTTAGTCAAATATTACATCGACTCATGCGGATATTGGTATTGATGTTGATTTAACTTAAAAGCATCAAAATGAAGCCAGTTTTTATTAGGTTAGCAGAAATGTTAAAAGATTATGGATTTGTCTTGGGAGAAATCAATGCTCATGAAAACAAAGCTTTTACTGCAAAAAACAATGTTAAGTCCTATCCAACACTCAAACTTTATAAAAATGGTGTTGTCCAAGACTTTCCTAATTAATCAGACACAGTTGATTTGTTGTTTGAGTATGCTCTCTAAAATGCTTATGATTAAATTACTACTTTAAATACTCAGGAAGAAGTATTTCTATTTTAAATCAATTTAGATTGATCTCTTCCTAAAAAGATCCTTTTTTGCAGTACTCAAATATGTGAATAATGATGATGATTTATAAAGCGTAGCTGCTGAATACACTGCAATTAAGTTTGGTATTGTAGTGAATCCAGAACTGTAATAAGCTCATTCTTCAAAATATACTCTATTTCACAAGGCACTACCAGCCCCAATTAATTATAATGGTGAAATTGATGGGTTATCAGAATGGATCTCTGCTCATGGATATCCTGAAGTGTTCTCATTGACAGAGGAAGAATTTTTGAAAGCAGAAAAAGATAAGATTCCCTTGGTTGGAGTGGCTGGCACAAAGGATAGCGAATTATTTGAAACTCTTAAGATTTTGGCAGAGTTGCATAAAAACAAAATTAGATTTGCCCTCATTGATCCAAATTAGATTTTGCCAAATAAGAGATTCCAGTATTTGATCAAGAAGAAAGTTGTTGCTAAAAATGTCCTTTACTTATACAATTTCGAGTATTTTAATTAGTTATAAAAATAGAACAAAAAAAACTACAACTGCAGAATTCTCAGATGAATCATTTGAAACACATAGATAATTGTTGGAGACTTTGCTTGAGTAGTAACTTAATAGCGAGAACTCTGATTCTGACTATTATTTCAAAGGGGAAGGCGAAGTTCATGTTTTAACCACATCCAATTTTAAAGAATAGGTTTATGATAATCCTAATCATGTGTTTGTTAAGTTTTATGCACCATGGTGTGGTCATTGCAAGCATTTAGCACCTACTTATGAGGAATTAGCCTCAGAATTGGGTAGAAAGGATATCGTAATTGCTGAGATTGATTATACAGCTCATAGAATTGAAGGCATTGATATTCAAGGATATCCAACATTAATACTTTTCAAGTCTGAAGGAGATTCTAAGAAACAAATCACTTTTGATGGAACGAGAACAGTCGAAGGAATGAAGGATTTCTTACTGAAATCATTAGATAGCAATTACAAGGGTGAGCCCTAGATTTAATTGAGTGAGTAATCCTTTGAAGTGAAGGAAACTGATAGAGTTGATATTCCTAATGATGGACAAGTGATTCAATTGACAGCTGAGAATTTCGAACAGATCGTATTGTAAAGCAGATAGGATGTCTTTGTGAAATTTTATGCTCCTTGGTGTGGACATTGCAAGGCTATGTCAGCTGAATATGTGAAATTAGCAGAGGGATATAAAGATAGCAAGAATGTGTTGATTGCTGAATTGGATGCCACTGTTCATAAAATACCAATTTTAGATATCTAAGGATTCCCCACTTTGATTCATTTCAAGAAGGGAAACACAAAAGTGGAACAACTGAAATACAGTGGTAGCAGAACTGCAGAGGCACTTAAGGAATTCATCGAATAGAATGGAAGTTTTGCTTAGAAACAAGATTTGTGAATTGTATAGAGAAGTTATTTTATTATAAAACAGAGATTCCTTTTTTAAATGAAATCATTAGATATTTTATAATTTTTTTATCAATCTTCCTTTCCATGGTTTCTGTTAGATCTCTTTAGCAGTGATTTATTTGCCCTCATAATCCATTTGCTTGGTAGTTATGTACTAACCTTGATATGCACAACATGGAATTATCTCTTCTGGTTTCACGAACACTCTAAGAGGCTTTTGATTTTTTTAGACAAAAGATTCTTGATATAAAGAGCGCAGTTGATTTGGATATATTTTTGCAATGGTTTAACTATATATATATAGGATGTTTTTGTACTGTAATTATTTTTACTTAACATCTTCAGCTGTAGGTTAGTTCTCGTCTTTGACCTTCCAAATGAATTGATTCCTATAATTAGTTCTATTCATTAGGTTGGCCTTAACAGTAGTGCGAAACTGTGGGGCCTTAAATATATTGGGAGTATAGTCCTTCCAATTGATGAATGTGAGCAAGACTATTGAATGAAAATTCGTACATTGTTAGTAGTTTGTCCAGTGGGTAGATTGTGAGATTCGTACATTGACTTGGCAGCAGTCCTTGATCTATCCTATGGTATCCATTTGTAATTGTCTCGCTAAGTGGAGTTGAATTACATGGATGCAACTGGCAATCCAATATTGTCATAATGAGATTGAGTTATGATTGGAGTAAAGCATTTGTTTTATTTTGGTACATAATCGAACCTGTTGGATGTGAGCATTCCATATGCATAATTTAGTTCTGATTTCTTTTTGTATTGGCAGATGCATTTATTGCAAGTGCATTTGGCACAAGCACATTAAGCAAAGATATGGCAGAGATATGATTAATTCTCTTCTACATATAGTTCGATGTCTGCAATGTCCTTTAAGTCTTCCTTAAATAATTGCTTGAACTTCTAATCATCACAATAGTCCAGCCAATCAAAATCAATTTCAAAACAAAGAGGTTGCGTAGTCGTTGAAGATTAATATGATGCTGCAGATTTCGGAGGAGCTGCACTCTCTAAATTGCTCAAGTTTAATTTATCCAAGTAATTGTTCCTTTACTGCTCCCCTACCTTATTTGGTTTTATTATAGCCCCATCCTTCCTGCTCTTGTAAAATTTCTTCAATTAAGGTTTTTGTAACAGACTGGTTGCTCTGTTTCGAAGTTCCTTCTCATTCAGTGCATCGCTAAAACCAGAAGACCTTGTCATCCTTCCCTATTCTATCTCCCTCCCAATCGATACATATGTAGATTTTTTTGACATTTTTTTATTTTTAATTATTTCCACTTATTATGAATAATTAGATGGTTCCCAGAATTGTTAAAAACTTTTTAAAACATTAACCTCTATATTATTATGGTTCTTAAGTAATTAGGTGTAATTAGTGATATCACAGAAGCAATTGCTTAATTATATGAGAATTAGTCAACAATCAAAATCATCCAGGTAAATGATTATTTATTGGCTATCTTATAAAAGGGTTTTCTGAAAATCCTGTGAAATTGAGACACTTGTCAGATTTTATATGTGTTATTTAATATACATCATTGATAACCGTATCAAAATAATCTACTTTTTACCACTGAGGATTATTGTTTAGAATTATTTTAAAGAAATAATTTATTTAAATGTTATTGATATATGTGATACTGCCATTGATATTTAAGAAAATATCATTTATTTGATCTAAACTTAAGTAAGAGCTATCTAGACCAAAATTATTTACATATAAATATAAATAATAATAAACAGTACTGTAATAATAATAAATTAATCATAATAAGTATTATATGTCAAAATTCATACAATATAAATGGATTGCCAGAATATATTGCATAATGCGAGATAGTTGAATCTGTTTCAAATTAATATAAATATATACAAATTCAAAATTCAATTGTGATTAGAATATTAGTCTATGTAAATTATTGGTAATGCATTTTAAGTTAATTCTATCCTTACAGAAAGGCTATCTTAATAAAAGAAGATGTTTAATTATTAATGAATTTTAAATGCAACATTTAAATATAAACAAAAATGTAACTTGCATAAAAATATAAATTATTTTATATATATAATATTGAAAGAATTGCAGCTGAAGATGGTTTAGATATGTGATTAAATGAAATAATAAAATAAATAACACTATTTCAATATTTATGATTTCCCCATAGCTTTAGTTGCTTTGAAATTTCCAACTTAACATCTATTTTTAGAAAAATAACACATTATTTTATATATATTATTATATTAAACATAAGTATCACGCTGCTATTTATTGACAATCATAGATCTGTTCTGAATCAGTAATTATGTAAAGTATAATTGATTAATTTAAGAGTAGAAAGAAAACCTCAGAAATTGACTGAAATAAAAACCCAAAAGAGTAGAATTAATATAACTAATACAATTGATTATATGGATAGTAAGTATGTTGAGATTTAAAGGGGTGAAGTAATCCGCATCAAAAAGGAAGAGATAACTTCAAATATTTACATAAAAAATATTTTCTCTATAAAATTTTATTTTGTTCCAAGCAATTTCTCAGTCAAACTATGAATTTTTTGACAAGCCTCTTTTTATTGGAATATTCTTATTTACATAGAAATAGCATAGTGAATATGGGTTATTGCAAACTTAAATAGTATTACAAACTTTATCAAATTAAAATCTGTCAGACAACAATATGGAACTATATTTAGAACGAAATTCTCTAAGAAGCACATTATTTGATTTGATTTTAAATTCAAATAATTCTAATAAAAGCGATATGATAAAAGAGTTATCACATTTTTTTGAAATATCTTATGAATTTGAGATGTTCTGCCTTTAGATATTTCAGATTTAATCGTATTAATTTATTGTATCTGAATTTATAATTTAAAGACACAAATAATAAAGAATAAGAATTTGATATTTTTTATATGTTGAATTAAGTTCTTTAAGTAATCGGTGTTTAGCAAAATGAGGAATAACAAATGGAAGCAATTTATGATGACTTTCAGAGGCCTCCAAAGATTAAGATTGCTATGATGCATGCTGCAGCTACAAAATTTGCCAAGACTGATCCAAATATTGACCTTGATAAAACAAATGTGTGTCCATGTTGTGGATTACCAGCAATCATTGAAGAAATTCCGTTATGCTCATCAAGAAATGAATTCAGTTTCAACGGATCAGGGATAGCGTTGTATTTTGATTTCTTAGTTTTTTCGGGAGTTATCGTATTTGCCTATATGTACATTTAATTAATTGCAATATATTAGAGCCATAAGTTGCGGATACGATATTTATGCGAATTATCAAGGGCAAAGATGCAGTCAAATAAAGAGTAGTATTGCTGATAAATGTAAAACTGATTTTTTCAACTAATTTTCATTGACAAATGACCATGAGTATATATATCTTTATAATTTCCTTAGAGAATTGGATGAAGCTCGAAGCATTCTCAATTTTATATCCCAAGTGGTGATACTTTTTTTGACTCTGTTTTACAGAAGACACATAAGCAAAATAGCAATGGAATTGGATGATGCAGCCATTTTAGCATCTGATTTTTCAATAATAGTTGAGAATATCCCAAGAGATGCGAAAGAACCTGAAATTTAAGAATACTTTTCTTAGCCCTTTCAAAATGAAACTGTCGAATTTAGAAAACTTTGCATTGCTTATGAAATTTAACCGTATTTGAAACTAAATAAGTAAAAATAACTCAAAGAAACGGTGCTCACCAAAGTACTTGAATTGGAAGCAGAAGGAAAATAAATACCAAAATCAATACCACCAAGAGTTCAATTAGTTTAAGAAATAGATAAAATTTCAAAGGAATTAGATTATATGGAAGATCATAGAGCTACTATTTTCGATTTCAGTGGAATATGCATCATCACATATAATTACGAGAAATAAGCTGACAATGTTTGCAAGACATTCAAATCTACAAGATTTCAAATCTTGTTAGATTAACTGGGTTTTGAATAGAATGAGTTCAAGAAATTCAGAAACAATAACCTTTTTGTAAGGAAAGCGCCTGAACCTGGTGATATCATATGGGGTAATCTTGGAATTACAATCAAAGAATAGTATAAGAGAACCTTGATAACAAATGCCATGACTCTCTTTCTTTTAGCAATTGGATTTGGATTATTAGTTGGATTGTCTTATGCATAAAATATTATTAACAAGCATATCTCTAAAGGTTCAGCAGCAGAAGCAGCCATTATTACTCTTCTTGGGTTTGCATCATCAATTTTGATCTCAATTATAAATGTAGTGTTGGCCAAGATGATTATAAAGTTTGCTGAATTGGAATAGCAAGCCACTAGAACAGATTATAATGTTAGTGTGGCTTATAAGATGGGAGTGGCTTAATTTCTGAATACTGCCATCTTGACCTTGATTATTAATCTCTTTATACAGGAGGATATTGTGTCATTAGATCAAGCTATTTGGTAAACAGGAGGACTCAATTCAGATGTGATGTTGATTTTCATTACTAATTCTATAATGCCTTGGTTGACTCTATTATTAGATGTCAACTATTTTTATAAGTTATATGTCAGACGCAAAATTATTAAGTAAGGAGAGAATTGCAAGTATACTTAAAATGAAGCTAATCAGTAATTTATTAATCTATTTTTAGAGCTTTCGAAGGACCCACAATTGATTTATCATAGAAATATGCTAAATTGTGTAAAACCCTTTTGTTTACTTTTTTATATGCAGCCTTATTGCCATTAGGAGTTTGCTTTACTTTTCTCTCAATAGTTTGTATCTATTGGACAGAAAAGTACTTGTTGATAAGAAGAGATTCTAAGCCTGCTCCAACTGGGAGTGCAATGGCTGAGGCAATGATCGATTTTTATATCGAATTAATTCTATTATTGTTTTCTGTAATAGCTTAAATTAATTATTTAGTTAGGATGCACTTTCTGGGAATGGGTGAACTACGATAAAGTTCACATTCTAACATGGTTGTAACTGGGATTGTCAACATTGCATTATTTCATCCCAATTTCGAAAATATGCGGATGTATAGTGGATTTGGGTATTGACAATGCCACATTGGAATCATATGATGAGAAATTCTTAACTTTCTATGATGATTATGATCGTCGTAATCCTGTGACGCTAGATGCAGCTAAAGAGAAGTGGATCAAAATTTAACAGGAAACTGTCTAGCCTACTCCATAACCAAAAACAGCGTAAATATCTAATCATATATATTATAGAACTTAATTAAAACAATATCATTAAATTCAACACATTACAACAGGTAGCACAAAAATCCATCCCCTAAATAGTAGAAATAGCAGAGAGATTGATGATTTATAATAACTTCAAGTTTGATTATACTAATAAATATTAATTTTGCTTAGTTTCATTTAAACTTAAAGTATTCTGTCAAAATTTATTATAATATTTATAACAGATTCAGTATGAAATGTCAGATCTCGAAAACTTATAATAAAATTTCAGATGTTTTCTCTCGAACTCAAATTAAGCATGCAGTTGAGGGATTGAACAGCTATCAACAACGGATTAAATTAATTGACGATGTAATTGACAGAAGAGAATAAATTGCGAAATCTGAGGATGTTGCAAAATTGTAAAAATACGCACACATCTTTAAAAAAATGCTATACAAATACAAAAAGAAGAAAAGTGATCAAGAACAGTAATAAAAACAATAGAGATTGGAAATGGTTATGCAATTGCTCGGTGGAGAAAAGAATAAAAAACCAGAAATCAAGAAGGAGTGTAAGACTGTTCTCAGGTATTGCTAAATTGGAAACAAGCATCATCATACTATTAATAGGAGTGTTGCTACACAGTCTACAAAGGCTGATGACACAAGAATACAGGAGAATTAATTGCCTAAGTCTAGAAAAGTATCCAGGTTCTTTACTGAGAAGGATCCTATGCAAGCAGAATCTTAAATAAAGAGGGAAGTTTTTGTATTCCTGGAGAAAAATAAGGAACTCAATTACTTATAGAAGGAGAGGTTCTTGAGACTCACAGACGATAATAAAAAATTTCAATATTTAGAAAATTAAATCAAACAACAATTAAAACAATAAGAATATCACTAACAACAGTCAGCAGTTAAAGTATGTTAATGATCTTATTGTAGTAACATTATAAGGTTTAAAATTTATTCCAAAAAAACTATTTCAAAGGGGCTTCAATCAAAATAATGAAATCATAAAAAACATAGCCTTTGTTGTTAGAATCAGACTATTGCAATACAGAAAGATAGAGACTTTAGGAGCAAGAATCTTTTGTTTCTTATACAGAGTTAAAGCTCAATCAATTGTATACTGATTCAATTGATGCACAGAAATCTTTAAGATCAAAAAATCAATCTTGTCCAAGTACTCTGCTCTAAAAATACCTGATTAACACCAATGCTGATATTATTGATGTTTCTAATTAAAAACTATTTTAAACAAAAAAATAACAAAAATGAATTAAACAATTTTATTAATTATTTGTGATAATTAATTATGTGTTATAAATAAAATGATATCAATATGTTGAGTATATAAATACTCATAATATTGTACGTACAAATTTATTTATTTATTAAAAATGCAATAAACAATTGATACCAGAGAAATTATCAATGTGTACTATGGTACTACATCTGGAAATTCGTCACGTCTCGCCTTCCAGTTCGCAGATGAAGCCACCCAACACAAATTTATCCCAAAGGGTACATTAGTATATCCAAATTTAGTATTCAACTTAAAAGAGTTCAATCCTGATGTGTTTATTCAAACGAGACTCAATATTTTCTTTGTTTCTACTTATGGAGTGGGGGGACCTACTAGTGACGCCATAGACTTTAATAATTGGCTTCAGTCCAAGGATAGGAAATAAAATGAATTATAGGGAGTACATTTTACTGTATTTGCTTTGGGAAATACAAAACATGAACACTTTTGTGGAATGGGATTGAAGACGGATGCAAGATTAGAAGAACTTGGAGCAACAAGAATTTTCTAATTAGGAAAAGGTAATTCTTGTGATGAGACTACTGATAATGATTACTCTGTCTGGGTCGAAAGTGGGTTATTTACAGCACTAGAAGCCTTGTCTCCATTGGTAACTGTGCCTGCGAATTAAGTTCAAAGTTCAATTTACAAAATAAAGGAATTTGATAACACAGATGTTTTAGTTGGAGAAACCTTGTCATTTTAAGCATAGAAGTACAAAGATTCACACTCCCTTAAGATTATTGAAATTAAAGAATTACGAAAGGCTCCAAGTCCTGGAAATTCAACATTGTATTTAAGTTTAGAATCATAAAATATTCCATACAAAGCAGCTTAAAATATTGGAATATATCCAGAGAACAGTGAAGAATATATCTAAGAAATTTGTACTATATTTAATTTGGATCCAAAATATATTTTTTAAATTGAGACCAAAGGAAATCACCCATTTCCAACTCCAATTAGTGTTCATAATTATTTGAAGAAGTATTGTGACTTTTTGGGACCTATTACTAAAAAATAATTATACACCCTTTCATAATTGGTTGATGATCAATAAGCAAAGGAGGAGCTCAAGTTTGTTTCATCTCATAAAGGAAGAGAAGAATATGATACAAATTATTTATAAACAAGATAATGTTTTTTCAATCTTGTGAAAAAGTACAATATTAGAAACATATCATTGTAATAATTGATTGAATTGTGTCCTTTGATATCTCCTAGATACTTTACAATTGCATCAAGTCCATTAAAAAATCCAAATAAGATTGAGATCATAGCAAGTGAACTATTAATAAATAAAGAGAGGGTAAAATATTATATTATATACTTAGTTGGGATTGTGTTCATAATTCCTAAGAAATGTAAAGGTTGGATAGGAGATAAAATGTTTCTTATAGGACTCAGCATTTTTAATGCCTCAAAACCCATAGGCTCCAATTTTATTATTAGGAATTGGTGCTGGATTGGCTCCAATGAGAGCTTTTATTTAAGAAAAGGATGAATTCATAGAGCAAAACAGATTAGATTAGAGTCCATTTAAAGGTCCAATGACATTATTCTTTGGTTGCAAAACCATGAGTGATTACCTATTTAAGGAAGAATTAGAGGAATATGAAAAGAATGGCACATTAAATCAATTGAAGGTTGCGTTTTCAAGAGAGGGACAACAAGTAATTATAGAAGTTAATATAAAATAGATTAGAATAACAAATTTTTTGGATGTCGAATTCTTGAATTAATTGTTAGAATCTGGTGGTGTTATCTATGTATGTGGATCTACTTAGATGGGTAGAGATGTCTAGATTGCCATAGAGAATATGTTTAAATAGGTTAGGAAAGTGATGCCTTATTTGGCCTATAGAAAAGTGAATGAATTAGAAGAACAAAAGATATTTGTGAAAGAATTATGGGGATGACTTGATTGTTGATTATGATTATGAATATGAACCAATCATTTAACACGTTTAGAACAGAATGTTTTTACTGGATTATATATGGGTCCTGGGGATTGAGCATCTTCTTTTTACAGTTTTTCATCAATCCAACTAATTTTTGCTGATTTTCCTATGGTGGCAATGGGTGAGGTCTCTCTTATATCTAGAAGTTTAAAGAGGAAAGCTTACGTTTTTCAGCCACTTCGGTTCGATACCTGCCTACTCCTGGAGAGCTTGTTGTTAAACTATTATCTAATTGTCTTTTTGCTTTATTGAAGGTGGTTGGAGATCCTCTCATTTGGATGGACATCTCACTCAAGGGAATTGTTTGTTGTTGTTTGATAGTTGAAATTTTGCTGGGGGATCTGCTCACATAGGATTGACTCATGGTCATTTTTTTAAGATCAGGTTCTGATTGTCTGTCGATTTTTCTGGAAACTGGGGAGATGATTTCGGATTTGTTGTAGGTGAGTTGGAATGTTTCATCGGAGATGAGATTCATCGAATTAACTATTTGATTCCAGACATTGTTGGATGTAGCAGTTAAAATTAAATCAAAATTGCTCTTAAAAATTTGTATATTTCGATTTAATTGAATTGAGTATTCGACCTTCTATCCTTGTCTTTGCATGGCACTGATCACTTCTTTGAGTCCTATTGGAATGATGCAAATGTGATATTACTTTGAGATGCAAAGTTGATTTCGTTTGTAAAGACTTCCTCCAAAAATGTGGTCAATTGTGTGAGATAGCCTCTCTTCTGAACAGTCTCGAATATGTGATTGATGTCTGTGTACCTACCTATTTCAGTTTGGATTGAGGAGGAATTCATTTAATTAAATTTAATTATATATATTAGGAATGCTTCTATGCGCATGTAATAAATTTTTGAAAAAATTAAAAAAAATCAAAATCTTTTTGCATGACTCAAGGAAAGAATAAGAAATTAGGAAAGAAGAAGGGATAAAAGAAAACCATCGACCCATTGGCAAGAAAGGAATGGTTTGAATTAACAGCCCCAGTCCCCTTCAGCGCTGGTGGATTTGGCTATACTTGCATCAATAAATCTGCAGGAACAGGTACTTAATCATAATAAAGCCTTTAGTCGTGGCCACTGAAGCCATCAAAGGACGTGTGGTTGAAGCATCCTTGGCTGATCTTCAAGGGCAATCAGATCAAATGGCATGGAGAAAAGTCAAATTAATTATTGATGATGTTGAAGGCACAAGATGCAGAACTTCTTTCTATGGCCTTGATTCAACAAAGGATAAGATCTTTGGAATGATTAAAAAGCGATAAACTTTGATTGAGGTACTTTTAAATTCATAATTTTCAATTAGACTTAAGTTGAAGCCAGATCATCAGATGGATATATCTTAAGAATCTTTATCATTGCATTCACCAAGAGCATCAAAAATCAATAAAGAAAAACCACATATGCTTAAAGAAGTCAAATCAAGGACATCAGAAAGAAGATTTCTGAGATCGTTCTCAGAGAGGTCTCCAAGAAAAGCATCACCACATTACTTGGTTTCTTCAATCAAGAAATCCTTTCAAAGGAAATCGCAAAGGCCACAAGAACTATCTTCCCACTCTAAAACATTACATTAAGAAAAGTGAAGTTGGTTAAGAGACCCAAGGTTGATGGTAATGATGTCCCCCTAATTTGTTAGCTCAAAAATTGAGAGAATTCTATGAAGATGCCAACAGAAACAAAGCTCAAGTCAGAAGACACGGTCAAGCTGAAGACTAAAGCGCTTTAAATCTTATCAAATAAGGACAAATCGACAAGGAAGTCACCTAATAACCATAAGAATGATGAATTTATTACAGTATAAACAAAATAGTACATATATTAATATAAGAGAGAATAAAGCAATGTATATATATATATTGTATTTGATATCTTGGTCGTTAGTGTATTTTAAATATAAAGATTTTTTTTAATTTAATTTGAGGAAATAAGATGTCTTAGTAGGCTTAAAAGGGAGGAAAGGGAGCATAGACTAAAACTGATGCTAAGCCACAAACTGCTGCTTAGACAAAAGTTGCTAAACCATAAGAAACCAAGGAGAATGTTATGAGAAAAATAAGAATTGATAAATTGATGGTTCATATTTGCGCAGGTGAATCAGGCGATAAATTGACTAAGGCTGCTAAAGTCTTGGAGGATCTTACAGGATAAAAGCCTGTTTTTGGCAAAGCAAGATATACAGTGAGATCATTCGGTATTAGAAGAAATGAAAAAATCTCTGTCTATTGCACCATTAGAGGCGATTAAGCTAGAGACATTCTTGTTAGAGGTTTAAGAGTGAAGGAAATGGAATTGAAGAAGAGAAACTTTTCTGAATCAGGAAACTTCGGATTTGGTATTCAAGAACACATTGATTTGGGATTGAAATATGATCCATACACAGGTATTCTATTAGAGTACAACCAATAGGTATTTTCGGTATGGACTTCTATGTTGTGTTGTCTAGACCAGGATTGAGAGTGGCTCAAAGAAAATCAAGAAATTCAAGATTGGGCACACAATAAAGAGTGACTAAAAAGGAGGCTGTAGAATGGTTCAAACAAACCTTTGAAGGAAACGTCTATTGATACAATATTACATTAAATAAACATATAAAAATATAATTTTTATTTTAATATGGGTTGTGGATCGTCGTAACCAACTGCTGAACCTGATCAAACATCAAAATCTTTGAAAAGTGCCAACACCTCAGAAATAGAAGACTTGATTGGCAAAAAAATACCCAAAGTACTATATAGATAATATTGGTAAGTTACTGATTTAAGCTGAAATGAAACATCGATTTACAGCTGACGAAGAAACAATTAAAAAGTATTCAAATTCAAATAAGACCCTAGTGACTTAATTTAAATGCAATCTCCAAAGGAAAATGAGAATGTAGTGGCGAGAGCATAAAAAAAAATGTAAAAAAAATACAGAGGCGGAGAGGATGTTGAAGGCCAAATCATAGAAAACGTGAAGAGAGTTGAAAGAGATATGCAATGTATACAATTTAAAGTAATTATTTCTCAGAAAGTGATATTGATCTTATCATTAAAAGCTTCAAAAATCATTTCGTCTTTTTTAGTCTTCCTCAAGATTCTCTATAACAGTTGATAGAAAATATGTTCTATTGCACAATTAAAGCAGGAGAGTTTGTTTTCAAATAAGGAAATTAGGTTAATGAACTTAGTTGATATAGTAGGCTAGCGCATATTTCGTTATTGAAAGAGGATAAGTCGAAATTATTATCAATGAGAATCCTATTAGAGTCCTTCAATAAGGAGACTAGTTTGGCGAAATTGCCTTGCTTTATAATGCCACAAGATCTGCCTCCACAAAAGCACTTACTAATTGCGGATTTTGGTCCCTTGAGAGGGCTACATTTAAGAAAACGATTGAGGAGATCACTTTAAAGGAATACGACGAGAACAGAAAATTCATAGATTAAGTATGCATTGACTTTGCATTAGGTCAATTTCTTCTCGTTTATGACAACTGAATAAAGAGATATGATAGGACATGCTCTAATCACAACCAAGTTCAATCCTGGATAGAATATTGTGAATGAAGGAGATTAAGCAGATTCATTTTATGTCATAAAAAGTGGTTAAGTGTAAATATTGAAAGGAGATAAATTAATAAGAAAAATGGGTGCAAAGGATAGTTTTGGGTAAAATTTGTAATTTGATCTATTTTTAGAGAGTAAGCTTTATATGAGAAATCGGTGAGAGGGGCCACAGTCAAGGCAGAAACAGAGGTCAAATGCGTGGCTTTGGGAAGAGAGAATTTGACTAAGATATTGGGTGATAAAATATAACTTATAATTTTCAATAACATCATGAGATGGAGTTTCGAAAAAAGTGTTGTTCTAAAATAATTAACAAAAATCTAATTGGAAAAAATATCCTAAAAAGCTAAGATAGAAAACTTTAAAAAAGGTTAAGTTATTTTTGAACCGAATAAACCATGTGACAAATTAGTTGTAGTTTTGGAGGGTGTATTAATAAATTCAAAATAAGAATCAATCAGTAAAGGTTCTTGTTTTGGAGATCAATTTCTATAGAAGGAACTATATGGATCTCTTATTGAAAGTGCTTTTTCTATGGTAGGAGATGGAGTATTAGCTACAATTACCTATTAAGCTTTGTTCAAGATTTTTGGAGGCGATTTAGAAACTGTCTTAAAGAAAAATGAAAATTCTCATGAAAAGAAGATATAACAAATCGGTCAGAGGGAAGATGCTTCTCATATTATAGTAGAAGACTTAGTTTACATAAAGAAACTAGGAGAAGGACAATTTGGAAGTGTATATTTGGTCAAACACAAAGAAATCAATAAGGTATTTGCTTTGAAAAGTGTAAGCAAAGCATCTATAATTGAATAAAATTTAGAGAAACATATTACGTAAGAGAAAAAAGTATTAGAATAGATAAACTTTCCATTTATTATGGGATTTGTCAGAACATTCAAAGATGATATGTCAATTTACTTTTTGGTTGATTTCATTAGGGGAATGGAGTTATTTGATGTAATAAGAGACATAGGATTGTTGTCTAAGCCTGAGACATAATTTTACATTGGTACAATTATTCTTTGCATAGAATACTTACATTCTAAGAGTATTGTATACAGAGATTTAAAGCCAGAGAACATTATGGTAAATGCTTAAGGTTTTATGTATTTAATTGATTTGGGTACTGCTAAACCACTGTTGAAAGCAAAGGCGTCCAGAACATATACAATTATTGGAACTCCTCATTATATGGCTCCAGAAATAATGGCAGGGAAAGGCTATACATTTACAGTGGACTTATGGAGTATTGGGATATGTATGTATGAGTTCATGTGTGGAGGAGTACCATTTGGAGAGGAATTAGAAGACCCATACCAAATATACGAAGAGATTATGAATACTTAAATTAAATACCCTACATTTCTAAAAGACAGATATGCCAAGAAATTAATGGAACAGTTAATGAACAGATAACCAGAAATTAGGTTAGGTGCATCCTATTCAGCATTGAAGGCTCATCCATGGTTTGATGATTTTGACTTCGATAAGCTTTTTAGTAAAGAACTCAAACCTCCGGTATTCTTATTAAATAACACTTTTAGTATTTACCTAAAGCAGAAAATATGGTCTCTGAAAATGATATTTAAAAGAGATTTAATCAGAACAAATTAGTTGTTCAAGAAATCAAGCATGAACAAGATAATCACAAAATCAAATACAATAAGCATCTTGCTAAAGATCCTAATTGGGATAAAGACTTTTGAGTAAATATAGATGTATCAATTAATGAAAACAACATTTTTCTAATTTCGACAAATTGACCTTTACTTTAAAATAAAATATAGTATACTCATTACTTTTTATTAAATTTCATTATTGATTATATACATCTATGATTCCAATCAAAATAGGTAGACTTTCAAAATTTCTCTACTCGTTTGTTAGGTAATCAATAATCCTACTAAAATGAATAAATTGAACATCTTGTCTAATCTCTAATGGAATTATCACTTCCCTTGCTTGGAACCCATCATCATTTTTATAATTATTATAAACATTTCAATTTTAGCAACTTCATTTCTTTCTACTATTAATAGAAACAGATAGTATTAAAGAAAATAAGAATTCACAGCGAAAAAAATATCACTATATTCTTTTAATCTATAAGTATATGGCATTATCAAGTTGAATTAAACAAAGTCATCAAAATGCATAATTTATAAGAATTTAATACTAACGAAATAGTTATTACGATGTTTTAGAAACAAAACCTATAATAATTTAAATTAAGATTTGAGATTTTGACAGTTCTTCATATAAAATTATAAATGATCATTAAATGGTGTAATTAAATTTATAGGTTAAAAATCACTTGTATTTTAATTAATTTTTATAAATTCTCTAATCGCATCCTTTTACCTAATAGAACTCTAGATTATGCTTTAAACGTGGAACATATCCTGATTCACTAGCTTGATGGATTATTACACTAAATTTGTGAGAAGAATATCAGCAATATGTAAGACAGCTCGGGTTTTATTTGATTGGATGAAAAATACTCAATTTGAATATAATTACCGCGAATATATTGGCGCGTGATTACTATATTAAAATTAATGGATATCTCTGTTTGCTAAAATCCCAATCACGATTCTTAACGTCTAAAATATATATGTGTGGATCCCACTTGTTGTGTTCCAAAAAAAATAGGTATTTCTTGTAATTTAATTAAGGTTGTGCTGATTGTTTTCTTGATGATCATATAACTCATATTAGAAAAACCACTACTCAATTTAAGGAGCAGGTAAGCCAATCTATCGAATAAATTTCATAAATTGAATTCCAAAAAGTGACAGGCTCTCCTTAAAGGGACTTGGATAGTCAAATAGATTTTGAATTAGAAAATTGCATTGATTGCATTAAGTCAAGATTCTCATCCATCAAAAGCGATTTAAAGTCTCAAATTGACAGTGATATGACGAAAGTATAAGATAATTGCACTTAATTTCAATAAAACATGAATAACGAACTTGATCCATTCAAATTAACAATCTAAAATGAATTACCTTCTTTGAATCACAATGAACTTAATTAATTAGTTAAATTTTATTAGGAGGCACCAAAAATTCACAAACATTATTCTAAAACTGCTGAACTCCTATAAGATGAAAAATAAAAAGTAAAATAAAAAAAATAAAAGTACTTAAACAAAATGAAAAATATTATGCAAATATTACTCAAGGAGTTTAATGAATTAATGACATCAAAAAATGTGCAATTTGATGATGGAAGTGAATATGAAACTCCTTAAAAATAAGCTATGTCTCCTAATAAAATGATAAATCTTGTAGAAACTGCACGTTCTTCAAGACGCTTTCCTATGTCTTAATCTTAAAAAAAATATTTTTTAGCTGCTGTGACAAAAAAATTGGATTGATTAATTGATTTTTAATATTTATATATTATATAATGTCATTATTTCTCTAAAATCCTCTTTAAATTCAAATATAAAATTATTAATTTTAGTTTTATTTATAAAATTGTAATTTCTAGTTTAATAATGAATGTAAATTTGAGTAAGTGTAAAAGAAAATAAATGGAAAAAACTAAAATAACAAAAATTTTATTTCCTGATTATAAAAAATATCCTAATAGATTAATTAATTAAACTTAATAATAAATTAATTTTATTTTATTATTCATTAAAAGATGATGATGATATTAAAATTTATTCTTCAATAATTAATGCTACTTTTCTTAGGCTTATGCAATTTTTTAAGTTTTTTATTCAAATTTACTAATATTTCCTTTCCAATTACTTTATTTAGCTAATACGCAGATATCTCTAATCTTAATTAGATTAAATTAAGCTTTGGTCATTCCTGAATTTTGTATTTAATAATTATACTTTATTATTTGTTTAAAACGATATGCTTATTGTAACTAAAAGACAAAGATAGAGCTAAATTCCTATTCCAATTCTTTTGACCAGATCAGCACAATTTACATCATCAGTAATGTAAGTGCCATATCAAGAATATAAATTAATGCTGGGATAAATGTACTTAAGTGACAAATTGACATTAAATTATCCACTAACCACTAGCTGCCATTTAGAAGATATTGTTATATCCATTATGACCCAAAGTTGATATTACAAATACTAATTTATTATAACAGCAATATGTCAAAATTTGTACTGCAAGTTAGCCTATATATTCACTCAATTTAATGACTAGTATTTCTAATAGTTACAGTTACTATTCCATATAACTAGGCTTTATCTAAATAAGCAACTAAGAATAATTGTATAAATTGTCAATACTATTCCTAGAAATAATAATATACTTTAATCCATTTCTATTATTTAAAGAAATTAATTATTGAATTTGATTATTGTCTATTTAGAAGAATATATTTATGGTAAATAACCTTCTGATCAAAGATGAATTTTTACCTTATTACAAAAATACCTAATTATATGCAGAATTTGTAATAAATTCAACAAGTATTAATTCTTGTATATAAATAACAGAAATTATGATTGATTTTTATAATAGATCTAAAAATCATATCATATTTTTGCGATAAACCTGTGCATAATTAAATTTTTTATCAAAATCTCTTTCTTAACTTCATTAATTGCTCTTCCATTTTATAATATTCATATATTAACTGTAAATGATAGTGTGATAAATGACGAGGATAGTTGAATTACAATATGTATAAAAATTAGATATTTTTATTAAATGTTAATTTATAAGAAAGCAACTCCTTAGGGTATCATATTTAGTAAAATAAATAGAACTATAAAAGTATAGGGATGATCAAGTGAAGAGTTGGAAAAAGGAGAAGGATTTGTAACGATTAACAGAGACCCAAGTCAACTAAATGATGGATTTATTTCTTTTATTTGCTAGTCAGCGTACATTTACAATAAGAGTATGATATTTACGTGATATGCAGACAAAAGATGTTGAAGCCTAAAATACTCTTTTGAGAGTGAATGAAGAATCAACTTTATTTTCGAATGTATTATCAAAAATGGTTCAGGTTGATGAGGACCTAAACTTTATCAATTTTTTGAAGATTTATTTGCAGTGCATTGTAAATATGACGAGCAATTATTATAGGGCGAGGCACAACAAGAGGAATAATTAAAACAATTGTTTACAACTCTAACTGCGAAAGGAGCAATCAATTTGGAAGACCTAAAGAGACTGGCTTAAGAGTTGGATCACTACCATCTCAAAGAGGAAGACTTGAATGAAATTATGAAGGTGATTTCTGGGGATGGCAAAGAAATTACAGAATAAGATTTTATAAGATTTTATACATAGATAGTGAAAAGTTAAAGATAATTATGATAAAAATTATATATAGGTTTAGTACATAATAAATAAACTATTACACTATTCTTGAACTCAATGCCACATCTACCTAGAAACAGATCAAACAAAACTATCTGAAACTGGCCAAAATCTATCATCCTGATGTTTACAAGGGAAATGATACCAATAGGTGAAATTTAAATATCATTTTAGATTCAAGCTCATTTAGGAAGCCTACAACACACTTAAAACTCCAGAAAAACGGCAATCATATGATCAAACCATATTTAAGGAAAGAGCCTTTGCAAATTAGGAGCGGTCTCAAAGCAGCGAATCTGAAGAAACTACATAGAAGAATGAATACACAGCTAAACAAACCAAAGATGGGATCAATTTCACTTTCACAAAAAAGGAATATAAGGAGGCAACTGAAGAGAAGACTGTTGAGGAGGATTTTAGAAAATTTATGTAGGAACCTCTAAAAATTAATCCAGAAGAAGTCAAAGTTTATGAGAATATTGTTGCTAGACAAATGACAAAGGAACACAAGGCTTAAGATGAATTCATTATTGCCAAAGAAAACAAATGGAAAATCTTCTTTTTCAAAGCACATCAGATTGGCTATGCCTAATAAGTTAAGGATTATATTAAAGGTATAAATTAATAGTGGCAATAAAAAAAGAGTGATACTGACGAGATGAGATAATTGAAAAGGCAAATGCAAAAGCGTGTTGCTAATGTATTATATTTGCATAATTGACTTTAGTCGATTTTGTTCATTTTTATTGGGCTCTCTCTACCATTCTTTTACTCCGCTTTAGCAAGAAGACAGGAAATCGATAAAGATTTTAAAGAAGATTTAGATTTTCTTTACAAAGTGGCAGATCAAATGGATTATCTAGAAATATCCACCAGGTTTGTCTATTGAGATAAAATTTTAATTATATAATATAATAAGAAAAAAGATATTAATTAAATTAATTTTTTGAGAAAAAATGTCTAATTAAGTTAATTTTGGAGAAGGGAAAATTAATGAAAACTACCCATCTGCTATAAAGACAATGATAGAATAAGGAAAAGATCCAAAGGATTTATTAATTTAATACTGCAGACCATAATGTAAATGGTATGATGATAAATACGACAGATGCGTAAAAGCATTCTTATCATTGAAAAATGCAGATCCTGAGAAGAATTGTGTACATTTAACATATATTCTCTAACTAGATGTATCCATATAGAGATTTGGTCACATGTGTTGAAGCATGTGTTCAACCTAAAATATAGCATGCACTCAAAGGTAATGAACACGGTTTCATATTCCATTGAAATAATATGATCTATAATAAACATAAATAATAACCAATATTTAAAAACCTCATAACAACCTGTTCTTAGAAGATTCAATTCAAAAATTAGGTTAATGCTTTAATTATGCAATATTTTTACAACAACAATCTTACATTCTATAGCAGTATTAAATGAATAGTATTTCATTTAGTGAATATTCAAATAAGAAATTGAGACTAAATTTAACAATTTATAAATGCAAATTTCAAGAACATATTTGAATTATTAAATTGTAAAATAGTTCTACATCTGAATAGATAAGGATCATTTATAAGAGCATAAGCAAATAATTAATATCAACAAGACCTTATCGAATTGCCGAAGCAAGTCAATAATAACTTCCTAAAGGTAGTTAAAAATGCCTAAGCAATAATAAGTACTCTAGATAAATTAATTATCTGAATTCTATCTTGAGGTTATCTCTAATACATCCTTATTGACTAAGTGAACTTCTATAAACTTAGATTCTCTTATCTTATTTTAAGTTTATAAATCATGAATGATCAGCAGAAATCAATTAAACAATGATTAAAACTTATCCTAAATATGATTTCAATCCTATTTAAATGCTGTTTACTTTTTCCTAACTTTATTTTCTATCTACATCTTTATGAAATTTAACCAATCAAAAATTAATTATTAATTAATAAAAAATGTCATCTAAAAACTATAAATTGATTCATTAGAAAATTGCAAATACTACCCGTTACAGAGATGATCCATTATCAATCAATAATAAATACTATGTTCGATTAACTTAAGATTCTACTAGAGTTCTAGATCTGATAGAAAAGGATAAGTAAATCCCACATAAATCTATGATTGATCGATTTTGGGGCCACAAAACTCAAAGACTGCCTGAACCTGTACATTAAGAAGAAAAACATGTTCAATTGCCACAGGAAATTGTACCTTAACAGGAAAAGCAAGAAACTCTACCTTAAATTGAAAAATAAACTGAAACTTAATTCAAGAAAACCATCAGCCTGAAATAATTTAAGGAAAGTTTACTATATGATGAAAGAACTAGTTCTATACCTAAAACCACTATGCATAATCATATAGTTGAAGATCTAATTAGAGATAGTGATATTTTCTTAAAGAAGTCTGAATTGCTCGAGCAAGTCCAAAGTTTGAAAAGATTAAAAGTGTTAAAGAAATATGAAGCTAATCAGTAATTTTAAGTACTCATTTAGTTCTAACCTTCCGGGAGTAGGTAAATTGCCATATATTATCAACGATTATCATTCAAAAAGTACCAATCCTGGATACTCGAGGAATAATAAAGGAAATTTTTTTACAAGATGATAAAATTTTAAGATATTTTTTTAAAAATTAACATTAATATATATGAAACATACTGTAACATCAAGTCCTGGGAAATGCACGAGATCACTTAATTGTAAAGCATATAAAATTTGTAGGTAAGTTTTGAATTACAAACAAATGGAGTCAAAAACAGATATGTTAAGAAAGTAAATTAAAATTTTATGTTGATGTCATGATTAGATGGATAGAAATGATTTTTCTATTGTTCCTGATATTTTAAAAAACTATGACAGTGCAATTAATAACTGAAACATAAGTTTTCTTGTAGATCATTAAATAAATAATAATTATTTATTCAATTTAAGCAGCAACTATTTTGGAGGAAAATTCATACAAATATCAAATTATCATAAAGCATTCAATCGATATAATTAATGCTGTATATTCTATTATTCTAATGCTGTACCCTTCCTTATTCTATTATAGAATCATGGACATCAAAATAAATATATTATATTGAGGACTATATTGCCATCTTTATCATTTGGTTTAAATATATTTATATTAATCATTTTGAGTTAGAGTTCTATTGATTAAATTCTTTTTCCTTCATACCCAAATCAAAATTATATAGTTTTATTAATAATAAATTTATAAAATAACATCATATTAATTTCGATTATATTTTACACAAAATTTATGACTTTAGTTCTTCTCTTTCTAAAAAGTCTTTTTCCCATTAGTCAAGTTGTACCATTTCCTAGAAGTCACATCCTAAAACTGATAAATTAATTGATTTCAAATTTAATTAATTTAATTAATCAAATAAGCATTTGCATTTACTAAATTAGCTAAAATTGGCCATAATCTAATTCTTAAGATTGAATCGTTTTTAGAAATCAGAATAATAGTTTTAGATCAGCTTAAATTTATGGATTTATGTTTGTATGAATGGAATAATATCTCTAAAATTTGAATTTGCAATCTATTTAATCCTTTTGAAAAATTCAATTCTCTCTTAATAACTAATCATCCATTAATTAAATAATTCAATAATTTCCTAAAGCAACATTTTAACTTAATGATATTCAGGAAATTCTAATAAATATCAATAAATATCTTACCAACATAATCGACAATAAAGTCATTCATAATATTGATTTACATTCCTAAGTATTTAGTCTGGAGTCTCTAATCTAACTCTTGATTCTCTACAAATTTTTATCTTCTTTATTTCATTTATTTATTTTTACTATTATCAAGATCACTTTCTTTAAATAAACTATTGTAACTCATGAACTGTTCTTTTTAAACTGGAATTTCATCATATTATTTTATAATTGTATCAATTCGATTCATCTATTTTTAATTATTTTCTTAATCAAAGTGTTAAGGTTTTGATATTTCCACATGACCTTTCTATTATTTAAGTCCCTTTTCCAATTGGTTTTAATACTATGTTTGTTACTTCTTATTTGGATTCTTTAATTTTTGTTAATTCTGTTGTTCTTATTAATCTGCTTTTTGACTATTATGTTTTTATTTATGATTATGTAGATTCACTTATGTTTATGAAGATTCTTATGATTCGTCTTCTGTAATTTATTTATGCTAGTAGATTGGAATGGATTTATGATTTTAAACCTATTCTTATTTTTAAAGTGGAAAGTTTATTAATTTATCTTAATCAAAGCTATCAAAATTCTCTTATTAACTTCTTAATTTTTCTTAGATAATTTAATCTTATAAAGCTATTTCTAATTATTATGTCAAATCTTATATTTATTTTTGAAGGGATTTCATAATATCTTAATATTTAGTTTCTTAATCTTTTAATAATTAACCGTGCTTTTTTTATTCATCTTGTAATTTTTTCAGTTTTACATACTCCACTGACTTCAATCTTGCAATTTCACTCTTTTCTCTTTCCAATCTTTTTTTCTCAGCCTCGACTCTTTGTTTCCATTCTAACTCAAAATCCTTCTACAACTGATTTTTCTCTTATTCGAGCCTTTTCTTATATTACAATCTGATTTATTTGGATTTTTTTGAAACCTCGTCATTAATTTGCTCTTCCAACTCCTCTTACATTTTGAATCTTAATTATTGCTCCAATTAACCTCTTTGAAGAGAATCATCGAATTCGCGAATGACGTCTTGAGCCAATTGTTCCTTCTATTGTTCATAGTCAATTCTTATTTGCTTTTCTAATTCGGCCCTTATTTGTTCCTCATTAAATTGGGACAATTCATCTATTTCTTATTGAAATTTAATTTGATATTCCATTTGCAATTCCTGGCTTACTTGTTCTCGGATCTCTTTCTCAATGTCTGGTAGCAATTCCCGTACTGTTTCTAAAATAATTTCGTTAGACATATTTTAAATTATTATTATCAAATATAATGGAATTAAAGTCTAACTTTGGTGGCAAATCTTCTCTGGATTAGGATAAATCCGCAATAGATAAAATTCAAAACGAAGTCAAATTGATATATTTCAAAGTGACTCAATCGCTCTTGAAGGAGGAAGAACAATCAATCGTTCTCAATTTACTAGCCATCATCATTCAGTTCTTTTAAGCGACTTACATCATCTTCAATCGTCAAACATGGAAAATTTGGTAGACTTTTGAAGTAACCGAATGGCTTAATAAGATATTTGGGTAATGTTAAATAAGCTAACAAGATATTCGATGCTAGTTCCTTACTTTAAAATGCTATCATTTCCAGCCCTCGTTGCTATGATGTATGTCTGCTTAGGTTTGGTAGTCTTTGCATTCATGCTGATCTTCTTTCTAAGCTATAGATTGAAATCAGCATTTACATGGCCAATATACATTTTGAGAATTTTGATTCAAATGTTCCTCTCAATTCTCTACATGCCAATCATGGATCTATTTTTTTCTTTGATTGCTTGCACAACGGATGAAAATGGAGATAATGTAAACTAAATTTTTAATGATGTTACTTGCTGGTAAGGAGTGCATATAGTACATGGTATTGTATCCATTTTGGGAATTGTTATATTCTATCTATTTTGTATTACTTTTGCTATGATTTATTATGAACCAAGATATCTACCTAAAGAACCTCACTCTAAGAAGTCTGGTAGAAATTTAACAATTTTTCTAACCTATGAACTAGTGATGATCATATGCTATACATTTATGGTGGGAAGATCATATGATTACCTATTTATTCTGATTATGTTGGTTGGCAGTTTTATTGTGTTTTGGAAAATGCACATTGAAAATCCACACAATAATGTTTACATAGCTAAAATGTGGTCTATGCTTGTATCTGTTAATATGTGGAGTGTCATCCTATTATGTTTTGCTAAGTTCCTTGAGGGTTAGTTGTTTTTTGGAACAATCTATGCTTGGTTATCAGGATTACCATTAATGATCATAGCAGTTTTAAAAACCGAAAAGTTGAATTATGATTTGCTTTTGACTAATCTAAATAAGGTTACAGATCCCCAAGATGTCCTGAATTTGACAGATCATCTTATCAAACTGTACAACATTTAAGATGCAGATTCATAATTAATGATTGATGGATTCCTAGAAATACACAGAGCCACTTGTGCAAGAGAGGATTGTTATTTAAAATAAAAGAAACTACCAAATTAGAGATTGGCTAAACCATTCTTTAAGGATTAAAACCTTCAGGAAAGAGATGTTGATTTACTGATGGTTCTAGGTTAAATTTATTTCAATCAAATAAAAAGATTCCCAAACGAAATATCCTTAAGATTGAGATACTCGTTGTTTCTGCTGGATCTAATGAAGTAGAGGTAATAAGCTTTAAATGAACTAATATAAACCGAGTAATTATGTCCAAGCTTTGATAATGAATTCATAATTTTTAGGTATAAGTAAATTGTAGAATATGAAATGAATGCAGCATAGAATGAAAATATGGGTAATTTGGATGTTGCAACAGAATTAGCATTTCAAAATCACATGAGATCATTTTAGAATAAAATTGAAAGAGCAACCCTTATGCATATGGACTTCTGGTCCTAATTATAGGAAGACTCCCCTGATTTAGGTAAAATGAACAATATTGGAGCCAAGATTAATTTAGCAATTACTTAAGTTGAAGAGCTGTGGAATAAAATGCAAATGATGACACAAAATCTGCCTAAAGCAATGAGATTATATGGAAAATTCATTATTGAAGTGTTATAAGATAAAGATTACGGAGAAGAATTATTAGAGAAGGCTCGTAGACTATAATAGTAAAATAGTAAGAACAAGAATAAATAGATGATTTCGATATTAAGTGGTGAAGATTTAAGTTAAGAACCTAATCCCACTACTTTGGTTTCAACAGCGGCTGAGAAATTTGCTTAGATAATCAATTTAAATTTATCATGTTGCAATTTATTTGGATATAGCAAGTCGGAAATGATAAATAGAAAGATCAACATTTTTATGCCAAATCTTTATGCTAAGTTCCATGATTCTTATGTCGAACACTTCCTTTAGACAAATGACAATAAAAATATTAACAAAGAGAGACTAATCTACATTAAATTGAAATCAAATTACATAGCTCCATGTTTTTTAATGTTGAAAATCATTCAATCTTTGGATGACAATTTATAATTGGCTGCACAATTTAGATTACCTAAAATATTCAGACCCACATGCTACATCATTACTGATTCAGAGGAAGTTATAGATTCTATATCAGCCTCCTGTATCCCATTGTTGAGTATTGATTAGAAAGTGATTTCCCACAAAAAGGTGTCTTTGCTAGATATTTTCCCTAAATTTGCAGAAAATAAATCATAATACTTAACTAAACTAGGAGGACTGCTGTAGTTTTCAGCCTAATAGTCATAATTCAGTAATTCTAATATAACAGAAGAGAAGGAACAAGACCAAATAACATTCATGTGTTACATGAGCGAAGTAATGAATGATACAATTGATTCACTTGCTGGGTACGTCGTAAGATTAGAATAGTAAGGATAAGATCAAAGTGTCAATTAAGAGTTGCTTGCAAACAACAATGCTTTGAAGAGTGGGAGCAGCTTATAATTCAAGTTTAACCCTCAACGTGCTATGTTTAGTGGTGAATTTGTAGCAGATACTAATTCTTAGAGGGTAGATTAAACCATCTTATGGGATTAAAATGATTAATCATCTATGATATCCTCAAATTAGGTTGATGTTCTGAATACAGGGAATATAAGATCATAAATGAAGACTGATAAATCTGAGGAATAGAATTTAAACAATAAAATTAACTATGGAGAAGGTATTAAAATATTAAGATTGTTTGAAAACAGGATCTAGGACATAGATGATAAGGATGAAATAATGTCAGATGATGAGGAGATTGGGAAGAATAGCGTATTTTAAAATAATTAAGAATAAGCAATAGAGAATGATTAATAAAGAAACGAGTAGAATAACATTTTTAGATCCAGAAAGAATCTATACTAAATTATTAATAGTAATTAAACACCCAAAGTGATCACCAAATTAGGTTGGACTGCAAATATACTTGCATTGATTTTGGTCGTGCTTTCTTTCGTGGATTTCTTCATTATCTATGCATAATATGAGGACATTTATAATACAATCCTTTTGGTTAGGAGCTAAAATTAAAGAAATGCAGAACTCTAAACGATAACAACGAGTGTTCAGAATCTCTTAATGTTAAATTTAGATGTTTGGCAATTAAAAACAGATGCTGATAAAAAGGCCTATGAGACGACATGGAAAACTAAATTGAATAACTCAATTACTAATGTTGATAATTTAAATAAAGAGTTGATGCTGTCTAATGTAGGCTTAAGTGATTCAATCGTAAAATAACTAAGTACTGATATTGTCACAATGAGATCGAGTGATGGCAATGAATAATTGTATGATTTATCTGAAGCAATTTAATAAATAATCAGTAAATCACTTATAATCAGAGAAAAGAATATTGCCAATATCAGTATGAAGGACATTGATGTAAAGTTTGTGCTTTATAATTCCTTGAATAGTTTAATCTATTAACTAAGATTATTTTCTACTATGTACGCTAATGAGTTGAGAATCAAAACTTAGAACAATGGCGAAACATTCCTATTAATTCTAGGAGTCTCAGCTGCTGCTATAGGACTTGGTTTGATCATTATGATTATTGCTATGATATCTGTAAGCAAAAACTAAGAAGAAGTCTTAGCCATGTTTTTAGATCTCCCAGACAAAACTGTTAAATATCTGTATAATAAAAGTGAGAACTTTATTTCTAATTTGTAAATGGGTGAAGATGATGAGATGATGTCAGAAATAGACGATGGGGAAAAGGAGGAGTAGGAAGAGTTAAATAAGACGTTGAAGACAAAGAGAAAGAAGAAAAAGTTTAAGAATACTAATAAAGATCAAAGAAACTTTATTTTTGGCATATTTTTTGTTTTGTCAGTAACTCAAGGATATTTTGTGTTGAATTATATTCTAAGCAATACATTTCTTACTAACCTTGATCAAATGATACCAGAAATCAATGCAACTGCCAGGGCTGAAAGCTTTTATAGATTTGTTGATATAGGAGAAAGAGCTTTATTTTTGGATAGAAATTAAACAATTTTGAATGAGGATGCTTACACAATTGTGAAAAATAATCTTAATTCACTTTATACTTTAGACTCATCCATGCACCAAGAACATTCTTTAAATGTAGAAATTACTAATCAAATATACCTTGATGCTTTTAAGGAAATGTTTATGTCTCAACCGTGTACAATTATGGCAACTGTAATGAATGAAGTTATTGAGTAAGATTGTTAGACTTTTGCAGATGGAGCCATCTTTTAGGGAATGGCAGTTGGAGTTGCTCGTTACTTTGAAAATTTGAGGTACATAATGACCATATATGATTAATTTTGGAATAATTCGAAAGCTAATTTTACTTAATTGGCTCGTGGATTTGCTACGTTTAAGAATATCACTAAAAATTAAGATAATACAACAAATTTAGTTCTAAATCTTAATAATTTCAATCACACAAAAGAGGCAAGATAAATGCAGGACAATTATCATAGAGGAACATTTCGTTATTTAATTAAAAAAATGATTGAGGGAATTTACCAAGATATGGAAAGTAGTAGAACTTAGCTTCTTGCATTCTTCATTGTATTTGAAGTTCTTTTGTTCGTTATATATTTTATATTGTGGTTGCCATTGGTTGTTAAAATGACCAAAGACATTTGGAGAACAAGAGCCATGATCATGATGATTCCTTTGAGAGTTATCCAAAATATTAGATCTATTAAAGCCTACATCAAAGACAACATACAGATAAATGATATTGATGTGTGATTTTATCTATATATCTAATATCTATATTATTTAATAAATGGTTCCAATAGTCTAATTTAATTCTGGCGTTTTCCAAACCAAAGTGAACATTCTAAATTTTAGTATCTAACTTTATGATTGAAATTTATCAAAGATTTTCCTCTTTGAATTTGTTCTTGCACTCTTTTTCACTTGTTAGTTATATTTAATTTGAAAAATAAATCAAATAATTGCAATTAATTAATTAATTAATTATTTTTTGTATTTTATTTATCATAATTTATTTTAAAAAAAGAACAAATATATCTAATAATTTTTAAAATTTAAGAATTATTACAAGATACAGAATAAACACATAATATAATATATTCCCTTTACTATTAACCAATATCTTCACTTATTAATTGATTTTTCACTTTAGTATTTTATGCAAAATAATTAAAACTATAAATGTAATTAGAGTTTGGTACATCATTATATAAATGAAATGACGGTAAAATCAGTTTTCTTGTATATTTTTATATAATTTTAATTTATATTGGATTTTTCAACAATGATTATAATTTGAAATTTATAATATAGATTATTATGAAACACTTTTAATTAATAGCCTTTACATTAAACTCTTCCAAAACACTGAGAATTATTGGAAAGAACAGGATTTAAGAATAATCTTATTCATAATTATGATTATTCAGGATGTGTTTTTGATTACCCCCCTATTTAATTTGAAATAATTGGAGTTATTAGAAATATTAATTAAAATTTCTGATAGAGTGTTTTCAATTATAATATTTTTATTAATACTTATAATACTTTTTTATGATATACCAAAGATTTTAAGTTATTACTTGAATATAGAACTAATTGAGGGCAACATTTATTGTGTTTTAAATGTTTATTGAATTTGTTTGGATTGGCTAGAGAGAAGGGAAACTGAGGGATTCTTGGGAACAATTGCCAAAAGTGGTTGATTGGGGATTAACCTGTGAAAGTATAGATTGGGACAAGGGGAGGAATAATGAAAATTTATTTATTAAATTAAAAATGGAACTAAAATCAAATTTTGGCACTACAAAAGGTTCTTTAGATTCCGAGAGGTCGATAATTGATAAGATGTAGACTGAACTAAAAGGGGTGTTCTTCCGAGTGATCTAGTTGATGTTGAAGGATGAGGAATAATCAATTCCTTTTACTTGCATTGGAATATTGTTGCAATACATGCAGATCACTTATATAATATTCAATAGGTAGATTTGGAAAGTATGGCAGAACGAGATACTATCTAAGTAGTTGAATAAAATCTTTGGGTAAGGACTTTTGTTAAATTAGATATGTACTGTTGACGCCATATTTTGAAATGATAAGTTTTTCTGGATTTGCAGCTATGATGTATGTCTGTTTGGGCCTCGTTTTGTTCGCATTAATGCTCATCTTCTTATTAAGCTATAGTATCAACAAATCCAAGAGTTCATTCACTTGGCCAATAATGCTCCTAAGGTTTTTGATAAGCGTATTTCTCTAGGCCTTGTACATGCCAATCATAGATTTACTTTTGTCTATGTTGGCATGTCAGGCCGATGAAGATGGTATACTGAAACACCAAATGTTCGATGTTCAATGTTGGTCCAATATTCACATAGTACATGCGATCGTGGCCATCTTCGGAACGATATTATTTTTTGTTCTCTGCATAATATTCTCCCTACTATACTACGAATCAAGGTACCAACCACATGAAGCCTCATCAAAATTGACAGGCAGAGCAAATGCAGTTTTTTTGACTTACGAATTGATAATGGTTATTTGTTACACATTTATGAATGGTAAGAATTATGATTATTTGATGATATTAATTATGATGGTTGGAAGTTTCACTATTTTCTGGAAAATTCATGTTGAAGCTCCATTCAATAATATGTATGTCCAAAAAGCTTGGTCAATGTTAGTGGCTATGAATATGTGGGGTGCAACTTTATTATGCTTCGCTAAATTTTTAGAAGGAGTCCTCTTTTTTGGCACAGTCTATGCTTGGTTGGCAGGTCTACCATTAATGCTGATTGCTATAATAAGAAGTGAAAAAATGCATTATGATCTGCTTTTACTGAATCTAAACAAAGTCTAAGATCCAGATTAAGTACTTCATCTAACAAACCATCTTTTGAAATTATTTTACAAGAGTCAGCAAAACCAAAATTGCTCGTTGTTGTTAGATGGATTTTTGGAAATACACAAAGCAACATGCACAAGAGAAGATTGTTATTTAAAATAAAAGAAATTAAACAATTCTAGATAATAAAAACCCTTGTTTAAAGAAGGAACTGTGACAGAGAGAGACGTGGACTTGCTAATGGTGATGGGCTAAATCTATTTTAATCAAATCAAGAAGTTTCCAAATGAAATCAGTCTTCGTATCAGATATTCGTTTTTCTTACTTGATAATTTGAGATAAAGGTAACAATCATTAAATGAACTAATACAAGCAGAAACATTATGTCCTAGTTTAGATAATGAATTTATTATCTTCAGATATAAAAGAGTGATTGAGGATGAAATGAATGCAGCATAGAATGAAAATATGGGTAATTTGGATGTTGCAACAGAGTTAGCATTTCAAAATCATATGAGATCATTTTAGAATAAAATTGAAAGAGCAACCCTTATGCACATGGACTTCTGGTCCTAATTATAAGAAGATTCTCCTGATTTAGGTAAAATGAATGACATTGGAGCTAAGATTAATTTAGCAATCACTTAGGTTGAAGAACTTTGGAATAGAATGCAGAAAATGACATAAAATCTACCTAAAGCTATGAGATTATATGGAAAATTCATTATTGAAGTGTTATAAGATAAAGATTATGGAGAAGAATTATTAGATAAATCTAGACATCTATAGACTCAGAATAACAAAATGAAGAATAAACAAACAATATCCCTTATTAGTAGTGAAGACATTGGATATGAGTCATAGCCTACTCTATTGGTGTCTACAGCTCAAGAGAAGTTCGCGTAGATTACAAATTTGAATTTGGCATGTTGCAATTTGTTTGGTTATAATAAGTCGGAGATGATCAATCGTAAGATCAATATATTTATGCCAAATTTGTATTCGAAATTCCATGATGCTCACGTCGAGAACTTCCTATCATCCAACGATAATAGAAATATTAATAAAGAGAGATTAGTGTATATCAAGATGAAATCCAATTATATTATGCCCTGCTACATTTACTTGAAAGTGATACAATCTATAGATGATAATGTGTAATTGGCAGCGTAATTCAGAATTCCTAAATCTTTCAAACCTTCGTGCTATTTGATTTTGGATAGTGAAGAAGTCATCGATTCAATTTCATCATCCTGCATTCCTTTATTGAACATCGATTCAAAGTTAATTTCACATAAAAAAACACCGATTACAGAGATATTACCAAACTATATGCAATAGAAACAATTGTTTTTATCGAAAGTGGGAGGCCCAATCGTTTTCAATCCTGCCACTCAATCAGGTGTTAGCAATAGTCAATTGGCCTCTCAGGAATTAGATGATCAAGATAAGAAGGATGACAATATTCAGTTTTAATGTTATACTTACGAAGTAATGAATGAAAACCAAGACTAAGTTGTTGGATACATAGTTAAGTTAGAATAATAAGGAACGGAAGTTAGTATGAATTTAGAAGTCAACAATTTATAATAGAAAGTTCTTAGTAATAGTATGCAATTTAAGTACAATCCTTCTAAAGCTCTGTATTTAGGAGAGTATGTTGCTGAATCTAATTCACAAAGAGTTGATTAGACAATTCTCTGGGATTAGAATGATCAATCTTCAATGATATCTTCAGTTTAGGGAGGTGTTGAAATTATCAAGTCTTAGGTTAAGACCGAAAAATCAGATGAATTAAATGTGTAATAGCAAGTGAAAATCAATTATGCAGAGGGAATCAAGACTCTCAGATTATTTGAGAATAGAGTACAAGACATAGATGATCGAGATGACATGATGTCGGAAGAAGATGATCAATAAGGAAAGAGTGTTTTCTAAAGACAATAAGATGTGGACAATGAATAAGAGGGTTAACAACAGGATTTCAATAATGTATTCAGATCAAGAAAGAATCTATCACTTGTAGTCAACAGTCAAGTTACACCTCCTGTTGTAACCAAGTTGAGTTGGACTGCCAATATTTTAATCCTCGTATTGGTAGCATTGAGTTTTGCAGATTTCTTTGTTTGTCAAGCACAATATGATGAAATATTTAATACAATCTTATTGGTGGAGGATACCAATTTAAGAACTGCTGAATTGCATACTATATTATCAACAACTCAAAATTTGCAGATGTTGAATTTGAATGTCTGGTAATTGAATTCAAGTGCGGACATAACTGCATATGAATAGTAAGAAAAATCTAAACTTAATAAATCTATTTAGTAGGTTTCTTTGTTAAATAAAAATTTGATGTTGTCTGATATCTTTATAAGTGATGAATTAAGTGAATTGTAGAGTGAGGATGTTGTTAAAATGAAATTTGGGAATGAGTATCAAAGTTATGACATTATGGAAGCTACTCAATAAATTGTGAGTAAAGCTTTAAATGTACGAGATAAGACATTAAGTAAAATTGTATTTGAGGATGATGATGTAGGGTTTATCATCTACAATCTCCTCAATGATCTCGTATTCTAATTGAGAAATTCGAGTAACTTATACGCAAAGGGTTTGACAAATAAAACGACTGAGAAGAAAGAGACGTTTTTAATTATTTTAGGTATATCAGCAGGAGCCTTGGGTTTGGGGTTGTTGCTATTGACTTTCATAACGCTGTCTGTCAATAAAACACAGGAAGAAATACTGTCAATGTTTTTAGACATTCCAGACAAGACAGTCAAGTATTTGTATAATAAGAGTGAGAATTTCATTTCTAATCTTCAAATAGGAGAGGAGGAAGAAGTATTATCAGAGTTGGAAGAACTTGAAAAGGAGGAATAAGAGGAACTCAATAGAACATTAAAGAGCAAAAGGAAGAAGAAAAAGTTTAAAAATACTAATAAGGATTAGCGTAATTACATTTTCGCTTTCTTTTTAATCATATTAATTTTGTAGGCTTATTTTATATTCAACTATTTTATGTCAGACACTCTTTTAAGCAATTTGGCTTAATTAGTGCCTGAAATTAATGCTACTTGTAGAGCAGAAGGTTTCTATCGATTTGTTGATAATGCAGAGAGATCCCTCTATATTAACAGGAACATGACAATATTGAATGAGGACTCTTATACGATTGTTAAAGAAAATATTGATAAATTATATGCATTGGATTCTTCAATTCATTAGGAGCACTCTTTGAATGTAGATATTACCAATTAGATATATTCTGATGCATTCAAACAAATGTTTATGCTTCAACCATGTACAGTGTTATCTTAAGATATGAATGAGATGTCAGAGAATGATTGTTAGACATTTGCTGATGGTGCTATGTATTAAGGAATGGCAGTTGGAGTGGCTCGGTATTTTGAGAATATTAGATACATTATGACAATTTATGATCAATTTTGGAATGCTCCTAAAGCCAATTTTACAACCATCGCTAGAGGTTTCACCACATTTAAAAACATTACTTAAAATACTGACAATGTGACCAATTACATTCTTAATCTAAACAATTTTAATTAATCGAAGGAATCAAGAGTGATTTAGGAAACTTACAATAGGGGTAATTATATATATGATTACTAATTTTAGGAACATTTAGGTATTTAATGTAGTAAATGCAGGCAGGCATCAACAATGACATTGAGAGTGCCAAAACTCAAAGATTGGCATTATTCATTGTATTTGAAGTCTTGCTTTTTATTATTTACTTCATTTTATGGTTACCATTAGTATTGAAAATGACGAGAGATATCTGGAGAACAAGGTCGATGATAATGATGATCCCATTGAGGGTGATACAAAGAATTAGATCAATTAAGCAGTTTATCAAGGAATTCTTACATGCGAAGGATCTTGATTCTTGATATAATTATCTATATATGTATGCTGATTTTATAAATTAACAGAAAAAAAAATGGATCAAAAATAGAAGATGCAACACCTTATGAACAATTTCATGAAGAAGGAATAAACAAAGCAAAGTCAGGTGACGATTAAGTTGTATGTGAATAATGAGTTTTCATAATAAATTTAATATCCCACTTGCAATTAGACCGCCACTCAATTAGTTGGTTACTTGCGAAACCTACTTAATCAGACTTAGATTGTTGGATTTCAGAGTTTGGAAAGTAATATTCATTTAGATTACTACTTAACAACAAATAAGGATTTAGGAGTATTGAGTAATCAAACTCTCTCTTTAAAGCCTGTGTATGGGATATATCAGAATGCGATCAACTTGGATTCATTTTATTTTTTGTAATGCATAGGGATAGGTGGATTCAGCAGAGTCTATTTAGTTCGATATAAGTTTAACGGCTAATTTATGGCATTGAAGATGATTTCAAAATCATTCATTGAGTAAAATGACAAATTTCAGATTGTTCAGAATGAAAGAGATATTATGGTGCATCTGGCCAACAATAATAATTCACATCCAAATCTTTGTAAATTATTGTGTTCCTTTGAAACCAAAAATTGGGTATGTTTTGCTATGGAATACTGTCCTGGCGGTGAATTATTCTAACAATTGAAGAGAGTGAAGAGGATGGATGAATAATAAGCAAAATTCTATTTTAGTCAAGTGTGTATGGCAATCCATCACTTACATGAAAATAAGGTCATTTACAGAGATATCAAGCCTGAGAATATTCTGATTGATGCAGAAGGACACATTAAATTGGCTGATTTCGGATTAGCAAAACCTAATGTCGAAGATGACAAATTGGCATACTCCTTCTGTGGTTCTCCTGAATACATGGCACCAGAGATGCTGTTAAAATTGGGACACAATTATTAGATTGATCATTATTGTTTAGGAGCACTCCTATACGAACTATTGACAGGATTGCCTCCCTATTATTCTAACAATCCAGAACAAATATACTAAAATATTTTGTAACATGATCTACCTCTGCCAAATAAGAATTTAAGTGCTGAGGCCAAAGATTTAATATCTAAGTTGTTGCAGAAGGACATGCAATATCGATTGGGAAGAAATTACGGAATCTACGAAGTATTGAAACACCCGTGGTTACAAGAATTCAATTTATATAAATTGATTAATAGATCTTATGATCCTCCATTCAAACCAGATCTATTTAAAATGAATTTTGATCAAAAAGAAATAGTTAGTGGAGAAAATTAGTTTTAGAAAGAATTGCAAAAGTCTATCAACTCAGAAGCAGAAAGCATTTTTAATCCATTCTTCCACAATTTCTATTATTCATCATTTACTTGCAAATAACCATAAAGATCCTCCTCAATTACCCAAATAAATATCTCGAATGCTGATGACAAATTCACTAATATATTACTGAGTACAACTAAATCTAAACACGCTTCTTAGGCTCATTCGTCGTCTAGTCAATCTTAATTGAAGAAGAAGAAAGTAACATAGAACGATGTTGAGAATAAAGAAAACTTAGTCAAGAATAACACTTAGATGATGTTGAAAGCTGGGGCTAAACACAAGAAAAATAATTAAAGTATGCCTGATAATGTTTTGAATGTTCAATAAAATGAATTGAGATCATATTCATCGTAAAAAGTAAATGAACAATTACAAAAACTAGCTAATACTTATTAAACTAATCAATTGAAATCGCCTTCAACTGAAAATGATGAATAAAAGTAATAAAAATTATTATTTGGTGAAAATAAATAGCTTAATAAAAACTAGTCTAATTAATGTTCTCTTATCAGATATTTTAAATAATGAATTTATTCACAATATATCAATAATTTCAATCCTATAAAAATTTTGAGAATTTAACATTTAAAAGTTGTCTCCTCTCTCTTTCCTCCTTTCTCCACAAAGTTTCATCTAATTAAGCATGCTCAGTTCTATCCTCCTTCTCCGCATCAAACTCTATTTGTTTGTCACCCTATTTAATTGTTACCTGTAACTTCACCTAGAATAGTCTCTTATAGATATCTGCCATACCTATCTCAATCTCATTCTTCACCTACTTAATAGCCCTACCATCTTCTCCAATGACAATCCTCGCTTAGGATGATGTCTAAACATTGATTTAGACTTCAATTTTAGCTGACTCTTTGCTAGTTACTCTGAACTCTTTCACATATATACCGATAACAAATGGGATTTCATTATAGAATCTTTTAAATATAGCTTATCTGACTATTTATTCCAATTAGTCCATGGGAGTAAATAGATGTTTCTGATTTTCATTATATTTCCATCTACATTAAAAACTCTGAGAATACAGATATTATTTCAACTCCTCCATTCCATACCCTGTCTAAGAGGATATATAAAATGTCTAATCATACTTCCCTAGATCTTCCATCTCAGTTTACAACCACTTCAATTTCTTCTTATTAAAGCATAAATCCATCTTATTAAAAACAAGTATTTTAGGAATTGGTTTTTCCTCTGACTGTTTGAAATCATCCTCATTTCTAAAGTAACTTCTTAATTGCTCTTAATCTACTCTAATTTTGTTTAATCTTGACATGACATTCTTCATACTGATGTCTAAAGTCTTGATTGCATCGATTAAAATGATCACCATATTGGTGTCTTCAATAACATCCCAAGCCTTTGTCACGAAATGCTTTGAGAATTTGTAACGCTTGGTCACTCCTGGGGTATCCACAAGTTCTATCTGAACACCACTTTTGACATCTGTATGCACTCCTCTGATTTCTGAGACTGTGGTATTACTCTTGTTTGATACTGCACTTATTGGCTCGCCTATCATCTGGTTCAAAAATGTTGATTTCCCTGAATTGGGTGGTCCGATAATGGACACAGCCAAGAATTTCTATTCTTCAATGGCAACAGATGGTTTTTGCGCTAATGGTTTCAATAATATTTTATTGGAGACCTTTGTGCCCAAATCAGCTGTTTTAATAGCTTTTTCATTGATAGTGTAGAGAGTGGCTGGTGTTTCATAATCTTCCAATAGAAATCGCTCAGGTTTTGTTGGGGACAGAATGTCAATTTTTTTAGTCAATGGATTAGATGGATGCTGATAGGGTCTTAGTGTTTTTGCTTCTATTTTTTTAGGAGGAGCATACTTTTTCAGTTTCTGCAAATTAGACATGCAATAACCACAAATTTTGAACATTATATTATATTTGAAAAACAAAATAGAAAAATTATATAAAAAACTTCAATGAATTTTATTTCTTTTGAGGACTTTAATTAATTTAGGTTTTTCAACGCTTCTCTCAGTTTTTAATTTCATCTAATACAAATCTAAGACATTATCCTTTTTGGGCTAGCTCTTTGTGCTCGTATTGAGTGTGCTCCGATACGAGTTTTGGGTTTAAATGTTGGAATCTTCATTTTTTGGAATAACTAATTTTCTATTTTAGAGCTGTTAGTAAGTTAACTTCATTTAATTAATTTTCTAGTTGGTTTTGAACGAACTTGATAAACTGGTACCTTATGGCTTAGGTTTGCTTAAGAGTTTATGAATTTACTATAACAGATAAAAATATTGGGTAGTACCTACTGCAATTAATAGCTAATAGAGAAGGGCTTTAAGACGTTGTTCAAATTAACAGTATTGGATAGTTTCATTTTTAAATCTCCTGCCGATTTTATTATCTTCAATTGCTTCTTTACTATGAAAGATGACAAACTGAATTGTATACCATCCTAAGATTTAGATCCATAAAACTATTTGCTAAGTGACTTGAAATAGTCGTCATCGTTTTCCTTGAAGAGTCTAGATTCCACAAGTTGAGAGTCATCGTTCTCAACCATGAAACTAAGAAACTATTCATCATTTTTCATTATTTTATTTTTTTATTTAATAATTGGGCTTGTAAGTTTAGAAACTCTAGTAAGAAATTACTGAGTAATCTTAATAGGAGAGAGTATTTTTACAGTTTAAAAGAGTTGGAAGATATGCTTGAAGATAACCTAAAGGAACATAAGGAAATCATGGATAAATAAAATTGTATCAAAATATAAGAAGAAAGAGTTTAAGAATCTCAAAAAATAATTAATAGAGGCAATCATTAATGGATATTCATAATAGTATTAAAAATAAATATATTTTGAGAATAATTCAAAAGGTGTAAGTGGAACCATTATTTTTCAATAAGAATCAGAAATATCTTACTTCTAATTGACAGTTTTATGATAAAGCATTTGCTCATCTACTAAGGCAGTTGCTTCTTCAAGTTAGCTCTAAAATTGAAGAGTATGAAATGAAGATTGAAATCTTAAAGGATGACCATCTAAAACTTTGAGTGACTCACAGACTTAAATAACAGCCTTATAGCAAAAGTTATTGATTTGTAAAAAGATGTAAAATAAGGGAAAACACAATATTTTAACAGATTGCTACAATTAAAATATGGTATAGGCAATTATCCAATAATTACTATGAGTAATTCTATGAAAATGGTGATTAAGATGACAATCTGAAAATTAAATAAATCAAATAAAATTCTCTATTCTTTATCAAAAGATGAATGGATATTGATCAGTTGAATATTTAATTTTTTTTATCTTTTATCTAAGATTTATTATAAACTCTTGGTTAGAAAATTCCAAAAAAAACTGTAAATATCATATTAATCCTAGATCGATAATCAATCAAAGAATACAAAATTTTAGCCCCTTCTTAAATAAATAATCCGTATCAATAAGATAGTTTTGAAAATCAATAGTTATTGAATTGCTAAGATGAGAAGTAGTCAATATAATGAAAACTGAGATATGAATAAAGCCAACTGATCTTAAGAATAGGATTGAAACATAAAGTATTGGATGATATTGAATAAATAAAAATTGTGATTGATTTTAATTTTTTAAATTAAATTAGTAGACCAAATTATAATAACTATAGACATAAAGATCTATTTTAAATAAATAGATAAAAAATATAGATTTTAGTTTAAGAAGGATTTCACCAAGCAAGATCTCTTTTTACATCGATGATCTATTGTATATCATATATGTTAAACTAAATTATATCAACAACCAAACATTTATCCACATAATAAATTCCTTAAACCAGGCTTTTTAAAAAAATAATGACAAACAGGATAGAAAATTGATAAACATTAGAGCCATCAACTATATCGAAACTTAACCAAAGTCAATTTTTGAAATTTTTATAAACTATAAATACTAATGCATTATGATAATTTCATAATTCGTTCACTTAAAAAAGAGTTACTAATACTTATTTGCTTTTTTAAAAGGTCTATATTCATATTAATCTGCCATATTATCTTTATTGTTTAATGGTCGATTACTTGATTTAATTTATGAAACTAATGTACTTTAGGTACTTTTTTAGTGTTCAGTCTTTTATTACTAACTGATCGTAAATTGGGGTTTAACAGAAAATTCTCTAAAACTGTAAGATTGGAAAGACTTTACAAAGGAAGGGTTGAGTTTAGGTTTCTATTTGATTCTTGTTGAAGAAGATTCATCGGGATCAACATTGCATTCACTAGATTCCAGATATTTGGATTTTAAAGAGCTTGATCTACTTGAGGGTTTACGAGTAGAAGAAAATCTAGAGAGTTTTTCTGTTGAATTGCCAGGAGATTTGATTTTGTTAATTGACTTTTCAGTGTTTTCAGCAAAGCGATTAGTTCTCCTTTCTGTTCTGATTTCATGTTCTTGGTAGGTGTAATCACATGATACATAATTGATGTAGCATTAGCATTGACACTTACCAACAATGATTGTTCCCATATTCTTAATTTAATTTATTAATTGAGTTAATTATATAGAATTGATTGATAGGTTGGATTGATGATGTAAATAATGAAATCAATTTCCTATAAAATAACCTGCGACTAAGGCGATTACAACAGCCAACAATAGTTAAGAGATACTCAGATTATTCTTGTCTAAGAATTAGTGATATTTGAATTACCCTTTTTTAATTATGCTTATTAGGTTTCAGCTTCAATTTTCTTTCTGAATTCAAGATATTCTTGTTACTATATTATTAGATTGTATAAATAATTACAAGCTTTTCAAATTGGTCTTAATATTGTTTAATTTGGTCATCCTTTTCTGATTTTGGTTCTATAACAGACTTGAACATTTTGGATTCTTATTATTGCGAAACACTAGCATTGGAATCAAGTATTTTGGAATCAGGAACTGACTGAAACGATTAAGCATCCTGTTGAGCATTCTATTATTTTATTCTGCTTTTAATTTATTAGGATTAAATAGTTGATTGATCTCTGTTTTTCCAGAATTGAGTCAGATCTAAGCAATATTAGATATTATATAGAGTACCTTGATCAGGAAAGTCAATAAAGCAAGCATTAACTTAAAATTTTGGATCAAATTTTGCATCAGCCTTTATGGGTTGACTTGTAGATATCTCAATTAGTTGGGTCTAATTGATATTGATAACACCCACGCTTGGTTTCACTTGAAACAAGGTAGGCGTTGTTGTTTTTATCTATTTTATTTGAAATTAATGATACTTTGAATGCGACATCTTGTTAAGTCAAATTTTTAAGGGATAATTGAGCGTGTGCTAATTTGTTTTCTTCAGCCTCAAATTCTAAAAATTGTTTAGGTTCGATTTCGATTAGCCCTTGCATAGAGTTAAGAAATTAATTTAAATATTCGATATTAAATTATATGGTTGTTCATAATTATTCTCTCAAAAAGATGGAAGGATAAAGAAATTCCATCTATTTTGCTTTATATATTAGATAAATAAACAAGGGAATATTTTTCAATAAATATATTAATAAAAATGGCTGAAGAGTCAAGTATTATTTTGCATTTGCACTCTCTCAAGGACAGCATTAAAAGTGCTTTCAAAGTTTTTGGTGATATTGATATCCAGTGCCAAGAAGAAGAGATCATGCAAAACCATACCAAGGAGGTAAAGTTAGCAATTTATCATTAGGTTGAAGAGAATAAACAAAATCAAGAACCAAAATACATCACATTAACTGATTAAAAAAGAGTACTCAATAATTTTGATAATTTAATTTGTTAATTATAATTAGTTACACCATTCTATAGTGATCAAAAATAGTACTATATACAATAATTAGTTTAACCTTTGACTCGAATGACAAGAACAAAAAGCAAACCCAATTGAAAAACCAATAGATGTGGGATCAAATTAAGTAAGAATAGAAAGAACGATTTGCAAAGTACCAGGATGAAACAATTGTAGATAAAATATTCCAGTTGGATGCCAAACTCAAGGAAGATTATGAATACAGTCTTCAATACATGACTGGTAATTAAAAAAAAACAATACAAATCAAATAACATGATATTCAAAAATTAAATCCACCAAATTATTTGAATGATGGCATCATTAACTTTTACCTTAAGTTTATAGAATTCGAATTGATAGATTAATCATTACGAGCCAAAACCTACATCTTCAATACATATTTCGTAGTGAAACTATGTGCTTTTGAGAAACTACAGATGATTGGCTAAAATGATCATGCAAAACTGATTGAACTATTTAAATTGTAGTATGAATAGATAAAAAAATGGATTAAGGAAGATCTAACTGAAAAAGAGTACTTGTTATTTCCAATTAATTTGCCAGAACATTGGTCCTTGTTGATAGTACACAAAAAGACCAAATCCTTTGCTGACTCATTGATAATCTACTTGGATAGTTTTGGAATTATGGATCAAAAGCTAATCACAATCATCAAGATGTAATATTTGTATTCCATAACATTTCAAGGTACCTTCACAAAATCAATTGCGATGTGAATTCAATCGAAGTCAATTACAATGATTCTCCTATCAAGGGTATCCCAGCCTATTAATTATTGGTGCCTCGTTAAGTTAATTACGTTGATTGTGGAGCATTTCTTTTAGAGTATGCAGAATCATTTCTATCAAACCCCAATTATTTATTGTCAGATGTCGAATCCCAAGAGGGCATTTACAAATTAAAATTGTTTCCAAGATCATTGATCTGTAATAAGAGGTTGTTGATGAAGTAACTATTAATCGATCTACTTGAATTTGATAAGGAGACTGCCATTTCTCAGTACTAACAAAAAAGACAAGCAATTTTGGAATAATGCAGTAAGATTTTAATATTAATTTTAGAAAATGAGGAAGATGAATATGACCAAATTGATTAAGCAGTTTTTAAGGAGTTTATTAATTAAAAAAACCAAATGAACATCGAGCATAAACAGTTGTTGTTAGATTTCTATATGAATCCATAATAAAATTATTATGAATAATGAAGTTTAGAATTTAATTCATTTCATCTATCAATATAAATATTAAAAAAAAGAATTCCATCTTTTATGATCAAATTTTGATTTTCTATTTTTAGAGTGATCATAAATTTATATATCTATGTGAACATATTTAATTCTATCTATAATTATTAATTTTTATTAATAAATCAATTAAAATACTTCTAAAATTAATTATAAGTTATTTAGTAAGGATATTCTTAAAATGATTAAAAGAATACTAAAATATGTTTGCCTTTAACATCTAACACTTTGAAGTCATCCTAAGTAATTATCCCATCCTAATCCAAATCTATGAAATTGAATATTATATCAATGTTCTTTGAGTCTGATCCCAATGAATGAGTTGATTCCTTCCTATATCTAATTAATTCTAAATATTTCTATATCAATATTCTAATGATTTTCTTAGTCTCATAACTAAACGCCCCCATGTAAGTATTTAAAGCCTATCTACTTTCTGGGAACAAGCTTTTAAAATCAGTTAGACTAATTAAATATATTAATTCTTACTCCCATTATGTTTAAGAATGTTGAGTCGAATAACTATGGATTAGTTACCTAATTATAAAATCATTAACGTCTATTCCTAACTACAAAAACGCGAGTTTTAAATCTTACAATCCTATTGAACCATCAACATCAAGATCAAAAAATTAAAATGCTTGAGAAATTGAATAATCACCCCGACTTGAAAGCTTGATAGATATACTTAAATACCTCTAATTTTATCTGATCTAATTCTTCATTTAATTTACCAATAGTTATAATGTGCAATTGAAATTCCAGAATTGATTCTTCCATAATACTAGATGACTTTTTTAAAGACTTTGTTGATGATTTGGTAATTGAAAAATGAACGTTTCGATTTGAATTGATGTTTTCTTGATCTGTCTTTTATCTAGATTCACTTCGGTTAATTGATTTTGAACTTTATTATTTACTAATCTATTTCTATAGATTTCCAGTGGATGTTTAATTATTTTTTGGAGGTTTTGAACATTTAAGCAGTTCTTCCCAATCAAATCTATTTACATCCGAATCTTGATCCTTATCTAATCTTCTCATCGCACAGATAACATCTTCAAAACTTATATCTAAATCAATGTTTTTTAACAATTGTAAGAAAACTGGAGTATTTTTATCTGATTTTGGACACAAATAGTTTAATAATGTGCTCTTATCAAATCTTAATATCAATGCATCTAAATATGCCTATGTTTTTCGAATAATTTCAATATTCTTTCCAAACACTTTACCTATTATATTAAGTATGTCAGAATTAGGATTGTTATAATTCATTTGTTTTTATTGATATTGCTTCAAAAATATTTGATTGTTGGGAAGCATTAAGTCCAAAAAACTAATGATTATTATTTTATTTTACTCTTAATAGGTAGTATATTTCAGCAATGATATTTCTCTTAAATCAAAACGTATTTACGAACTTTATAGAAATACTTCCAAATCATTTCTCGTTATTCTATCTTTCTCATAAGCAAGCTAATATTATTACAATTTATAACATGTAAAAAGCAGGTCTAATAACTGGCATTGTTATCAGTGATATGGAGAATTAGACTCTGCTTTATATTTTCCAATTCCTTTTCCCCTTATACAACATCCTTAATCAAATGAACAATTGTATTTTTACTCTAATTTGAAAACATAATTATATTAATTTTTTGTAGCTGTTATGATAAATCACTTAATTATGCAATTGAAAGAATATTATATGAATTGAGAAATATTTACAGGCATACAAATAAAAAATAGAAAATATAACTACATTTTATAGTAATAATAATACTAATAAAGGAATTATTCTATCAATTTAGGTTATTAGATATATAAAAAACCATTAATCTTAAATTTGCTATTTTAAGCGAGGTAGTTGTTATTTCAGGATTTAAATTACATTAGTAAATTTCCTAAAATAGTTGTTATATTAAAAATTGAAATGTTAATTTTGAATTAAAAAAGCCCTCAATTATAATTCTAGGGGGTTTAACAAATATATTAAAATATGATTATCTCAAAGTTATAGATAGGAAATCAATAACTTCTTGTTAAAACTGAACTTTTTGATAGAGCTAGAACAATTTCAGAAATTATGTTAGTTTTCAACTTATATTACTCACGTTATTTAGAAGAAAACAACATAAGATGCTATTTAAGGTGGTGATCTAAAAAATAAGTTAGAATTGCATATAACCAAATATTATTATATTTTCAATCATTTTATTTGATCTGCATTAATATAGTATTTTATAATTTTACAATTTATTAGATAATTAAACAAACCCAAAGTAATCAACATTCTGAAAATCTAAATAAAATATATGCGATTTTAAAAGATTTTCTCATTGTTTTAAAATTTAGCTGTTATGAACAGTGGGTTTTCCAAATGAGAATGGATTGATTAACTTATTAAAAGGAGAATAACCAATAGAACGAAATGAATAGAGTAGAAAGGTTTTCTTACTATATTGTGAACGATAATATTGAAAAATATAAATTTATTATCAAAGAAATGTCACTGTTTTAACTTTTTTTTCTAACATTCTTTTCAAACTGAATTAAGGAGATTAATAATCCTAGGATAGGTATATTAACATACAAGAATTTTTCTAATCTTTTCAGTTAATGAGTCCCTTTTTTGTTTAATTTTTGGAGGATCCCTGATTGTAATTATTGACTATCTTTAACTCAAGCTTGGTAGCTTCAATTTGACTTATTAATTGCCTTTTTTAATTATGGTTCTTTTTGTTAAATCTATTATGTAAGCATTTCTCTCCACCATAAATGATCTTATTTAGGGTAAACTCTCTTAATGATGTGATGACATGTTTTTATTATTTATATAATTTTTAATTAATTTTGTAAAATTGATCCTAAGTTCGAATCGAGATGAAGTTCTGATTTGCTAATTACAGTTTGAGCATCCTACTTTGAATTTATCATATAAAATTAAAAATAGTAATCTATAGAAGAAGTGGGATGAATTAAAATTAAGAATTACAATATAAATCCAAAATTAAGTCCAATTATAAAACTAGAATCCTATCCCGCTAAGGTGAAAAATCAATATTTTGTGAATGCTTTTTATCATTCTATCATTGTAATGGTTTGAAAAGAGTGTCAAAGACCAAAGTAGGTTGAAAGCTAATTATTTTCAGATGACTTAGGAGAGATTGAAAAATTGTGAAGATTGCTATTGCATAAAATTGAATACGTTAAACTATAAGCAATATTGCACAAATAATATAAATTGTCCTACCTCATTCAATAAAATTATGCATTGCATATATATAAAATTATATAATTAAAATTAATTAACAATATGAATTAGAAATTTAAATTCCATGAGAAAAGCCAATCGTTACCATTAATAGTTAGAAAACCAATTGCAGTTATGAATTATAAATTGTATGAAAAATATCAGCACTCTCAAAATTACTACTACATAAGGGATATTAATGAAATATTAGGTGATGCTAATACCAAAATAGTCATTACTTTTAAAGATTAGCTGGCTATGGACGAGGATGTATCTACAGTAATTAATATGAATAGGAAGAATACCTTAAGAGATTTTATTAAATGAAGGAATTTCCTCAAAAAATACAGTTACTCACAGAATACTACAAAGTACAATATTAATACGAAATAGTTCCATATAGATATTGCACGAGTATTTTAAGAGCCAATCTGTTCAATTTTAAACAAATATTATGATAAGAAAAGGAAGTACGATTATTTTAGGATTGCTAAAATGATTGAAGAGGAAAACAAATTAAATCCAAATAAACCACCTAAAGGAATAGTGGGTGAGAGACCTTCCCCTGCAAATTCATAGGAATCTGAGCTTCTAGATAGAGAGGACAAGGAGTAACAGAATATCAAAAATATTTAAATATTAAAAGAACTAAGTTGGTTAAAAGTAAGACTTTACCATATAACTACATTAGCCTGAAAAAACTCTGCCTATAGAAGTCTCTCAAACCATAAATGAGTTCTGCAATTAATTAGGATCTGGAGGAGACTAATCATCCCTTTCAATAGTTAAATTTACTAAATAAGATAAAGTAACCTTAGATAATTTTCTAATGTACATCGGAGATAAAGCCAATTTGAATTAGAGAACATCTCCAACTACAAGGAAACCCCAAGAATAATTGATCTAGGAGTTGATCATTAGTTAGAAGGCTAAGATGTCTTAAAAGGAAAATAAAAATTCGAGCATGCATAATAAGAACGAAACCAAATATAGTATTGGGTCGATCGAGATAAGGAATAATTTTGTGAAGGATCAATTTAATAATATCTCAAAGAAATCAAATCGATAAGCCTCGACAGATATTATTGAGAGTGGAACTAGATTGGAGAACAAACCTCAGGAATTAATTAAAGTTAAGTCAAAGACTATAGTAAGTAAAAACTAACTAAAAATTAATAAATTCATTGGTGATCTCAATTAAATTTCACCCACTCTATCTTTGCATAAAACATCCATATGTTCAGCCTCTTTGAAATCATAATAACCTCTTATTTAATCGTAGAATAACCATAAGCCTAATCAAGTAGTTAAACTTTAACTAGATGAAGTTGAATAATAGTAAAAATTAAGAAATGGAGCAATAACTCACAGACCTTTATCTGGAACAAATGCGTTTTTTGGGTCTTCATCAACCAGGAACAGTCCTTCAATTAATTATCAAAAATTGGCCAAACCAAAATAACATAAGGATGATTTTTACAGATAATAGAAACTCAAAACTACTAATTCACCTCAAAAAAACCATCAATTAGAGATGCTTGCAAAAGATCTATTTCTTAAGGCATAAAATGCTTAAAAATAAAAGAATTCTGCTCATACAAAGCAGAGTTCAAATTAAGATAAGATACTTCACTAATATAATAAACAAAAACCTAGTAATGTGTAATAATAATAATAACACAATTTACTCGAAAAGAAATAACATAAAAAAAATAAATCTGATGGTAGAGCTTTGTAAAATAAGTTGTCAATCCATGAATTGGGATGTTTGACTGAAAGAAATGATAAAGAAACTAAATAATTATTAAATAAAGTAAATAAAAACAGTTCTCCGTAACCTTAAAATTTTAGAAGATTACACAGTGAAAAATAGGAATCGCTCTCGAGTAATATGAAAGGGATGTTAATTTAATCGATGTTGAAACCATTTGCCAAATAAAATCTATAGAGTTAATAGGATCTTAGGTCTCTAATTCAAAGTTAAAAAAAAAAGTTTTGATTATTTAATTCAATTAATTTCTAAAACGATATTTGTTACATAGTTTATAATTATAAGATGCAAAACTTAGTTATAATTAAATTATATAATAAATATAGAAGAATGTTATTCCTTCACAACAACCTGTATTCAATCATGGATAATTAAGCAATCTATTTGAATTTATTTTCTGAAAGTTGTCTGTTTTGTTACTGAACCTTTTATTTCATTATACAATTTATGTCTTTTTGACTGTTTATCGTAATCTTCTGTAATAAAATTTAATTAGATTGATGTATTTCTTCTCAAAACATCGCCAATCATACTAATGGGATTTTAGATTTAATCTTCATTATTTATGCTTTTAAAGTAATCTAATAGTAATTTTTTGGCTTGATAAAACCAAATCATGAGCAGGTTTTTTGAATCACTTCCTTCTTCTTACTCTTCGTCCATTTCCTCTACTTGAACATCTTCTTGCCTTCTATTAATATTAAATTTAAACTTACAGGTTTTTGTAAATTTGATTCTAAATGAGATCTTCTTCTTCGATCTGTATCATTTATTTTATTGTCGATTCTATATCGTAATTCACAACTGTAATTGGTCTCTTATAGTTGAAACTCTCAGACTTATTGCAATTCAACATACAAATCTCAAATAATAATTTAGAATCTAGGAATTTCGATTTTTGCAATTAGAACAAGTAGATTAAAACACAGGTTTTTGCTTAAACGATTGGAACTTAATAGTAGAACTACTCCTTAGGAATCTTAAGATACTAGTATTCACCATCTATGGTTCCAAAGTATAACAACTATTTGATATCAGAACTACCAAAATTGGAAATTATTTATTTCATTTTAATTCCACCACCGGACAATCTAATTTATGATATGCTATAAATGGCATCAATAGAAAATCTGCTCTCTATCAAAAATTATTGCCAAATTTGACCTCTGATGCTACATTCGAAAAGTAGGACAATATAAAATTATTTCGATAATCTAAGTATGACATTACAGTTACATAGACAAAGTGGATTTCAATTCTTTTTGTAATGCACAGGCACAATAAGAATTATCACATTTTGATCCCACTATTTATGAGCACATTGTTATTTCATTTCGCTGTTCCCAAAAGGATTTTCTTTTTCCAAGCACCAAACCTTTGATAATAGACAAACTTACTATCGAAATTCAAAACAATAATTTTATTTATTTACACATCTGTTCGTTGTGATAAATATAAGCATTTAATATTTACTCCTTTTTTTAATTAATCATGTATTTTGTTTTATAATTTGATATTTATTTGATTATCAATAATCTCCTATCTAAATAACAAGGGTTTAAATATAGAGTCTTTCATCTTGGTAACAATATTTCTGCTAGAAGTTAAGATCGGCGAATAAATTTTTGGCAGCATTAACTCCTGTGAATTACGGTCAGTATAATCATCATTTTGATCCTATCTACTTTTCAGACGAGTACTCTTGCTCATTCCAAATACCTTCTCCTGTTTTGGAGTTTCGCTTCTTTCAGAAACTTGAAGATTTCGTATTTTAAACACCTATATTTAATTTCCACCATCAATTGAGAGATCCCTCTCCTAACTTGTGTTATTTCTGCTCGATGTTGGTGAACCTCTTGAGCGATTTGATTTATTAGAACCCTCGATTTCTGGGAATTTAAACTTTCGATGTATTAAATTCGTTGATTTTTGTTGCATAGTTATTAGTATATTAGAATAATATATCAAACAAATCAATAGTCTGATAAAGTATTTATTTTTTATCTTATTACATAAGAATTCATCTTTTAATCAATCAACCTTGAGAAGATTGCTGATACAATTAAAATATGAGTCATTCTACTGAAATTGAAAAACAAGGCAAAGTGCATCTAACTTAAACTCATCGAACTTTCAGAAAAAAAGGAACATTTTATTTAAATATGTAAATCTGAAAGACCAATACAAGGCAGCAGTTTAAAAAGTAAATTAACTGTTGATAAAATAATAAGTAATATCAAATTGAAATTGTAATGATTAAATTCATATATTATTCATTATTATAATTTTGAATAATCAATTATTTTTTGAGCAAAGATGCAATTTTATTAAAGACATTTCAATAATCTTCAATAATATTAATTTTAAAGTAAGCAATATCCTATTCTTTAATATTATTATATGAATTAATGAACCATGTTGCTACTCGGTTCTCAATAATTTATCTTTTTATTAAATTATGATATCTCTAAGAAATTTCATTTTATTTCGTTTCTCGTAGACTCCATTTCCTCTCCATATTTGTTAATTAATGATAATATAACCCTCCACTTAAAATTTATAAGATATTAATATTAATTAGATATTTAATTTATATTAAAGCAAATTCTATATACCCAAATAGTAAACTTGATCTACTATGAAGAAATAACAACTTCTAATTTTTGTTAGAAGCTCTATATCGTATAAATGATGAGAATTCTTTAAAATTTATTTATCATTTCTCATTCATAAGACTTAAGACTTTCAAATCTAGATAATTTATGAATTAATCAAGAGTAAAAAATCAATTAATAAATTAAATCATAAGTATTAATAAACTCAATATCAATAATTTATATTTTTCAATCGACCTTAATATCAAATGGACATCATTTTGAAATAATGAATTCAGAATTTATTAAAAAACTAAAGATGATTATACAGCATATGAATGATCTGCAGAGTTAATTAATGATAGATAATTAGATGGTGATGAATTTCTATTGGAATAATTAATAGCATATCTGAAGGTTAAGATAGGAATGATGTAAAGATTCATTTGATTCACCATCACGTTTGGCTCTATAGATCATTGGCTTTTAACTTATTTAATTAAGAGAACTACAATTCACATCAGCATGAATATGTTTTATTGATAGGACAACAAATGAAATCATTCCAAATATGACCACTCTGATATGATTTATATTTTCATTAGACACTTTTACTATTCATAAATTGCTAATGAAGAAATTATCCTAGTTTTATGTATTTATTAAAGTGTTACATAGAAAATACATTAGAAATGTTCAGTAGAAGTAAAGTTAGAGAGAAACAGATGAATTTGATTGTGAATTGGCCAAAGGTGATGGATTATTGGGGAGGAGATTGATATGGGTCGTCTATTAATATGAATAACATATATAGCATTTATAGTAAATTTAATGAGTTTCTTGACTTTGAGGATAGGCCAACGACGAGTTAAAGTGTGCAATAGTAACTCAATAATGTTGGCTAGAAGATGAAGGAGTACAAGGATAAAATATTCACTTCACATCAAAGAGCTAATTCTAGTGCATCAAGAAATGATTAAAAACACCACACTCAAAAGTCCAAGTCTCCTATTTGGGACAGAATGAACTCATAGAATTCGCAAAAGAAAAAGATCTTCGATGAAGCTCCTGTTGTTAAAAGGACCAAGCCTCAGATTTTTAGTAAACCTGAATGGAAATAATCAAATATGCAATTGACCAAACATGTGTAATCTTAGCCATCTGAAGACTTAGATGAGAGCAGTTTGACTGTGCAATTCTTAATGACTGAAGATAAGGACATAGATGAGATGTATTATAAAGAGAATAATGAATGTGAGATTTTGAGTTACTTGATTACACAGATGGGCAAGAGACCCACACTTGAAATACAAGGGACCATGATAGAAAATCTGAGTCGTAAAAACAGTGAAGTCAAGAAGCAGCTCTCTCTCAAATTGATGGAAAATTAACATTAATTGAATTGGTGTTATTATATGTGGGATGCATTATCATTTCGAGTCAATTAATGTTGTGCAAGAATTGCCAGGGCGAGACTAGTATTAAAATTATTGAAGCAAACACACAAGGATTTGGGATTGAAAATATAAAAGAAGTAAAAATAAAAGGAGGAAGTAGAATTACAGATCTCAAATGTTATCAAGTTTAGACAAAGATATCAATAGGTCTTTGAATTAGTTTGCGAATTAAATAAGGATCAAGTGACCAGTGATAGTTGGTCCTTATACAAGATAATATCTATTAAAGATTTAGTTTGGACTTAATCTAGAGATATGAAACAATAGATGCATCTATATTATTGTTTCAGTGATATCAGAGGATACATTGAATCCTTGTTTCAACAACAATTAGAATATTCTTATCGTTTCTTCACTCAAAATATAGTCTTGACTTTTGTGTAAAATAATAAGGACAGAGAAGAGTTATACAAGATGTTAGATAGCATGTGTGATTATCTGCAATATTATGAGTTGAATAATAAAAGTGTTGACATCAGCAAATAGATTCGAACATCTCTTTAGAGTCAATTTAGAAGCATTATCAGACAACAATTGAGAAATGAGAATGTAGACATCCAACCATAGAATTTCAACAAATAGCTTATGGTATTTTAATTAAGTATTCTATTAGAAAAAGGGAGTTAAGTATGATTGCCTACATTCTTTGAATAAATACTTGACGGCCTTCTTAACTTCATTCTATCTTACTTCATACTCTCTCGGTCTGATAGTTTAGCAATTCTAAAGGTTGTTGTAAATCAACGCTCAGCAGAAGAAACAGCCCTTACTGAAGAAGGTGGGATTTCAGTATAACATTGAAAAGAATCAGTTCTGGCAATATATTCAGGATAAGGTCGTCAAGAGTATCAGACACACCAAGATGGATGCGCAATGTGTTTATTAAGATTGGATAAGATTCGAGGCTTTGATTTTCAAGATCATCCAAATAGGGGAGGAACTAAGTAATTTGAAATCCTACACACTCTTGTTTCATCTGAAAAACACCTTAAGATTGATTGCACAAGGACTGAGCATAAATGTCATTCAATGTTTAAGTGTCCAAAAAGGAATGGGATCCACGAATATAGTTAAACCCTAATATCAATGTGTGCTATTTAATAAACTAGATTTTTATGTGGAGAACAGGAGACTCAATGCTCAATCTCAATATTTGAATTAATTATTAGAAGTCAAACAAATTATACCTCATTTTGAATAGCAATAGCCTTTGTAATCAATTGAGAGTCCGTACAATAAGAAGGAGGAATACTTCTTCATTGTAAGTCAGTTTTAGGAACTACTCTTTTTTGCTTAAAATGTTTAGCAATTCAGAATCGACTGTTTTTTGCATACTATCCATTGTTTTGAATATTATTGTTATCTTTTGATAAGGAATGATCTATATGCCCAAATAAAGCAGTTGTAATTTGAATTGCCATCATACGAGGACAATTTCGACAATCTAGTGATAAGTCATCATCACATCATTAAATTCGCTAGATTTAGTAATCTATAGCAAATGCTAATGAAATAAATAGATAGCATTAGATCGACGAATCTTTAAATTTAGGTGATTTACACTTCGTCTTGTTTGAGAGAGATCCTAGAGAACTTAACGCTTTGTTATCAAATATACGAGTTTATTAGACAGTCTTATCGATACTAGGAAGACATCGAGTTTATCGAATCCTACTTAAAGAAAACGAAGCAATGGCTGGATCAGTTGAAATTCCTATGGATTTATAGTCAAGGATTGAAGGATAGTGAGATTGACAATAAACAGATAACTAGTTATTAGATTATGTACAAGATGACTCAAATAATGCATCAGATATCGGTCATATCGTTGAGCAACCAAACGATCAAGCCAGAAGAGATAGGGTAGATTTATTATCAAGCGTACACAGAAAATCTAATGGAGTTGATAGTGGGGACTATAAATAAATCCAACAAGTAACAAATGCAGGGAGAATTGCAAAAGTTTATTAAACAAGTCAATGGATAATATCAGAGTCAGCAATTTGATTGTTTTGTGAGATTACTTGATATACGGACACAGAGTCAATATGTAGAGCAGATAAGCAAGTTGCAATTGTTGAGTCTGAAGACTTAAATCTCCATTCTATAAAAGGATATCAATTTGGACTTGAAACAAATAACTCAAACCTACATAAATTATGTAAATGAAAATAGTTGATAGTTGAATATTTAAAAAAGATCACTTTTTTTATTTGATTTAAATAGTGGAAGATCTCTTTTTTCGTTCATCATTCCTTCTAACTAAAACCGAAAAGTTATTGTAGTCTAGGGAGGAGATAGACCTCACTTTGTTGATCTCTATAGACTCGGTCTGCATTCGAGTCTTTGGTTTTAATATTTGTTTGAATATTGATTATGAGGGTATGCCATTTATCATTAAGTATTGCTTCTGTAAGTAGATATGTTTACTCTTGATTGAGTATCAGTTACACTCTTCTCAGTTTCTATTCGTCTCCTTGATGCGACATCAATTTCTTTTTTTAATTGCATGATTTATCTTTCATACAGCTTAAAGTATTAGGGATGATTACCTCAATCTTCATCTGAAGTATTTTGTATTGATCGTCTTTCTACAACAGAGTCTCTTCTAATTCATCGCAATGAATCTTCAATCTTTGTTCTATCTGACATAAATGATAAAATGAACATGAATATGATATCGATTTTCGGATTCAATCTTTTATAGTGAATGTTCCAACAACTCATATTATTCTGTCATCTCTTAATGTAATCTTTAATGTACATAATTAGTATTTACTCTATAAATTAATCTAGGATGCGAGTGATGTATTTAAATGTTACTGCAATATCATCTGGTAACATAACACGTATGTTTGAGTAGCCGATGTGATTCAATTTGTTTTAGAGTTCTTCAAAATACTCGATGATTTATGATTTCAGATCACTATTTAATTAATTCATTAACTAAATAATGTTGCAAGAATCCAAATAAAACAGAGTGTGTACTCCAACCTAAAGTGCAATTCAAGAATAACTTCAATACGTATACCCAATTCTAATCGAAGGTTACTTGTGGAGCTGAGAGTACATTTTGTATCACAATCCACAAGAAAGTGTTTATGTGGGGATAGGGGATTCAGATCCCCAAACAATTGGAACTCCAGGATATTGAGTAGATAGCAGCTTCAAAGGAGCATTGGTTTGCATGGTCAGACACTCAGGTTTTTGGATGGTAAGAGAGTGTTCATTAATGATATTAGTGGTTCAAACAAATAAGGGAAATTGGGCATGAATAACTCAGTGAATACTCCCACCTTGTTTGACATTTTCAGTGAAGCCTCGCAATATGGATGGCAATTGTAAAAGATAGCTGTGGGATTGGATCACAGTGTAGCATTAATTGAAGTTGAGGAGGAAAACAAGATTTTCGTTTGGGGTTCCAATGCTTATTAGCAATTGGGTTTCGATGCCTCAGAATAATTTGTTGCTATTCCTCACCAATTAGATTCGGACAATCTCCCTCGAATTGTTGATATCTATGCATAGCATAATTACACAATGGCCATAGACGAAGAAGGTCGTCTCTTCTCATGGGGTAGCAATGAATTTGGTCGTCTGGGATAGAATGCATTTGCCAAGTGTATGAAATTGCCATCTCCCATAACTTCACTTGGCAATCTCAAAATAGCTAAACTGGCCTTGGGCACATTCCATGTATTGGCAATTGATACTCAAGGCAATCTCTATTCCTGGGGACGTGGATTGCAAGGGTAATTGGGACATGGCACTTCAAATGATTGCAGTAAACCAAATCAAATCAGTTCTTTGTCCTCCATTCGAGATGTGGCATGTGGAGAAGCTCACAGCATGGCATTGCAAAACAATGGTTCAGTGTATGTCTTTGGATCTGGTCAATTTGGCTAATTGGGATTGGGAGATTACAAACAACAAGACGCTCCATAGATGTTGCAGATCCATGGAGAGATGATAGCTTGTGGGAGACACCACTCGGCTGTGCTTACTAAGAATGGGGCTTTGTTTATGTTCGGGAACAATGAGTCTAGTCAGTTGGGATTGGAATGCGGAAAGAGTGGGGCCTATTCGACTCCCTTGCCCAAATAAAGTCCGATGAATGTATATTACAGCACTTATGCAATTTAGATAGACCAATCAAATCTTTGAGCTGACTGATGAATTCATGAATAAGATTGAGGCCAGCAGGAGTGAGGATCTTGAACAAGTAAAGAGTATGTCTATCCACTCTAGTTATTGGTCGAGTATCAGTAGAATACGTCGTAGATTCCGAATACTCAAACTACTATTTTCATCAAGGATCTGATGGAGAGAGTGATTGCCCTGCTGCAGAAGAAATGATACATATGATACGATATATTCTAAACATTCACACATATACTCTCTTCATCTTTATCGAGTGTTAAATAAATTAAAATTTAATTAATGGAGTAACTTGATTATGAAGAACTGCTATAACGATTTCGATATTCCTACATTAAGCCTAATTCTTAATTGAGATACTATTTATAATCTCTTCCCTCAGAGTAATACCCTGATTTATTCCAAAAGATTGAAAACTTAAATTATGAGTCTCAAAAAGTCAAAAGATTGCTGAGAATGCTTCACAAACCGCATTAAACCCCTCAATATTTCCAACTTAAATTGAAGCATAAGTTAAAAATCAATGAAACTGCGCCCCTCGAAGTTGTCGACTTCAATAAGAAAAACACATTAATTTTAGCATCCCAACAATAAGGTTAATAATTATTTGATAGATTAAAGGAAGAGTTTTTTGTTGACTCCAAAATAAGAAAGAGCGGTATGTCTATTTTAATCCTATTCAAGATTCACTCACATTCAAAAATCAATATTATAAGGCATTATAGGATAATTTAACTAATCAATGCCTTGAATAATGTCTGCGACTTCTTAAGAGATCAGAATAAAATCTGGACACCCTCTAAATTGTGCTCAGTGAATTAGTTGACACCTAATACGATATTACTCCATAATTAGGAGCAATTCATAATGCATTGTCTGAGTTTATTAAGAATGATCTATCGATCACTTGCTTGAAATTAGCACATTCTTGTGTAAGAGGGGATTTAACTGTTGCAGTTTAATTCGTGGCTAAGATGACTTAGGGTATTCATGATGAGAATAGAAAATTTGCGTTTCTTGGTACTCTTCCTCATAAGTGCCAAAAGTAAGTTGATATCATATATAATTTGGCCACAATTCTGAATGATGATTAAAAAGTATTTGATTTGATTGCACGAATGCGAGATCTTTAAGTTCCTTTGGGTAATTGGGTTCACCTAAAGAAGTTATTAAACATCAATAAGTACACGAATACCTTTGTCTCACTTTTGGTTGTGGATTGGCTATTGGAGAAGAAATATGAATCGAATAGTAAAGACTTGGAATCCATTATGGAATAGATTATTAGTGGATTAGCTGCAAATGTAAGTTCATTTATAACATATTTTTAGTTTAAGAACTTTGCTAAAGTAATTACATAGCCAGTCATGTTTTTAGCTCAATTGAAATGTGTTGTTTTATATGCACTGTTCTGTGAAGATGATGCTCCAGCCAAATTGATGATCGCAATTAATGAAAATCTGAATAAACACACAGAGATCTTCAACCCAAAGAGTCATTTGTGTTAATTAAAGTATTTGATTTCACCATCATGTTAAAATGAGAGTTAGTTATTCTTGGATTGTTTATTTTTGTATTAAGCAATCACATTTGATGAGAAGGATCAATTCAATTATATATTGCCATTGATCATCTTGATAGCATTCAGCAGTAGAGTTAAAAATAGTGTGAATGTCAAGCAATCTCTAAAACTATTAACACCATTCAAATCAATCGAAATCAATGTGCTCTACAATAAAATATTTAAGGCTTTGCATGAATTTCTGTATTATGTCAACCCCCACTAAGGAGAAGGAATCAATTTCAGGAAGGATAGATTGATACACTTCGTTAGATTTATCATGGTTCAAATTGGAAACACCCACATTAAATAACCCAAGTACATTTACACTACCTTTTCTCATGCATTTATTTCTCAATTTCAATTTAAGCTACCAAAATATGAAGTCAATGTGAATCCCCTGAGTTGGTTTACCAATCGCGGATTAATGAGCAATAACCCTTACACAGTTCAATCTACAGTTAATTATTGCAGACTCCTGGTTGAGTAAGGATACTTCAATTAAATTGTTTAACCCATTCAAGAATGGTTTAATCCATTGAACATTAACAGATTAAACAGTATAGATCACTTAGATGAATAATTGTAGTAGGTTGAAATCGAATCCTACGACCATACAGCTTTATAGCAATCCGGATTGAAATTGATGACTGACGATAAGCCAGTAGACGAAGCTGAATTACAATTGTAGCAAGAACTAAAAAAGTTTGAAAGCAATAACCTAGTTCTAATGGATGAAGGAGAAGAAAAGTAACAAATGTTATTGAAATAAAAGAATAAGTTGTGTCAAAAATACTTATTGTGCTTACAATTATTTGAAGGACTTCTTCACACTAAGGCCAAAGAGTAATTCATCACAAAATACTTTGATAAGATATCTGCCTTCACTAAAGAAATGTCCACTAGATATGACAGTTGTATGTTCCTACTAAAGTATTTTGAGACTATTCCCTTGTTACAGCAATTCAAGTGGCCTCTCACTTACTTCTTCTTGGAACGCAGTTTGAATTCCATCCCCAATGATGTCACACTAGAAAAAATCCATTAATTTCAAGATTGCCTTATGAAAAACATCAAAAACCCACCCATCCATCTAATTCATTTGATGAACCTCTACATTATCAACCAAAATTCATTTACTTAGACTACCAAGTTTAAGGCTTTTGCCATCATTCTGAAATATAAGGAGTAATTGCCAATTGCTGAATACTTTACACCCTTTGTTCACAATATCAACATTTGTGGACATGCCAAGAATGCAGATTAAGTGTTGTAACTGATCTTTAACAAAGACAGTGATGAACATTATCAATTATTCTTTAATAACATTTTTAATCTTGTGCCAGAAGCCTAAAATCTAATTTTGAGAACAATACCTAATTTACCAGATAACTTTGACATTCATATCAAAGTCAGAGTGTTGGCTCAATTCGAAGAAACAAAAGTGGCTGCCCTACCCTTTGTGGATAAGGAGTTTAAGGTATTGAACTAAATCCAAAGATGGGACCTTGTGGGATTCTTGAAGAAGTATCCAAGGGAACATAGTGAAATCATGATCAATTTATTAAATGACGTCAATGGATTCCCAGAGATGATACTGTAAGCAGCATCTAAGTTGATTGTTGATTAGCAATTATAAGAAGAATAATTGGAATTCTTCCCCCAATTCGTTAGTAAGTAATTAAACACATACCCTAAACAATTAATTGGCAAGACCATTGATTTGTTAATTCAATATTCATCTACTCCAGAAAGATAAAATTTAGCTGTGCTCTGTAGGGAGGCTGGAGTCTAATTAATCAGAAGTGTAGGTAAAGAAAACTCTAATGATATCTTGAATCAAATTGAAAACCATCTCCAATCCAAAAATACCTGTGCTTCTATACGGGCCATAACGTTTTTGGGTGTCTTGTCTTCGTTTTTACAAGGACACAACTAAGTGAAAACTTAAGAATAGATTGTCTAATTGTTTAGAAGCAGTGACAACGATTCATAATTGGAATTAGCTCGTTCATTATAAGAATTATTGAATCTGTTCCCAGATACTGAAAATTTAGTTAAAGAATTATTGAGAACTAACAAGTAAGAGAAGGATGAGAAAGTAAAGAGAGGAAATGCTTATATGATAGCAGGATTAATAAAAGGTTTGGGTATAGAAATGGTGGAGCAGTTGGGTATTTTGGATTTATTGGAAGTGAAAGATAGAAAGGAGACTCTAGAGGATAAGTTTAATGTTCTCATATAATTACAAGCATTGATTGAGTTATTTTAGAAGACATTAGAACCATATGTGGAGAAAGTTATGGAGTTGCTGATTAAGTATTTTGGAGAAGGAAAAGTGGAAGTGCGTAACTTAGCCATGGCGAATGCAAATAGATTATTGTAATCTCTCTCGAGTTATGGTGTTAAGATTGTGCTTCAAAAATTACTCGAGGTTCTGGATTCAGATACTCAATGGAGAGTGAAAGTGGCCATCATTTGGGCATTAGGCCATTTGGCACATTGCTCACCAAAACAATTGTCAAGTTGTCTTCCTTAGATTGTCAATTCCATCTCCAAAGCAATTTCTGATACTCATCCTGATGTAAAAGCAGAAGCCAATAAATCATTGAATGAAATAGGATCGACCATTAAGAATCCTGAAATTTCAAGTATTGCAGACATACTCATCATTTCATTATCCAATCCCTATGATGAAAATTTAAGAGGACTATCAGTAGTATTGGAAACAAAGTTCAGACATTACATCGATGCTCCAGCCATGTCATTATTGATTCCCATCATCGATTATGGTCTCAGAGCATAGGATAGTAATTAAAGAAGACAAGCTTCTATTTTAATAGGAGGATTACCTCATCTTATCTAGAAGAGTGATGATCTAGTACCATATATGAATTTAATTGTGGGTGGATTGGAGGTAGTGATAGGGGATCCGCTGTTAGAAGTCAGGACAATTGCAGCAAAGGCAATAGGTCAAGTATCCAAAAAGATCGGAATTGAATATACTAAGACCTTCTTTAAATTCATATGGGATGTATTAGAGAATAAGGAGGCTAGTTCGAATAAGAGATCTGGTGCAGCTCATGCATTTGCTGAGATTTCTTGTATTCATGGAGATAACTATTTGGAGGACCAATTAAAATTTATTTTCAGTTAGATTCAGAGACCAGAAATATTTGTTAAGGAAGGGTATATTGGGATATTTATTTATATTCCAAGCATTTTATAATAGAAATTTGAAAATTATGTGAAGGACATAATTGAGAATGTTTATGAATGTGTTAGTCATGAAGATGAGGTGGTAAGTAGTATCACATTAAGAGTGTTGAAGATTTTAATTAAGAATTTTTGTATTTTATAGAATGAATTATTGTATCTATCATTGACAGAGAATATGTTAAATGAGGATGCCAAAAAACGAAATGCAGGAACTATTTTGAGTGGGGAAATGCTCAAAATGACTCAGAAGTATGTGTTTGCTCAATTGAACAATCCAGATAGTCTCCAGTACATCAACATCGATCTATATTATATGAATCTAATGACATTATACACCATGTAATAAGATGTCACAGATGTTGTCAGATAAAATGCAGTGGCTATTTGGATGGAATATATAGATAACACTCCCAAAACTTTGAAGAGTGGATTGAAACAATATGTTATTTAATTGTGTAATATTATGAGTAGAGAAAGTGTTGTGTAAAATGGTATCAACACTATCAGAAATTTCTGTGAAAAGTATGGTGAGACTTAGATGAATGAAGCATTCAATCATTTAGGCTATGTCCTATAGAATTACTAAGATAATTTATCATTAGTCAAGGGGGCTTATTCTGTATTGAATCAGATTTATATTCATATCTCTTTGAATATCGCTACAAGATATAGAGATCAATTTATTGAATTTTCAAGATTATACATCTTCTGCAAAGATAACCTGATTAAATCGTAATTGTTTTAATCAATTGGTTCAATGATCAATAAGGTTAAATAGACTACTTTTGTGGAAATGATCATTGAACCATATTTGATTGACTTATCTAATATGAGTGAACTTGATCCTCGGTATTCTGGCTATTTAGAAGTGTTCTCCAGGTTGTGCTCATTGAATTAAACTCTAATATAGCATTATTTGATGGTGTTGATTTTGGTACCACCACTACATCAATTCAAAATTGATATTCTCACTAATAATGCATCCACCTTCGCTAGTGTCATGTATAAACAGTGTGATAACAAAATACCGATCCAGATATTGTTTAATGATCTCTATTCATGTGCTGATTTCAACGATCATAACGAATGGAATGATAGGACTGAATCTCTCCTGTATTGTATTCAATAATTGAGTATTCACATCAAATCTGATATTGAAAATTCCTTAACAATATTTGTAGAAGATATTCTTCGACAATTATAAACTAAAAGTAAACCAATCTTTGAATCTGAAACACAGCCTACTGATTATAAACATTCTCTTATTCCATTAGAAGTGTTGTAATACTTCTTGTAAAATACATCTGAGGATCATCAACAATTCTCTCAAGCTATTATCGAGAAGGTAGCTCCTTTCTTATATTTGTAATCAGCTAACCTTTCCAAGCAATAACTTGAGAAATTCTATAATTTAGCCAACAAAATCATCTACGCAATTAATAACACATTAGATAAGCAATATCATTTCGATAATATGCGTAACCTACACACTTGTTTCACGAATCGAATCCACATCCATCAGATACCTAGTCTGAACACCTAAGATGGTGCTGGAATAGAACCCTATGTTTCAATGCTCATCGATTGCTTTGTGTTTGGCAAAGAGGAGATGTTCAAGTATGCCTTCGACTTTATGAAAATACTAATAAGATTCACTGAAGAACAGTAACTTTAAATCTACATTCTCAAATTGGTCGGCTCTCTTATACGCATCCTGAATTACAAGGGCAATACTGAACTCAAGGTGCTGGCCTTGCAATTGGTGCATTTATCCCAAGAGAAAGGACTTGATATTTCAAAGTTTAAGTCACAATTAACTATTACTTATGAGAAACTAATTATCGACATCAACTAAATAGACGGAGGATTGAAACAACTATCGAAGAGTTATAGTTAATTCCTTTAATGGCATGATAAAAAAGTATAATGATTATTCTATAGATAATAGGATCTGCTTCTGAATTAGCTTTTTAACAAGGGTGTTTAAAGCGTTATTTAGGAGGCTCGAGAATGCCATTTGAAAATAGTTAAGAAGGCAATCAAGGATCAACAAGAATAGATTTATTCCTCTGCTGTTTTGGAAAGGTTCTTCTCTCTCTCTAAATAATATTTTGAGAAGTGCATTCAAACTGAAACATTCGATCTTGCTTCTCCTTGTGAATTGAATCGTCTAGGTATCTATATCAATTATATTCGCTTAGCTCATATCCTTGCCTTAACATACACTTATACTAATAAAAACAACAAAGAGTAATATGTACAGAAGTACATTAAATTTGATCAATATGGTATACTTTTAAGATTGCAATTTGTCAGATATTAAATGAAAGAACTAATACCTGACACAATCACTTATGCTGTCCAATAAATCAATACTAATGAAAACATGCCTTATGTTCTATAATTACTGAAAACTTTAAGGAAATTCCCCAATACTTATGTTAAACAATAATTAAAACCGAAATTCTAGGAGGGTTCACAAATTTTATATGCGTTATCAAGATTATTATGATATATAATATATTAAATAACAGTCATAATAATAATGATCGAGTCTTTCTAATAGCAATGCGAGCAAATTTATTCTGAAAACCAAGAAAGTAACATCCAATATCATATTCTAGTCATAAAAGAGTTGAACAAACTGAAGCAAAGTGCACTTGAAAAAAATCAAGAAATCTTGAAATTGCAACATATGTTTAAAGAAGTTGAACAAGACTATTAGCCCATTCATGATAAGATAAAATCAATCAAAGATTAGTTCTAAGATTCCGAACTAAATAAACAAGCCTTATGTGATTCCCTTGATGACTTGGAGAATCTGATAATGCGTTAATTTGCCGAATAAATAAAAGTGAGCAAAAAATCTAAAAAGACCTAAAAAAAGGAATCTCCTTCAAAAGGAAAAATTAGCAATGAAAATGATCAAAACACAATCAATTTAAGAAAACGAACAATCAAATTGCAAAATTATGATGACAATTCTTAAACAAATGAATCTAGTGAACCTATTAAAGCATCAAAAAAGAAAGTCAAAACAAATACTGAGGCTCTGGATAAAGCCAATTGTCTAATTAACGAGATTTTTAATTTTAATTGATCATCATCTAATTAACAATAATTTTATTTATCTATCAATGGGAAATAATAATGTCTGCCTAGCTGAAATACCTGTCAATGGAACTCATCACACCACCCCAAAATCTAAATCAAAATGGAAAAGGGAAGACCTGAGATCTGGCTCTTGCATCTAAACACTTGTTGAAAAAGAAAACAACCCAGATTTCTTCGCTCATTTCCAATGTGGTTAAGCATTGCCTCAATATCACAATAAATTAGCCCAATCAAGATGGTAGGAGGCTGTTAATAGCCTAAACACAATCAATGATTCATAACAAACTATAAATTCGTTACTTGATAGACCTGAATTTAATGAACTAGTTTTATTAGGTCCACCTAAGCAATTTAGGTGGATATGCTGGATGAATTTGTTAACTAAATCCCAACCTCGTATTGGTTATGAAAAGTATTTGGAAAATGCACCAACAGACATATCTAACATTATCAATGATATAAATCGTACTCTTGTAGATTATGCTTTATTTAAGCATCGAAGCTGCGGATAGGATCAATTAAAAAGAATTCTCTGTGCAATATCTAATGCATTACCATCTATGGGGTATTGTTAAGGCATGAATTTCATTTGTGCTGTTCTACTTATTGTCTCTGGTTGTGATGAACATCAGGTATTTTAAGCCTTTATGTAAATGCTTATTAATGAACAACACCTTCTGTGTTTTGCATTCTCCGACGATATGCCACTTCACTTTTTTTTGACTAACTTGGTACATCATCAAATTAGAAAGAAATTTCCTAAACTTAACTTAAGTGATATCAGTGATTCATTTTGGCTTAGCAAAATGATTTTATCTCTATTCACTTATATATTCAAAATGGAAGACTGCATAAGATGCTGGGACTATTTGATGGTTCGTGGAATGATCCGTGGCATTCCTGAGTTAATACTAGCATATATAGATGCTACATACGATTAATTATCTAAATTCAAGGAGGAAGACTTTGCTTAGAATTTCAAGAATCCTGAAACTACAACACTCTAATTTAACGTTGGCGAACTCATATATCTGGCCAAGTTTAATCACAGATTAGACAGATCATTTATAGCAAAGTTCGCTAAGAAAATGAGAGATAAAAATGCCCCTTCTTAATTATTAGACCTTTTACAATATTACAACAATCCTCCACTCTATAAGAAACATGTATCATTTTATATTAACACTATTTTTTATTGATATTTATTTATGTTAGTTATTAAATTAACATTCATTTTCAATATTCAATAATTATTTTGTATTCAACATAATCATATGTGTTTGATTAAATTAGGAAAACAAAACGTAATAGTAAATTTAAATTCTATTTGTCAAAGTAAAAAAAGTTGTCATAATTATCTTCTCAACCTAAACTATTTTTCATATTACATAATTTATGAGTAATTACATCTTGAAATAGAGCATACGATAATTGATAGTAAAGAACTAAATGATTAAACTTATATTTTAATTCCCCATTATCCTTAATATCACTCAATCATCTATGGTTACTTGATTACTGGATATTAAGTTGACTTATGGGAATTTGTAGTAGTATAATTTGATTCCAAATTTTATTTTAATAATTGAAATAATGATGAGAAAGAAGAGTCAAAATAAAGGAAACACCCAAAAATTATAAGTGGAAGTGGACATCATGGTTTAATTGTTTCTTATCCATGTAGGAATAACGAATCGTGGGACTCAAATAAATATTGCAATCTCAAAAGGAGACCACTAAAGAAAGAATGTTAACAAGTCAGGGATCCACGAGATGGTCAGCAGCTTCGACTAATGTTCCTCTTAGAAGTACGTTCCTATATTGCTACAAATAGATTATGGGAAGCACGTTTTAGAAAAGCATAGGGAAGTTGCAAAGACATTCCAACAGAAAAAGAAATCAAGCAAAGTGCCATCCAGGCCTTCCTCTCGTTCTAGTTCACTTTCTAAATAGAGCAAGCAATCGGAAACTTCATCACAATCAAATCAGAGCTTCTTGTCGTAGAGTCTCCGCTTTGCAGGGAAGAATTCAGCAAATGAAAATTTGAAACGAGCACTTCAAGTCCAATAATGTAAATCTTACAGACTTATATTAGTTAGAATACACTAATGAAGTTGTCAAATTCCTCAATTCCATTAATCTTGAAAAACATGCAGGAGTAATACTTGAAAATGGATTTGATGAGATGGAGCTTTTAAAGGAAATATCAGTAGATCATCTCAAAGACATGAACATACCTCCAATGGATGCAAGGAAGCTATTGAACCGAGTGCAAAAAATAGTGGAAACAGAGGAAAGACAATTGATTCAATCTTAAAAATAAGCTTAGCGTTTAAAAGAATCCTAAAGCCACATAGAAGAGATTGCTAACTCAGAAATCTACGATGAGGAGGAACAACAAAGATTATTTTAGGAAGCAGTTATGGAATACAGATAATAACAGAAATAATAGAAAGAATTGAAGGAATAAGCAATATAACATACAGAAGAAATATTAATTGAAGATGAATCATTGGGTTACATATCAAGTCGATAGAATAAAAAAGAAGAATAATAAAGAAATAAAATGAAGTTCCTGTTATCAGGTGCCAACGAATGGAAAATGTTTGATATTGATTATGATTAAACTTAAGGGACTGATTAATAACCTGTTATAATTGATAAATCCTCTTGCTATCAATGTTATAGATTGTTCGATTAAAAATTTGCCATTGGAAATAATGGCCGAGAATTTTGTTCAAAGGAATGTCTTGAATCTTACAAACTATAGAACATAGTAATCAATTTATATGATTTTTAGTATCTCTGTCGATCGCAGTCATGTGCTAGACAAATTGATATTGCTTAAGCATTTTATGAAATTGGCTAATGGTTCTGTAATTAAGACTGTTTTAAATAATATCAATGGGAAAGTGTCAACATCAGAGGTAGAACCCACATTAGTTTATGATAATTAAATATATATACATAAATAACTTTAGAGTTTTATATAATCTTTCTCATTTGTATTTTAATAATCAAATTTTAGGATGAGGAATATGCACCTTTGAAGGAACCTTGACCATCAACTATTTAAAATGTCCCACTTTGGCTTCCCTTGTCGATTTTCCAACACTGAATGCAGGATATGATTTCTTTTTAGAATTCACTTACACACCCACGGCGATCCTTTTTATCTTATTAAGTTTACTATTTAGTATCGTATGTTTGATTCTTGTCCCAGCCTTCAAAGATCTTGCCAATCTTAGGACCTTTTGGAATAGTCCAATGAGCAGCATCTTCCAAATTGCTTGTATTGGCAGGAGCCTTTTGTAAATACGCTCCTGGTCCAACGATCACAGGAGTGGAACATGTCGGAGCCAATGCCGATGCTCCTGGGATGTCTCTTCTATACCCAAAGGAAAACTGAGGAGGAGTTGGAACCTCAGGTTTAATGGCTGGATCGTATTAAGGACCAGGGGTTCCTTTCAGTCTTTTCTCAGGGGGAAACTGTAAAATAGTGAGAGATAAAGTACTCTTGATTCCAACCCAATTTTGACATTTGGAGCCTTGGTCTTTCTTACTAAATCAGCTTCTTGAGGTTCAAACTTTAATATAACAAAACTCTTTTACATCGACATCCTTCCTTTGATAGTAATCAAATTTGGCTCCTGTATTCAGAGTGTTACGTGGGTCTGTTCCAAACTTTGTTTCTGCGTCTTTTGTATAATAATACTGATCTCCTCCTCGTACATTATAAATAGGCCCAGGACTTCCCTTTCCTTGGAATACTAAATTAGATTAGTACCTGCAAAATCAATTCTTGCTAGTTCTTTATTGTGATAAAGCTTTGCTTGATTGGCTCGTTCAGCAGAACCGAAACTGTAACATGGTAGGGTTTGCTTTGTAGAAATAGGCATTTTGCCTATTGAGCTGAATGCCTATTTATTTTCGAATTCAATTAAGTCTGCGTATTAATACACTTTTGGTTGCGCTTTAACTTCTTCTTTTGTTTCTGCCATTTTATATATTAATATTATTAAAAATAATATATAAACTATTTTAATCTATGCAATAATAATTTCGAAATTAAATAATATTGAGTTATATCTATATTTCCTTCTCTATCATTTAGAGGATGAATCTGATATTTATGAAATAAGTGTTTTTAATTCCCTTTAAACTTATTATTATTATCTTTTTATCATTAACAGTGAGGAAACTAATATAATTGAATTCGCATCATTGAATCAGATATTGGATATCAAAGTAACAGTCATTGATTTCGGATATTATCTATGAGACAATTAAAATATAATTAATTTAATATAATGAATTACTTATTCTATGGATTCATTGGATATTGGGCTTTGTCATTAACATTTTTTGTTTTCCCATACAAGAAGAAGAATGTCTTTAGGCATTCAAAATATTAAAAATATCTTCAGAGAAAAAGCATCCTTCATATTTCACATAGAGGAGGATGTCGTGAAAATTTAGAAAATACTATGCAAGCCTTTTAACATGCCTATGACCTCGGTACAGATTGTTTAGAAATGGATTTGTGCATGACTAAAGACAAGAAGGTACAGGTGATAAATAAAGTAGATTGTAGTTTTGCATGACTCCTCATTATTAAGAATGTGCGGTGTGTAAGCACATGTCAAAGAGTATAATTATGCTGACTTACCCAAATTCCTAGAAAGAGTCAGACTAGATTTTGCTCCTAATGATTACATTTCAACTTCAACCTGTAAAACTGCTTATCTGCCTTTGTTCGAGGATGTTCTTAAAAAGTTCCCTGATGTTTTACTTAATATCGAAATCAAAACTCCAGATCCAGAAGTTGTTTAAATCGTAAATGATCTTATTCTGAAGTATTAAAGACAGGATACAATCATATGGGGGGCCAGATGTATTGCACAATTTATATAATGATAGTTTAAAAGTAAAATGAATTGCTGAAATCAATTAATCCTGCAATCCCCAGGTTTTTCACAGTTGAAGGAATTTTGAAGGTGTACTTTCTCTATTTGACAGGTCTTCTACCTTTCTTCGATATTCCAGATGATTCAATGTAAGCACCTATGTATACGGATGACTTTTACTAGTGGAAACTTTAAGTTGCAAATTCGACTTCGGAGAAGATTTAGCAAATGTTATTGTAATTTAAATTCCAAAATATTAAAGTCATAATTTCATTTGGTTCTTGGGTTTAATATCAAAGCCATTATTCAATCATTTACACAAAAGAGGGATCTTCGTATACTATTGGGTTTTGAATAATGAAAAGGAATATGAGAGAGCTCTTAAGACTGGCTGTCACGGTATGATGACGGATTGCCCGACTGTTTTGAAGTAATATCTAATCAAAAATAAGCTCTATGGAAAATAGTGATCTCTATAAATAGAAATTTATATATTTTTACAGATTTATTATAATTAATTGTTGAATTCTATTGATGACATCTTGAGAATCTTGTATAACAACAGATTTTCTTGTGAGTTGTTATATTACGATTGAAGTTAGAAATAACATTAAGGATAGATCCTTTATTATTTTTGGGAAGGAAATTATATAGCCATTCTAAATTTTAATGTGTTTTCAAAAGCAGCCACATAGGTGATAATTAAGAATTGTGTATCATTATTATATGTTTATTGAAAGAGCTATTGAATATAAACAATGAATTTAGGAGATCCTTATTTTATTCCAGTTCAATTAATAAAATTAATACAAATTGCGTTATTAGTAATTAAATTAACTACCAATATTATGGTGATTTAATGAAAACCAAAAAATTTGAATACATAATGCATACAAATTTGATCTCATTCCGAGACATGTCATTTATTGGATGAGATCAGTAATTTGATTTAAGTTGAAATTATGGATTGAATAATTTACAGAATTGCGTTGTTAGAAAATTCGATAGCCTCAATTTAATATTTCTTATATACGAATTGATAATAATTGATAACAATATTGTAAATTTAATAAAATCAACACGTATTATCCCAACTGTTAAATTATTAATTCTTATTAAAAGGATATATTAATTCAAAAAAATTAAAAAAAGCAGCATTCAAGTTGAATTGCGCAGTCAATAGGAATAGATTCTAAATTGTCTCGATAAAATACTTCAAGTGAGATTCAAAATTGGGAGTGATGCTCAGTGAATAATAATCAATAATCATTTCAAATATAAATGTTGAATTGAGAAATGCCAAAAAAATTATATTTTTAATTAAAATTACTCTGGTATAGAAAGATTTCATGAAGCCAACTTATGTTTATTCAAATCCAGTGGTGAGTCTCCTGAGCTCTAGTTCGACCTAGAGTAGTCCCATGACGAGAAGTGAATTGAATGATTCGATCGAATACTATATGGACCAAAAAGACTATCAGACCGAGGTGGAGATCGTGAAGTATCTGCACAGTCTTGGAGTGCGGACAAAAACCGATCCGTTGATAAAAGAATAAGAGTATTGGAAAGAAAGAAAACAAAAGAGCTAAATACTGCTAGAGACTATGATCAACACTTAGGAGAGAGGAGTATTGAATTCAAGTGTCGGTCGACTATTAAGAAAGAATGTAACCTATATTCCAAGGAATTCAAACAGTCCCTTTTTCTTACTGGATTGATTATGATTCTCCTTTTTACCTAATAACAATATCTCTCCCTATTTAACTATAAAACTGAATTCAATAAACCACAATTAATTAGTTAATCATTAATAAACAAAGTAACCCGACGTGCTTCTCTCGATAGATTCAAATTCAATAGATTGCTTATACTCGAATCTGAAAAGATCAGGGAACTCCTTTTCAATGATATCCTTTGTCTCTTGTGACACCTAGACAAACCCTTTGGCTCCCTTGGATTCCATCTTGTTGGCAATCAAAACATCAGGTCCATAGATATCATACCTCACTAACTCAGTCCCTAGAACACCCCCAATGATGGATCCCTATGAAGTTAAATATAAAGCAAAGTACAGTATGGACTCCGATTCTCATGTCTAAGGTAGGATGGTTGATGTGGGCTCGGACTCTTCTGATTGCATCGATCATCGCGAAACCCATTCTGACAACGTTGACTGCTTCTTGGGATGGATTTCTTTAGATTCCTTTGCCATAATCCACCATGCCCATCACAACATAGCAGTCTCCAATTGTGTAGAGTTTGAAGACGTTGTGCAAAAGACAATTTTTATCGAATTCAGTAAATAGGTTTCTCAACATATTCACTACTTATTCAGGTTGTACACTGCTTGAATACTCTGTAAAACCAGCAATATCAGCGAATAGCAAGGTTACTTCGTCTGCCTATTCTCTTAATACTCGTTTCTCCTCATTTGGCCTGAAAAACTCTTCAAGGACCTGTTTGATAGAGATAAATTAATTATACATTTTTAGGCAATAAATAATTCAATAAAAATTAGTATTTGATTGACTTTTCGATTAATTATTTGTTGACATTATATGAGTTGACATTCTTCAAAAACATGAATAATTGAATACAAAAGGCGAATATCGATATTATGACACAATAGTAGAATCTACTCCATGGCCAATCATTCACCACGATGGCTGCAATTGTCACTCCCAAGAAGAGAACCAGATATACTAACTTATGTTGATGTCGAAGAATTCTATTAAGAAGAACACTTAAACAATATATGATCCCTTTGGCTATCTAAATTTCATAATGATCAGTAATTAAAAAACAATCCAGAGCGTAACTTCCCAGCAACATATATGCCAAAATTTGGAAGTATATCACATTATAAAAGGACTCGTACTTATGTATTAGAGTGCACAATAATAAGTGTACTAGACCCACAAATACTCCAGTTATTAGATTGGCCAAGAATATCTATCGATTCAAGCTCACACAAGACACTGAACTTATTAAAACACATGACCCTATTGTCAATAGATATTGAATAGCAAATGGTCTATATAATGAAGATAGAAACTCATAAAACTCCAGTGTTACAGTGATATCTTCATTAAAATCTAGATACAATTTCTTTGGATTTAGAGTCAATAATAAGGTTTAGCCTTGAGCATCTTCATCAACACTGTATAGAGCCCTTATTTTATCCTTCTCAACATGGTACTCCATATTTAATTGATAATCAGAGACATTTAACTCACACTTAGTCTTCTTCTCTAACAATTATATTAGGTCTTGATGTTTTTGGTGTCGATCATCATACCCTTAAGATTAAACGCCTCCAACTATGGATTAGGAAGCATAATTTTTAGAGGATCCTCCACCTTAATTTAAGGCAAATTAAACTATAGATTATTAAAACACTATTTATTATTGATTTGACTTATTTGGACTCTCAATACTTATTTGCTTTGATGTTTTGGTTACATAATTGTAAATCTCACTTTTTTGCTTTTTGTTAAGAATCAATGGCTATGGATCCTCGATCATGGCTATAAGGGGTTGTGCTTCCTTATTAGTAACAGCTCCATTATCTGATATTAAATTTGAATTGTGTTGATCAAGATTATAATATTCCTTTGGATCTCTAAAGGGATGTTTGGGAGGTCTTTGAATCATGATTGTTTGCTTTCTTTACTTGCCTCCTCTCTTGGTGTTAACTACATAGGTAATCAATTTTCCCTTTCCCTTTGCCACAACATCTCTCTAAACATAAACCAATTCAAATTTGTTAGTCTATCTATATGCTTATTCAGAAATGGCTATATCCCAAGGCTCAGCTGTTGAACAAATTCTACTTGCTGTATTGATGGTGTCACCTATCAGACTGAATTATGGTTTATGATGACCAATGACTCCAGCAATGACATTCCCATAATGAATACCAATCTTAATTTAAAATACTTCATTTGACATAACATGTCGTTTCATATCTAATGCCAAAGAGATCACTTTATTAACTGGATTAGATTTCTAACTCATATGAATTTTGAGTCCTGCTGCAGCCATGTAGGTTTTGCCCACAGTCTCAATTTTTTAGACTTCATGTTGTTAGCAAAGTAAATCAAATCTTCTAAATAACTTGTCTAATATATCAACCACATTGGATTGTTCATTCTTTATTAGTTGATCAAAATCGATGATGTCACAAAACAAAACAGCCACCATACCTTAATCTTCCTGAATATCATATTGACCAGCTTTATTGATACGATCCCTGATAAATTGAGGGAGTAGAATAGAGAGAATGTCACTCATTATTTAATTCTCCTTGTTCATATTAATCCTGCCTAGAAAGACTTCCAAAAATATGTGAATGATTCTTCTGAATGTTACAACCAAGAGGAACAATGATGCAATGCTCATGACGTATTGGTTGATCAGAATATAGACATCATCCTCATCAGATTTCTTGATTAGATATATGATCACATAAATGGCAGAGAACACTTAACTGATGAGTGGCTATTCTTGATAATGATATATATTGACTGATAAACTTAATTGTAACATGTTCAGGTTCATCTCTCCTACAGATTAATCTTGATTGAAGAGCCAAATGATAATCGAGGAACATCTAATAAACAATATGATGAAGTTGACTTCAAAGAAATACACTTTGTAGTAGCGAGACCAACAAAATAATACGAGCAACAGTAGCACTCCGAACATTGAAACATAAAAGTAATCAGTCCAATAAGTGAAGTTGAAATTATCCATTGTTAATATTATAATCGTATAAATAGCTATCTCATAGAATAAAAATGTAATTGCAACTATAATTCTATAGGTTCTAACTATATAAATGAGATTATCCTCTGTAAACTTATTTTATAATAACTATGATTTGAATCTCAGAGTGACTGAGTTGATTGAGTTTTCTGTTTCATCTGCAAATGCTCCACTCAACATCTGCTTTATGATTGGGTCCATGTCTTCGTCCCCATGAAAGAGTTTCCTCGCATAATACGATATTTTCTCTATAGTAGCTCTATGTAACTTAATTTATCTGGCTACATCCCCTGAGATTTTATTGTATATTTTAACGATTTCATCATACTCGTTGCTTGTCTGTATGACGAGGGGCATAAAGAATGGTCTATTCACATAATTGAGTGCCAAATTAACAATGATGTGGATGGCTACAATGAATATGAATGAAAATAGGGTTTAAATTGATGCTGCCCATTTATAGATGATGGAAATTGAATCGAATTAAAGAGAAATCAAAGTATATAGTCCAAAGGTTAGGCCAATGTTGAATACAGACTATTTCTGAGTGATATATTTTCTCTAAACCAATTTTATAGTGTCTACAATGAGTAATAATAGAAATAAGCCTGATCCTAACTCAGTAGAGGTCATGATAAATCCATCGTGAATTGATAGATCCGTATATTCAGTGTATAGATTGATCAGCAATGCTTGGATTAATGGAAATAATGTAATTCGTGTTATGTATTTACCGAATTTATTGTTGTTTAATTCTAATTAATTATTTTTAAATACAAAATACAAGAACTCACTATGATTGCAAGGTTCAACCTTCTCACTTATCTCACTTATGATAAAGGAACTTGAGAGTAGAAAAAATATATTAGAATGAAATTTAAGATAATCTGTGGATATCACATTAAGTTATTTTCGAATCAGTTATGTCACACACACCAAGTAGATTATAGCAAAACTTCTAAATAAAGCAAATATAAGAATTCTCTCAAAATACAACGCAGATCTTCTGGAATCCAACGCTATCATTCTGTGGATCAATTCAAACTCCTTTATATAGACGTCATTGTTATATAAGGGTTCAATAAAGCCATGATCTTATTTGTGGGTACAGAATTGTGATTCCTAATCCAATTGTTTTATTGATACTCTTCCATGTTAGAGTTCTTCGAAGTTGTTCTTATCATGTGGAAATATCTATCTTTGGGATTGCATCTAAATTGTAAAATCTGAATGATTGAATAAATTGATATCACTAAAACTATCTCCTATTGACAATATGAATTTATAATTCAACTTCCTATCTCTTAACAATTTAATCAAAATTGACTTTTATTATGGTGTCATCCGATACCCAATGAAATTTGATGTAAATTGTAATAGAAATTAAAAATGTTTCTTCAAATAAGCATCTCTTAAGATCTATTCCAAAGATTCCCCATTTATAATAATCTAAAATTATCGAATATGTAGATTTTTTTATCCACCTGAAATCCATCTAGGGCTACAAGTAAATGATCCTTTTTTGTGAATCAAAGTATCTGAATGCCTTAATTCCTTCTTATTTGAATGGGATCTTAATTAACCACTTAAATTTTGTAACTATTGCTTTAATTATAGGAATAATTCATCTTGCGTTTTCGCTTAGATGTGAACAACAGTGTCATTTGAGTTAAGCAATTAGACTCTAAATGCTATTGGCAATACCTTCTCATAGTTGTCTCCACTAACCAACCAACATGGGATGCCTAATTATTTAATCCCATTTAATGTTGGAGTCACATGTTTATTGATCTTTTCTTGAACTCCTATCACACTTACCAGATCGCAATTCCTTTCAAATTCATGCATTAAAAACTAATACTCATGCATGAATTCAATTTTGTTTGATTGAATATCCAGTAATTTATTGGCTTCCTTAATAAAAGTTTACATCTAAACTTCAGTCATTAAACTTCTATAAAATAACACTGGTCTGCTACCTTAGACTTGTATATCCTTAATCATTAGATCTAGTTTGGCCACTTAATCCTTTTCCAAAGATAAACAACCTATCATATCTAAACTGTCATCTCTTAAATATTATAAATATTGAGAATCATCATTTTCTAGACCCAACTTGTTGCATAATTCCTCTTGCAATCTGATAATGATACTGAATTTCCTAGAATTAAATGAGTGTAATGACATAACATCAATTAGATGAATTTCTTCTCCATCTTAAATTACATATCTGATTTGATTTTCGTATTTGCTTCTACAAATGAATCTAAAACCGTAGTGCTTGCACAAATGCAATTATTGTTTATCTAACTCTGAACTATATTCATAAAAGAACGAGTCATCACTTTTCTAATATAATGATCTTGTATTCTGACATAACACTAAAGCAAACATTGCTTCAAAATAATGAGGCTTAAATTCATTGTCCTGAATTCTCCTTATCAAAGTGATTTCATTACCAGAAAACTCGACTTCTGAAACTATTTCTAAATTTGATGGGATTCTAGGAGCATGAAACTTCTAGCTCCCTCTTTGTAAAGTCAACTATCTTTTGCTTTCATGTTGGCTGTTAACAATTAAACTGCTACCTCTTGGCTGAGACTGCTTTTAGATTTATGCTCCCTCTGCACTTTAATCAAATTGACTGCTTATTTGAGATTCTGGTCTGAATCTTGGAGGCTAAGTCCGATGTAATTCATCATATGGTGGATGATCATCATCTAAGTCTTCCAATTTGAAATTCACCTCCTCATTATTACACTTGATCACTGGAGAGGATTCAGGTTCTGCTCTCTCATCTATTGGTTAATTTAATTCCTGTCTCATTTTAGTCTATTAAATGGCATTTTGAAATTCCTTTTCTGCAAATGATCTATATCTTAATTTATAGAGGGAATCAAAGATGAAAATCCATTTGATCTTGAAAGAAGGAGTTGTCAGAGTTCCAGTTTTATCTATCAAAACATGGTTGATCAATGATAAATTGGAAATTGGGGAATAATTTATTTGCAAATGCTTTAAATTCTTGTGATAATTATCTTATAAGGGGTTGTAATCTTGGCGTGAATGTTTAGAGATTCCCTTCTCCTTTTGGAATTAGTAATTGCTGTACAACATTTATGTAAAGTAGAGTAGGTCAATCAGAAAATAGAAATACAAAGGCAATAAGTTTGAATATTTGATCAATGGAAATTCAATAAGGTAATTAAGTTCACCATAATATTCAATAGTGTATTAAATTACACTTAGCAACACTAAAGAGAGTATGGCTATAAAGAAGTATAAATTCGCTTTTTATTCAAAGTAGCCATATTTTTCAACATGTTTAAATGACTTATAGCATCTGCAATCAAGACCAACAGAGAGAATGACTCCAAACAAGTACAAGTCATTTAGGAGTAATTGCTCTCTGAAGAAGATGTTTTCTTTGTTTATTTCCAATGGCTTGGGATCCTTCTTCAATTTTACCATACCTTTATAATATTAATCAGAGTCAGTTTGATCGTATCTTATAACACCATTCAAAATAGTGCGATAATCAAGTAACTAAACATTATGTTCTTTGGATATAGTGGTTAAAGGGCATGCTCTTTTTCTAACTTCATTGGTATTGCCACTCATTACAGTATTACTAGCCATGCTAGCAGATTAACCCATATCCAGAATTAATACGTCAGCTGGACATATTTCATTATTTTTTAAATAAATGATATCTCCAACCTGAAGTTAATCCCATCTCTTCATTGTAAATAGAGGAATTCTAGTTTATTTGTCCTATCTTCCAGGGACTGTATCTATACTAACCTTTCTCATACAAATGTCCTTCTGGTAATTATTGTTATTAACCAAGTTTTCATGTTCAACTATATTTTGATTAATGGATTTCCTTCCTCCTTATTTAATTAATTTTGAAGAAGCCACATTTAATACACTTTTTTTTAAGTCAGCAAACACAGTGGCTTAGCGAGAGTTTGTTTTTTCATCACGCTCTCGTTTTTAAGAGTCAAAGTACAATTCAATGATCATATGCATAGTAAATGTTAACAGAAGTGAAATTAGATAATTATAGTCTAATTATATCATGTTGATGACAAATAAGTACAAATTTAGAAATCGCTTAAAAAATTTAATTATCAAGACGTATAAACAATTTGTTAATGTGTATCTACTAGTTTTTACTAAATTAAATTGATTTTCATTTCCTCTGACATTTACACTCTCCCCATTTTCCAGTACAATCTATAGTTAGAAAATTCATACCTTCTTTGAGTACTGTTAATTCTCATGCAAATGATCATTATTAGTCTAAGGAGCTTCTGATTTGAATATTTAAGACAATCTTCTCAAAAGACCCATTATAATTATATTAATAAATTCATTTCATATGAATAGTCCTCAATCTTTCCTTGAATTACTTATCAATCTGACCCTTCTCTTATTCCAACAACAACAATTGCTGCTGCTCCTTCTCTCTCAATTAATTCTTCCATTAACTCTACTCAATCTCCAATTAGTCCTCTCATCTACTCAACAATTCATACCTACTTCATCTGAAGTTACCTAATCGATCTCTAGAACCTCCCATCCAATTCCTTTGATAACGCCACCAATTCTTCAATCGGCAAAGTCAATTGCTTCGATGATTGCAAATTTGAATTCTCCTGCTATTGAAATTTAAGAATGTCATCCAACTTAGATGAAACATACTCAACATCTAAATTGATCTCAATCTCTACATTACTGGTTTTGAGCTTGTTTCAACTGTTCGTCGATCTGCTCCTGCTATTTAGTGATCTGCTCAATATATAGCTTTTCCATTATATAAATAATTATATATTCATAATTTAATCCAAATGTCCACTTATTCCAAAACACGAGATAGCTTAACTATTAAACTGGCAATGCTTTGAGTATCCTTTTTCTCAAAATAGGGATCAATGTTCTGAGTCTGTTTGTAATTGGGAACTGCCTTGTTCAACTCCAGAAACTAGTAGTTCACCAATTACCTATTGGGACTCAGATGATTCAACATCACTGGCAACTGGTGTGTGTTCCGAGTCTTGATCTTATTGTCCAATAGATGCAGACTCCTATGCTAGAATATGAGAGTCTTTCTGATAGGGTAATTGATGAGACTCTGCCTCTGCCCATTCTGAACCACCTGATCCATCTTTTGAATTGCAACCTTGTTGGGAAGAGTATCGTCATCATTAAATACCAATTCAAACCCCTCTGCATCACTAGAAACATTAATTTCATGATATTCTACCAATCCATAATTTTTCTTGCCCTTCCCAATTGATCCCTGTTCCAATTTCCTGATGCCCAACACTCTCAAAGATGAATGAGGTAACTTAAATTATTTTATTTGGAAATATTACTAAAATGGCTCCATTTACCATTCTCTCATGAAAGGCTGTGGCCTTGTCTACATCTCCCTCCTAGAAGTAGTACTTCCCCAAATACTCGTATGCTTTCAATTCGTGATTCTTCTTATGCAATTTCCAACTGCACATCAAATATTTGGTAAAGTAAATTTTAGACTGTCGATTCCTTAATTTAAAAAAACAAATCCCCAAGAGTTTGTAAGCCAGCAATTTATACTTTAATAGGTGCTCATTATCAGACATCCTCTTTACAATTTTCGCCAAGATTATGCTAAAGTAGAGCAATTTATAACTGCACACAATCTTCGCCAATTTAAGGTGAATGAATATTTTCAAGTCTATTATTACTTCTGATCATACCTGGGATCTTAGATTTCAACACTTGATTGCTTATCTCATTGATTATTTTAATCGCCTAATCTCTATCCTTCCGTTCCAAGTATAATTGGTTTAATTGCATTAGAGCATTTTAGATGATAACTCTATTCTATTGTAACATCTCAGTACTTACATTACCATAATAAACACTTACATCAATTATTGTTACTTCTCAGGATTCCTTATCTCCTCCTTAATCTTATCCATTTCCTCTTGAAATGCCAATTTTATATTTTGGATCATCAGAGCTTCCTTTATGGCATTCTTTGCTCTCATAGTTTATCTGCAAGTCATATCCCCTTTGAATCTAGTGTCATTGGTAGACTACAATTAATCTTAACTTGCCTCTGTTTGTAAATGTCCAGAGTGTTTTGGTAAGCGTAATTAAATTCTTGATTTCACTTTCATATTTTGATAAAATAATATAAATTCATCAATAAAATTACTATCAATCTGAATTATTTTGATTTTACAATATAACTTATTCTTATGGAATTTGTAGAAATTTGAAACAACAATTAGGATTAATAAATAGAAAATCAACAGATACCAAAAATAACTTTATGATTCAAATAACAAGGATAAACTACCTAAGGAGCAATTCAAGATAAATTCTCTTTATATGTGTTTTTCTAAGTGAAGATATCTACCCATAGACATAATGGAATAGTCATATCAATAATAAACTCAAAAGATACAAATCCAGTTTCATCAGAATAGAGATTAAATTACAATTACAAATCTTAAGGATGATAGCTAAAACTCTTCATTCTTTTATTCTGAAGATAAAATAACATAGGAAATTTCAGAATTTTTCAGTATATCTTTTCTATTAAATGAAGAATTATTGGATAAATTCACTTAATAAGAGTAAAGAGTACTGTAGGGGGATCATTAGTAAGGCTTTATTGATTAGTATTTTCAAATATATTATTGCGATTTTATAATAATTGATAATATCAACAAGTATAATTAATGACCTAAATTAATATAATAAAAATATATAATATCAACACTTAAAATTTAACATTTGTTTTTTGTCTCAAATATTCATAAGAAAATAAGATTATCCCCAATTTTCTGAAAGTCTCAATTAAACTTGATGAAAAGTATATAAATGTTTGAATCTATTCTTTATTTAAAATAGTTATCTGCCATTTTAAGAACAAAAGATTTGGAATATGGTCTGCTTATTTAAATTTATCATAATGTCACAAATAAGTTAAACATTTAACATATATTTCATTATATTTCATCAAGATATGGTCAATTAAAGAAAAGTCTGTTTATGAAAAATTCACTATTATTGGAGTATGACATTCTATGAGTCTATAGTGAATTCAATTTTTAACCCTATTGTGAAAATAAGGAATAGATTTCCTGTTCCAAATTTGAAATAAATTCAATATTTATTTTATATGACTAATCTATGATTCCTATAAGTTAGAAACTCATACTGCACTTGGTTGTATTCATTAGTTAGTGTGTTCTATTGATGTAAAATAGTATAATTTTTAGATGAATTCTATCAAGAAGAGGCAAAATCCAAGAATATCATTATTAAATAAGATAGCTTATTTTGTTATTTAACATTCCTAAAAATGTGAAAGGGGAAAGTCGCAACCACTATTTATTAAACTAACAGAAAAGATCAATATGAATGAAGGGTATATTGAATAATTAATGAAAAATACTCTTTTTTTAAAAAAAGAAAAAAGAAAATATGATAGAATGCTAAATGAAGTCTTCTATCCAAGGGGTATAGTGTTTTTCATTTCATAATCTTTAAAAGGCTTTTATGATACATAATTATTGTTGATTAAGATCTTTTCATTTTTTCAAGTAAAGAATTTAAAGTTATAAGACTGGGAAAGTATTTGATTTCGTTAAAAAGAAATTATACTATAAAATCTGAATGATTTGGAATATATTCTGATTGTCCCAGGATTCTCTAGAATAAAATAATCAATTATATTGAGGGAAGACATTAGCTATATAGATTGGTACGACAATCAATTTAATTATTATTTAGAATGCCTGGATGATTGGAGGGTATATTTGAACGCATCAAATGGCATTTGGAGAGATTTTTATCCTTTAATGAGGCAAGATTAGCCTTATGATAACCTTGAGATTAACCTCTGATAGAAGGTTGAAGATTTCAAAAATGAATGTGTAAATCAATTATATAACTGGTTTTTATTAATAGATTGGAGCCAAAAATTAAATCAAGTTATTCAGCCTAACTAATTGAAACTATTAATTATAAATATATATTAATTTTACGAATGAATTAGTCTGTAGGTGAAAATTAACAATCTTTGCCATCAATCAATTATGGGAATGTGAAGTACTCCTTCAAATGTTTACGCCGACATCTTTTTAAGGATAAAGTGTATCATGTTCATGCACTTCATAATATGATTACATTAGGAGAGGTACACAACTATTTAGAAGTAGCATTTCAACGACCCCAACCCCAAATACAAGTTGGAGTTGAATCTCAAGAATACAGTTTATTGGAAATAGGAGAATGGGTAGAACAAAGCCTTCGGTATTAAATATAAGTAAGTAATTATTTTTAAACTAATATTTTCAAAGAAAGAATGTGAAGTATTTTGAAGCTTCTTCTGAACAATTAACCAAATTTCGTTAGGCAATCAGTTGTTTAATTGGGTTCCATTCACTTGATGAACATTATAAATTAGAAAAAGTGATTGGACAGGGTTCATTTTCTAAAGTCCATAAAGTTCATAGGTTGCATGATGACAAGGCATTTGCAATGAAGCAAGTATCCAGTAAGTAAAAGAATGATAAGGAGAATATGGTATTTATGCATTTAATTGTATTCAGTAATTATTAGAAAACGAAATCGGAATTTTACATTCATTGAATAACGAATCCATCCTCAAAATATTTGAAGTTTTTAGAATCGAAGAACATCAGTATGGAATCATTGTAGAATTTGTTGATGGAATATGTTTGGCTACTCTTATTGAACAACTCAAAAAACATCAAAATAAGCTCAAAGAATACGACATCAAAATTATGTTGTAGGCAATCCTTAAAGCTATGGTTATCATTCATTAAGAATAAGTGATTCATAGAGATATTAAACCATAGAACATTATGATCTCTCTATCATCCTTTAGGAATGTCAAAATTATTGATTTTGGATTAAGCATCAAAAATTAATTGTAATATAACAGATGTGGAACTCCTGGCTATATGGCTCCAGAAATCGTTAATATGAAAAAAGACTAACAAAAAGCTTGGACATCTCTCTGCGATATCTTTAGTCTAGGTGTTGTCTTTTTCAAATTGTACAATATTATCATACAATTAGATTGTCCAAAGGCATCAGTTGTTTTTAAGGATAAACCTCTGATCAAGTCTTAGCAAACAACAAAAAATGCTAAATAGACTGGTCTATTGTTCAATAATATAATTATTCCAAAAATTGCATCGTAAAACAAACGATAATAAATTTAAGTCTTTATTGAAGGCAATGTTAGCCAAGGATCCTGATGAGAGAATTACTGCTTACCAAGCACTCTAGCATCCCTTCTTCGCTGATTTGCCCCCAGTGTTAGCAACTGACTTCGCAGGAAACTCTATGACATTTAAATCAAAATGCATTATCAATCAAACTATTGACAAACCAAATCTCGACTCCATAAATACCTTAAACGATCTCTCTGGACTTTAAAAATAGTAAATTTATGTCAGGGATTTAAAACCATCCAGAATTAGCAGAAGAGTGTGATATTATATTTTTGTGTTTCATTTTTACATTTTTTTATTTAATACAACAAATTAATATTTTATAATCTCATAAAGTAACAGTGAAGTATCTTTCAGACCATTCTATCCTTGAACAAATAAATTATAAAGCACCACTAATCCACCTTGTTGAAAATCTGTAAGCAGTAAATTTACAAGATTACTCTTCCTACAAGTAAACTCAAAAATGAGCTAATCAAATTATTCATAAACTTTGTTTTTAGAAACAATAAAAAAAGCTATATAAATATCACATCCTAATCATAATTAAAGATTCATATGAAGAGAGGTTTTGAGAAAAATAAGAATTTTTTTTTTAGAAATGGTCTAAGTGAATTTAATAGAAAGTGACATGTATGATGACCTCATGCATGCCACATATGTTCTTGGAAGTACATTTTTGATTGATAGCTTATTATTAGTTGATTTAAGAGAGTAAACGTAGGGGAACATGCAAAAATCTCAAATCATCAATACGAAAATATCAAATTTTGAAGTGTTTGAAAAACCATTTTATTTTAATAAATAAAGAACTAGAAAGATTTTAATAATTTCATGGCAAATTATTACTTGAAATTTTAATTATATAATATATAAAGCAAAATTTGACAGTTGATTACTAACTAGTTAAAAATTTTCATTTTTTGTAAATAATGAACAAACAGTTAGAACTAACGAAGAACTGGAGAAAAAGCAGAATTTAAGGTATTTATCAATTAAAATCATTATTGATAGGCAATCAATAATTTTACTTACAAAATTGGATATAAACAACATGATCATAATAATTAATTTTATTTAGGAATTTTTAAGATCAAAAATGATAAGATGACTACTTCATTGTTAGAATAATTGAAAAATTGATCGAAAAGTGTTGAAAATCTTGTTAGTTTTTAGAATTAAGCTTAATTATATGATTATGCAAGCTTGATTGAAATATGATAAATCATTTTAATTATGATATATAAATCATCCAATTAAAAAATGCTATGTTCCTATTAAACATCCGCATTCTGCACAATAGTGTTCTACATCTTTGAAATCTTTTTAGAAAGTAAACAAGAATTGCCAAAGGTATTGTAATAATAAATACAACAAACAAAAGTATAAGTAAATGTGCACCTTTTCCATTTTTATATTTTAATTTTGAATTAGATACTTTTTGGCAGTTTACACATTATAATTTTTGAGATTCTCTAGTCTATGGAACTTTTGGATACGAAATATCAGTTTGACTAATAAGAGGTAAGTCTCCATTATGAGATATTAAAACTTATTTAGTTGTTTAGCATTGTTCAGTTCGTAATTCTGTACTTTTATTATCAACTTGATATTTCATTTGATATTTATATAATTAAATATATTTAATCATCTTTTATATTTATTTGATTCCTGTCGTTTCAGCTATTACAATTCTTATTGGAATTCTTATTGTATTTTTTACAATTAAGTATCTGTTTTTCTAAATTATCCTGTCTATTGCATTTCTTTGAAGGTCTCCTATGTAGAAAATGCTTTGTCAGTAGTTTTAGTTGATTAAATACTTTGAAGTACTTTAGGAGTGGCTTTTACTGGGTTTAATTTTGGAGGTTAAGATTGAGGTTTAGTTTATTTTTATTATTATTATTATTATTACTATTGATTATTTAATTATTGTAATTATTATCTTTCTTATTATAAATTTTGCATCTATTGTTTAACCTTTTAACTTAAAGCAGTATTAACTTATTTAATAATTTTCTTAGGTTGATTATTATTTTAAATTTATTCCTATTATTATTATTATTGTTATTATTGTTATTGTTATTATTATTGCTACTATTTTACTTTATTCAAATCAAAACCTCCTCCTGTTAATAAATCCTTCTTTTATTATCTTTCTTCCTCTTTTTGTCTTTTTTCTTCCTACATTTTTAATTGATATTATTATAATTTCTCATCAGCTCTTTTCTCTATATAAATAAACTATATTTTTACTTGTCTCCTATTATCTCTACTAAAGTTCTTATTATTATTCATTCAACATTCTCTATCTCTCATCTTCTTCCTATTATTTTTTCAATAACAAAGCTTATTTCCTTTGTAATTCTGCTTATTATTATTATTTCTTTAATTCTTCTGCTTACATCAACTCCTCTTATCTGCTTCCAGCCACTAAATTGAGAGTCAAAGGACAATCGATAAGTAATTACTCATTCAAATATAAATAAACGAAATAATTCCCTGGTTTGTTCACCTACAAAACAAGTTTATGTTTAGATGGTTCATCTAGTTCCTTAATTTCAGCTTTGTAGCCATCGTTCATGTAATTAAGATAGATCTTATTATCTTATTACGACTAAATCTTGCTCATAGAGACCACTTGATTTTTGTGTAATAACTAATCAGGAGTAATTTCAGAATCATCAGAAACAAAGATATTATATCTAATAGGATGTGTTTGTTTGATTCCATATGGACCATACTTATCTCCTAGGTTGATAATGAGATTAATATCTGAAAAGGTTTCGAATTCTTCTTAATCCTCATCTTCTAATTCCAATTTACACCATTCCCCTTATAAGGCAGTTGATTCACAAAGTCTGATTCCCCTGCAAAGATGGAGTTGTCTTACAGGAGCGGAGAAGAATTACTTAGATTTCGGTTCTTTGTCAATATCCCATCTAAATATCTTTCCTTGCAAATTCAAAGCATAGATCACACCTTCATATGTGCAAGCTTAAATAATTTAGACATCTTCATCAATTTGCAATGTTTTAGGGTAATCAATTACTTTTTCTTTGCTCACTTAACCACAATACAAGACCTCACCATCAGAAGTAACAAAAATACTAGCATTTTCATTAGCATTAATATAAAAGCATTCCTCCTCTTATATTTACGAATATTGTTGATGATTATTCACCCCTAACTAATGAAACTTATTTTATCCAATTCCCCAAACTTCACCTTATGAGTTAAGTGATAACAAATGGTTATCTCCACCTGCAATTTAATCAATATTATCAGCTAATTTAGTTAGTTTAGGATATTTAATATTTTCATCCAATTCCCCAATGATAAACAATGACTTTTTAGCGAGAACAGCTCCAAATTTGAAACCCAATATGATCTATTAAATTTCTGCAATAGGGTCTATTTTGAGTATGTGTTTAGCTCCCCACTGATATATCCGACCTTCAGAATCCCAAGCAATTGATGAGCTTTTGTATGCTTGAACTCCAATAATGTTCTTATTGCTTAATTAACTAATATTATATGGGACACTAATAAAATTTCCATCTAATTCACTCATGGTTACTTGACCCAAGAAATTCTCTCCCCAACCAAAGACTTCATTACCATTATTGCATTTTTCTCCTTTACATTAACTGACCAAAAAGGGATTGATACATGAACAACCACTTATTAAAACTAAAACATGATGTTCTCCACATCCAATAGAGAGTATTTTCCTGTTTTTGAATATCGAATATTAAGTCAACTCACTGCATTACGTTAAGTCCCCTTAACCCAAACAACCGGTTGCACTATTACCTTATACTCCTAAAAGAGATATCACCTTTTTATTATCTCTCTAGATCTTAAATATAGTATTTTAATAGATATCATCTATTTGTTTGTAAATTTACTCTGGAGTAAGATCATATATACCCAGATTAAATGATGGCATCAATTTAACTGTTTCAGCATAGCTTTTTAATCTCAATGCTTACATGCATCCATTATATGTTTCATTCGTCTCTAATTATGCCTTACATAATGATAACAAGACCTTCACTTTGTCCAAAGTTTACAATTCCTTCTCTAACAATTCAAAGCATTCTGTTTTGGCTTCCTCATACATTCTATTTTTGATCAAGAAGTCGCTTCTCTAGATCTTATACTATTATTATTGCTATGGTGTGGCTTCTTTATGATTACTTAATGCTTTTAGGATGGTGCATATCTGACCTATGTTCTCGCATTTATTGAATTCCTTTTGTAATTCTTTGAATGTGGCCTAATCAATACTATGCACGTAAGTAGTGGCCTTCACTTATTTAGTAGTTTGTTTCTTGAATCCCATCTCTTCTTCAGTGATGTCAACTTCCCTTAGCATACACACTATGTACATCCTCTCTCTCGTAACAATCTCTATGCGAATTCTTAGGCAAACCGAGTGGATTCTGGATCTTGGACGTTTGTGCGTGCTTAAGACTTCTTAGCCTTCCTGTTGAACTTGCGATAATCTTCATCCGATGAGCTATCTGACATTTTAAATATATATATATATTATAATAAATCATTCCTTTTTGATTTTGGGTAATTGTAGTCTCTGAGTGACTTGTTCCACCACTGCGCTCTATCTAAAATACTCTAACACTGCTACTTGAGCTGTCGCTCTTGCTCCTTGGCTGGTTTGACCAATTAGCTTCTTCTTAGAAAGTCGTTTTCTCTGATGGCCTCAGGAGATGGCTCATAGCGTCGTAATCTGCCTAAAAAATTTAATTTGGGTTGATAGCTATAGAACCCGCCCTGACCCTCGCTTTTTGTATTCATTTCACATACCTGATGTAAGAATCTCGACCTGTGCCATCTGTGTGATAAAGCTTGAATTTGCTATTAATAATGGGCAATGAGTTCTGCTTTGACAAGGAGCAAAAGGAGTCCTCTGTATGCAATGAGTCTGATTTATAGAATCCACCATTTCCATAATTGATGTATGTATCTCTTCCAGATCCATTTACTTTGTAATTGACAACTTTCGTCATTAATTATTTTATATTTTCGGTTTCATATGATAAATTATGATCAATAATTATTGTTCATAAATTAATTACAATTTTCTTTTATAAAATATATTAAGGGGTAGGGGAAATTAATTAAAAAAAAGATATTATGAGGTGACCCATTTTAAGCTGCGTGGAAATTCAAAATTCAAACATTAAAAAAACAAAATCCTTTTTCGTAACCGTCACAATGAGAGAAATCGTTCATATTCAAGGAGGACAATGTGGTAACCAAATTGGTGCCAAATTCTGGGAAGTCATTTCAGATGAACACGGCATTGACCCAACAGGAACATATCATGGAGACTCAGACCTTCAATTAGAGAGAATCAACGTCTATTACAATGAAGCCACAGGAGGCAGATATGTCCCAAGAGCCATCCTTATGGATTTAGAACCAGGTACTTCTAAAATATTAATCTCTTCATAGGCACAATGGACTCAGTCAGAGCTGGACCATTCGGACAACTCTTCAGACCAGACAACTTCGTCTTCGGTCAAACAGGAGCTGGTAACAACTGGGCCAAGGGTCACTACACTGAAGGAGCAGAGTTGATTGACTCTGTTTTGGATGTAGTTAGAAAGGAAGCTGAAGGATGTGATTGCTTATAAGGATTCTAAATCACCCACTCATTGGGAGGTGGTACAGGATCAGGAATGGGAACATTGTTGATCTCAAAGGTCAGAGAAGAATATCCAGACAGAATCATGGAAACCTTCTCAGTCGTCCCATCACCAAAAGTGTCTGACACAGTCGTCGAACCATACAATGCCACCTTATCAGTTCACCAATTGGTTGAAAATGCTGATGAATGCATGGTTATTGATAATGAAGCCTTGTATGATATTTGCTTCAGAACATTGAAATTGACAACCCCCAAACCTATGGTGACTTGAATCACTTGGTCTCAGCTGCTATGTCAGGAGTTACATGCTGTCTCAGATTCCCAGGTCAATTGAACTCTGACTTGAGAAAATTGGCAGTCAACTTGATCCCATTCCCAAGACTCCACTTCTTCATGATTGGATTTGCTCCCCTCACATCCAGAGGATCTCAATAATACAGAGCTCTTACAGTCCCAGAATTGACATAATAAATGTTCGATGCCAAGAACATGATGTGTGCTGCTGATCCAAGACACGGAAGATATTTGACAGCCTCAGCTCTCTTCAGAGGAAGAATGTCCACAAAGGAAGTCGACGAATAAATGCTCAATGTTTAAAATAAGAACTCATCTTACTTCGTTGAATGGATTCCCAACAACATCAAATCATCCATCTGTGATATCCCACCAAAGGGTTTGAAGATGGCAGTTACATTTGTTGGAAACTCCACTGCTATCTAAGAAATGTTCAAGAGAGTCGCTGAACAATTCACTGCCATGTTTAGAAGAAAGGCCTTCTTACATTGGTACACTGGTGAAGGTATCAACTTTATATTAATCTATTCTAGGTATGGACGAGATGGAATTCACTGAAGCTGAATCCAACATGAATGACTTAGTCTCTGAATATCAATAATATCAAGATGCTACTGCTGAAGAAGAAGGAGAATTCGAAGAAGAAGGCGAATAATGATAATCTTAGTGATGTTTATCACAAAATATATAAATTACAAACAACCTAAATTTTTATTTTCTTTCTTCAAAATTTCATTTAATTTTTAAATTTTATAAAAGAAAATCGATAATTAATTGATGAATTTTATATAAACTAAACATAAAGAAATAATGTTATTACACTTAATTAGGATAATATTTATATTAAAAATTTCATAAATTTAGTCAAATTCATCATTTATGTTTGAATTATTTGAGTTCCTTCATCAAAATATCAGTGTTTTTGCCTTCTGCTTAATATCTCTTAACAATCTAAGCAGCCCATTCGTCAAATTCTTTATCTTGATTATCTAATCTTTATAAACATTTATCTCTTTCATCAAAATTTTTCATGATTTCCTATGTTCTTTTTTGAGTTCGTTCATTTTCTTATTAATGATGAAAATCTTTTAATTCTTAATTCTTTTTTCTAATTTCCATTTTCTCTCGAAGTTCCTGTTCATGCAATTCTTTATTTCTATTAATCCAATATTATTAAAATTCTTAATTCAATTTCTTCTCTTCTTCTTCCTATTATTATTTAATTTCCATTTTCACTTTGTGACTATAACTTATTGCACTTTATAATTTACGTCTCTACTCTTTTTTCATTTTTTCAACCTCTTCTGCTTTAATCTCAGCTTCAATAATATTTTTATTTAATAATTTTTCTTATTCTTCCTTTTATTTCCTCAATTTTTCTGTTTAAGCATCAATCAATTTTTATCTTTATGCTTACTTTTCTGCCTTTCTCTATTCATCTCTAATTTTCCTGATTTCCAAAACTCTTTCCTTCTTCTTAGCATGTTCCTCAATCTTTTTTTCCTCTTCTAATTATTTCTACTTCTCCAATTCCCTTTGCTTCTTCAACACCTCATTACCCTAAATTAATAATTATTGATTTTCCAAGACTTTATCCTTCCTTTACTTCGCAATTCTTTATTCCTCTTCTAAATCAGCCTGGACTTTTGCCTTCATTAATTCTCCTTCTATCTTTTCTTCTTGAACCTACTTAATAAATTTATCCTATTCTTAAATTAACAAACATTACTCTCATAATATCATGCTATTTCTTAAGCATATCGTGCTGTTATTTCTTTTTCTCCACTAATTCCTATTATTTCTTCTTTTCTAATAAATCTTTTTCAGCCTGTATTTCCAACATTTGTTCATATTGCACCTTTTCTCTTTCCTTCTCTAAGAGTTTCTACATCCCTTTAATTTATTTTTATCCTTCTCTTTCTTAAAGTGCATCTACAACAAGCATTTTAGATTGAAACTGTCTAATACGTTCATTATTCTCATAGATTTATTTGTTAGCTTTTTCTAAGATTTGTTATTTGACAAGTGCCTAATATCGACGTTCATCTTCATCTATTTTTCTCCTTTCTTCCTCGTCCTACTTAAAACGTTCAAACCTTAAATGAGATTTACAAATTGAATACTTGGTTCTGTCCTTCTATACCTTGTTCTATTTCAAAGTGTTATTCCAATTCTTTACACGATCCTACGATAATTTATGCCTATGTGAACAGTTATTAATACAATTCAAATTTCTCCGGAGTATCTTGATGATATACTGTAATATGGTCTTGCATTCTCTTCAACTCTGAAAGTGGAATCACTGCTGAGGTCTATTTACTTGAAGCTACTGCTGATTAAACTCTACGAACACTCATTTTTATATTATTATAATCAATTATTTATGTATATACAGTTTAATAAAGTAGTTGCCATTTGGTGAATGCCACCATCCTCAATTGCTCTTATGGCAATAAAGAGTTCGATAAACTAAGTTAGTTGATCAATAAAACTATCTTATGTTTTATATGAGTCTCTAAATTTTATAAGAGTAGGATGGACAGTAATTTTGTAATTGCATATTGACTTTGATTTAAATTTCTGAACGATATGATTGAACTCCATTTTATTAATTTTTTTTGAAATTGTTAAGGTGTTGAATACGAAGTAAATTTTTTAAAATAAATTGAAATTTTGATTTTAACTTGAAACCCTTCTTGCTTCAAATTATTCTGAAGATTTAATAAAGCAAAATAAACTAATTCTGCAATAGTTCTACCTTGTAAATGCAGCTGATATGATAGGGATGGCTTAAACTATTAAGGATAATCGAAAAACAATTTAATAAATTGATACTTAATTAGTTGAATACTTTTTCAGAAGCTTATAAGAATAAACATTAAATTATCTTAAAGAATCTCTTCCATTTAAGTATTTCTTGTAATTATAATTACTCTTTCTCTATTGTTTAATTGTTATAATATTATTTTTATGGATTAATCAATTAATGATGCTGAGGCTTTCCTTAAACAAAAAATCAAAGTCAATCCATTGAAAGACCAGATGTAACAGAATCAAAAGAATTATGAAATTCAACTTCAAGTAGCTCAATATTTCAAGAAATCTGAAAGTTACACAAAAAAACCAGCAATACAATTAGTAAGTATGATTTTATATCATTAAATTACTCAGGCAATGAGAATGATGAATTATAAGTCTATTTCATTTATGGAGAACACATTCCTGATCAAAGTAAAAAATAAGATTATGATTCTTTTAAAATTGATGTCATTGAAACCATGCATCCAAAAATTGATAGATTTTTTATCATAGTCTTTTTCAATACTAATATGATGACTGCCTCAACTCTCAATGATTTCAAAGACTTTTATGGAACTCTACCTGAAAAATACTTTTTTCATATGAAGAAATTTATTGTCCTTCATGCAAATTTTATTGTTAAAGGAGGAGGTATTTTTGGAATGAATGAAATCAAATCCTTTTTTAAGAAAATCACTACCTTTGAAGATACGTATTATAGCATATTAATATCTAGACTCCTCATATTATCCAAAGAAGAATGGTTTAAATATAAGATGTTAGCTGCATTACCAGAAAGTGTTAAAGCTTACGATTAATCTTATAAAGATATCGAGAATAAAAGAAAAAGGACTGTTTTCAGGAAATAGCAAACCTAATAGGCGGTTGGAGATGATGATATAGATTCAGATGATAATTTTGATAAAGATTCTAAGATTTTGGGATTGAATTTACACGAATACGAAAGAAACAAATATGGCATTCCAGTCATTCTAGATATGCTTGTTTAATACTTTGAAAAATAACCAGAAAAACTCAAAACAGAAGGAATATTTAGAAAGTAAGCCGTTGTTTATGAAGAGAAAGTAGTCGAGGCAGCATTGGCATGTTAAAAAGTAGGATTTGTGAATAAAGTTGAAAATGCTCATACTATTGCATGTGTTTTTAAATAATTTTTCTTAAGATTGAGAGAACCAATTATGACATTTCAACTCTATGAATGGGTTGTTTAAAATAAACCATAAATTGAGTAAAATATGGAAGTAAGTGTGCAGATGCTATTCGATTATATGCCAGAACTGAATCGAGAAATATTACTTTTCTCTCTAGGGTTCCTATATTCAGTCATTAAAGAATAAAATGATAATTTAATGACTGCTTATAATATGGCTGTAGTTTTTGGCCCTAATTTCTTTAGATCTGAAGTCGTTAAAATGGCTGATTTAGGTTATGTTACGTAAATATTGCATTTAATTAAGTCTTTTTGTTCAAATAGTCCAAATTATGTTGGAGTAGAAAAAGGACTATGATTATAAAAAGATGTTAGAAGTAAGAAGTGATAATCTAAATTTTGATGCATCATTAGTTCCCTTTTTGCCAGATGATTTAGCCAATTTAGATGATATATTAGACATGGTCTCTGGTAAATATTGCATACTAAGACAATAGACAAAAATGTCGTAAATGAAGCCGAGAGAAAAGAATTAAAGGCAAGATATAAATGAATTGAGTATATTGTTAGATCAAATTATTGTGATTTTTAGTTAGTTATATTACTTCATAAGCTCTCCTCAAGTGTGTGTAAAGTCGTAGATGTTAACTATTTCTTCTTAATATCTAATAACTGAGTTCCGAATGGAATTGATTCATTTTTGTACCTAGTTAATCTAAATTGCTTGTATGGTTAACTTATCTAGACCTGTATTTTTTATGCACGGGCTGATTGATATATGGATGGTAATCGATTATTACAAGATCGATTCAATCTTGCTTCCTATTGTATAATTTGAGATATTATTTTATTCTTCCTCGATTTCAATTTATTTCCATTCATTTATTTGATTTTAATAATCAATCCTATTCTAAAAAAATCTGAGGAATTGATTAACAACCTAAGTATTTCAACCTCTTTAATCGACAGAAAATTAGGATTTAATTAATTTAGAAAAGAAAGAATCTGTATTACCAATTAATAAAATACTTATTTATTTATGGAAATCCTTATTATTAATTTATTCTGATATTTTACTTCAAAATGTTCCTTTTCGAAAATTAAGAAGGCAAAAACCTATAAGTAATTATATTGTGAAACAAATTTTAAAGGAAAGAAAAAAATATTTGCTAGATAATTGAAAAAGAAAGACTTAAACTAGGAATATTAAAATATTATTTAGAATATTATGGTTATTATGGTTATATATAGAAAAAGAGGATTGCTAATTTTAGTGTATTGTAGTCTATTCATAAGAGGTGACCGATATAATGTGCTTTTGTAAGGTAAGATCATATGTGCTTAGAATAGATACCATTCTCTAGTCTTAATTAATCATCTAACTTTATTTTAAGCTAATTCAATAAATTAAAGGAAAAATGCAAAGCAATTTTAATAATAATTAACTTTAAAATTAATAATATGGCTACTCCAATTAAGTGGCATGACATATGGGCAAATTCTATAAATTTAGAAATAAGACTTAGTTGTAAGCAAATAAACACAAATCATGATTTGAATTATACATCAAGGAAAAAATAAAATTATAATTTGTCTTCCAGCAAATTTTTGTATCTTGGAAATCACTATTATTTCATTAAAGTTAATAAACATAATGATCCAAGTGGTAATCATATGAACTAAAATAATCAAAGTGATACTTTTTCTATCCACAAGGCATCTTTATGTGATTGTTGAAAAGACTAAATAAGATATATATCAATAATTATTAATATAATAATATAATGAATGTGTGGTTTCTAATACATTATGATAATTTTAGAACTTAATAATTTATCATTTTTTATATTATATGAATAATGAAGATTTGGAGCCTATAGCATTCTCAAAGTAAAGTCAATGAAGCTACGTAGTTAAACATCCATTTAAGAGATTGCTCATTTCAGGAATAGACTAGTCAATGATAAATTTGAAAACATGAATTCGAATTAACAATAAAAATGTTAAAGTTTCAACGCTTTTGAAATTGGTACACCAAAAGTAAGAAAATAGAAAAAAACTAAAACAAACATAATTTTAAGAAATGAAGAAAGTGTTTTTGGTTTGAGATTCGACAATGATAATTTATCAAAAAAAGATATCTCATCTGTCAAATATACATTTGGAGCCAGATCTGAAAAACCCAAAAGGGAATCCACTAATAAGGTAATTATTGTAGTGAATTTAGATTGTTTAATAAATAAATGAAAAGGTTTAGAAACAAAAATACAAGTTTGCTTAAGAGAAAATGAAATGTCGAACTGAGAAGACCTTTAATAATAGTGATAATTAATTCTATAAAATGAACAAGAGATATGAAAAAACTAAACTAAAGACTGAATAAATTTATTTAGTTGATCTCTATAAAATTTATGGTTATTAAAGGTTGAAATACGAACTGAATGTAATTTGTTATTTAAATAGATTTATCAAGATAACTATAGTTTTTTGAAACTTAGAAAATTCATAATCAAAGTTATATATGGAATACTAATCATTTTAAATTACATGCAAAGAACCATCTTTTACAAATTATTTATGTCAATTATAATATTGGTGAATCTCGTAATTTTTGTATCTAAAATCTTATCCATAGAAGATGATAAGTTTATTATTTATGAAATAAGTAATGCAATATTATTGAAACTAGTGGTAATATACGTATACATCGCTGATTAAGTATTTCGAATACTCTCCAAAGGAATAATAGGACACAAACATGCATATTTCAGAGTTGTTAAAAACTGGTTTGATTTAATTTTAACAGTCTTGCAAATAATTACTACTTTAATCCCAATTATAGATGTTGTAGATTTTTCACCTTTGAGGTTAATTACATTGCTTTTGTATTTAGGAGATTTTGTGCCAGGTATAAATTAGTTTAATTAGGTTTGAAAATTATGTTATAAGCTCTTGGAAAATCGTTTAAATACCTTGTCGAAGCTTTAATAATTGTGATTATTTTTGGGTTGTTTTTTGCAACCCTTGGGCAAAGTCTATTTCACGGTCTAATAAACTATAGATGTCTGCCTAAGTAGTATGATTCTCTTGATGATTAACCATGGATTTCGTGTAGAATCACCTCTTGTCCTGATGATTTGGTTTGTTAATATGTTTCGTAAGGACCAAATATCCCAACATCTTTTAATAATGTGTTTTCATCATATGCATAGGTCTTAAGAACAATTACGATGGATGATTGGACATGGGTCATGTATTTCACCCTTAAAAGTTATGGTACCTACATTTGGGTGTATTATTTATTGATAATCTTTTTTGGTGGTTTCTTTGGATTTAATTTAGTTATTGCTGTCCTAAAAATTCATTATAGTTAATAAACTAATCAAAAATTAAATCAATCCGAAGAAGATGATTAACATCAAAAAGAGGAGAAATTAAATTTATAAATTCTAAAATAAAATGGTTTGTATCATCCTATTTTATAGTACAAAATGTATTTGAAAGGCGATCATTAATTATTAAGTAGAAGTTTTTGTTCATTCACATCTATTCAGTCCGAATAACCTCGTATACTATCAGGAAAACACTATTCTAAATATGAAAACAATTTTTAGTTCTTGTAGTAATTCTCATTAAAGACATTGTTGCTGCCTAAATTTGTGGATATTAAAAAATATTAGAATTTGCTTTAGGATTTGTATGACAATTTAAGTGAGAAACCTGATATCAACATGTAGTGTCTTACTCATAATGAATTTACAAGATATTGGGCAAATGCAAAAAATGAAGTATACGTCTCAAATAGTGCATCAGATGTTATTTAATGTAAATAAGAAGTGAGTTAGAAGGTTCAAAATAGAATCTTGTAATTTAGATACCAAACAAAAAGTAAGAATAAATAGAAAAATTTAAATGAACTTAAATAATTTCCAATACTTAAGAGCAGAAGATTAAAAGAGAAAATAGCATCATTTGCTTCAAGTGGTATTACACTGATGGACATTCATCATCATTAATCTAGGGCTACATCGTAGTAATAAACTGCGTCCATCCATCCGAATAATATAATTATTTCAGCCTAAAACAAGAAGAGTACCAGTACATTTATTTTACATAAGGAGAAAGAAATTTATGTTAAAATTTATGGATTCTATCATAATTACAAAGCAGTATCAGAGTTGATCAACAAGAAAATACAAATTAGAATTGCAGATGAGATAAAAAATTATGAGGAGAAATATTTATAAATAAGAATGCCAGAAATGCAGACTGGAATTATTGAATCCAAAAATTGTTCCATATCTAGTGTTATTAATAATTATGAACACAAAAATATTATTAAACATTCTTTAAATCACATTGACTACCTGATTTGGTTAATAGGAATTAGAGGGAAAATCAAAATTATTAGGAAAATAACATTTATGATAATTACTAATAAGTTTACAAATTTCTTTGTGGATTGTGTAATTTTAGTTAACTTTTTATGTTTAAGTTTGATAGGCATCATATCTAATCAATTTCTTACAGTTATTGAAGATTTTACAACAATAATAGTTTCAATTGAATTTGCATTAAAGTTAATCTCTTATTAAACATGTAATCAATATATTTATTATCATTCTAGCAAAACTAGTTTAAAAAGAATAAGTAATCTTAGAATCAATCATTATTTTAATTAACTTTTATGAAATGTCATTTAGATAGATTCTAAACTAGTAAGACATAATTGCTAGATTATTAAGGGGCACCAAGATTCTCCTATTTCATAGATGTTTAAAATATATTAGAATGGCTGTGCTCATAGGTTTGATAGCAAAAAGAACATTTAAGTAATATATCTATTTGACATTTTTAATGTTTCTAATGATTCTTATATATGGTTTATTGGGTATGGCTGTTTATGCAAGTAGCTTTGATGAAACCCAATTGCTTGGACATTTGCATTCTTACAAAGATCCTTTAAAGTCTTGGATGACTGTGTTTAATATTATGACAAATGATGACTGGTATGGCGTATTGGCATTAGGAACAAAAGTTAATTAAATATTTGCATTTATCTACTCATTTTCTATGATTCACTTCTTAAATTATATTACTTATGGTTTAGTGATGGCCATATTATTGGATGGTTTTGGAGAATATTTAATAGAGATAAAGAAAGATTAAGACATTATGTTTAAAGGTGAAACTTCTGATAAACAAGATTCAGATTCAGAAGCTGAGGAGAATTAAAAAGAAAAAGAGAAGGGTTCTGCGACCAAATCACTTAAAGTTTTGTCTTAAAACCAATCTGTTTAGAAGGATACTCAATATGGTTATCTTTTAGAATCCATTTGTAAGATATTGATATATCTTTATAGAATAACTAGTGAAACAGATAAAAACTAAGAGGAGAAAGATCTACTTAGGAATTAAGTGTAAAGAATCGTTATTTTTTTTTGATAAATTCAATTAATAGAGAATCTTCTGTGTGAAAACCATACGATCAGAACTCTTTTATTGGAGCAGATTAGGATTGAATATAGGGTTTATTGTCTTAATTGCAATATAAACCTATCATGTGGAATATATGGTATTTGTAGACTCCTTGATTCTGATAACTAATCTATTAATAACAGTGTAGACTATGATGTTAATAATAGCACTAGGATTATTTCATGAGAAAGGATCTTATATACAAGTAATTTTAATTTGTTATATAGCACATTTGGTAAATCATAGACATCATGTATTTAGTATGTTATTATCTATAATTGATAAATACTGAAAGTAGAATATTACACTTATTTTTGTACCTCAGATATTTGAGACCATTTAAGTTATTGTATTCATTTACGCCAATAGTTAAATTATACAATTCTTTAGTGGCTGCTTTATATAATATGAGTAATGTATTAATAACACTATTAATAATATGGACAATGTTTGCAGTGTACGGTATGATACTTTATTAAAATAAATTTGGATTCTGTGATGATTTGATGTAGTTTGATATAAATAAATAATAATGTGAAGATGAAGGCAGAAGATGGATAACATATTAACATAATTTTGATAATATTACAGTTGCTTTACCTACATTGTTTGTGATATCAACATTTGATGGTTGGGGAGAGATCTTACAAGTGGCTGAGAATTCAAGACCTTCTTATTAAGGCCCGTCTCCTTTTGCAAATCAATTGCCTACATATATCTATTTAACTCTTTTCTGCTTTATAGGTTCAATGTTTTTCTTAAGTTTGTTTACCGGTTTATTGTTCTTAAATTTAAAAGCAAGTTAATAGAAAATAGAATATGATGATTTAACAGTCTATCAATAAGAATTCATATAGGTCTCACAAAAGATTCTTAGGGATTCACCTTCATTTTCATAGCCTCCCAGAAATATCATTAGAAGAATAGCTCAGAAGTTGAATAGCAATTCATACTTCTAATATTTATCCTTTCTTATATTAATACCAGATACAATAATTTAAATGTCATTTTATTAAGATATGGAGATTGAAATTGCATTGGAATTAAACAAATACCACGAGATAATTTCGATCCTATTTACCTTTTGGGTAATAGTGTAACTATTAGATTATGGATTTAAGAGATTTATAGATGATTAATGGAGACAATTCTATTCATTCATAGTTATAATCTCTTTATTTGAATTGATTGCTACCTAAAAATATGATCTATTTAGGATTCAATTTACATCTACAATGTTCACTGAGAATTATCAGATTATAAGATTATTGTTTGCTTTAAGGAATCTTAGAATTCTAATATTATTTAAAGGATTTGATGATCTATAAAGATTGATCAGAGTAATGATATTCTCTTTTCCATTCCTGGGAAAGATATTATTTATTTTGATTGTAACAACATTATCTTATGCTTTGTTGGGATGCTAATTATTTGGACATATAGATAAGGGAGTCATTATAGATTCTTAGATTAATTTTTCAACTTTTACAAGTTCTCTATTGACCTTATTAAAGTGTGGATCTTGTGATAATTTTAGAAGTATAATGACAGACACAATGATCCATAATATTTACTGTTATGATGATCCACGTTATTGTGGGTCTTAATTTGCATAAATTTACTTTATTTCCTTTGTGTTTATATCAAACTATGTCCTGTTAAATTTGTTTGTCTTGGGATTAATTGAACAATTCGAGAAATTCTTTTAATCGGAAAACTCAATTCTTTAAGTATACATTGAATCCATTGACAAAATAAAAACTGTGTGGTGTAAGTACTCATACCAAAGACACGGAAAAGCAATACACTACTTATAGATTTGCAAGTTTCTGTTAGAAATTGGTTAACCATTCACTCATGTAAAGGATAACATTTGGGATGCAGCACGTTTTGCTGGATACTTAAAAATTAGAACTGACGATTAAGGCTATATCTAATTCAACTCTTTAATTTATGAAATATTCAGGAGAACATTTAAATAGTAAGTTTTTAAGTAAGGATCTGAAGATTCAATTAAGATAATTAAAAAGTTCAATAAAGAGATGCAAATGAGACTGTTTTATTTTAGAAGGGACAAATTACAAAAAAGGTCATTTATTGCAACTTATGTCGAATTCAATAGCAATTTTAGCATTGCCAGCGATTATCTTTCAATTTTAGTTATTTTTAAAGCTTGGTAAAATTATACCAAACAATTAATAAGAAGATCTAAACTAGAACAGGAGGATTTTTCTGACAATTCTTCCTTTGGACAAGAAGTATAGTAATATATTTATTTATCATATAAGAGATATTGACATATTCTCAAGAGTAGATGAAGATGAGGAACAAAGCCAGGAAAATCTGACTAGGAAGATTCCCTCGAATCCCAATAAATCTAATCAATGTTTAACCTTCGAAAGTGATCACAACATAAATTTAAAGAAATTGGATTTACCTATTTACCATGAAAATGAACTTTATTTTACACCCAAAAGAGATGTTTCTAAAATGGCTTCAAATCTTCTTCAATAATTGCAGAAAAGATCTATAATCAAACCAAAAAAGGATGCATCTACGCCAAGTTCTATTATCAAATAGTCGACCAAGATGGTTGTATATCCTGCAGATGTAATATTTAATCAACAGATCCCTTAGAACAATTAAAGTAATCTCAATTTAAGTGCGAATAACTCTTTTAGATCATTTATATCGCATAGTGAAGCATCATTATCTTCATTTGATGGAATACCTGGAATGATAATCTGATTATATTATATGATTAATAATTAAAATGAAATAGAGATTAGTAACTTAAGCAGATGAAGGACCTCAAGATAATTTCATTCAAAAATCAAATTCCATATAGAATCAATTTCAAATACTCTAAGTCGTCGGCAATGGCACCTTCGGTATGGTTTATCTAGTACTATGTTAATTGATCTCTTAAATAGGCATTGGATACAAAAACAAATGAAAAAGTTGCTATCAAGAAAGTATTTTAGGATAAACGCTATAAAAACAGAGAACATCTTATTATATAGGAATTAAATCATCCTTGCATTGTAAAATTAAGACAAGCATTTTTCACCTAAGGAGACAATTCCAAAAATGTAATAAAATATTAAGAAAATAGCCAGATGACATTTTTCTGAATCTAGTAATGGACTACATTCCTGAAACCCTCAGTAAACTCATTCGAAACTACAAAAAGAGCAAGACCCCATTTCCAAATGTTCTACTCAAAATCTACAGTTATTAAATGCTAAGAGCATTTGCTTATTTAGAAGGTACTCTGATTATTAAGAAATTAGGAATTGGGATTTGCCATCGTGATATTAAACCTCAGAATATATTGGTTAATCCAAATACTCATGTCTTAAAAATTTGTGATTTTGGGTCAGCAAAAAGATTAGTACCTGGAGAACCAAATGTGGCTTATATTTGTTCCAGATATTATAGAGCTCCTGAATTGATATTTGGAGCAACTGAATATACAACATCTATTGATATCTGGTCGATAGGTATTCATTAATTAAAACTACAGGATGTGTTATCGTTGAGATGCTTACTGGTGAACCACTCTTTCCTGGAGAGTCGGCTACTGATCAACTTGTTGAAATAATCAAAATATTGGGTACTCCTACAATTGAATAAATTAAAAAAATGAATCCTTAACATTAAGAATTTAAATTCCCTTAGATAAAGTGTCATCCATGGGCTAAAGTAATATACAAAAATATTGAAGGTGTTTGCTAAATATAAGCCAGAACCTTTATTTGTTGATTTTGTTAGTAAATTGCTTGTATATTCTCCAAAAGAAAGATTGAAACCTTTGGAGGCTTTGCTTCATCCATATTTCGATGAGATTAGATAAGAAGGTTTCTCAATCCCAAATGTGTAATTACCTAACTTTTTTGATTTTCAAAAAGGTAATTATGATCTTTATTATCAATTAAAGTGGAATTGCAGATCCAACCTGAAATTGCCCATAAATTAATCCCTTCCTGGTTCAAGTAAAAATAGTGATTTATAATATATTTATATACTGTTCTAAATATCAATAATTGATGAAAAACTAAATTCAAAACAATTTTAATTTTTTCTCGAACTCTGGTGGCTGTAATTGTCTATCATATACTTATTTCCAATTCGTATTTTTAAAATACTCATGTTCTTATATCTCTGAGACCCCCATTTGATATCCAATTCTTTTTGTTGGCTCCTTGCACAATAGCTGAAATAGAGACTCAAAAGATTACTTTCGATAATAGGTCTTTTAATTGAGGATCTACCTCGATTTGAATAGGAAATTCTAATTGGCAGTTTAAAATATAATCAAATGTTAAGTTCTGGTCGTAATCAATAAATGGGGGATGACCATAAGCCATTTCATACAAAATGATTCCCAACTGCCAATAATCACTATAATATTGATAATCTTTATTTTGGATCGTCTCTGGTGGGGTGTACTCAGCAACCCCATAAAACTGGTCTTTACTTTTCAATGTCCTCCTTAAGTATCCGAAATCACACAAAGCGATGTGATAACTTTGATCTAATAAAATGTTCTCCAAAGTTAAATCCCCATGGACGATCTATTTATTATGTAAATCCCCCAAAACTACAACCATTTCTTAGGCTATGAATTATAATTATTTCTAGTCAAATTTCTTCAATTCATCTAACTTCTTATACAAATCGCATTTAGCCGATGGCATAATGAAGTAATATTTGTTGAAAGTTTCGAAGCAATATTCCAAAGGTATCAAAAATGGATGATGAGACTAAATCTATTAAATCTATTACATAATTTTCAAAAGTGACAAACTCATTCAGATTTAACCAACCACAATCTTCTTTGCTGATACATTTCATAATATGATAGGTGTGTGTTTTTGTATTTAATATCTACACTATTTATGATATGCTTCCCTCACATAGAATCTTTCTTAACTCAAAATCTTTTAATTGCAATAAGAACTCTCCAAATAATAATTTTGATGCAGTATCTTATTGATATATTTGTTGCATTTTTAAAAAATTCTCTTATTCTTCCAAAATGGGCTTATAATTTAAGTAGTTTGCTTTAACACTTGGCAACTTAGAAATTTGTTTATGCCTATCCTGTTTATAGACTACATATTTCTTCAGATTCAAATCTTGAACTTAGTATGAGGCTAAAGGGATGTGAAACTCAAGTGCATAAGTCTTGACAATGAATTCAATTAATCTGGATCTACTCTCAGTTTGTAATCTGAGATCATCATCATCATATTCATTTTTAAAATGTAATATGAACTCAAAACTCTTGGAGGAAATCGTGATCCCAATGATAAAGGACAGAAGTACTTTCCTTCTAATCGCTTTTAAATGACATTGTTGTTACTTGATTTGTTCAATAGTAAAATTTTTTTATTGGTTAACACGAAATATCTTGTATGTTTATTTCCATATTCATTTATTTTACTAACTTTCATGCTTAACTGTAAGAACTCTTAGTTCAATTTAATTATTACCATCTTTTGCAAAAGTATTCACAATTTTTGGGAGCCTTAAGATGTGCAATTCATCACAATTATTTAACATTATAATTATAATAATATTAATCAATTAATCTTTGTGAAAAACTTACTTAATTAGGGAACATCTTGTCTTCTTAATTGTTTAAGACCTAGAATCTTATCTAAATCAGTAGGAGCAGATTCATATTTCTTAGCATAATCTGGGAAATTCTCGACGAATTTTTCAATACTCATCTAAATCAATTTTAAAATAGAATCACTCCTTGACAATGTCTTCTATACAAAATTATTGAATGATTATTGTGATTTAGACTCTTACTTCAATTTTGAGATTCTCACTAAATTTGTCTTCAATTCTGAAACATCCAACATCAACTAGGATAATCCAATCTAAATTTAAGTATTATTCATAAAATACCTCACTGATTTTTTTAATTCTGAAAACAGAATTTATAAACTTATTATTCAGATACACAACAAGTTTATTCAAATAAAATATTAGATAGGACTCTGATAATAAATCTTTTATTATTTTAATGTGTCCCTCCAAAAAGGATATGGTGTCTCTAATATATTTAGATGCATCTCCCATATTCTCGAATTCATTCCAATCAATCTTTAGCATTTATTGATAGAATTAATCTATTTTAGAATCAACGTACACTAATAAAGTCTCGATTGATTTGTTCATCATTTAATTGAAGTATTCTTCCTCATTTGATAATTCTACTTGATCAGAAAAAGGGGAATCGAGATGTTATACCATACTCTCCTATAATGCTGGGATGGTCTCTTTACAATATTCAGCAGTGTTAATCACAAAACAACAGTAGATCTATGAAAATTGTTCATTATTTCGAGTCTAATTTATTTTGAATGTAATCTCATCTGAATACCTCTTCAAAGCCTTCTTAATTAGTTTTTAAATATCAAACATAACCTGTGTTCTGCTATATTGTGATGCCCTTTTGAGCATTTATTTAAAGTAGGCAAACATACTCATAGATGAATTCAACATTTTCAAGTCTCCTTCAACATCCAATTTATCTGAGTTTAAAATAGTTTAGATGTGTTACATTAACTCTTTCTCCTCACTATCTATATAAGGTCGTAAATAGGGTTCAAAACTATCAGAAATGGCTCCTTTAATTTTTGGTAATTCTGAGATGGCAAATTGATTGCTATTCTTTTTGCCTAGCCATTCTTCGTATCTTTTCTTCATTTCATCATTGAGTTTCTATTCGAATTTTAGAGTGGCTTGTAATGCTTTCATTAATACAGCAACATCCAAATCCTTAAGGGTTTCCAAGATATCAGTTATTTATAACCTAGTCACAGCACAAAACTCATAATAAATCTGACAGTGTACTGCCCAGTATTCTGGGAATACATTTTATGCTTTTGTGTCAAAATCTTTAATGACTCTAGCCATCCAAGCATACCTTCTTTCTGTGGTTTCCAAACTTCTGTTTTCAATCTATTGAAACAATTCTTAATAAGGAGATATAATGTATTTGCATACTTTCTGAACCAATTCATCTCTGAATTTCAATCCCAGATGTTCAACTGTTTGACATGCATCTTATAGATCTTTAATTTGCATTAAATTAGTGCCTTTTTAGAACATGATGAAATCATCAATTAATTATAGCTTCAAATCCTTAATCAGTTATTCTTTTTCTCCTGTTATCTCTAAAATTTATGGAATGTTTTAAAATTTCACAAAATATTGTGATAATTCAGTAAATGCTGAGAGTAGATTAGCTACTTCTGCATATTTCTTTTCTTTGCAATGTTCTTTCAATTTTTCAATTGCTGTTAACATCATAATAAATTTTTTAAGGGCAGCAATTGAAAATGTCAGATTTCTTTTTGCAATGTCTAATGATTTGATATCTTTGCACATTGAATAAACCAGGTCTTCACTTTTTTCTGCCTTCTATTTGATTTCTTGAATTTCTGTGACTATTCCTTGAGAGAGTTATTCTACATCTTAGACATCTCTCCATATTTTATTTTGCATGACTGCATGTTCATGTATGTCCTCTTATAATTCGGATTATAGTTGAGTAAGCTCAGATTGGAGCTTCTCAATTTCAGTATCGATGCCCACAAGTGATTGTTCATTGGGAAAGAGTGTATTAATATGCTTAATACAATCAAAATTAGAAGAATAAGGATTCATACTTCAAATATTTTTAATTAAAAGAATTAAAAGATATGAAATACATCCTGACTGAGGAGCATGTTCCAATTCCTGAAAAGATTGAGATCACTTAGAAATCCAAGGTGGTCAAAGTTAAGGGTATTGAGTCATGTTTTATCGTCTCTTAGGACCCAGAGGGGAATTGACCAAAAATTTCAGACATTCTGCTTTGGACATCCAAGTTTCAAAGAAAGTGAATAAGAAGAACAATGTTGCCAAATCCAGAGTCAGTGTTAGGATGTGGCAATCATACAGAAAATAAAGATGCCAAGTTAATTCAGTTGCCTCTCAAATTAGAAACATGATTAGAGGTGTTACCACAGGTTATAAATTCAAGATGGTATTGGCATATGCTCACTTTCCAATCATTATCAACCTCATTGGTAATGGACAAGGCGTTGAAATCAAGAATTTCCTCGGAGAAAAGATCATCAGAACTATCAAATGCCTTCCAGGAGTGACCATCACCAGAAATGAAGCTGAAGAGAAGAGTAATAAAATCTTAATATACCCACTATAGATGTCTTGACACTCTAAGGAAACGATTTCGAATAACGTTTCACTCACCTGTGCACTTATTCATTAAGCTTGTGCTGTCAAGAACAAGGATATTAGACAATTCTTGGATGGAATCTATGTTAGTGAAAAGCGTTTAGAAATTTGATAAAATAATATATATAGAAATAAGTACAATAAGATTTATTAATTATTAATACTTCCATTGTCACTCTTCTGCACTAAATATATTATTTATTATTTCTAATGAATAAGAGTTATGATGACATAGAAGGCACCCTTCCCAGAATCGGAGAAAAGTGTACCTTGGAGTAATTCCAGGATCTAGAGTAAGCTTAAGAAATCTGCAGCAAATTAGGTAACAACAATTGTCATCCTAGAAAGTAAAATACAAAAAGACATCTTGATTGATGAAATGAAGTAGAATCCATAAGCATTCTTCAATTTCAATTTTACTGCTGATGATTATTACCTCTTTCTTGTCAAATATAGTATGATGAGAGCTGAAAGACAAGTGATCGAATAAGAATTTACAAAATATTTAAAAGAAAAGAAAATATTTTTGGAATGAAATTTAATTAATATCATTATTAACATGAACATGCCTTATTTTAAGCCTCGTTCATAAGCCAGCTAGAATTCTTTTATTAAACAATATTAAGACTTTCTATAAAAGAATCGAAAAAATACTGCCTCTATCTTGGAACCTAAAAAATAATAAGCAAAGTAATCATATTCTCCTCTCTTTAAATAACCTAAATTAAGTTATTCAAAACTAAAAAATTTGCGATTGCAAACTAGTCCAAGTCCAAAAAGACAACAATGCTATTCTCTAAGTAGTCATCATCAAACTGACAATTCAACTCAAATAGATCGATCACTAAGTCAATATGAATTTGAAGTAAAAGACAAATCTGTTTGCAGTGCCAGTCTATTTTAGGATACTTAAAAATAAGTAGAAGAACACTAATAACAGCCTCCAGAATTATAACAAGGGATTGTTGGAATTTTGGGGTTAATTAAAAAGGAAAAGCAGGTCATTTTGAATGATATGAAGTAAATGACAAAATAGATGAACAATTGCAAGCAATAATATGAAGAAATTCAAAAACAAAAAGAAGAATTATAGCATAAATTCAAAGTTGCCAAAGATGGAAATGAAGTTCATGCCCGTTCCAAAGACAAAATTAATGACACCTACCTATAGATGATATAACTTTTAAGAGGACTTTAAGTCTAGCATAACGATGTTCTACCTGAATTAGAATAGAGTTTATTAAATCACATTGAGGATGCAGATGAAGATGTTAGAATACCTGATAAGGATGAAATTATCATCTTATAAAAATTAATCATTAAAAAGCTTGTCAAGAAGATTGAAGATCAAAAACAATTGAATTAACTACTTCAAACTAAAATTAAGGAATATGAAATTTGATTTTACTTTATATTTAATGTTTAATATAATACTATTTCAAATAATCACAACAACCATTGCATTTCCAGATGTAACACTCTCATTTGGCACTCTCATGCCTAAATAACAAGACCCTGAAGAAAACCTGCCAGCAACCATTTACAAAAATAACTAAATCAATAAATATTTTGATTATGATCAATTCCCATTATTATCATGTTGTCCTACCAATCTGACAAAGTACAAAGTAGATTCCTTAAATCTACATGGACATGGTAGGTAAAAATTTATATTGCCCTTAACCATAACAAACAATGAAAATGAGACTATTATTTTGAGATAATTAACAATAACTGATTATTTAGAATATTAAGATATTCCTGTTGCACCTAAATTATCAGCTCTACCTATTCTATAACCTCATTAAAGCATAGTCGTTGAGTTTATTCATAGTTGTGAGAGATAAGTCAATAATACCAATTACTGGAGTATATAAAATGTCTTTATTCGATTTCAAGACTTTTAGGGTTTAAATTTCTAATATTAATTTATTTGTGATGGCAGTTTCCATCCAAAAAGGTACTAAATTAAATAAACTATAGATTTGATTGGAGCAATATCATTTTAATTACATTTGATTCTATTGTTATCATAATTTTAGCTACTTTTGGAAAAATTTATTCATTTAGAATTGCTTTTGTAACACCAGCTAAAAGGAAGTAATTTGAAGAACAAAACATCTAAAATGTAGATCTAAGTCCCTTCTAAGGATTTTATTTATATTGGCCTCAAGCTGTGGCCTACATGGGATTGTTATTGATTGCTTTATTTACCTCAATGAGTTATCAAGAGAAGGCAGAGAAAGTCATTAAAATATTGGTATATTTAATTTGTGTTCTCACTTCATTCCATTTTTTCAATGAAATCTTTGGTAAATTCAGAAACACTATCCCAATTTTGACTCAAAAGGTGTATTGCTTAAAAATTAGGGATTATATATCAATTTTATTATCCACTTTATTGATTTTCTTTTACCTCTATTATGAATAACCTTGGTTTGTATGTATTATATATTAATTACCCTTAGGTTAGCAATCTTTTATCCATCTGCATATTAGGATCATTCATTAAATTATTCAAGATAATATCTTTAAAAGATGCTCTCTAATTTTTTATACCTCTCATGATAATTGATATTTTTTGTTCAATTTATTTGAGTTAAACTGTCAGATATGAATGGGATAGTGTTGCATTGAGATATTTCAACACTCCACTTTCTGCCTAATTTCCTTATTTTAGATATATTTACAAAAAGAAATGTGCATGGGTTTCAATTTTCAATTTGCTATTTCCTGGTAATCATTTTCTCTAATTAATTAGGTTTCTTTTTGGGTTATGTCAATAGATTTGACAAACATAAATAAACATATGTCTATGAAATTATTGCTTTCTTTGGTTTACTACTTGGACTAATTTTGTGGGTACTAATCCAATTCATTTCCTCATTCCCTCTTCCAACGTATCAAAAACTTACTATCTTAGCTCTATCTTCACTGAAGTCTTGATGATTCTCGCTACTTCTTTGGTTGCAGTTTAGAGAAATGAATTCAACATATTTTATTCTGGAAACTTTTATGATTAGATACTTATGGACCCATTCAAAAATGATATTGCTCTGCAAGAACCAACAACCTTAGAAATGTTTGGATTAGGTGCTACTACTTAAGTAATTAAAAGGAACACAATTTAATAAAAAGATTTAGTTTAAAGTGGAGAATAAGGTTTAGTTTTAAATAGTCAACTCTTTGCTGGCCTAGCTTCTGTTAATAGATCATAGTAATAATCCAATATTATATAATCAAAATATTAAAATCATTACTGAAGTAAGAATTCTAAAGTTTAATAAGAATTAATTTACATAAATATTCATATCAATATATTAAACTAAATTTATATTTTAAGATCCCCTCAATCAAGAAGATCACTATTTAAATCAATATAAATCATATATAGCATTATGAATATATATTATAATATTAGTTTATATAAAAGAAATTTAAATAATTATAATTTTATATTAAATTAATAACCTAAGTTAGTATTTTATGTAATCTTTATAAAAATTTTTGCATTTTTTGGTATTTTACAAAAATATCCTTATTTCAAGATACCTACTTGGTTTCACTGACTTTTGAAATAACTCTCATTTTGTGGTTTTATAACTGATAGTAAATTTAAATGTTCTAAACAGGTTTTTATCATTATTAATTGTAAAATAATGTTTCATATTTATGCATAGTCATATTATAAATTCTTCCTTCCTTTTTTTTCTACAAACTATCATCTATAAGATCATTAATTCCTATTTTACTTATTCAAAAATAGAATTAGCGTTGATATTCAAATCTTTCAAGAGGTGTAAAATGGGCTATATTTAGGTCAATACTCTTGGATATTAAATTGCAGAATTATTAAGATGAGTTTAGTTTGTAGTTCCTTTTGTTCCTAAATAGCCAAACGATTATTATTTACTGGCTATTGATAAAACTTCAATTACATGCAATATATAGATGATTCTTTACTCTTGAATTTATGGATATTCATACATGCATATGAAATCAAAACCTAATTAAAGAAGAAATCATTTCTCGCAAATATAATAAGTTATTTTTTAAGAATAAACTTTTTATCTATTTTTGGAGTTAGAAAACACAACCATACTTTAATGGAGAGTCAATAAGGAACAAGGAAATTGATTTTGAAATTATTGTAACTGATTTTAATGATGTGGTCTTGGTTCTTTACAAATATGATTTTTAATTGCTATTTTTAACAATTACATTTCTCTATATTTATACTATAATCACAGAATAAATACATTCATTAATATAATTATTTTTTTTATCCTATGGATTAACAAGATTACCACAAAATTGATCCAACCATTGTAGAAGACCCAATGTTGGATGATGGATATACTAGGTAAGCAATTAAGTATTATGATCAATTTAGAAAATTTGGTGCCTATAAACCTAAATTCCATGGAACTACACCAGGTTATTACCCATTTGAATGCATTGACTACTTTTATGTTGTATTGATGACACTGTTCACTTGGGGAATGTGTTTGCCTATTTGGTATGGATTGATTGAGGCTGGTATATACCTAATATCTAAAAATAGCTAAGGGAAATTCAAAATAATACGCAATTGTTTGTGCAGTGGTGTTTGTGGGATTCTATGTTATATAGGCCTTGGCTACATACTACGGAGGCAGAATGAAGAAAGTGATTGAAAATCAAATGATTGAGGATAAGTTGAAGGAGATGTAACAGAAAGAACTTGAGAAGTAAAAACTTCTAGCTGCCATTTGAATATTAATATTAAGTTTTCACAGTATGATGATCGTTATATATTCTGTAATCTTGGTTGATGCACATTAATGCGGTGGATTAATCTTTATTATATGTTTTATTAATAGTTCAAAGAATACCCAAAAAATTCATAGAGAGAGAAAACTCAATAGGAACGCAAGACAATCAAATCAATGGATTGGAATTGTAATGGAAGTTATTTGGCTACGTCAAGTGATTCCACAATTAAAATTTGGTCATTTGATGGCAATAACATTAAGAGATCAACTGATTTGAAGCAAGGATCGGAGCAATTAGAGAAGTTGTTATTTCATCCGACACAGCCAGACATAATAGCTTCAATAACGAATGAGTATGTGAAAATTTGGGATATTCGCACAAAATAGAGTGTAAGACAAGAGAAGAAGGAATAAATGGGTATAGCCTGTTGGAGTCCAAATGGCAATGAATTGGCAGTGGGTACTAAATAGAATAAGGAAACACAGATAATGTTCTTGGACATGTAAGGAGGAGAGAGATAAATAATGTATTAACCAAAAGATAAAGATAAAAATTTTGAATTGAAGAACATCATGTATGACCAAGATGTGTTTGTAGCAGTTGGTCAATAAAATGGAGTCGGCATGATTTAATTTATGGATGTCACCAATCCTTAATTGCCTCCTCTTCATTAGATGGAAGCCCATAGAGCTGGAATTACTTAATGCAAATTCAGCAAGGATGGTTAGCATATGTATACTGGTGCTTAGGATTCTCTGATTATATTGTGGCAATTACCAGATTTATTATGTGCAGGATAGTTGGTGACAGTGGAATCAGAGATTAAATCGATGTCTGTTTTTGACAGTAAATACATAGCAGCAATTGGTTTGGAAGAGTAGGCATACATCTATTAGGTGGACAGATGTTTGGCTGGCAAGACTGATCATATAGATTCGATAAAATTAGAGGGATAGCCATCTGATCTTTGTTTCCATCCTAACAAATTCATATTGGCTATAGTGTGTTAGGACAAGAACAAATAGGAGAGTGTGATACATTTATATGGTAATTTGGGTGTGTGATTATTTATATGGTATATTAATAATTTAGTTGATATGTGGATTTCAAAATGTGAATTTGTAGATAATATCATTTCTTTTTTGATTTGCGTTTCTCCAGGAATTTCTTCATCCAAATATGCTCCTTCACTTATTGGAGTGAAAATCTTTTGAGTGGATCTACTTCAAATAATCCAGCGATGAGTTCTTTCACATCATCATTTACACATTGCCAGAACTCATCTTGAATATCATAATTGCCATCTAGAATATTCTCCTTGATTTCCAAGACTATTTCTGAATAGAAAGGTGCATAACCACAGAGCATGAAATAGAGCACTCCTCCCAAGGCAAAGTTATCAATTTTGGATGTCAATTCTTTGCATTATTGATATACTTCAGGTGCAATGTAATTCATGGTCCCACACTCGAAGTTCTCTTTCCTCTCATTCAGAATGGATAAATAATTGGCAAATCCGAAATCAATTATCTTCACCTGCTTGATAGTGTTCTAATTCAACACTATCATTATGTTCTCTGGTTTGATATCTCGATGTACAATTCCCATTTATTGAATGGACTCCAAGGCGTCAATCAACTAAGACAATACCAAGGCAGCCTCTTCCTCGGCCAAATACTTCTTCTCCTCCACATAATCATAGAGATCCCCATCCTTTATCAATTCTGTAACTAAATAGATGTGACTCTTATTCTCAAAACTCTCAACTAATCTTACGATGTACGGATGATTGATCAACTTCATGATCTCCACCTCATGCTTTATTGCATCTGCTTAATTTTAAGAGATCTGTTGTTTATTGATGATCTTCAAAGCGTAGGTCTCCTTTGTCTATTTATCCTAACACTTATACACCATGGAGGATTGACCCTGTCCAATCTTCTCCAAAATGGAATACTTCTTACTTATCTCACCACTCCAATAATAATGTAATACTTACTTGTTATAAGCTTGCAATGCATTCTACCACAATCTAAATTGCTTATCATCGGAACATTCATAACTCTTAACCTTGTACTATTTCCCAACGTGCATTACTTCAAATCCATACTTCTAAACCTATTGGTGTGCCTTTTCCTCTATTATCAAACCCTACAAACAAATCACCTTTGAAGGACCTTCTCCTTTTTTACTATACTCCAAAAGCACATGGGGATAAAGTTCGCAATGCTTCTGTTTTATTTCCTTTTTCTTTGAGATTCTATATAAGTCTCCTGACATTATTAACATTCTATTTTGTATTCATCGCATTCTTACAGTTATTTATAGTTGGGCTATTTATCTGTGATCCCCCAAATGTTATAGTTAAATGCTGCATAAAGTGGTTGGATTAAGTTGGGATGTTTCGCAATAAAAGCCTAGAATTCTTGCAATGACAATAATTAATCGTGCTTATTCTTATACACCAAGTCTACGTATTTCTTAATCAATACACTTTAATTCACACACATTTCTATCTTTTAACCATCAACCTAATTTGTTTATCTTATTTACTTAAGCTGTTATTAACAATCCAAATCGTTTTTGCGTTGTTCCATTTTCCTAGATCATACTGTCTTATACAAAGAGGGCATCTGATTACTTGGAAAAACAACTCTATTAACCTTCTGAGATTATTTTATTTGAACTGTCGAATTAACACTCTGAAATATTCTAGCTCTGTTTCCGAAATGGTTAGACTTTTTCATTATTCATTTAGATATACCTGACAATTCCAGTAGATCTGCACTATTCTTATACTTCCTATGGCGATGCTTACGTCGATTACCAAAATCGTCTATGATTAAAGATTCATCTAAAAATAGCTAATCTTCACATATCTTCTTTAATTCATATTGGGGATAATTCTGCATCTATTTCTATCAAACACTTATCATACCATCTATAGAAAGTCACTTTTCGCTATTCCTTTCTGGTTTTGTAAATCGTAAAGCTGAAATAAATTCACTATTCGCTATTCATCAGAGCACTTGATGTACATTTCCATTCCTGCCAAAAACTCGTCAAAATTCATATAGTCTTCCTGCTTGTTTGTGAACTTATTAAATATTTGTTCTCCCCAAAATCCCTACATTAATAATCTATATGCTACAAACTATTATTTAAAAGAAGGTATTGAATGTATCTCTACTTAACAATGAATTACTCTATCTCGAAGCCAAGTCCTTGAAAATCAGAGTAAGCATATCCAGTTCAAATTGTTCAACTACACTCTAATTTCAATGCTTACATTTTCCCAAGTATTTTTGAGCAACCAGTTTATGAGTGCTGCTTTTCTTTGGTCTTCTTTGGATCCCACATTGTAAGGCACTTCCCATAAGTTAATAAATAATCAATATTTTTTTTTTACCGTAATTTTAAACTCAAACCAAAAATCATTCAACTAAAGACACTCATCGAATCACCAATTACAAAATCACACTCAACCATCCCCAACACTAATACTCCTCAGCGAAAGAGCACTGAATTTATGAACATACACATTCTTAAAATTTATAATCATAATTCATTTCTTATCAGATTTCAGTACCAATAAATAATTTCTCAATTCATCTTGGAATTTTAATTTTAATTTATATTTCCTATTTGCACACGATCACTTTTCTTTCATGATAGAATTGTTATACAAAATCCAATTGTGAAACCCTGCAAATCGTCTCTCCGACTCCAGAATTCCCACTTCTTTTGAATTGCCAAATTTCACTTATTCCCATAATCCCCTTTTGCTATCTTTAATATTTTTAACCTCCTCAAATGATCAATTTTATTCTATGATGTGAATACTCAAATTAAAAGAGCTTCTCATCTGAAATCCTTTAATTAAATTAATTTAACTGTCATATGAACAAATTAGTTGTATAACAAGTTAAGAGTATTTTCAATAGTCTCCCGAATAAGGATTTGGATAAATTGCTAAATTTGTTAGTTGCTGCAGGAATCACTAAAACCTAAAAATAAGTTGGCTATAAATGTGTTGAATGCACTATTATGTATGAATAATCAAATTAATAACTAGGTTCAAAGGTACTAATGCAAGTGGATTTGGCAGAGATGAGCTTGAAGCAGTTCATATTTGTTTAAAAAATTTTATCGAATAAATGCTAGAAGAAGAAGGTCATTTAGTATTCTTGAGAAATATTTTAAAAGAGCTAAAATAACTGGATTTCTAAGAATAAGACATTGAATAATTATAACAGAAAATAGGCAATATATCAATCATCTAAAATAATCAAAATTATTAGACTGTAGATAGTTTGTTAAACGGAGAGAATGATTAAATTTTAGGATAAATTGTTGATAACAAGTCCAAAAAATTTGAGACGCTATAAGACAATAAAGAGAACATTTAGAATTAATATCAGAAATGTTGTAGTCATGAACAGGAATTGAAGAAAGAGAAAATGAGAGTTGAACATTTGGAATTAAGAATAAAATTGATTTTAGAAGAAAATAGAATTTTGAAATCCCTTCTTAACGAAAAGAAAGAAAGTGCAAGACAAGAGAGCAACAGAGAAGGTGATACTAAAAGGATTCGTTAATAAGTTAGATCCAATAGTGTCAAAATGAGTAAAATGTAGTAAGTAAATGGAGTGCCTAAACTAAATCTGGATGCACTTCCAACCTATATTGGTAAATAGAAAGCATTATTTTGATGATTTTTTCTATCTAATTAGTTTTATTGAATCATTTCTTTTTAGGAATTTGGCTTGTTTATTTCTTTGCATTTTAGCTTTGAAATTGTTATATAGTTTATGAATTTCTAGTAGACGTAGTTTGAATTGTATTAGCTTTACTCGGCTATTAGGAATATAGATTGAGTCCTCTTCCCTTTTTCTATTAGATTCTTCTCTTTATCTTCTTTTTAAAAATATATTTCCTGATACATTTAATGATCAACTTGATTGCTCTTTTCCTTTTGATTAATCTCCTATATCTCTTTCTTTATAAAAACCCCTTTATAAATGCCTACAATCTAATAAACTTCTTTAATCGTTTGAGTCTACGAGCGTATCTTTTTGATTTGATCACAAGTCTATATGATTATATTTTTCCAATAGCCTTAACCCTTAACAATCCCATATTCCAAATGTTGACCATTGCTACTCTTGATTTATGTCTACCATATGCCTTTGTAAATTTATTCAATCCCTTTTGAAAAATCTCTAATCTCTATTATCTTTTTGCCAATTTAATTTTCATTAAGCATTATAACAAAAGAGTTGCTTATTCTTTTTCCAATCTCTTTCTCAATTTAATTGCTTAAAATCGTTTGTAATTCTTCTAAATTACAATAGCAGATCTATGGTTTTTAAGTAATTTCTTGTATTTCCTTTTTTAAATAAAACTATATTGATGATAATAGATGAATACCATTTAACAAGTGAATTTATTTTTGCACTCTATTTTACCCTTTTTCTATATAATACTTTCCACCATCTCTGTATCCTTTTATATTTAAATAACTTTTATTTCAGTTCATTAGCCAACTTAGATGAGATTTTAATTGAGATCAATTATTCTAAATACAAAAGTGCTAGTTCTCTCTTCAATTAACTCTTAATCTAAATTGCTTAATTACATCTAAATCGGCATTGTATTTTAGTTGCCATTTTGGCTCTTTTCAAATGAAATTTCCTCTTCTTAGCTAGAAATCCTCTGATAAGCGTTTATAACTTCCTGGCTGAATAATATTTTTTCAATCTTATCCTTAACAATTTAGCAAGCATTCTCCTAACATATTTTTATATGACAATAGCATATTTAGTATCTCTTAAAAACCATTTTATCTTTTTAGCCTTGTACATTCTATAAAACTTTTATATCATTAAAGCTGCCAGTGAATCTATATATCTCTTATCGATCATCTTTTCTCTCCTAATATTGCATTTCTATCCCCATAACTCAAATTACCCATCGTTCTATTATTAATTATTGTAATTTTATTCCTCATCAATTAATAACTCATAATAATATTTTTTAGGTCTTATGAATTCATCACCAAATACTATATTAAACATACTCTCAGCCATAGAATCCAGCATTTCATGCAACCAATCAGCCCTTTCTGCACATGCTGGGGATAGATTGACTTCCAACAACCATGGTTTACAATATTCATCTAACATAATATCAAAACCAAATAATTCAAAGCAATATTTAGATTCTCCTTCAAATTGATCTTACAATATCTTGAGTGTTTTGATCATTAGCTCATTGCATTATGGTCTAACTACCTTTTACCAATCAACAGGAAGCCATTGCTACATAAAATCACTACTGTAAATTGAATCATTTTTACTAATGTATTATAATTGCTCACTTACTTCTTAAATTCTGATTTGTTTAAAGAGAAATTTGTCAAATGCTTTAATAAATTCTTAGTGTCCTTCACATCATATGGCTAACTGCACATCCTCATATAGCAATGACTGAACACAAATGCTTATAAAGGTTAGAAACTCCTCACTAGAACCCACTGTCTCAAATCAAACTTGAATCCTTTGTACAACAATGGTCTTTCTATGTACTTTTGCACCAATCTCGCTTACATTTATTAACCACTGTTGATTGCTTCTGCAATATCCTTCTCTAAATAAATTCCTGATCCTCTTGCACATCCTCCTGGTTTAATAATCCAAATATTATGGACACCATCAACTTTGTAAGCTGGATCATACTTTTTAAAAAACAAATGATATCTGTACAATTTTCTAATTAGAAATTTGCTCGGGTTTGAACCTTTGTCGAATTTCTAATTCTGAGAATATGTAATTATACTAAATTACTTAGACAATATTACTTATATCGAGTTCTTGATATGTATTACTGACTCAATTCGAAGTTTTTATCATCATAAAACCCATCCTTCAACTATCTTTTCATATCCGAAAGTCTCGATAACACTTCAGACATAATCGAACAATCAAACTTTATATCTGATTGCTAAGATGAGTCTTACAATTCCTGTGCTGTATAAATGTTTTTGTATTTCCTCTTCACAGTTCTCTTCATATCAATTCTTCGAATCTTTGAGTTCTCTTCCTTCTTCTTCCATTCCTGAAATATAACTTCCTTTATCTTCTTCATTTCATTTTTTCTCTTCACTCTTAAAGCAATAATTGCCTTTTTTAATATAATGGTGACAGCAGTTCTTTCATATTCTTTAAGGAAATCATCTCTGTCAGTAGCATTACCTAAATCAAAAGCTCTAGGAAAGAAAGTACTAGTATCATATCCATATTCACATTAATTTTTGAAATTTGCTAATAAACACGATTTTGTTGTAAGTTCCTTGGTGTTACTAAAATGATTGTAAAATTATCCATCCACTAATGTTTTAAAATCATCGGGAGTGTCATTATAAACCCATTTGAGATCAAAAATTTATTAGTTACAAGGTGTTTCAAGCCAACCATGCCTTTATAAGCATCTTCGAACATACTCATCCTGCGAATTAAAACAAAACACTTTAGTTGCAATAGAAATGTTCTATCTCTTCAAATAATCGTTCATTAATGTACGATGATTAAAGTATGTCTTATTCTTTACCAAAGGTTCTATAGTTTGCTTCTTCGATTATTATTACTTCCGTTACGATTCTTATGAGATTGTAGTTTCAATGCTGCTTGATTGTCTTGAGATGCGAGATAATGATAAAGGATTCTAAATAGCTGGTTTCATTAATTTCCTATATATTCATACTCACTTACAGAGGAGCCTCCATTGAATCCTTTGATTATCTCTTTATTTCTGGTAGCATTGGTAGTTGTGTAGTAATTTTTGGTTTCGATGCGCTTTATTATTTCATATATAATAATAACTGTTTATGTTAACACATGCATTTTCATCATTCTAAAATTCACAAGAATTCATAAGAGAGCAAAACATCTTAGAACAATTAAATTAAGCTAAGAATTGTGAATTACACATTCACATCATAACACTTTCATCATATTCAGGCAAGATCCATCGATTATTAAAGGGTGTATTAAATGTCAATTTAAGAAAAATGTAAATAATTATGAAGAAAATGATTAAAATGATAGTTACAATAATAAGACAATTAACTAACATTTTCAAATGTGTTAAGAAAGCTTGAAACCAACGTCTTTTTCTTTAAGTAATCCTCATAAGGTCTAAATGATGTAGAAAATGAAGAGTGAAGATACCCCAAATGTATATCACTTAATCATGTAGAATATTAGAAAATTGCATATAAAATGGTATTTAATGCATTAGTAAGGCTAATTGTTCAGATTATAAAATTAAATAAAGTTGTAACTCTTAAGGCTAGGATTGAATCTGTGTTTGGATTAACACAAACAGAGTTATGTAAATTGAATGGAAAGCTGTGATTCTGCAAAATAAGATTAAAATGCATATAAACTGGCTAAAGATAGGTGTTATTGGGAGTCAGCAAAATCTTTATGTTAGAGTCATACAGGTCAAACCTATTCTGCTTAAGTAGGAAGATGTAAGTATTTTTATTCATGGAATTGGTAAAATATTTATTTATGTTTTTCAATCGATATATTAAAACTCTTAAATCGTCAGATTGTTACATCAAAACAGCAGTGATTCTTAGATGGGATCATCATATGAAAAATCTGTTAGATTGTGATTGAATTTAATGATATTCTTGGCAATCTATTAATAATATTTTTCATATTAGTTTATTGAAGAACAATTTACAATTAATAAATTAAATCATAAATTTAATATCTATTTATTAATAGATTGCTTAGTTAAATATATAATAATTGTTATATTAAACCAACAACTATATATATAATGATATAAATGTATATTAGAATGAATTTTAAATACTTTATTCTTTGACAAGATAACAATTGCGATCGCTCATTTAGTAATAATAAATTATTAATTTCATGCTAATCAAGTATACCATCTCTAACCTAATTATATCAAAATCTAATGAGTAAATTTTAATAATTTGACCGATTCAAGTTTATTTTCTGCTGCTTATAAGGCCTTGCCTAGTGCCATACATATCTCCGACGCGTTCTTAAATTAATACCAAGTGTTATTTTTCTTTGCCTCATCGCATTAAAAAGAGGCATCTTTAATAAAATATGATGAACAGCCATTTTAGAGATTTTCACAAAAAATATCGCCTTTTTCATTTATGAAAGATGGTTTTCCACATTTTTTATGATACCAAGTTCTTTTTTCCTAAGATTTACATACACAATCTTCAAGGCATTTAAATTCTAAAGGAACAACTATTAGCTTATCATCATCTCTTTGAGGTAAATTACTAGCTGACATATTTTGTAGGAATAATAATCAGAAAAAGTATAGGCTCTTTAATCTATATACAAAAATTTATTCTATTAGTTATATATTTTAGTATAAATATTTCTATATTCGATAATTTTGAATTTAAGTGGTTTCAGCAGATGGAGTACAGGCTGCAGATAATGGAGTTAATAATAATATCAAATTCATTGACAAAACAATAAATCTATAATTTTTTTACCTATTTAAATCATAATCTATTATAATTATCTTATAAAACTAATGAATATAAATATCAATATTTAACTTTCTTAGTTTATACGATTTTTAGCATTTTTATTTTGTTAAATCAGAAAAATTAAGAAAGGTTTAACCATCATAACTATTTTAGATTCATGTTGAAAATAAGCCCAAAATTGAACCACAAGACTTATCAATAATATGTAGAGTTGTTCTAATTTTTAGTTATCTTTTATAAACTTTTTCAACAGACTAATCTAAAGCACAATTGATGATTAACTATTTTAATATGACAAGGAGATAGTATTTTAGAATTGAGATCATAATTGAATAGCTCTTTAAACATGATTAAAATTTAAAGGATTACTTTTATTATGTGAAATGTAATTGGTTTAGTCTTCTTAATTCTTTAATTTTAATTAATTGATTATATGATATAATTTATTTTTCAAAATATTTTGCAACACATCTTTTCTTACTGTTCTTAAGGTTATTATCGAATTTCAATCTTTGCAGAAGGCCTCTTATCTTAAGTAGATTGCAATTAAGGTTTTGCAGTTGTTGGTTATTCTGTAACCTTAACTATTCCATTTAATTTATCCTACATATCCATTGCAGACATTATCAATTTAGTAAATATACTCATGCTTCGATCCATTCCTAAATTTTCAGTTGCTGAACATTCAGAATAATAGACATTCTGAGGAAGTCGTTTAGTCGCAAACTCTATAATATGATCATCATTCCATTTTTCTGATTAACGAATTCCACTAACCGGATGTGCATTTTTTGAACCAAATACTGCTACTTTGTATTCTGCGCATTTTTCATTTATTTAATTAATTATTTCATTGTATTTAGGACATTTTCTTTCTAAATCTCCCATGGTTCCTAAGAAATAATAATACGCATTTGTTTATTTGGCATTCTTAACACATAATTAAAACCATGTATTCAAAGCATTCTCTAGGGTCACCATGTTATTTAAAGAGAAGGCTATAATGTAGATGTTGCTCTAAAGTAGAAATGCTCTTATCATGGCACTAAAGATCAAATCAATATAAAAACATGTTCTTTATTTCTCCAGAAGTAATCCAAACATGAATCTTTTATGTAATCTTATTAGGTAACATAATTCTTGATATAAAGAAATCTACAGATTAAATTTATTTATCGTTAACTTTAGATTCAATATTCAGCAGACACTCCATTAATTTACTTTTACCCACAGACTGATCTCCAATCAAGATTACTCTATGTAGATCATTTGCATTTACTTTATTTTTCTCTCCTACTATTCACATAAAATAGAAACGCTGTCCTATTCCATATCAATCAATTATTTATATAATTATAAAAATTGAATTTATACTTCATTAATTAAATATTTGAGCATAGAGTACATTAAACTCATTCTCTAAACAAGTTGTGGTGAGCAGCCTTTCTTCAATTTTATATGCATCTTTTTTGTGATGACTAAATTAGAGTGGTTATAAACAATGTAACAATTTAATTAACACCTTCAAAACTCGATTCTTATCTTCGTTTGCGTTCTCATTCTTATTATATTTCTACAAAATCCGGTGTATTATTTAACTATAAACTTAATTGAATGTTTAACAAAACTTCTGATTATTCTCATTTTGATCAAGTGCTTCAATTACATTTTTACACCACTTAAATTAACCATATTATTACGTTCTTTTATTCTTCCTTCTAAGTTTTCTATGATGCAAACTTATCATATTTGACTCTAGCTTGAACGTAAAATTGGCTCATTATCTCATAATTTTTTTTAAAATTATTGAATGTCTTATAAAATTTATCAGTGTTCCTAAACAACTCAAAATCTGCTTGAAGGATATAAACTGAGAACAAATTCTAAGATAGAAATCATTGAATTTACCTATCCTTTCAGAATATCTAAATAGAATTTTAATTCATTCTCCATATACTTAATAGTAATTATTGAATAACTAAATTATTACGCTTGCGAAAATTGTGCCATCATATTGAGATTTTACACTTCAGTCATCAACTATTAGATGAATTTTAGAATATCTGAAACATAAATGAAATATAAAAAGATACTCTCTACCCTATTTTCTGTTTAAAGCACTTGTTTCATCATCATAGCCTTAGATTCGCTTATTTAGTCTATAATTTCACTACTTTATGGTTCTATTAATTCTAAAAGATTTTCTGCAAATAAATCATCCCAACTAATTCTCTTTTCTGGATTGACATCAAGCATTTTTTTCATTATATTTACAACATATTCAGGAATCTTCTTATTAGCTGGAAATTTAATATAATCAATGTTTTTAATCTTTAAGTTTAGATAATCTTTTATCTCATTTGGAATTTAACCATATAGCATTTAAAAAAGTATTACTCCCAAAGACCAAATATCTACTTTAGATGAAAATTTCCTTGTTATAATTTCAGGCGCAGCATAAATAGGAGTTCCAACAGCTGATTGAAGCACGATTTCATCAAGATCATCTAAAAATTTAGAAAACCCAAAATCTCCTATTTTAGCAATATTCTTTGAAAAAAGAATATTTTCTGGCTTTAAATCTCTATGGATTATATTTTTCTCTCTGATTTATTTATATCCATTTACAATTTGTTTGAAAATTAAAAGTGCCTCTTCAAAAGGAATTCCAACTTGGTCAATTTTTTGTTGAAGGTTCCCTCCTTCACAATACTCTAATATAAAATAGCTTTCATCATCATTTTCTATAAGATCTATCATTCTAAATAAAAACAAAGAATACTTTACTATATGAGGACTTGATAATTAAAATTAATTTTAGCTCTCTCTTTTTATATAATTCAGGACAATATTCTTTGTATTCTTTTGGTTTTTGAATTTTTTCTTATCAATAATTTTAATAGCAACTAATTCTTTCTCATTTCCAAACATATGTCCAATATAGACTTTTGCAAAACCTCCCTTCAATCTAGGATTTATGTAATTTTACATGTCCAAGAGGATAATTTAAATTTACTACGTACTTATTCTCAAGAACTTTGATACGCTAATCCTGATTAATCATTCTAAATAATAATAATATTTATAAATTAAATAACTTAAAATATATTCTTATAAGTCATAATATAAAAATTTAATATCGTTAGGATGCCTTTTATGACATCTTTTTTTTATTATTATCGTTTAAAATAGATTTATATATAAAATAAATTAATTTAGGTTCATCCTCTAATAATATTACCAGATTTTACAATAACTTGAACTTTAGGTTACTTAGGGAAGACCGAAGAGGAATGAATAAGAATAATATTTCTAGGTTTTTGTTGACTAAAATTGACCCAAAGCTTGAAGAAATCAATTAAAAATAAATGCTGACTTTAATATATATAAATGAAGCATTCAATATTATTTCTCATTTTCATATGTTTTTTCTCCTCTAATTTTATATGATATATAATTTTATACATCTTCACAAATATTATATAGTGATCTTCAATCTTTATATTCATGAGAATCCAATTTCCCACTTTTTCTCCATTTGTAAATAAACCTAAAAATAAGGTAAGCTTGTAGCTATATTTATAAATGTAAACTTACGGACTAAATTTCGTGGTCAATAAACCCCATTAACCATCTTTTATTCCATTTTCATTATATGATCCACCACCTCTAATTATTATGCTTTTTAAATAAATACATTTTACGGTCTTAGAAATAGGTATCCCATCTATCAGTCTATTTATTATTCTTGTATTCGCCTTGATGAGTAACTTAAAAACTTCTATCATATTAGATTTAATTTTGATACTCATTAAATCTATAATCTAGCTCAATCCACTTTCCTAATTTACCTGGAGCTAAATCTTCCCTTTCTTCATTATCATAAAGTCCTCCTCCACTAAAAATGTTTAAATATTTTACATCAATTTATTCTCTCCATTAGAATTGAAAAATATATCCCACCTATTCACTTTTCTATTATTTCTATATTCACCATTAAAAGTAACTTATGAAGTATTCATGAATTCGTCATGCAACTCAATCCATTATCCAAACTTTACTCCATGGCCTACATTATCATATTATCCACCGCCTCTATATCATTATTATTAATTATTTTTACATTTTTTAAATTGGTTAATCAAAGCCTATCCTCTAGTAAATATCCCATTGGCCAATCTTAATGCCATTGTTATATTCTCCATTATAAGTTACTTAAGAGTTATCCCTGTAATTATTTGATATTTCCACCCATTAACCAACCTTAAGTTCATCACCTAATTCATCATATGATCCACCTCCTCTGTATTTTGTGATAATTATAATTGTGATATTCATACATCTTTTCATTTTTTCCTTCTTGCTAATACCAAACATCCCATCTACCAACTTTTTTATCATTTTTATATTGACTATTGTAAGTTACTTAAGAGAAATTATTGAAAACATCTGATATTTCCACCCATGGACCCAACTTAAATTCATTGCCTGATTCATCATACTATCCGCCTCCTCTGTAACGATATTAATAGTAATATATATACATTTTGGTACTTTTTCCTTCATATTTATACCAAATATCCCATCCGCCGATCTTAAGGCCATTGTTGTACTCACCTTTGTAGGTTACTTAAGAGATATCACTGTAATTATTTGATGTTTCCACCCATCGACCCACCTTAAATTCATTGCCTGATACTTCATATGATCCACCACCTCTATATTTTCGGTAATAATTATTAATTGTAATATTAATACATTCTTTCATAATTTCCTTCAGATTATTCCCAAATATACCAGTAACCAACCTTTTTGCCATTTTTATATAAGCCATTGTAAATTACTTAAGAGAAATTATTGAAAAAATCTGATATTTCCATCCATTAACCAATCTTAAGTTCATCGCCTTATTCATCATATGATCCACCTCCTCTGTGTTTTTGGTGATAATATTAATTGTGATATTAATACATTTTTTAATTTCTTCCTTCGTATTTATGAAAAATATCCCATCTACCAATCTTTTTACTATTTCTATATTCGCCACGGCAAGTTACCTTGGAATCAGAATTAAAACTGCCGATTATTTCTACCCAAACATCAACTTTTACTTCATCTCCTGATCTATCATATAACCCGCCACCACTAATATTTTATTAATCTATATAATTATATTTTACATTTCTTCTTTTTTATACAAAATAACCCATCTACCAACCTTTTTCCCATTGTTATATTCACCGCTGTACATTATCTAAGAATCAGATCTAAAACTATCAATAATTTCCATCCAATTGCCAATTTTGAGTCCATCATTTGATTCACTATATGATCCTCCACCTCTAATATTCGGTTTTCAATAATATTGTTATATTGAAACTAATTGATATTTTATTTACATCAATGAAAATTTATCTTTGTTGAATTTTCTATAACAAATATCCCATCTACCAACTTTTTGCCCATTTTTATATTCCCCTTCAAAAGTCACTTATGAATATTTCCAAAAATTCTCACTCAGTTCTATCCATTTCCCATTTTTCGAACCCTCAATACTATAGACTCCTCCGCCTCTAGTTTTATTTATTTTATTAATTATACATCTCCTTATTTTCATAAATATATTTCCAAACTCCTTATTTCACATCATTTAGGTATTGGCCTACTTCAACTACTTCAGCTAGACTAATAATTTTTGAAAGTTGCACTTACGTAGAATAATTTTTTATTATTTCTCTCCATTAACCTTATTTTTTTCCTTCATCAGAGTACTCTCCACCCACTCTCTACATTGCTTCTCCTTTTCCATGTAGCCATCAAATATCCAATCTTCTTATTATTCATACCATAATTTCCATGCCATCTCAAATATTCGATTTATTCTGATTTAGTTATAATATTAGGTTTTCTTATAGTGTCTGTAATTCCATTTGTAAATGAAATTTAAGGAGACAATGTGGAATCAACTTCGGTATCATAATTTTATTGTTTATTGTTGAGGTTATTTGTTGTATTCTTTATCCTCTAAATTTGACTTAAATTAAATTACTCTTATTAAAGACCTTCAAAGCGATTTTTGATAATCCATTCTCCAACTTTAAATTCTCCGTCAAATTCCCCATACTCTCTTATTATTAATTTAAAAATATTTTACATTCTGTCAGGATATTCAATGGACCATATACCCACTTTCTTTTAGAATTGATAATATCCGAATGCCAATCCATCTGCAGTTTCCTCTTTGGTAAATCCATGTTTCTAATTTTATTTTTTTTATTATGCTAGCTTTTATTTCATTTGATATAAAAATAATATAAAAAATCATTTTATTCTATAACTTTATTTCTTTATGGAGAAATAATCTTAAAACTTCTTTATATATTTACTATGTTATTCAAGTTATAGAATTTTTTGTTCATAATATTCTCAGGATAAACATAACTAAATGACCTAGAATATTTATTGTAAAAATTTAGAGAAAAATTAGAAAAAAATGTTAATTTTAAAATCTATATATGCGTCATTCATTTTTTTTGTCATCTTAATATTTTATATCTGCACTGATATATTAATCGTAATTTTATACATTTTCTCATAAATAAAAACGTCACCTTAAATGTTTATCTTCATAACATTCCATAATCCCGCCTTTTTTCCATTTTTTAATAATCCCATGTGTATCACAAGGTTATAACTAAATATCAACAAATGTCTAACATAGAAAATGATTCGCTCAGCTATGACCAAAATCCTTCTTTTACACCGTTTTCATTATAAAGCCCACCACCTCTAGGTTTTATAACTATAATTAAATAAATTACATCTAGTAGTTTGAAAAGTAGCTATCCCATCTACCAAACTTTTTATTATTAGAGTATTCACCTTGATGAGTTGCTCGACAATCTCTAATAAATAACATTTAATCTTGATACTCTTAAAATCTATCGTCCAGTTCTATCCACTTCCCTTACTTAACTGGACCTAAATTTTCGCTTTCCTAGTCATCATAAAGTCCTCCACCACTAAACTTTTTTATTTATTTACATATATTCATTCTTTCCATTTTATTTCAAATAAATATCCCATTTATTAACCTTTCTACCATTTCGATATTCACCATGAAAAGTGGCCTAAGTCAAAAATTCATGATGCAACTCAATCCATTTCCCTAACTTTACCCCATAACCTACTTTATCATATTATCCACCTGCCCTGTATTAATTAGATTCCTTTGTTTACATTATTTTTAATGGTTTTTTAAAGTCTATTATCTCTTCAATATCCCAGGAACCAAATTTTCGACCATTTTTATATTCACCTTTGTAAGTTATTTAACAAAAGTCCTTCCAATCATCTGATATATCCACCCAATCACCTACCTTAAGTTCATTACCTTTTTCATCGTATGATCCACCTCCACTATAATTTCCATAAAATTAGCAAATTAAAATTATAAGATATAAGTTTACATCTTTTAGAAATAACTGTCACCCTATTTTCTATGACAAATTTCCCATATACCAATTTTTTTACCATTTATATATTTTCCACTGTATATGATTTAAGAAATATCTGTAAAAATATTTGATATTTCCACCCAACTACCTTCTTTTTGTTCATTCTCTTCATAATATCCACCACCACTATATTTTCATAAGTTGTTATTATTAAGACTACATAATAAAGTATTACATTTGTTCATTATTTCCTTTATAATTGAACCAAATATCCCATCTACCAACTTTTTTACCATTTTTATATACGCCATTTTATGTTAATTAAGAATTATCCTTGAAATTATCTAATACTTCCACCCAATTTCCTTCTTTAAGTTCATCACCCCCTATTTCATATGATCCACCACCTCTGTATTCAATTGGATTAATATTATTAAAACTATATAATGTATTATTACATCTTTTCATTTTTTCCTTTATAATTGTACAAAATATCCCATTTACCAACCTTTTTACCACTTTTATATAAGCCATTTAATGTTAATTGAGAGCCATTCTTGAAATTATTTGATATTTCAACCCAATTCCCTACTTTTTGTTCATAATCTGGTTCCTCATAACATCCACCGGCACTGTATTTTTCATAAGGTTTTGGAATTAATAAGATATAAAATATAAATACATTATTCGACATTCTCCCTACAACTTTTACTAAATATCCCATCTACCAACCTTTTTTCCGTTTTTATATTCGCCGAAGTAAAAAAGCTAAGAATCAGAACAAAAAATATCCATAACTTCAACCCAATCACCTGACTTTACTCCATCACATCCTTCATCATATGACCCACCACCACTAATATAATTTTTTCCAAAATATTGTTATTATTTTTTTTTACATTGAAGATTTTTTATTGTACAAGTTCCATCTACCAATTTTTTTCCCATTTTGATATCGACCACTAGTCATTATCTAACAATCAGAATTAAGTATATCCATCATTTCTACCCAATACCCAATCTTGAATTCTGCACCTGCTTCATCGTATGATCCGCCACCACTAATATATTGTTTTTCCAAATTATTATTTTATTAAAAACTACATAAAATATGTTTACATTTTTGAAGATGAACCACTTCTATATTTTCTATTAAAAATATCCCATCTACCAACCTTTTTACCATTGTGATATTCGCCTTAATGAGTTACTTAAGAATATTTCCAAAAACCTTTACTCAACTCTATCCATTTTCCAATCTTCAACCCTTCTGTACTATAGACTCCTCCACCTCTATTGTTATTGAATTAATTAATCAATTTATACATCTCCTTATTTTCATAAACATATTTCCAAAATCCTATTTTTTAACCCCTTACATATTCACCTACCTTAAAAACTTAGGCTAGACTAATAGTTTAATAAATTTTTACATCTAATAATTTTCTATTATTTCTATCCATTTGCCTTATTTTTTCCCATCAAAAGAGTACTCTCCGCCAACCCTCTAAATTTTTTCACCCTACCATGTTGCTTCCCATAAACCGATTTTTTTATTGTTTTGTCCATATTTACCAACCCACTTCAAATGTTGGATTTATTCTAAATTTGTTAAATCCTCTGGTTCTCTTTTATCTTCTATTATTGAATCTCTAAATAATATTAATGAAACTTTACATTCTTAAATTAGAATTATCTTTAACAAAATTTTATTTTTCGTTTCGAGACATTTGTTCTGTTGTTGTAATTTATAAAGCTTTGAATTAAAAATAACTCTTTTAGATTTCTTTGGTTTATCCTGTAAATTTACTACTTTATTACTCATTTATTGAAAGCAATCCTCTCAATTTGTCTTAAATATTGCTAATAAATAACTTTTCTTCTTGATCCCAATAAACTTTTAATTCTTCCAATTTATTCAAATAAATATTTTTCTATTCTATCCAATCATTTATGCTTTCCCCTTTTAAAATTTATATCAATATTTCTAAGTCATAATTTGATAATTCTGCTGGGTTAATATTTTAGTTAATTAGATGAACGTATGATTTGGTTTATAGTTCAATCATATCGAATATATATTAGGCTGATTCTGAAAATTAATCCAAAATTTGCTTAAATTTACTTTGGCTTTGGGAGAGCATGGATTTAAAATTTATTCTCTATACAGATATTTCAGAAATATCTCCCAACTTCAATTCTTAAAATTTCTTCTTAACTATTTCTTGTAATCCATTTATCGGAATTAGAAATTACACCTCCACTCCATGTTCTTAAAAGCATTCATCACACAATTTCCTTTAATTTTAACACTTGTGAGGTGCTAAACATATAAATGATATTTGATTTTGAATATGATAATTGCAATTCATTAGTTTATTAATAATTTTGATTATTTATTAATTGATTTATGCTATTGATAACAAATAAATAAATCTTGAGTATATTTTAGTAAGGATTCTTAAATTAGAAATTGTTTGTAGCTGAAATTTAGAAGCGAAGAATCGATTCATAATTAAAGCAACTTGATTTTGTTTGGAATATTGACTATATTATTATATTATGTAATTTTGAAGACTTCATAATTTTACGTTATGCAAGAAATTCTGTATTATCTCTCTCCATTCATTAATTTCTTCAAATATCAAATTAAATAAAGATAGTTAAGCTTTTTTGTTAAATTTTGTTCAAATTCACTTGACAAGAATTACCCTTTGGGGTGAAATTGGAAAAAATAATATTTTAGTCAAAATTATAATACTATTTAATTACTTTATTGCCTAAAATTAAATTCCTCCAATCATTAACAACGAATTTTATAAGTAAATCTTAATTAAATTATCAATAATTCATAACAATTTTATCTAAATTACATATTAAACATATAAAATATATAATATATCACATGTGAATTGTTTTTATAAAATAATTCTGTCTGTCCTTTGCTTAATATTAATTAATATTTTGAAATGCCTATAGAATCAAAAAAATGTCTTATGATAATATCCTAATTTTTCAATCTTGTTATTATTCAATCCATTATATAAGATTCACAGTAAAAGTTCTGAACATGACTTTTTAAGTTTGATTATATTATGTTTTCTCTTATATCAATTATCTCATTTGTACTTGATGGATTCAAATAATATTCAAAATATTTTAACAGATTTTGACAACTTAAGAACTCAAAAATAAATAATACTTTGACATTTTTGAAGAACTCCCATGACAAAATTTCAAGTAAATCTTCAACCTAATATAACATTAACATTAGAAATAATTTCTTTCCAATTTAAATTTATCTTTCGGATATAGTTGTTGATGTAACAAAGTATCCCTTGTTGATTTTTACAATATAGGTCTATGAAATATTGCTCAAATTATAAATTGTTTGTAAGTCAAAAAGCAGTAATCTTAAATTATTCTTATTAAGTTTATCCCATGCAATATTAATAACAACTACCAATTTTATAGCCTTCTTGATAAAAATTTTTTCTTCAAAATGATTGTATTTTTAGATAAAAGTTACCAACTTTTAAATTTAGATTAAATATATTGTTTTAAAAATTATTATTAGGTTTATTCATATATGGAAAAAAAAAAATTTTCTATGAAGGAAAATATCTGTAATGAACATAATAAAAAAATAATCGCAGCTGATATTAGTCCAAATTTCAAAGGAGAAAAACGAATTGTGTGTAAAATATGCTTAGAAACATTACGTGAGAAAATGGAAATCTCTGGATTAGACTCTGTAAAATCAATCATTGAAAACAAATTATAAATAAATCGAGAAAAATTATATAAAAGAATAAACGATAATATCACAAAATTTAACGAATTGAAGGAAAAATGTGAATCTTTTAGGCAAAATATGTTGACAAAATTAAATACAATAGAATAAATTTTGAATGTTTGGGATACTTATTTTGCTTCAATGAAAGATAAAATATTAGAGTATAGCCTAATTGATGAGGTTTAACAAATAGGAAAGAATGAAGAAAGTAAATATGAAAAGGAGCTTATTAATTAAATTATTTTGAATAAATAGTCTTTTGAAAAAAAACTTAGTGCTTAGTTTTCAAAAGAATCTGATTATAATGATTTACAATTAATATTAAAGGAAGTTGTAAATATAGATTATTCTGGATGTTATAATTAATAAAAAAAAAAAATAATTATTCGAGAATAGAAAATTAATATCAATAAAATTGGGGATTTAAAGGAATAAAAGGAATAATGTAGAGCAGTGGCTTTTAATAATCAAGGATCAATTATGATATCTACTTTAGATAGCTTCATAAAAGTATGGGAATTTAAGGATGGGCATCTTAAATTAATGTAAACTTTAAAAGGTCACGAAAACTTTGTTTAATACTTGTTTTTCTTAAAGTTGAAAAATAATTTTATTTCTAGTTCAGATTAGACTATAAAAACCTGGTTTTTCAACTCCCAATGGAGTTGTTAGCAGACTATATGTCTGAATAACTTCAGTTTCACTTGCATTTCTACAGACCTAAAGGAGGAATAAATTTTCTTTGGAAGCACAGATAATTCAATTTAGGTTTGGTAGTTCAATGAATAGGATCAATTAAGCAAAAAATATGATTTAAAAAAACATGATCGATTAGTAAGTTCGTTGAGCCTCAATGAATTGGAAACCATTTTAGTATCTTGTGCAAAAGATAGTGCAATATCTGGTGTACAGGGCTAGGAATAAATTATCGTTTGGGAAAAAATATAAAGTCAGCAAAATCGTTTTTAATTCAAACACTTTGTTACGTAGGTGTTTAAAATAAATAGACCGTAACTTAAATTTATTGATGAAGACAGATTTATCCTAATATCTGAGAATTATCATAGTGCTTTTCTATTTCAAGATTTAGAAGGACAAATTACCCAATTTGTTGATTTAGTATTCTAAGATTAACCTTAACGATTATTTCCAATTTTATACAATAAGGACAAATAGCTGTTATATTTCAAGCTTTAATCATTTATTTATATTCTAAATAGTAAGTTAGAATTATAATCTTTTTTGCGATCTAATGGAATAAAAGTATAAGGTGCTGTCACGAATGATGGAAAATATTTGGTTTTTTGGGATGAGAAACATCAAGGGTATTAAACATTTTAGATTAGTTATCCTTGAATGGTAATACTTGATAAATTATTTATAAGAAGTGATAAGAATATATAATCTTATTCTCATCTTTATATTGTTATTAAATAATTTTTTGTTCATAGAAATAGAAAATTAATTTATTTAAACTTAATACTTAAGACGAGTTCTATGTTGGGTCTTAGATTTAATAAAAATCTAAGTATTTTAATGATTATCTAACTAATTAAATATATTTGCACATTATTTCTTTATATAATTACTAAAATTTAAATTAAAAAAGTAATGATGGAGAGCTATTCGTGTTGTGTTATATTTTAATAAAAAAGATTTAATTTATTTTGAATTATTCAAGAAGATGACATTCATAGTAAAAACCAGGAAGGTACTCTTAAACAAAGTTTTGAACAGAAGACAATTAGTATAGTGATCAATTAACTTTAGAGTGTCGAATTACTCCATCCAAATAAGCCAACTCCCTCATAGGAATCAGTTGTTAAGGAATTAGCAAGCAAATACAAGGCAGACGAAAGAAATGTTGTCGTGTATGGTCTTAGAACAACATTCGGAGGAAATAGAACAACTGGATTTGCTTTGATCTACGATACATAATAGTATTGAGTTTCCAATTAACATAGATATCTTCTCAAATTCGAACCAAAATTCAGATTGAGAAGAAGAGGCATCATTCCAAAGAGAGACGGTAGCAGAAAGGGATGGAAGGAAGTCAAGTCTAAGTTAAAGAAAACCAGAGGCGCTGAAAAAACAAAGATTTACATGTCTAGAAAGACAGACAAGAGAGAAGTCATCAGAGCTTAAAAGGAAACTTACCTTAAAGGTTTTGTTGGAAAATGAGTGCATTTATACCACATTTAATAGTACATTATAAATAATATAAATATTTTATATTGTTATTTAATTAATCTTCACTTTAACTTTTCCTACTCCTGTCCCAACTTCTCTGTTGTACCATGAAAATTGATTATGCGCATTAATTTTTCAAATAGATTGGGCAATTTATCATTAAAATGATCTTTAAACTTATTCATATTCTCTTGTTTCTGAAGAAGCATGATCTTTTCAGGACCAAGAGAATTTTTGATATACACTTCAAAGTTTTCCAATTTGTCAGTCTTATCTTCATTTTCAATAATTTCAACATTAGGAAATAGTTCCTTGAGAATATTTGTTACATATTCTGTCTTCTCTATAAAATCTTTCTCTTAATGCCTTGTAGTCTATTGGTGCTTATCACAATTTTAGCATCTGGTAATATTGACATAGAATTTGCCAAGATTCCAATTGTCTGGAACTTAAGGTAAACTCAAAGTTTCCAATTCAGTTTCTGGATCCATCTCAAGTGGCTAATATAACTAATAAGATTATTACTGGAATTTCTTCAAGTATTTTCTTAGAATTTTAGATCACTATTCTTATTTGTTTATCTTATATGCTAAATTTGACTATTTTTTCATTTTCATCTAATTCTACTTCATGATTCAATGTGATTTCACTTTACTCTCCCAACAATAATGAATTGGTCTCTGTTTTGATCTCATTAATTTGTGAATCATTGGAAAAGATAAAACTCAACTTTCTTTACTAGCTTAGATTCAATGTACCAACAAATGCTGCAGGCAAATGTTCAAGAGGGAAGGTCTGTACGGAATCATTTTTTAATTTGATTTCTAATTGAGTTTCTTATTCATTTTTTATAATTGAAACCTCTGTTACTTCAACAGCATTAAACAATTCAACTTCTTGCTCTTCCTTGCCTGTTGATTTTATGATGATTTCCTTATAAGTATATCTATAGGATTCGATTACTTGTGGTGGTTGAGGCTCACCTTTTTCTAACTCCTTTTTCTTCTTTAAGTCAGCCCTTGTCATAATACATTCTCTTAACACAATCAGAAAGTGATCATAGTGAATATATTGTACTTTGTCACTTGTATAGATTACTTCCATTAATTCACACAAATCGTGTAATTCTTCAAAGGTTACTCTTAATAATCCCACAAATTGGATATATTGAAGAAACTATTTATAAGGCATCATATAATAGGGAGATAATTGGATTTTTGGTTTGATCACTTTATGAAATTTGGTAGGAGGTTACTCATCATTTCGTGGTGGTTGTAATAATTGTAATCCCAAACTAATGTAATCATAATTTTCAGTGAATGGACTCAACAACCTCTTATAATTGAAATTTGTATATAAAAACTTCTTGAGTTTATCCATTGAATACTTCCTGCTCCATTAAGGTTATTCTTGAATCTCTTCTGGCTTGGTTTCTTCAGTTTTTGTTTAGGTATTTGCTAATTCATATTAACTAACTAATCCAGCTGGAATGGTTCGATTATTGATAATTACTGCTTAAGTTGGGGGAGGGGATTTAGATCTGCTTCCTGATTTCGGGGGAGATTATTCATGTTGTTAAATCAAAAAGAATATCAAATCTCCTGCAGATAAATAGGAGATACTTTCTTTCTTCTATCCATATCTTCTACTCATTTTCTTAACTCCATTATATTTTTGATAGAATGTTTAATATACTTCTTTAAATATGTTGATTCTTTGTAAATTCTCAGTTATTACTAAACAATCCTTTAATACAAGATGATGAGTGGTGTATTTTCCAAATGACAATTGAGCCTCTGGGAAGATTAAAGAAGTGGAAATTGAAACCTAATCATCTCTAACTCCATTCAAACACAAACCCATATCCATATATTAGCCTGATTCGTTTAAAATAAGGGCTAACAATTAAAATTCTCCTAATTTAATTGATAGTTAGGAGGTAACTGTTAATGGATTCTGTTATTTAGTGTTTTTGGGATGATTGTTAGGAATGAAAGTACTATACACCTATTTGCTATCTAAATAAACACCCATTTCTAGAAGCTTCTTGTTTTCAGTGCTAATTTTGAGGATAGGAAGCATTTCTTTAGAATTAGTTCTATCAATTTTAACCCAAAAGCAAATTGTAAGATGTCCTTTCGATCTTGTAAAATCAATTTCTGAGAATTTCAATTGAATTTCTTCATTTGTAGAATCCTTAGAAAACACCTTGTCCTCAACAAAGATCTGTTGAAATGTATTATTTCTATGAAGAGGGATTTAGGCTTATTTTGGAATGATTTTAATATCTTTACTCTAATTTTAGAGGGCTTCTTCTAAAATATCGATTTTGTCTAGGCATTTTTAGTATTCCTCATTAAGTTAAAAGTTCTTTTTTTCCATTCCTTTGATTTGTGTTAAATAAATTTCTTGCTACTGTTCTGACCTCTCTTTAAATTAAGCGTATAAAGCATCACTATTTTTCTTATCATTTTCTAATTTAGCATATTTGTCTTTCCATTCTTTAAGTTCTTCAGTTGTTTTATTTAATTAAATTTGCAATTCATTCTTTTGTTTTTCCAACTACACCTTTTCTTCATAAACCGTATTAATTTGACTAGCCATTTCTTTCAATTCGTCATAGTTTTTTTTTGAGTCTAAATCAGCTTTTAACTTTTCTATTTCAGCATTCAATAGTTGGACTTCAGTCTTATCGTTTTGGATTTCTTCTATTTTCTACAGTAATTATTGTTTTTCCTTCTAGAATTCTATAGTTTGTTATTCATATTGAGAAAGCAATTTCTTTAGCTCTTCAATTTATTATTCCAACTCTAATTTTTCATTCTACAATTACTAAATCAACTTCGAATTATTCTCATTCTCATTCATCAACTTTTTTAATTTGTCTGATAGATCTTTATCTTGATCCTAGAATTCTTATAATTTATCATGCAATTTCTTTATTTCCTCATCTTTACCATCAATAACCTTCTATTGCTATTACATTTCCTTTTGATGTTAGACCTTTAAGTCTTCAATGTCTTATTTCAACTTATTGATTTCAGAATACAATGAGTATGTTTTCTTGATCTCTTCATCTAATTATTATCTAAATTGATCTGAACTTTGATTAGCCTATGCGATCTATTCATTTAGCCTCTCCAATTTTCTATCTGAATCTTGTTTCTCCCATTTCATACCCTCCAACTCCTTCTTCATTTAAAATGCCTATTATTTAAGATCAGAAATCTCATTGTTTTATTCTCCAATTCTATCCATCAAAGTAGTTCGTTCTTTGGAGATTTCTTCATTTTATTATTCTGCATATTCTAAATCTTAATCCTTCTCTTAGACTTCCTGATTCAATCTAAGTATTTCAATAGAATTGGCTTGCAGAGTTTATAGTTGCCTCTCATTTAAATCTGATAGTTCTTTAACTTTAACTACTGCTTATTCTACTTCTTGCTCTTTCTATTAGACTAACAAATCAACTTATTATAATTGTATTTCCAACTAATTCAAATCTCTTTTGTATTAGACACTCTATTTCTCCAATTCCTTATACTTCTTCTACCATCCTTTTTCTAACTCTTCTTTTTCTTATCTAGCCACATCATCAAAATTCTTCAATTACGTTTCTAATAGATTGAGTTTATTCTACAATAATGAACAATAATTTACATTCAATAATTTATTCTTTTTCTCTTGTTCTTCAATTTCTTCTACTCTCTATTGGATGACTTTCTTTTACTTGACAATTTCATCTTACAAATTCTAAACCTTATTGACTCTAGTATCTAATAACTCGGCATGTAATTATTTTGATCTTCTTTGTTCTTCTTCCAATTTTTCTGTCTTGTTCCTCATCTCTTATTGTAGGAATGCATTTTCACTATCTAATCTTTATAATTTCTTTTGTAATTGTTAAATTTATGTTTCTTTTTCTTTTAATGTTTCTTCCAATTTGGTGATCCTGATTTTAAATTATTCATCATGAGTATTGCATTTCCTTTGCCAATCCTAAACTTCCAATTGCTTTTCTCTCAATCTCCTGTTAATTTATTCTAATGACTCATTTGACATCTACAATTTATGTAATGCATCATGCAGATCATTTTCAATACCTTGCATTTTCAATAGTTTCTCATAAATCTCCTAATACTTGGATTACCAATCATCTCTCTGCATTCCCAGCATTTCTATTTCCTCCCTCATCAATTGTTGATCCTTCTCTAATTCATTTTTCAATTATTACAATTGTAATAACTTGGATATCAAACCTTCACTATTATAATTCTTGACCATCCAAATTACACTCTCCAATTCTTCCTTGGCTTTGATTGTTAACTATTCACTGGCTTCCTTATAATGTTAGATGGACATATTTTACCAATTTGGCAACAAGATGTTTTACTTAAATTTCGAAGTGACAATGATGATTGGGTCCCAGTAGAGATTTGATCCCCACTATTGAATCTATGTGAGCCAAACTCACACTCTCTTCTTTCTTAGCATTCACTTATTTTGATTCATTACTTGAATTATTTACATTATTACTTCTATTTATCTCTTGTACGTATTGAAGGAAATGATGTACCCATTATTTAAGATCTCTAATAGAATCCTCCTCCAGATGTTTCTTTGGAGGATTTTAGAAAGTTTTGTTATTGAGGTTTCATATTGAATGTTTTGAGGGATTGACCACTGCTTTTGATTCGACGCACTTTTATATAATTGAATGGGTACTATTTTTTCTTTGGGAGTCTTGAGTGGGGGAGATACTCCTCTCTCCGTATTTCCTATTTAGAGAATCTACCTGTTCCGATATTTAATCTAATTTTTCTTAAGTATTCATTATTAATAAAAATAAAACTGTATTTTTGATTATGTAAACAAGAAATGATTATTGCAAAATAATACATGATTAACACATATAAATTAAAATATATTGCACCTAATTAAATGCAAGGGATTCTGATACAACAGTAATAATTCACTTAGCAATTGATGCGGATCATTTCGAAAGAGTTTGAGCCATCAGAAGGACTGGAATTAGAATTGAAACATGCAATGGAGTCCTTCTTTATCGAAATCAAACAACTGGAATATGAAATGAAAGAATCCATCGGTAAGTATTGTAATAATTGTTCGAAGTACAAGTAAAATAGCTAACATACTAGATAATCAATTATTGATGAATTTCACGATGCATAGCAGGATTAATGGAAACACCGTTATGATGAACTCAACACAGAGTTTCTCATCCTCAAGGCTTGCAATCAACAAATCGAATTGTAGAAAGCAGAACTCCAATAGAAGTTAATCGATTAACGGACTAAATACGAAGAATTAAATAGATAAAAAAAAGAAGACAAGGATAATTATCGTCAATAATATGAGGCTCTCAAAAAGAAGGCCCAAGACAAGATCCACAGATTAAAAGACAAACTAGTCCTCTTCTAAACTCAACTCCAAACCTATGCAATAGAAAGCGAGCATCTTCGAATTATAGCATCAGAAGGCAAATTAAATTCTCCCCAAATGTCCTCTGCCATCAAATTCAAATTAAAGGCTATCCTCAAAGAAGTCCATCAATTACGCAATCTATCCAACACACTCCTCTTGGAAAATTCGAAAATCATCCTACAAGCTAAAGAACAATTGCAATTCCTCAATTTCAAAAAAGACATTCAAGGCACTATCATAAGAAGAAACAATACTCCTCCAGAACCAGCCAAAATCAAGCAATATTACTCTCAAAGTCAATCTATTCAAAATAGTCCAGATCGAAAACTCAAAACAGAAAAACCAAATATGATAAGGAAATTGAATGTTACTAGATCATCGATAAGTAAGAATTTATTAGCAGAATTTGATGCCTCTGCTCAAATTACTAAGTTTATTAAACAATACTACAATGCCGATTAATAATTAAGAAACAGCACAGGATTTCACACCAAATTGTTTTGATAATTAAATTACGATTACATACTGTAATTATTAATCTCATTACTTTATCCAGTATTGTCTCACTCCTTCGAAATGTCTCACCGTTATCTCCTAGATTCCAATAGGTGATGCAACTCCATTTACATAGTTCTAGCAACTTACCAACCCTCTCTGATTATTAAATTTCAACAAGTATAATTGTGTTTTTAAACTCAAAGAAGCCACTTGTTTTTCTCTCTCCTCATTGAAGAACTCATCGCATCCCAAAATCGCACATAATTTAGTCAATTCATTCTCTTTGAATGCAGAAGTTACCTCATTTTCTTATTACACATCTAAAAATGATAATTCTATTAAAATCTTTACTTAAAATCGATTCTATTTATTGGTTTTTAAGAATCAAAAAATGACCAATATTCTCATTGATTTTGTTGCTGCTATAAATCAAACCAAACAATTAAAGTTAACTACTCTTCAATTGTCTCAAATATTCATCTGTTAATTGATAAGCTACTTTTGTCTAGAAATTTGGCTTAGCTTATTAAGCAAAGTTATTTTCTTTATAATTCTCTTCTATTTTTTGAAATGCTGCATAATACTCATCCTCCTAATTAAACTCTCCCTCTTCCAATATCTTTTACACTTCCTGACTCTCATTTTTTTCTTCCAATAACTTAGAAAGTTTTAAATATTTTTCATTATGCAATTTAAAAGGATTTTAGAATGAAGGATAATCATTGAAAGATTCCCTTAGAGATATAACACTTTTGGAGCACTTTAATATTGATAAGACTCTTTACATCTCCTTATTGTATGTTTTAACAGATCTCCTCATCTTCCATGTTTATTTAATAATAATTATAATTACTTTGATTATTCTAAATTTTAACTATTCATAATTAAACATTCCAAAACATCTAGAAACAATTAAATTAAATAATAAAAAATGCAACCTCCTGAAGAAGTATCCATTTCATTCATCACTAGAAACCAAAAGAAGAAGGAGAAGAAAAGCCAAAAGAAGAATAGTAACAGTAGTAACAAACCCAACAGTAGTAAAAGCCTCCTGCCAAGAATTACTTAGACTTATCTAATAAACCAATTCCTCCAAATGCAATAGTGATTAATTTTGAAGTCTGCATCAATTGCTAAAAATCACATTCGTTTTGTACACAGCATGACGAACTTCGATATGCAAAATTATATCATGAATTTAAGGATGGTAACATAAGTTATTATTTAATACACTAGCTGTTGAAGCTGCAATTCCAAATTCGTTCTGCGTAGTTAATCATTCAATTTAGAAACCTTCCATCGGAGCATTTGAAATAACTCATTAAAGTAATGCATTAATATCTAAAGTAGACAAGATAATCTACTCTAAAAAGAATTCTGGTTTGTTTCCTTGTGTTGCACCTACAGTGGAGAGAATTAAAAGATTTCTTGATGATCTCTAAAATGGCAAAGATGTTAAGGGTTATGCCACAACCAAAGAAAAGAAGCAAGAAAAACCAATTGAAAAGAAATCAAAACCAACCTTTTAGGCTTACATAAGGATGAAGGAAGAGGAATTTGCAAGGCAAGAAGCAATTAGAGAAGAAAATGAAAGAAAGAGAAAGGAGTAAGAAGAGAAGGAAGAGAAGGAAAGACAAGAGAGGGAGAAAATAGAAGCAGAGAATAAGAGAATTGCAGAAGAGGAAGCTGCAAAGAAAGCTGAAGAAGAGAGATTGAAAAAGGAAGAAGAAGATAAAATTAAAGCTGAGGAAGAAAAAAAGAAGGCTGAAGAAGCTGCATAAAATCCTTAGACATAAGAAGGTGGTGAAAAACCTCAAGAACAACCTTAAGGTGAGAAGCCAGCTGAAAAACCAGCTGAGAAACCAGCTGAAAAACCAGCTTAATGACATTATTAAAATAGATAAATAAGCAGATATAAATCTATATTTATGTATTTTTTATAATACTCACATCATAATCTATCTGTAGAGATGGCACTAACTTTAATGCCATCTTACAATGAAATTACATAAACTCTGTAAGTCTTGCCTCTGTATTTAATGTCTTCAGAGGAAAACAGTGGTTGGTTTGTGACTTTGGAGAGTTGTCCATCTTTAAATGCTTACTTTAGAACTTGATTTGATAAAATGGTTTATGATATCACAGAAAGACTGTCTCTTACTTTAAGATTTTTGAAATAAAATGGAATGTGGGGATAAGGACTTTAACATGCCAATGATGTTTAATGAGCAAGACCAGCAATCAAACCATCAAAACTCACAAACAAGGTCTTAATAAATATTTCTGCTTCTTTGTCTTATACAAAATCTTTGAAATAAGGTAACTATCTAACACTCTAATCATTTTAGTTGATCGTTAATAACTCTAATTTGAGTTCCTTTTCTGGGATGAAATGCTATTCACCATTCTCAAAGGTCTATTTCTAGAAGATGTTAACAATTTTTTGGTAAACTTCATCATTTTTAAAATGTGAATTACCTGCATTCTAAAAGATAATTAAATTTATTAAATTACTAAACAATCTAAAATCCATCTATTTATTCTATCTTTCATATTGTATCCTCCTTTGAGTTAGAAACTAAGTGAATTTGGTAAATAAGTTGGATCATATTGGACATGCTTTTCCTTTTTGGGTAATTTATTCTTTTTCTCATGAACTACTATGTCTTCGCTTTCCTTTCTCACAACATCGTCTACTTTAATTGGTTGATGCTTAGTAATCTTTGTGACTTTGGGGAATAACTAGTGAATAATATTCTTGATTTCCTCATCGAAAGTATCATTATTCTAATTTTAAAGATGAATCTCTTTGAGACTCTTAAAGAATTGATTTAAATTCTTTTTTGAATCGTTATCAAATACATCCAATAAGTCATCCTCGAGGTATTCATGATCAATCTTTAGATCTTCATCAACAAATGGAAATTCAATTACTCCATTTACTTAAAGTGAGCTTACTTTAAAATTCTCAAATGTCTTAGCCTTCTTAACGAAATATTGAACTTTTTCTAGAGAAGTACATGTTCTTTTCATGGCAGTAATAAGCAATTCATATGAAAAAGGTAATTTCAATTGATTATAAGACTTTTTGGTATATGGATACAGGATGATTTTGTTGTAAAATTAACTACATCTAGATAGGATGGACTATGCTTCTTCTGGAGTGTGATTATGTTCTAGGATAATAACATAATTGTCTCTAATTTTGGCATCTTAGATATCACTGACAATTTAGGTTTGGGAATAGAAGGATTGAAATGTTCTTGCAAAGGTTGACACACCAACTCCATTAACACATACAGGTATAATTAAAAACACATTTTCTGGGTTCTTTTAGAGATCTTCACCTGTATAAACTGGTATTCTTGTTAGTGAGTTTGGTTGATAGGATGCCCAAGAGGCTCTATAATCTTTAATAGAACTTAATTGATTCCATTTGAAAGTCTTGTTGTTGAAGATGTTGTACAAGATAATAGTGACGAAGTCATTAAAATTAAATTTGATAGTATTTTCCATCTTATTGTAATTTTCCAGAATTTTCATGCCTTCTGCATATATGCTCTCATAAAACTTAAATGGTCTAGGGGGTTTAACTTACAAGGCTTTTACAAATTATTTAAAGTCTCCTTCAATGTGTTATTCATTCAATAACATGGATTGAATATGTTTGTAAATTAAATACTCAGCTGTGTGCACAACATAGTATTGATCATGGAAATATAGGATAACTCCTGCTGATTCTAATTCAATATCACTTCTTTGAATTCTCTCTATGTGTTTTTAGAGTAATTTTAATTGCAATTTGAATTAGGATGTTTTTGGATGTGGTAATCCGTAAAAGCAGAATAATTATTGGGATTGTTCGAAATTCACGTCGACAATGCCAATAAATTGTAGAATGTCATCAGGGTGATAGATCAGAGATTCTTGATTGATGATATGACCATACACAGTTCGATTGTGAAAATCAAATTTCAAATTAGTAATTTTTTCTTGGCTGACTAGAATAAAGATATTGATTTACATTCATTCAAAATATTGAACCATAACTCAGCTACTTAGACTGCTGAATCAAATCTTTGGAATGCAAATTCGGATAAATCATCAGACTTTTATGCCACAATAGTGAGATTATTAGAATAGATTAACCAGGCATCGATTTCCTTCTAGTATCCAATCTTAAATAATTAACCTCCTGGGTAGGTCTGACTATAGACAGTTTGCTGAATTAGTTATGATTATGTTACAACTAGATTGCTTTCAATTGAGTCCTTGATTATTTAATCCAAGTTTGAATGAGTGGGAAATTGGACATCTTAGAACCCTACAATGGAATTAGGAGATATTACCCCATAAAGTTTTGAGTAGTTGATTCTGGCCATTGAATATTTGTAGGACTGTTTTGTGATGGTGAATCTAGAATGAATGATTTATTTTATTTACCTAGTATTTAACATCATAAATCACAAGATTTTCAATAAACAATTTGTTTTAATCATGAATATGTTGGTCTTGATCATTGCAATAATGTAAACTAAAGGAATTGATGGGTGATATAATACAATTCGTAGGGATCGCTGCTGTGATACGAGGACATTAATTAATATTAAATATTAAATTTATTGTAGTATCAAAAATCAATGTTTATTTTTCACTTACGAAGTTTTTAAATCTTGAGAAAGCTATCATTTATTTTGTGACTCAATTCTTCGTTGATATTCAGAGTTTTCATTCTTTCACACAATTATCTAACCTTTTAAATTATATCATACGCTATTGAATTTATTGAATTGTTCTCCAAAAATGCAGACTGTATTGGTAATTTCTCTATTTCCAAAATATTTAGCAATTCTTACATAGAATTACTCTATTCACTAATAAATCCTTAATTTTTCCAATTAATCTCAGAAATCTCAGAATGGGAATCACTAGTCTCCAATTCGAAAATCGTATGTGCCATACCATCTTTTGAATATTTCAAAGCCTGAAATAAATTTGAAAAAAACTATTCACTCATCATAATCATTTCATACTTCTTTCACTTCAATCGGTTCTTACTACCACAACTTGCTGAAATTCTTCTTCTCTGGGTCCTATGATGTGAGTTAAATTAAATTACATTGAGACTCTACCTATACAAAATGATCACAGGAGGAGGGTTCGAGTTCATTTAATTTTATTATAAACAATTATTAATGAAATTAGAAACAAACTCTCAGCATGCTTCCCAACATCACCATACCTTTCCTTTCATCACTCTCATTCTCTAACAGCTACTTAGTTATTTGAACAATTTAAATTTTATATTGACATTTGAGCATGCCATTAAAAACTATAATTCTATAATGAAAAACATATAAACAAATAAAGTGAAAAATCAGAACCTGCAATTCTTTTTCATTGCCCGTACTTTTCATTTAACAAGATCTTTATTTTGAAGTAATCACTATTAGTCCACTCTCTCTTAGTATCCGATTTCTCTAACATTTTAATAGCCTACACTATATATTGATATTGTACCTGTTTCCAAGTGACGAATCTTCCCTTAATTCTCAGTCTCTCCTCTGCCACCTTCTATCTGATCTGATAATGCACTTTCTTCTCAAAACTAGTTCTGCTGTGCTTTTTCTCCAAGTATTTCTTTACTTTCAGTTTCCTTTGCATCTCTTTTTGATTGGCTTTAGTGTTGCACAATTATTAAACCCAATTTTCGAATTTTAAAGTTTATGGATCATCCAAAATCTTATAATCTAAACCAATTTTTATTCTTTGGAGGTCCTCTTAGTTAATGAAATTCAAGAGAAAGTTCTCCTGAGAGATGCTTGGATAGTAATTCATCTCCAAATTAAACAAATGTTGATCAGCATTAATTGGAGGAGGAAGTTGCTTTGAAGGGAATTTTGGTGATGGAATATCCTCAAAAGAGTTGTCAGAGTGTTCAGACGACTCAGTCTACTCAGCTGTAGAACATTCACAATTATTCTTTAGGTTAAACTCTTCACTTTCAACGAAGTAACTTGGTTTTTTGAATAAGCCAAGTTAATGTTAAGTGAATATGTTGATATTGGATTCCTCATCCTAAAAACTGTTGTTTCTATCCTGTTCGAACTCTGAAATTACATCGTATTAGACTTAGAACATTTTTATTAAGATATTAATTTTTAAAAAAGGGAACACCGGAATTAAAATTTATGTATTAAATTTTATAATACAAAACAACCGGTTTGCATCAGAGAATCTTATTACTCATTTTTATATAATTAAAATGCAAATACCATTCATAATAACTCATTTTAACACCATTCTAATTATTTCTTAATGCTTAAATTATCATTGATGATGTATTGATGAATTAATTTACACTAATAAACAATCTAAATATATAACTTTTATTAAATTATCTATTTACCCTCTTGTATAAAATATAATTAGACACTCACATGATTTTCAGAGAAAAAATTAAAATACATATATAGATGAATAAACAAATATCAAAAAATATGCAAATCTGAATTTTCATTTAATTTCGAATTAATTGGCTCTTTTCCTACTATTGTTTAGTTTTGTTGAGAGTTGAACAATCAATTATAACTCACAGGTTATTCTAAAAATATTTTAATGATTCTAAAGTTATAATTTAAATTAACTTTGAAATAAAAATACGAAATTTATTATTAACAGTATCTAAATTATAGGTTTTGAATCATCCTTTATTTATATCAGATTATAGTTGAAATTATAATTATCACAAATATATCCCTATCTGCTAATTTTAATTGATAATATAATAATTCAATAATATTTTTTGATAAATTTATTTTTTTAAAGATGTATCCTTCAAGATTCATTAATCAACAAATCTATGCTAATTTAATATTAAAAAGTATTAATAGATGGTCTAACAAATAGGCAAACTGTTAGAAAAGAAAGGGTAATTAAAGGAAGCTCTTAATATTTTGGATTAGAAAATATTAGAAAATGTATAAGATATAAGGTTCTATGAAGAAAAAGGTATTTCCCCATTAGATGTAGCTGCCGCATTAATGAGAAATAATGATTATGAGGAATTAATCAAATGCTGGGATTTTGGAATTGAGTAGAATCAAACAAACATAGAGTTTTATAAGGCAAAAAGTATTTGATAAATTTATAAAGTAAATGTTTTAAAGAAATTGGGTAGAGATAATGAGGTCATTGAATGCATAAATAAATGGATGCATTTAAACAAGAATTGTAGTTTGGTTGAGTTTGAGCTTTCTTAAATTTCAAGTTATAATTTTTAATGTAATAATCTTAGCTTGATTGGTTAGCAACTATAAATAAATTTGATAAATTAATAGATGATCGCGAAGATTTGGATTGGATGATAGGAAAGAAAATTCTATGTTTAAATAATATCAGAGACTATCTTGCCTATAGTAAATCAAGATGAAATACAATTAGCTAATATATTAAAAAAGTTAGGTAAAGATAAAGAGATACTGTAATGTTGGGATTGGGGAGTCATGAATAATATTAACAACATAGATTTTTATTATGCAAAATGTATTGATCATACTTGAAAAATAGCAATGTACTTAGAATCAATAGGTAAGTATTAAGAAGCAGTAGATTGCTGGTGGTTTGGATTATCAAAAAATTAAAATTCCTTAAAATTTTATGACGCTTTTTGTAATCTTAATTTAAATAAAAGATTAGCAAACCTTTTAACCAAATTGAATAGAATTTAAGAAGTTGCTAATTGTATGTAGTTTGGAATTGAATCAAATCCATAGAAAATTAGCTTTTATACTAAAAAAGGTTTAATTTGATATACTAATATTTAATATTTTAGTTAATGTATTACTTAAACTAGGAGAAGAATAACAAGTTATAAATTGTTTAGATTATGGAATAAGCTAAAATAAAACTAAGATTGAGTTTTATAATTATAAATGTTATAAATTGTGCTTATACAATTAGGTGAAATATTACAAGACTTAGGAAGAAATTAAGATTGTATTGAATGTCTTGAATTTGGTATCCAAAATAACCCTACTGATTATCAATTTTATTTTAGTAAAGGTAATTAGTTTTTAATGAATTTTAGCTTATTAATTAAAAAGATTGAATAGAGTAGAAGAAGAACTTGAATGTTGGTAACGTGGAATAGAAATCTAAAAAGATTCTTCTAATTATTATGAAGGAAAATGTAAGCAGAATATCAAAACTTTAGTTGATGTGCTAATGAGATTACATAGATATGAAGAAGCTCTCAAAGTATGGGATGATGGAATTCAGAGTAACATTCATAATGAAAACTTTTACTATTCAAAAGGTAGGATCATTAATAATTACATATTTAGCTACAGCCTTAGAGACACTGGAAAGAAATGAAGAAGTACTTCAATGTTGGGATCAAGGAATATTGAATAACCCTCATAATTTTTCGTTTTATGAATAAAAATTGTAAATTGATATCCAATATTAGGTTATGCTTTAATGAAACTTGAAAATTTAGTAGCAGCTGAAGAAAGCTTGGAGTTCAGATTAAGAAGGTTCTAATAAATTTGATGATGAATCATGCAAAAATGAATAGAGTATTTAAAATATAATAGTTAGCTTCCACAATACCACTATCAGAAAATGCAGAAAAAGCTCTTCATTGTTGGGATGAAGGAATATCAAGAAATCCTAGTGATGTGGTGTTTTATAATAAAAAAGGTAGAAATTATTCAAATTGTTTAAGGTGAATTACTAAAGAAGTTGGGAAGGAAAAATGAAGCTGTCGCTTGTCTAAAGTTTGGTTTAGAGAAAAACTAAAATGATCCAGAGTTTTATCTAGCCCTTGGTAGTCTAAATTATAATAAATAGCTGAGGAGTTACTAAGTTAAAAAAATCTATTTGAATCAATGTATTACGTTGATTAAGGAATGAAAAGATCTGAAAATTAGAGATTAATTACAACTAAATGTTATTAATTAATTAAATCATTAGGGCTATTGCTATCAAAATAGAAAATGCTAAGAAAATCAATAATATATTTTCGTCTATCAGAAAGCTGGAGCTATTAAGGGAGAAAACTAAAATAGAATTTATGATGATTATTGCTATCAAATAATTATTAAGAATTGCAATAATTACTCTTATGATTAAATTCTAAAATCATTCCCTCTACTCTATTTTATATCTATAATTTCTTAAATAAGCAAAGGACTTGGGGAGTAAAAGGAATCAAAATGATTACCATAATTGTAAATGAACAAATCATTAAGTTTAATAAAATATATTATAATACGATCCGAAATCATCAGATTTAAATATAAAAAGAATAAAATTGAAACTTCTCTTCTCTATATTTAAATATATTAATAATCAGTTCTATGAACAATATCCAAGCTTAACTTTAGACACAAACACAGGAAGGTCCTAAAAGCGAAAAATAGAGATGTAAGGGACAATTCTTCAAGCAAATTTGACTATAACTTACAGAATTTATTGCCACAAAAGATGACTCTAAATGGATTGAAAAATCAGAATATTTAAATGAATCAAAACATATTCAAAAATATAGATACGGAAAGATTTTCTGGTATGATGTAGCATTAGCAGAAGAATAATGTAAATTGGGATCGAATGCCTACTTTCAAGTAAAACAATAAAGTTCAAGAATTTATGTTTAATAACTAATTTCACTAGATTGGAGATTAGGTTCAATTAAGCAATCTTTTAAGATTTCAGCCTTCTTAATAAAATACTCAACAAAATACTCTTCCAAAATTAAAAAATAATTTATATAAAGACAATTAAAGTACTATTCAGTTTCCAGATTAATTCTAACCTCAGATGTAAATGTTGACTCCTTAAATGAGAATGAATTATAAATACATACAGAAAATACCAAGATGTGATGACGATGAACAATTGATCCAAAAACAAAGTGCAAAATTATAAAACAAAAACAAATATGATTTATAATCATCTATTGCTTTTGAAATCAATTCCCTTAGAACTAGTTGCAAAGTATCAAATTATAAATCAGAGTATATTCCTGCAATGATAAGTATTAAAACAAAAGAAAATTAAACAGAAATGACTGAAAGAACTATTGGAATTGATTTGGTATTTATTATCATTTACGTTAGATCTGCTTAATAGACAAAAGTATGAGCATGAGCGGAGACAATATAAATATGGTTAAAAAAAGCTTATTACTACTACTTGATTTTTTAGGCGAACAAGACCGACTACAAATCATTACTTTTAATGAACATGCATAAAGACTAACTCCATTAAAGTGTTTAACAGAGAAAAATAAACAATATTTTCAAGCAGTTATTTCATAAATCAGTGCAGAAGGATTGACCAAAATTTCAAGTGCTACTTATATAGCATTTAAATAATTAAAGGAAAAGGTCTATAGAAACAATGTGACCTCTGTTTTTTTGCTATCCGATGGACATGATGGAGACGCCCTGTTTGAGATATCTGATTAAATTAGACATGTTAAGGAAGTTTTTACAATCTCAACATTTGGGTTTGGTGATGATCATGATGCATAAATGATGACATCTATAAGTAATTTAAAGAATGGAAATTTTTATTATGTTAAGGATATCACATTATTAGATGAATTTTTTGCCCATGCTTTAGGAGGAATAGTTTCTGTGATAGCAGAATAAATTTAAATAAGTCTTTCTTTAACATTAACAAAACCTCTGTAAGATGTATAGATTTCAAAAACATATGGGAATATGTGGAAAAAGAGAGAACATGCCTATGAAATAAATATACCTCAATTAGCATCAGGTACAAGAAAGGATTTTGTATTTGAAATTTAGATACCTTATATTTATTCTAAAATTTAAGATCAAGAAAGAGTTGTAAAGGTACTTGAAGCCCGTTTAAAATTGAAAGATCCTTTAAGTGGAGAGATTATTCAAAAATCTGCTGCCCTGAACTTAACTCTATTTAATGAGAATGAGAATGTAGGAGTTATTGAGGAAAACATAGACGTGTATTCTCAATATATGAGAGTAAAAGGAACATAAGCAATTGATGATGCAAAGAGAGCTTGTGAATAAAATAATTTTGAAGATGCCTAAAGATTACTCGATGATATGACGATACAAATATCGAAAAAAAACAATAAAGTTGTCTTAGAATGTGCTGGAATCATATAGGATTTAAATTAAGCAAAGGAAGCTACTAAAAGCATATCATACAATTCTTATGGTTCCAAGTAGTTGTGTTAAATAGTTGTTAATAATAATACATAAGGAGGTATGAATTCCGTATTTTCGCTTGATGGATAACAGTAATAATAATTGAATCCTTCTTAATATTCAAATTTAACTTAATAAACAATGCTAAAGATGGTATAAACTAAGAAAGCCAAATATTGATATTTATTAAATTCATTATTTTTATAATTAAATAATAAAATATGTGTTAATTAATTTATATTCAAGGAAGATGTATATAATTTGGAATCAAACTTTGTATTCATTCAAAATAGAAATTATAATTGAACTATATTAATATTTCAACTCTCCTTGATAATCAATCAATATAACAAGGGCCACAATAGAAAATCAATGTTTATAAATTTATGTACTTTTAGGAGGTTTTAATTTCATAGCCCACCCCAGTATTGCTGAAATATATTTCTTTTGATAGATTTTTATGAATTTGTAGAAAAAAATGATTTTTTTAAAGTAAATAGACTTTAATTAAATGGAGAGAAAACAAGAATTGTTTTATTAAATTCTAAATTTATGTTCATTGGTCATATTAGTTCGATATTATTGTTAACTCTAATATTTGCTACTTGCATTCCATCGACTGAAACCATTTAATATAAAGAATTATAGATTTTTTAAACATTGATATTAAAAACTAGCAATAGAATATTATTTTATTATATAGATATGTTGACCTTGTCCTTTCTGATTATTTATTTTTAATATATGTTATCTAAAGATTAACCTAAAGAAAATCTTAATAAGGGAATAGTTATTCCTTTGATATTTTAATGCCCTAAAGGTTGCGTATGTGATTCTGGGAGTCCAAGAAATTGGCATCATAAATAATGTGGAAAACCATCATTCATCAGTGAGTTTGGCGATATTTTCTGTGAAAATCACTAAAAAGACTGTTCAGGATATTTTATTAAAGATGCCTCATTTTAATGCGGTGCGGCAAAGAAAAACAACTCTTGGTATTAACATAAGAGCATGTCGTAGATTTTGATGGCATTATCAGCTGCATTACAAGCAGCAGAATAAAAAGAGTAAGAAGGCGTTAATTTGGAATAATTTACATAGAATATAATGGAATCAGTCCGAAAAAGATGGAATAATTGATTAGCATGAAATAAATAATATATTATTATCTTATGAGCAATCATAATAGTTATTTCCTTAAAGACCAAAGCCTTTAATTTTTATTCTAATATCTATTTATAACATCATATATGTGGTTGCTATTTATATGATTTAATCTCAATTACATTATTATTATTATCTCTTAATGCACAATTATCACATAATAGATAATTAGAATTGTTTAATATAAAAATTTATTATATATTTAACTAAGCATTCTATTAATAAATATTGGTTTAAATTTATGATTTAATTTATATTTGCAAATTATTCAATAGATCAATATGAATAATATTAGTAATAGATGGCCAAGAATATCACTAAATTCAGTTATCAATCTAACAGATTTTTCACATGAAGTACATTAGCCTTTATATGGATCCCATCTATAATGTTCGGCTGTCTTGATGTAACAATCCTAAGATTTAAGAGTGTTAATATTGATGGAAACACACTTTTTTCCAAGATAGTGACATAAATTAATATTTTAATAATCCCATGAATAAAAATTCTTACATCTTCCTACTTAAGCAAAATAAGTTTGACATGTATGACTTTAACACAAAGACTTTGCTGACTCCCAATAACACCTATCTTTAGCTAGTTTACATGCATTTTAGTCTTAGTTTGCAGATTCACAATTTTCCATCAATTTACATTATTCTGTTGTCTCAATCCAAACACAGATTCCATCCTATCCTTAAGAGTTACAACTTTATTTAAATTTATAATATGAACAATTAACCTTACTAATGCATTATAGGCCATCTGATATACAATTTTCTAATACTCTACATGATGAAGTGATATATCCATTTGGGATATCTTCACACTCCATTTTTCTACATTTCTCCAAAGTCTTATCATATGCAGTTTCCCAAAAACACTTACCGTCTAGTCCTTCTGCATTCTAACAAACATCCTATGACAAATAAGATAAACATTGTTCTTTGAGAATGCATTTTTTGCCATTAGTGGTGCAATAAGTCAGTCTTGATTAGCATTCAAGATGAGTTATAAATGGGAGATCAGAGCAGTCTTCATCTCGACATTATTATTGCATCTAATCCCAAACACAGATTCCAGTTGATAATATTTATCCCTTACCATCTTTAAGAATTCCCATATTATTGATATGACATTATCCATTTTTGTATTCAAAGCATGATTTTAACGAAATGCAGCCGTTTTGATAATCAGAGGTACATTGAGAGGATGCTTGTTAACATTGTTCATGAGTTAAATAATAAATATCTGTACATTTATTAAATAATTTACAGATATTCTATTTTGAATCTAAAGACTCTGTAGTTACAATACAGGTTTAAATTCCTTTGTTATCAACACCAATTACACATCCCTTTAGATTAGTTTGATTGCAATTTGTAATTGGCACACATTAATCTCCATCAGTTGTGCATTTGGCAGAAATCTCTTAGCATAAAGCATGGGAGTTCCATTTTAAACTTTGGCATGAATCATATCGAAAACAAGCACCAAGCGTATTATCTTTATTTTTATATCTACTTATCCATAAACAAGGTCCATCAGTACCTTCGATGCAAGCCGCTTTGAATTTGGTATCTTAACAAGTACTAATATTTACACATCTTGAACCTAATCCCACAGTACATTATTGTCTTTTACTCTGACATTCTTTATGTGTAGAACCAAGATAGTCTTAACATTATTTGATTCTACATATATTTAAGATTTCATCCCAAACACAGAGCTCTCCAATGTTACTGGTTGTACATGCAGCCTATATGTTAGCATCAAAACAAGTGCCTTTGAGAACACAACCTCCAGATTTAGTAGTTGTGCAAGACCCTTCTTTGGGTTTAAAATACCCTTAACATAATTATTCAGTATTGAAATCTAATGGAGCTGTTTCACAACTTTTGATTATGCAATGGGATTATGTATTTATCCATGCACATTCTCTCCCCTGAACATCAGTCACACAACCTGCTTCTGATTATGCTTATAGACAAGAACCCCTTTTGACACAGTAAACCCCATTGGTAGTACAAGTTGACATGATATTACTGCATTGTTCATCTAATGCTAATGAAAAGTCCTCACAAATTGCATTTCTACATCTTTATGCACTCATTGTACAATAATTTAGAAAACTTGAACATTCATACTCTGAATATGAAATCGGTATTAATTCACATGTTTTAAGAATGCATTTCATTTAACTTTGATCCCAAAGGCATTCTTGCTATTAGATGTTAATAGCCCCATAATAACATTAGTTTTGAGTCATCTCTTCACAGGTATCTGGGGTTTAAGTGCATCCAGAATCAGTAGAATTGATTGTACAATTCTCAAAATACTATTAACACAATTGAGGAGTGATTAAGTAAGTTGGTACAGTTTTGCAACTTTGATTTTCACATGAATTACCATTCCAACCACAAATATTACCAGATGCATCAATAATACACTAGTTTTAATGAGTATATTAATTACAACTAAGTTTAAGGGAAATACAACCTTAACTTACATATATTCCATCTATTTCTATGACTCTTACAGTACATTTGTTTAAATATAACTAACACTCTACATGATCATCTCTGAATAGTTCGGCTGTCTCGCAAGACTTATCACTGCATTTTGCGGGAATTACATTAGTATTCCAAATGCAATCTTCATTTAATAAATTCCGTACACATTATTCTTAAATTACATATGATCTACAAGGTCCCCATGAAATACATCCTTAACCAACTGTAACATCGTTGGATGCCTTCACAGTGCATCTTCCAACTTAAATACATTCCTCATGACTATCAAAATATTCTGAAGCCTCAGCATTTTCACATGACTTATTTACGCATTTTGCTGTATTTGGATTCCACAAACAGTCTTAATCTTATTAATTTATAATGCAAGATTTTTTCAATAAATATTAGCTACATTCTCGTTTTTTCTAGCATCCATCATCTCTGTAACCACAATTTGCTGAAATCTAGTAGCAATCCTAAGGAGTATTAATTCTATTTGAAACATAATCACACCCCTTTTAGACACAAGACTCTCCAACTACCATGCATTCACCTTCATCAATTGCATGAACACAATCAATCAATGAATATTCAGTGCATGTGTTTTTTGCAGGAATGCATTAGGTCTTTGCAACATTAACTGAACAGAATTGAGAAAATACAAAGCAATTATAATATGTAAATGGTAAGATTGCCTTATCACAATCAAGTATATAATTTGAATAACATCCAGATCCATCACAAAGTGCTCTGCATGAGTCATGAAATTCTCTACATAATAAATCTGATATAACTTCTAGCTGATATAATTTTATTTCTGAGCAAGAGTTAATTCCAATATAAAATGGAATACATTATAGTAATGTCTCTGAATAAATGCACTTTTGATAATTAGTTGATACACACTCCTCTTAGCTATATTCCTAACACTACCCTCTCATTGTTATACAACTTGTTTCAGATGTATTAACTGAACATTACCCTTAACTTATCTTTAAACAGTAAGCAAAAGTTAATCCTTTTCCTTAGACTGAAGTACACTCAGCAGATTATAATGGCTGTTACCAAGCATTTATACAGACATTTTCATAATATTTTTTATAACAAATAGCTGATAATGAATTTGTACAATTCTCAAAAGGTGTGTTTTAGCAATTATAAACAGTTTCAACACATCCAGATCCATCAATCTTTACAGTGCAATTATAATTGAAAACTCTACATGTATCGTAAGTATAAGGTGGTTTAGCATATTCACAATATATATTTTGCCTACATAAATTCTGATACCAAATACATTCTCCATCCAGCCCCCAAAAACATTAATCTTCTGTATAATTGTAGCAATAATCACTCTAAATACAAGAAGTACCTTATTTATTTACTGAACAAACTTAATTTATAGATTAGCAATATCCTTAAGTTAATCCATCAGTTCTAATTAGAGAACAGTCAAATGGAAATACATGAAAATTCGAGCTTTCACAACTCGTGCCATTCCAGATACAATACTTTCTCCAATCAATCGTTGCTTACTCACATTAATTCTTCTATTTAATATCTTCACATCTTGATTTCTTTATATAGCATTTCTTAGATGTTGGAACACAATTCTTAGAAATATTTTAGCATTATTAAAAATCCCAAGATTCAGTATCTTATTCACAAGGTATGTCAATACACTTCGAATCAACCCAAACACACCTAATGTGATCCTTAGACAAAACACATTGATTTCGATTTCCATACTAAGAACACTCTAATAGATCTGTGCAACCATATTCATAATAGTTAACAGTACATTATTACATAATCTAATTGCACAAATCGTGAGAATATATTTAAATACTAATACTGGAACATTAATAGGATCTACAAGAACTAGATTCTATATCCCAATAACAATTTCTACCATCTTCTAACACTCCACTCCAAGTACAAGCTTAAAACCCTAATTCAAGACAAGAATTCGGTCTTATTATGCACTTATATGTAGAATAATCTAAAATGCATTTTAATCCAAAAAAATTCCAACATGCATCTTAAGAGATCTGAAACCCTAAAGAAAGGTGTACATTTTCACATTTTATATCAAGACAAATCCCATTTAAATATTAATCCTAACCCCAAAAGCATTTATGTTTAAGTCCTTATGGTTATTCATATTCACAGTTTTATGAAAGCTCTCGTTATTAACATGAATTCGGTGGTTTCATACATCCAGCTCTATCATTCTTAACAACACATCCAACCATATAATTATTACATTCAAATGTTGAGCTTAAATATGGAGGAGCTGTTTAGCAAGATTTATCAATGCATTCTCCGTTATACCAACCGCATTCTTATTATCCAGAAGTTAAATAACATCCTTCCCTTCTAGTTATGGCGTTGCATGTAATCGGCAACTCCATGCAACCAGACCCAGAATTATCTACAGTACACGATGACAAATAAGATTAGCATTGATTAAAGTTTAGTAAATTCTTTGGAGCTAAAGCACAGAATTTCTTAAAGCACCCTTCATTAAAAACACATAGTTTATTATGCAAATCATAGTTACAATTAGATCTCTCCTGTACATTTTCACAAGTCAGAGATACACATCTCTAATCTGATCCTATGGTACAAGTTTGCATAAATTCCTTACATTATTCGTGAGTATTCAATTCTATAGGAGCATTTTCACATATTTTCAATTAACATTTGTCCTTCCACCAAAAGCATTCTTAATTATTTGCATCCCTGACACAACCTTCTTTCATATTAATGTTCTCGCAATTTGTATTTACTATGCACCCTCCTCCATTTTTAGGAATACAATTTCCATTTTATAAATATTTCAAACATTAAGTGTACGTATTAAACTATACTGGAGCATTATCACACGTTCTATCTGTGCATCCTGTAATCTCATCTGTAGATGCAGTACAAGTCTCCATATACTTTGAACATTCAACATGTCCAATATAGGATGGACCTGCATTTTTACATGTCTTAGGCAAGCAAGTAGATCCATCCCAATGACATAATTTACCATTAATAGTTTTATCACATGCTTCTTCAATTATTGCTGCTCCACAACTGGTATTTAATACACAACCTTATCCATTTGTTATACAATTATTTAAGTATACTTGACATTCTTCATTTGTTTTATAATTTTTCAAAGCATTCTCACATGTCTTATCTACGCATTTATTACCTGTCCAATAACAATCATTTCCTACAGCATCTTTGTTACAAGCTTCTTTTGTTTAATTTGTTGAACACAATAACCTAGTTATGCATCCACCATCCTATTTAGTTGTACAAGAAGGAAGGAAATCTTAACATTCCTTATCTGTTGTTAAATTCAATGGAGCATTTTCGCATATTTTATCAAAACATTTTCCATCCAACCAAAAACAAATTTGTTTATTTTTTTGATTATATACACAGTTTATTTCATCATCTTAAGCCTAACAATTATTCCCTTCTTCAATACATCCTCCTCCAATCTAAGCTGTACATGTTGAAAATTGAGACCTGCATTAAGAATCAGAGGCAAATGTTTATGGCAATTTTGAACATTCATCTACATCTTAGCATTTTGACTAAGTGGCATTCCAATAACAATATTAACCTACTGAATTATAGATACATGATATAGAACTCAAGTAACTATTACAATCACCTAATTCGACACAGTGCAAACCATCTGATATGCATCGATGTGAAATTGCTTTACATTTTTCATGTGTATCATAAACAAAGGCTGTACATCCTGTGAAATGAGTACATAGTTCATCATCCCAAGAGCACTAGTAAATTGAAACACAAATTTCTTTGCTTGTATGTTGATTGCAATATGTAGCATGATTTGTAAAATGCTATATCTTCATTTCTATTGTGTAATCAATACATTCATTTTTTTATTTATCCCATATGCAATCTTCCTTTTTAGAACAATCAACCTAAGTGAGCATTTATATACATTTACAAGGCTGAAATACCCTTATTGTTTCACAATTTATAAACAATAAAACACTTACAAATATCAATAGTTTATTCATTCTTAATAATTACTATTATTCATACATCATTAAAATAAAAAATAAAGATATATTTATTTTTTAAACATCTAAATTTGGATAGTACAATTCACTTAATTTGTTTGCGATTTATAAATTGTTAATATTTCTTATTTTTAATTTATTTAATAATAAACATTTTGTTTTGTGAATAAACATATAATCTTTTATACTTTCCTACTGCATATGATATTTCTTATTTTATTGCTTTTTTTACCTCATTGTCAACAAATTATGTAATAATACTCAGAGAACATCAAGTATATGAATTTATTATCATTTAAATGATGAAGATTTATTATATAATATAATATTTAATTATCAATTATAAGAAGTTCAATTTTATAAAGAATAGTTTGTTTTAATCACTGAGGCTACAAATATTGTCTTATAATATTTGAATTTGATAAGAAATCATATTTTTTATTAAAAATGAAATATCAATTGTACTTTCAAATTTCTATTTCCGTATTTACATAACTATGATTTTTCATTCTATATTTGACTAAAATGTAAAAAGCTATTAATTAAGCTGTAATTATAGCTATTAATGAGTAAATCCATGCACTTTTATGAATATTTAAATCTGGAAGGTTTAATGTTAACTCATAAATTCCATTTGAAAATGCATTCATGCATGAAATATTCATGATAACTGTGTTACTATGTTTCTTAAAATGGCATTTTAATGTTTAGGTATTAATAGGATAAGATATAGCTTACCCATCTTTAAATGTAAGACATGTAGCATTATCATCTTCTCCATTAGTGATTAAAGCATATTCAATAGATGTAGAATTTAATGATCCAAACATCAAAATAGGTTCATTCAAGCTGTCATAGATGAATTGATTAATTTAGTAAACTCCTATAATATATGTATCTTCATATTGAAATTATTGAAGTAAAAAACCATTTGAGAACACAGCGCTGGGAATCGGCAACAAATCGCCATAAGAAGGGATAAATATGCCAAAGTTTTAAACCATATTATCTTAGTTACCGTTTATCAAATTAAATTACCCAACACCTTCTCTACCAGTAATAAACACGAGTATTTAATGGTCAATTATTTACAATATCAAAATTTAAACACAGAAAGATTGCACTATTAAGTTATAAGACTTCCACGTTTGAATTGAGTTATTTACAATAGAAAACTGGTAACAATTGGCTACATTAAACTCTATCGTGCATAAGTAATATCTATCTAAATTAGAATTATAGAGAGCAACTGAAAAATCTGAGCAAGCTTTATTCAGTTTATTCATGCTACTATTTTACGAAGTGAATAAATAGACATAGGTATTGAATTCATTCTAAGAGCCTAAAATAAAATTTAAGTTGCCTATATTACTAATCTTAGATATATTAGTGAATCTCATAGAAATTAAAGTAATGTTTTAAGCTATAACATTTCCAAAAGAATCAAAAGTAATCCTAAGCCAATATTGTGCAGTTTTATTTTGACATATAGATGATAAGGTTAAATTAAAAGATGTTGATTTCAAGCAACCACTAAAATTCAAATTAGAATAATCGTAATCTGAAAGGTGTTCATTTTTAGAATTAATTATTTTGATTTAATTGTGATCCTACAAAACAAAAAATTAATTATTTATTGCAGTTACTTATGTAAAGTTTTAATAAGAAAGTGTATTATAGTAACCAAAATTTGTTAAATTGCAAATATGATTTGAAAAGTATTAATCACTAGAAGTATTATTTTAACTATTAGGAAGATTACAAATACTTACCTATCTATCAATTATTATATTCATAGGTATTGTGAAGGTTCGATCTATTAGGTTTAACTCTTTTAATTCCAAATTTATGTTTTTAGAAGCATATGGTTAGAAATAGGTGAAATTCGAGAAGTAAGTCAAGCTTTAATTGGGAGTATATTAAATAGCACTTTAATTTAATGGAGAAGTAATACTATAATTATAAATGATCGATGGGTAGGTGCGTTGAAAGTTTAGAGATTAATTAACAGAAAACTAGATAAAAACTTTAGCTGATAAGATATCGAACTTATTTTCATAAAACATTGAAACTCCGATTTAACCTGAATATTCTATTTCAGTTGTACATATCAATTACGATGATAAATTTAGTTATTAATATAAATTCATATGCTCCGGATATTATGGATTGTAAACAAACACAGTGTAATTTTTAAATTAAACATAAAAAAACAAGTTATCTGATAGTATTTACACTTAATTATTGTAATGCAAACTCATCATATTTCTTACAAAAAATGGCGATTTAAAATTTTGAATACTCCAAACTTAGAAACAAAGGTAATTCCCTTTATTACAATAATAAGACAACACTAATTGTTGATTGACAATATTTATTGATTTAATATTGAATTTAACATCGATAATTGAAATTGGTGCCAGATGATTATTTTAACCAATTAAGATAATTATGACATTATTAACATTATTGATAAATAAGCATGAGGATAATGATTAAACATTTACAGCTATTTAAATAGGATTGAAATGTAAATCATCTAATTTAAATAATTATTGAATCAAATTCTAGTTAACAATTACTAAGTCAGTAAAATTCAAAGACATTATTTAAATTTCTCCGTTGTAAAACAGTGTTATTAAATTATTATATGTCACTAAAAATTCAGAAAACTTTTATTTAAATTTATAATGTGAGGTAAAATTGGAACCATTGAAAGAAACCGGTATTTAGTAAATGTAGATTTTATCACTGTCTTTTAATCCTATAATTAATGTCCCATATATATCATAAGCAACTTATAATGACTGAGCCTAAATAGTAATATTAATAAACTGCATCAGATAATTAAATTCTTTTAAGTTTAGCTGTGTAAAGATTTGTATTGATTTGTTTGTAACTCCGATAAAGTAGCTTATTTTTTTAGAACTTTGATATGCTGTATAATTTGCTAATATTAAAAATTAGGCTAAATAATATTGCTCTTCTAATTTGAAAAATTCTTAAAATGTTGATTATATAAATGATCCAAAATATTGATCATTCAAGTTTGCAACATATTATAGTAATTTTCCTGAATAGCCTGTAAAACCTTATTAATAGGAATACTCATTTGTAATAGCTTTATACTGAGAAAACTATTATTTGTATATTACATAAATTGATGCATCATTCTAATCTAAAATTGTAATAGACATAAAAATTCTACAATGCCCTTTTAAAGTTAGTTTTTGAGGTTGAGAATAAATTGTAATATTGTAATTTTTTTTTGAAGCTTATTATTCTGTTAAATTGATTGATAGATAGGGTATCGCTAGTTAATAAACAGTAATTAATTTGTTAAATATAAATAGATAGCAATTGTAAGGATTAAAAAATATTTAAGAGTTACTGTTGATCTCAGTAAACCCAATTGATTTCCAGAAATTCCCTGTTTAATACAATGTTAGATAGTTTTATTATTAAATCAAGAGGATTTCATTATTAAAATATTGCTAAATCACTTATTGCTTAGGATCAATATATCCATAATCATACTTAATTAATTAGTTCTAACATCCTTCAATAAACTATTAATAACCACTTTAAGATTAGATCAATAGCTAATCACATTAAGAAAAAGCTTAGTAGTTGTAATAAACTTAAAAAGTATCAGCTAAACCATTGATAGCATAGTGTTATGCTTCTTGAAAAGCATAATTCTAAGTGAAGATAAACTATAAGATGAATTTTTTGAATAGTAAATATATATAAGGGTTTGATCTTTAAGGTATACCTAATTGGATAAATTAATTTTAGTAAGATGTTAAATTGTTAAACTGAGATGAGAATAATGTAAGAATAGACAAATTTTTGTAATATTAGGCATAAATAAGGAAGGAGGTTGGTTCATTATAAATACCTTTGATGTCAGTTGATTATGGTTATTTTGCTTCGAATGAATAAACTATATCAAAACTAGTATTGATTAGTTTTAATAAATGAAAATGTTCATCAGTATAACAATCAAGCAAAATATCGATATCAGCCAACAAAATAATATTATAACATTTATATTTTCTTTCAATATTTACTATCTATCCATACTATTAAATGATAAAATTTTACCATTCATATAATATTATTTGATTTTGGTTAGTTATTGTAGCAAAATGAGTTTAATTGGATGATATTGATATAAATTCTAATATGATAACTTTAATATATACCTTATCCCTCTATTTGAGTTATTTCAGTGAAAGCATTTGCTATCTATACATTTGGTATAATTGGATTATAATGATATAAAAGATTTTCTCCCTCAAATAAATTACTCATAGGATATTCTATGTACTCTCCATTAGTTGGATACAAATGAATGTTTTTCTATTCCTTTTCTATACACGAAAGACCTTGAAAAGCAAAGATAAAATAAAAGAAAATCATTTTTATTATTATTAAAATACATAATCAAATCAATAATGTTTTACAAATGAAGAATCTATTAAATCATTACCTAACTTTTCGCCATCAAAAAAGGATGCAAAATAGTTATCGTTCTTGATTATTAAATACCGATGGAAAGATAAATAAATGAAGCTCAAATGGAAGTTGGTACATAGATTTGTTTTAGAATAAGTAGATTATCTACAATCTATAAGAATGAATTTGGAAAGAACCAAAACCGTATATTATTCTAAAGGAAACTGGATTAATCAAGTTATGAACTAATTTGGCTATAGGGGATAATCTCTTAAATATTGCATTCAAATTTACAAAAAAAGTAGATTTTGGGTTTTTGATCGTTACAAATAAATGGAAATGATTTTTATTATCCATCACATTTAAATTTTATCTTTTTCCTCACTTGGCTCATATTTATTACTTAATTGATTAATTTATTAAATGAGTATAAAAATTTAAAGCATTTAAGAAAAAGGTAAGAGTAGACATTAAAATGAAATTAATGTGTATAAGGATACCTCTTTATTATCAAAAATTCAGTTTTTGAGATGTCATCTACTAATAACTACATTAATTTCACCCAAAAACCATTCTAAAATATTCACCATTGAGAAATAATTATATCTATTTAATATATCTTTCATAATTTATATTAAATTCATTTATGCTAAATTGTTCCATCCTAGTTTGATTATAATGTTAAGCAATTCACTTAAATTATTTAATTAATTAAACCTTTTAATCTTAATGATGGTTCATGGTTTGGTTCTAATCTGAGCACTTCCTCCAAACATTTTAGAGCTTGAGAGTATTCTCCATTAAGACTTAAGCAATGAGCTAAAATTATTATTTTTTTTACCCTTTGCAGATAAAGAATAGATATGATTAGGATTGATGGCTAAGGCCTTGTTAAATAATTTGATAGACAATTAAGATTGTCCCATCATTGATAGACAATAGGCTAATTAATAAGTAGAATCCCAATAAATACCCTTTTAAGATAAGCAATAAACATCGAACTCATTTATAGACAAGGCTTTATTGAACCATATATTGGCTTCTTAAAATTAGTTCAAAATTGCTAAGCATCCTCCTTTGAATACATAAAATATTGTAACCTAAACTAGATAGAGAATAAAAGTGCTTTGGATCAATCCTCAAAGATTTATCTAACCATTCAATTGCTTCATGATATTATCCCATCATTATTAAACACATACCTAAATAATTGAATAGTTGGTTACCCTTTTATGATAAAGAATATAAGTGTTTTTAATCAACTTTTAATGCTTAATTGAAATATTCGATAGCCTACTAAGGTAAATTCAAATTTGCTAAACAACCACCTTTTATATAAATAATCAACACCTTTATCTGACAATGAGTATAAATGTTAAGGATCTATAGCCAATGCTTTATCAAGCCATTCGATAGCCTCCTAATATCTTCCCATCATAGTTAAAGACATTCCTTTATTTTCACAACAAAAGCTTACCTTTAGTTGCTAGGGCTTCAACATTATTTTAATCGATTTTTAAAACTCTATCTAGCCATTAAATAGACTCTTCATATTATCCCATTAACGATAAACAGCCCCCTTCAATTAATATAATTTTGACCTTTTAAAAGTAATGATGAAAGTGATAAAGGATCAATAATTATAATTCGATTCAATTCTTGAATAGCATTTTGATATCTGCCCAATTATTTTAAACATTCAACTAATTGTAAAGTATTTATAAACCTCTTGATAATAGGAGTTCGATATTCAAGGGAATCATATTTACTACTTTTTCAATGAGTCTTGCTGCACTCTCAAACTCCTTTAAACCTTTTAGGCAGTCACCTTATAATCTATTTTTCTATGATTTTACATTTCGAAATCATAGATTCAATATGGTTTGGATCTATATCAAATATTTGTTGCAAACATTCAACAGCCTTAGAATATTATCTAAGAAGTCGTAAACTCTCACCTAAAATTATTAACTGCTTTACTCTTTTCATATAATATAGACAGATTATTTGGATTTATTCTTAGGCTATGGTTGAAATAAATTATGGCTTCAGAATAATTTTTAATCTATTTTAAGCAAATACCTAATACTAAGATTTCTTTGATTACCTAATTAAAATAAAGCAGTAATATTATCTCCTTCAGCTTACAATACTGATTTGTAGTTTACAATTGCTTGTTCATAATTGCTTTGTATTTGTAAATAATTTCCTTTCATAAGCAATGATTCAACATTGCAGGGCTCTAACTTTAAAACTTTCTCTATTATCTCAATAGC